CCGCCCCCCCCCCCCCCTCCCCCCAGGCACGAGATTCAGAGTGAGCCGCGTCGTCGATGCGTGCAGGCAACTCAATATTCATAATCCAAGGCTGCGCCACGCCGTTTGGTGCGGCGCTGCACGCATTCAAAAATAGCGTCTGACCCGATCCCACGGGATGACGGTCTGCCGTGCAGTGACTCGTCTCCGTGGGCAACCCGGACTCCATGGGCAACCTGGACCGTACACCACTGAGCTCCTGGCTGTCCGGTTCCTGGGTGGCATCGACTTCGGCCCACAAAGGACTATCCGAACCTTGCCAGGTCGCCACGGCCGCTCCGCGCCAGGTGCGCTCCGGGCCGAAGCAGTGCAGCCTCGGTGGCGCCCTTTTGATCGCGTGCCAGAGCGACGTGCTGCCCTTACAGTAGAGGGCCGACGACTCGGGGGGACTCCTGTCCAGGACGGCCCATGGTGGGCCGTGCGTCACGACGATGTCCGTGTCCGGCTCAATGCTGAAGTCATGATGATGCGTCTGGTATTGAAACGCCAGAGACTTGCCCGCGTCAGGCGTGTACGAGCTGACGTATAGGCGGAGCGGAGCGCGGTTCGGGAGCAGGATCTCTTGTGTCCCCTCGTTGAGGAACCGAACGTTCCACCGCCACATTTTCTGCATTCTCGTCCGGGTCGCCTCAGGCCTTTCATACTTTCTTGTCTGCAGCCGTCTCTCCTTGCCAAGGGCCTGCGTGCGGCTCTCAATGGGAGCAGCATCAGCGCTAGGAGCAGGTGCTCCCGCATCGACTTCATCGGCTTTCGGGTCCTCGTAGACTGCAGTAGACTCCTCTGCCACGTGAACTTGCCGTCTGGAGTGGAATCTATACGCTTGTGGGTCAAGGGAGACGTCCTTGTCGCCGGCTATCAAGATCTTGGGGCCGACATTGAACCTGCGGATGTATCTCATGACTTGGCCGAACTCTGAGCCAGTGGAGTGCTGGGTCAGGTTTCCACAGTGTATGAGAAGATCGAATCTTCCATATTCTTCGGGAATACAAAGCGTCGAGCTTGGCGTCGGGCCCGTGAGGATGATGATTCTAGTCCTCATACCGGAGGGACGACCAACCTGGCGCTGGTCTGTCATGGATATGTTGATATGTCGATACAATTCTGACTGCAGAGATGCTGGGTATATACCGTACAGATTGAAGAAGAAGAATGCCAGGCCCCAATGAAATGGTGTTTTCCGGGAATCAAGGTGGGTGGGGGGGGGTGTTTTTGTTTTTGGCTCTGTGTTGGAGCTGAAGAGGAAGGAAGGAGCAACCACAGATGTTGTATCTTTCTTGTCTTTTATGGTTTTCATCTTTTATGGAAATGTATGTCTATTATGTCTATTATGTGTTTTACGTCTTTCTTATCTTTCTTACTTTTTTCACCTCCATCTTGTATTTCTACCATCTATTCCTATAAATGCCTACTACATGGACACCTGCGTACACAGTACCCGAATGCGACTTTTTAAAGTTATCTCGTCGCTGTTTTGTTAGGCCATCATTCTACGAAAACTATCGTTGCCAAATAGACACTTGATGCAATCTCAAAGTTGTGCCCAGCTGTAAAGAAAGGCCTGCGAGAATAAGGCGTATCAAATCGAACAGGATGAGAGGGTGAATGAAGATGACAGCGTGAATAACTCTTAATAGGGTTCAATTCAGTTTACACGTTAGGCTATCATTACGCGAAAAGCATCATTATCAAATTGACACTTGATGCAATCTCAAATAAGTTGTGACATTGCGTTCATCATTTTTCCCCCTCACTCACTCACACACACTCTCTCTCTCTCTCACACACACACACACATAACATACTACCCCAGCTACATTACAAGTTATTCATCCGAACACTACCCTGAGACTGCGAGTCGCGCGCCGCGTCTCCGCCGGGCGCCCACTTGCCGCGCTCCGAGTTTTGCTGGCGGAGCAGGCGCAGGCGCTGCTGCTTTCTGCGGAAGATGAGCAGCGCCGCCGCCGCGATCAGCGCGACGCCGGCGATGGAGCCGATCACGATACCCGCGATGGCACCGCCAGACAAGCCCGACTTGCCGGTGCCGGAGCCGGAGGACGGCGAGGCGGAGGCGGAGGCGCTGGGCGTCGACGAGGAGCCGCCCTTGGAGGTGCTGTCGCCGGGGCTGGGTTCCGTCGCGTTGAAGCACGGGATGGAGACCTTGAAGTCGGAGAGCTCGACGTAGGTGATGTCGGCGCAGGCGTAAAAGGTCTGGTTCTCGGGCTTGTCAAAGTCGGCGATGTACTTGATCTGCAGGGTGGCGTTGGTGCCGGACTTGACGGACGAGGGCGCGTTGGGCAGGGTGACGCAGGTGTGGCCGAGCTTGATGTCCTTGAACGTCTCCATGTCAATGAGCTTGTTGAAGTCGCTGTTGCTCTTGGGATCTAGATGTGTATGTTAGCGGACGACTTGCGCTATGGAGTGAAGAGTTAGAACGAACCTTCGACGTAGGAGACGGCGAGCTCCAGGTCATAGGACTCGTCCTGGGCTACGAGCGAGATCTTGCCGCTTTCTGCTCTCGAGGTTAGACAAAATACCAACTGGAAAGAGAGGGATGGAGTGCAAACGCACGCAGGGGAAAGGTGGTGCGGTTGGTGACGCCGGCGATGGAGCCGCACGGCGCCGTGTTGTCCGCGTCGGCGGACCAGACGCGGTCGGGCGGCCACATGAAGGCGGCCGGACCGATGGTGTTGGACGTCATGGCCTTGGCTGACGTGCCGGCGGCGCTGACGCCTGACGAGGCCATGAGCCAGGCGGCGGCGAGGGTGGTGAGAACAGACATGGCCGTAGGCTGGAGAGGTCCGGGGAGGGGGAGCAAAGCGCGAGAGGGGAACGGGATGAGACAAGAGACGCAGGTTCAAAAGACAAGAATGGGGTTTATTTGGGGTGGCATGCTACATTAATAGCTAAACAGAAAAGAAAAAAACAAGGCTTGACTGTCCACACCATACTGAGAAGCACAGACTCCGGATGCCGACCTCTCTCTTTTTTTTTTTCTCATTAATTCATCTTCTTTATTAGTTACTTCTTCAGCCCAACCTCGATAAGGCAAGTTTAACACCGAGCAGGTCACCTGCCACGCCGAACTGCGGGCACCCGTTATTGCCGAATATGGGGATGGATGGCCGGTTTTTCTTCTTCTTGCTTCCAAGCCCGGGCCAAGTCCGTACCAAGGGCGAACCGCATCCACTCGCCACATGCTGCAAAAGCTTATCACTTGGAGAAAAGTGGCAAGAAAAAGAGAATGCAAACGGGGACCGGGCTGGGTGGGATGTGAAAATGGGCCAAGTCTTTTTTTTCCCGGGCCAAGAAAGTTGACGGGTGAGGAGACCAAGGTGCTACCCCTCCCGGAGAGCGCGCGCTGCAGCTGAGGAATAATGGGAGCGGGGGGGGCTGGGCGAACCAGGGTTCAAGGTGGTGTGGAGAGGGGGAAGTAAAGTGGTGTGGTGAGAAAGTGGAAAAGGCTCCGCGGATGTTGCTTTCTGACTAGGAAACGGTTGTTCTCTTTTGGCGAGAATTTTTATCAGATGATCTGATTAGATGGAGGGCCAATTGATTAGATGGATTCATGAGTTGCTATTGGTTCAGGTGGGCCTGTGGATGGAGTCCCGCCACAACGGGCTGGGGCAGGCTAAGGAAATGAAATCCTAGTTGCTGATTGATAATGAATGGTCTTGACTCTTCACACAAAGTGCCCCCTCCCTGTAAGCGAGGCCATGGCGCACTATCGGTATGCAAGGCTTGGCATGAGGGAATTTCTGTTTTTTTTTTCTTCTTCTTCTTCCTCTTCTTTCTTTTATTCTTGTTGGATATTGGGTAATAAGCTATTAGTCTATTGCCTGCCCGTTTTGGACTCTGTGCATTTCAGCTCCTGGCCAGAATGAAGCAGTGCGTCCGTCCAACGTCGCATCTTCTATATAGCCCAGCCAGTTAAGAAGTCGGGCGAGCAAGAGACTTGCAAGCAGGAGAGATGCCTTTGGACTCTTCTTCCCGAAATAGAAAGGAGAAGAGAAGAAAAAAGGCTCCGGAAGAATTCCGCCTTGAGCATCAACAACCGCCGTGGCCGGTCTCGGGACAAAGACAAACTCAACGACGCCACAACCCACCAGCCATCCTCGATCCTCCTCACCTTCACATCCTCAACTCAACTCAATCCCTCATCCCTCCACAACCCACTACCGATGCAAACAGACCACAATAGCTTCCCATCTTATGCATCCAAAGGGATCCATCCATCCACTCCTCTTTTCCACTCTCGACCCAACACCGGGCATATGCAGCTCGTTTCCGCCGAAGCGCCGACATATCCGCATCCATCCACCTGCCAAAAGCTTGCCTCTCCGCTCTGTGGCTTGCCCATAGCGTTCATTGGTGTGCCACTTCATATCAATTCCCTTTCCATATCACCCAACCATTTTTTACTTTCAAGTCTTTGCGGTCTCGTTCTAGCCCTTTCGAGACCTTCTACTTCAAACACCTTGTCCCCGTCCGTAGCTGCCAGTTTCCGTTGTCACGTTCCGGACTTTTCCCCGTCGGCAACCGAACAGCTTCCCCCCCCCCCAACCTTGACGTGCGTACATACTCCGTAGAACCGTCACTCTGTACCTAGTCATGCCAGAATTGATTGTGGCTTGTCGTATTCCCCCCCTTCATCTCCTTTTTTTTTTTGCCAGCTAGCTTGCTATAAGTAACGCTTTTGCCCTTCCTCCTCTCACCCACCGAGTTGTGTTGGTAAGGTTGCATCCGACAAACAATTCCCGCCCGTTGCTGTTTAGACACACATTCGTTCCCATTGTCCCTCGTTTCTTGGCTCCAGAGAAATAATCAACCCCCAATCACCTAATCACCATGCACTTCGTCGCCACCCTCGCCGCCGTCGGCTCCGTCGCCTCGCTGGCCTCTGCCCGCGTCGGCTTCCAGTTCCCCGACACCGTCCCCCTCGCCAAGCGTCAGGTCACCGGTGCTGCCTATGAGTGCCACGCCAACTGCGGTATGTACACCACTCTCGCTGTCACGCCGCTGTCACGCCGCTGTCACGCCGCTGTCACGCCGCTGTCACGGACTGCGGACCTTCTCCATCCGAGCTTCGTCTCTCTAACATGACCGCATCCAGGCTACACCATTCAGGACGCCGCCCAGGACGGCTACTGCGACACTGACAAGTGGAAGACTGAGTTCGCCGCCTGCATGGACTGCGCCAACACGTACAACATCTGGCGGTACTACGGCACCAAGGTCACCGACGCCGCCCAGAAGTGTGGCCTCACCGCCAACCCCAAGCCCTCCGGCGCCGCCAGCGGCGGTAGCAGCGCCTCTGCCTCGGCGCCCGCCGCCACCACGGGCACGCCCTCCGCTCCGGCCTCTTCCGCCCCGGCCGCTACCTCCTCCGCCCCGGCTGCTTCGTCCTCCGCCCCTGCCGCTTCGTCATCCGCCCAGCCCTCCGCCCCCGGCCAGTCTTCCCAGCCGACCACCGCCGCCCAGACCTCCGCCGCTACCGGCTCCTCCTCCAAGGTCCAGTCGACCGCCGTCGCCACCACCGGCCGCCCTACCGCCAGCGCCGCTCCCACCGTAAGTTTGCTCAATGCTCGTTCGATGACTGCAGTCGTCTGACCATCTCTCTCTCTAGTCTGGCAACAACACCACCAGCACCCGGGTCCAGGTCGGCGCGGCCAACCTCCAGCAGCCTGCCATGCTCGCTGCCGGTGCCGTCGCCCTCTTTGCCGTCAACTTGATCTAAATCCTGTACCAAACTTGCTCGCAATTATTTTTTTCTTGGGCCTCGGCAACCAGCTCCAGGGGCTGCTAATAAACATGTGTAAATTTCAAATAGTTACTCCGTAACACCTAATACAAAGTTGTTTTGTGTGCCGTTTTTCTTAGCCGCTGCTCGCCAAGTTGTAGTATTCACCCCGTCATTTCAGGTTCATCCCACCAAACGCCCTGTCCAGCGCAGCTCCCTCGTCCGCCGCGGCAGCAGTCGTCGGCTCGCCAATCATCGGTTCGTCGCTCCCCGCCACCGTGGCCGCCGCGCTCTTCTCGGGCTGCAGGAGCCGCGCGTCGCTGTCCAGCCAGCCCGGCGCGAGCCGTCTCTTCTCCGCAAGGTCGCGCTCGCGGATGCGCTCCTCAAAAGCGCGCAGCTCGCGCTCCGCGTCCTCCTGCAGCCGGGCCACGTGGGCGCGCAGCGCCTGGCACGAGGCCACGATCTCGTCGGGGTGCGCCGCCGCACCGGACTGCGAGACGACGAAGCGCGGCTTCGACTGGTCTGAAGCACCGCCGGCGGCGCTGGAATTGTCGGCTTCGCTCGACGACGAGGCCGTCGGGATGCCGAGCGCGGAGGGCGGTATGCTGGACGGCATCGTCTTGTAGGTGTAGGCGAGCGTTGTGGCGGTCGGCAGGGAGACGAAGGGGGACACGGTGAGCGGCACCTGCTCCAGGAGGGGATGCGGACCTGGTTGATTAAAGGTGTAAGCTGGTTGTTGTTGATGGCACTGGAATGGAAGAGGTTAGACGGAGGGAGGGGGTTTCTCACGATGGCTGTACATGGTCAACTCGCGTTGGCGAGTCGCTCGCACCCGAGCAATGCGTCGATTTGAGGAGCGCGCCGCCTTCGTAGAGACTGACGATCAGCCAGCGACAATTTTCAGTATCCTTCTGACTATTGCAGAGTGTCAAGCCGTGGTCCAATGAAGAGTTGCAAGAAGGGCCGGGCTTTCCAGACACGCAAGCAGTCATGTCATTGCCCCACCCGCCTAAAAACCGGCGCAAGTTTTCGTTTGTCCCCCGCGATCTGCCTGCGAAGCTCTCCAAGCTCTGCTCTCCAAGCTTGCCACAGCGGCTTTTATTCCCATTTCTTCTCCTCCTTGTCCCTGCTACCCTCAACAACGGCAGAGAAAAAAAAATCCTCCCACCCAACATGATCGCCACCACGATACGGACCCCGCCCGCGGCTGCCGACTTCGTCCCCCTCGAGGAGTACCAATCGCAAACGCCTGCGTCCTTCGTTGATGGCAAGCCCGTGCTACACCTGCACCTCGCCGGCGCCACTGCCTCGGCTCCCCGGGAACAGGTATCCGGCGGCGCGCTGGCCGTCTTCCCCCGGGACTTGCCCGCCGCCGCAGTTGAGAACGGCGCAGAGGAGGAGCTCGTTGAGCAGCAGGTCGACGTCTACGTCACATCCGAGTGCGCTTGTCCCAGGCCCCATTCCTCCCTTTCCACATTACGTACAGCTTTCTAACAAAGACAATCGCCGTCTTCTGCAGGACCTTTATCCTCTATAGCCCCGGCGCCGAGGCAGGCGTCTCGATACCGTACCCCTCCATCTCCATCCACGCCATCAAGCAGCAGGGCAGCGCGCCCGCCGTCTGGATGCAGCTCGAGCTGTCCGACGGTGGCTCTTCCGATGACGACTTCCGCCTCATCGAGCTAACCATCGTCCCGCCCGCCGCCGACGCTGCCTCCAAGCTCTACGAAGCCGTCGCGGCCTGCTCGAACCTCCACCCCGACCCCGCCGCCGACGAGGATGCCGACGAGGACGAGGACAACAACGATCGCATAGTCTTCGAGGGCGAGCACGAGGCGCTCGAGGGCTTCTCCGGCGTGCTCCGCGGCGCGGCGGACGGCGGGCTGCCCCCGCCGATGCCGGGCAGCGGCGGCTGGATCACGGCGGACAACGTCGGCGAGTACTTTGACGAGGAAGGCAACTGGATCGGCCCCGGAGCGGAGGTGGGCGGTGAGGAAGAGGGTGAAGGCGCCGAGTTGGGGGAGGGTGCGGGCCGGACGAGGGCGCGCGACGAGGTCGAGGCGCAGGATGCGGTCAACGGCCACGGCACGGAGGAGGAGGACGCTGAGAGCAAGCGTCAAAGAGTTGAGTAGAATAGGGGACTTTTTCTGTTATTGTGGATTGGCAAATGCGAGAGAAGAAAACAAAATACCGCAAGGGCTCAAGGCAACGGCGTTTATTGGAATCACTGTTAAAATGACAAGATGGCACATGGAATACCAGGATAGCACACAAGGAAAAAAAAGGGGGCTCTTGCATTGAATAAAATAGTGTAAAATTTTATTATGACATGGAGTTAGGACTCCTAATTATATTTGAGCTATGCCTGGTGATGCGGCCCATGTAAGGGGGAGTAGAGAAGCTGCCGCGTGCCGTCTTGAGTGAAAATGCCACTCGAAAAAGGATGAAATAAACAGTCTGCTTTGTTCCGGTAAAAATAAAAAGTAAATAATGAAAGAAAGAATATTGAACTTTGTAAAGTAAAGATTTCACAAGTGGCCCGTGAAAGGACTTGGTTTCCCAGAACTCTCGTGATGCATGCCGTCGATAATTATGATTATGCTTTTTATTTTTGAAAAGCGTACACGGCCTTACATGCGCAGCAGCTTCTTATGCATCTCCCTCTCCGGCGACGGCAGCAAGAAGCCGTCCTTGTCATACAGCCCCAGGCTATCCACGCTGCCGCGCTTGCCGTCCCCACGGCGCTCCGCAGCCGCCACCAGCTCCGCCACCATCGGGTTCCTCATGCTCTTCACCGGCGGCACGTAGGGCTCGTACCTCCTCTCCTGCACGTGCGAGATGCCCAGCCCGGCATTCTCCTTGCCGCTGTCCTGCGACTCCTTCTCCGGGGACGCGAGCAGTGCCGGTGGCGCGCGGACGTTTCCCAGGCTGCGGCGCGGGTTCTTGGCCGGTCGCTCCGGCGCCGCCGCCGCCGCCGTCGTCGTGTTGGAGCGCGCGGGGCCGCTCTTTTTCGGGCGCGGACCGCCCGGTCGGACGACAGTCTTCCGGACGCCACCGACCGCGTCCAGCCTGCTGGGGCTACCGACGTTGAGGTACTGGCGGTTGCCCATGCGCGGACCGTGCAGGTGGGTGGTGTCGGACAGGCCAGTGCGCAGGGGCTCGACCATCGACTCGACGCTCGCAGCGGCGGTGATCGATGTGAGGGAGTGGTTGCTCGCGATGCTGATGAGAGAGTTCATGCGGCGCAGCTCTGCGACTGAGGTGGCCACAGACAGATTGGCAAGGGGGCCGCGTGACACGGATCCGTTGTTACGGTTGATGCTGTTGTTGTTATTGCTGGTGTTTTTGTTGCCGTTACCATCATTGTTGCTGTAGTACGAGGAGGTGACGGACAGCTGGCGGGCAACAGCCGCGTTGCGCATCGACGCGGTGCGGGCGACGCTCTTGGGCGGCGGCGATAGTGGCGTCGGCGTGATCGAGCCATCTGCGGGTGGCATCAGGATGGGCGGCACTGGTAGCGCGCGCTTCGTAGTCGTCTGCCTCTTCGGGGACTGTGCGGCAATGATCATGTTGACAATGTCCGCTTCGCTAAATGGCGAGGAAGAAACATCCGAGTCACGGCGGCGGTCATGCTTGACCGGCGTCGTCATCTCCTCCACCATTTCGAGCGCCTCCACCTCGGTCTCGCCAGTCTCGCCCGTAATGGTTCCATCGCTGGAGAGACTCATGGTTGTTGAGTCGACCGACATGTCGGTGTAACTCGACTCGGATAGGGATAGCTGTGGCGAGGCCATCGTGGCCGACTTGGGGCGGACAATCTCCTCCGCCCTGTCACGCAATGGCGGCTGCAAGGCGCCGGCGAAGCGTGGCCCGTCCAGCGATTTGTGCATCCGGTGGTAGCTATGCTGTTTCTGCTGCGACAGCGACTGCTTGCGCGGCGGGATACAGTAGAGAGGGGGCATGGTGTCGTGGTCAATGTGGCGCGCGAGTGTGTCCGAGCTGACCGTCATGGTGCGCCGAAGGGGCGCCAGCTCTGAAACGCCGTTTCGCTCGACGAAAGCATCATCCGGCCCTTCGACGACGGCCTGGATGGAGGCGTCGTCCACCTCGTCACCCACGCTATACAGCGTGGACAGGCTGGACGAGGCGTCGCTGTCGACAGACCTGCGTCTCTGCTCACGCTCACGCTGGGGGCTCCTCTGCGGGCTTCGCTGAGAGTTGGCATACTGCTGCTGTTGCTGCTGTTGCTGCTGATACAGCTGAAGCTGCTGCTGGTACTGCTGGATCTTCTTCTGGTATTCGCTCTGCGCACTGTCGCGATGGGCAATGTACGCCGCCTCAACCTCGTCGTCTTCCTGCTGCAGCCCCGGCGTCGTGAGCTGAAGGATGGCATCGTCGCCTGGCAGCCACTCGCGCCCGCGTAGACGGCTGGGGCTACCCATACCGCCTGGCAGCTCGAGCTCCTCCGTGGCGTGGGCGATGAGGCTGTTGGCCGCGCTGCTGATCGACGTGGCCGAGCCGTCGCGCGCGCCCATGCCGCCGCTGGCGCTGCCGGGGATGCGCGTTGGGCTGCCACTGTGCGGCTGGTGATGCTGCTGTTGGGAGCGCACACTGCGCGGTGTCTTCGTCGGTGAGTCTTGCGGCGTAGCAATCTTCTCCGGCGAGCGGCTGCGGTTGCGGTCGCCGTCACGCAGTCGCTGCTCCGTGGAGCGCAGGATGGTCCGCAGGTCTGAGTCGGTGCACGTGGGATGCCGGGCTAAGACGGCGCCGGCGGGGCGGGTGAATCCTCCCTTTGCCGGGGCGGCGGCGGCCCCGTCTCCGCTGTATACGGCGCTGGGCTTCTTCGGCATGGATTGCTCTTCTTCGACATGTCGGGATTTTTCATCCTGATCGTAGAGATTGGCGTAGTGGTTGTTACTAGGCCACTGCTGTGTGGAGTTTTGCTGCTGCTGCTGCTGCCGTTGTTGTTGATAGTGTTGTTGATAGTCTGGTAAGCGTTGTTGACGTTGATTTTGCTCTTGGCCTATCACTCCCACACCCTGCATCATTGCCTTATGTCCCACCGGCTGCAGCGCCGGCGGATTCTTCTGTCCGGCCCAGCCGCTCCCGCTGCCCGGTCTGGGCTTGTACGTCGCCGCCACCACCCGCCCAATCTCGATAGCCTCCTCGTCGTCGAGCCAGGCCTTATCTCTGCGGTAAGAGCGTCTGCTCGTGTGATACCGGCGAAGCGAGCCGTACGACGGCAGCATCGGCAGCGACGGCAGCGACGGCAGCACCGGCAGTGAGGGGATGCGGATCGCCGAGAACCGTCCCAGCATCGTCCCGTCGTCGTCGTTCAGGTCCGAGAGGCAGCTCCGCTCCCGCACAATCTTCATCCGTCGCCTCGTCAGCTTCGTTGTCGAAGCTCGCTGCCGCAGTATCGCCGTGATGCCCGAGGCCTCGTAGGGCAGCGAGGCAGTCGTCCGAGTAATCGTCAGCGGACCGCGCCGTTTCTGCGCCCGCCACGCCAGGGCGAACCCCACGACGATGAAGAGGGAAACACCGCCGCAGAGAATGATGGCGATGAGCCAGCCGAGGCCGAGTGCAGCGGTACCACGTCGTTCCAACATGTTGAGGCCGTCACTGATGCCGCCCTCGGAACGAGCAAATGTGTTGTCCAGCATCGTCATAGCTTCGTCCATCCAGGTCCTGTAAGGGGGGTTGTCGATATCAGCATTAGCTAGAGTCTCTCCCCCCTTTTTCCACCAATACGGGAAAATAACGGTGAGAAAGGAGTGACTGTTCTGGCATCAAAGCCGCCTTTGTGATATAGCTTCCTATGTGATATGCTGTCGATGTAGGATGAGTGAAAGGGAAAAGGAGCGTGGGAGCAAAGAGCTGCTACACAACGTTTAGCCTGTCATATTTTGCGCCATTGCTCATAAAAACAGCGGCTTCTGTTATGCGTGTATGGGAGTGTAATTTCCATTGCAATACCATAAGGAATGTGTTGCCGGGTGTGATGCATTCCAGCCAGCCTGTACCGCCAGCCACCAAAACGGCATCTTGGCTGCGAATAAAGAGGCACTTTCTAGAAATGCATCACTCACAATTAATCATTCTTCTTATTTCTTTATAGGAACCGGTTTATTTTTGGCTCGTACTAACCGGCAGGAGAATTAAGGGCAGCTTTGCAGGCGTTCGATTTGTGTTGGCAATCCAGCATGTGGGGGTCCCGTGGGCCCGTTGGTCCGGCCCGGACTACACAGATCACAAACACCAGTCATTTCAGTGTCAAACACGTGGCTGCTTGGGGCTTGTTAAATCCTATGATATCAAAAAGAATTGCATAGCATCTCTGCCTCTATGAAAAGAAAAAAAAGAAGAACCTTCAAGACAGAACGTTGTCTAAATCATGCCAACTCGAAAGCCGTTCCAATTTCCGGAACCTGTCCAGATTGTCAAAAATCCCCCCCGAAATCAAATTGCAGCCTTTAGTATGTGTAGTTTCATATCAACTCTGACTTTGTACTTAGCTCCTACGGGCATGGCCGTGGAGATGGGAACGACGACGCTGGGCAGCATCGACAGTCTTGGTGGCGGTGGGCTCTGCAGTCTCCGTGACAGTAACGATCTCCTCTTGCCAGAGAATCTTGCTGACAGTGTTGCCGTTGGTAATGTACTGTGTGCTATAGAAGCTGGGCTCGGGGGTGGCAGAAGGAGCCCCAGTAACGGCAGCGGAGGCGGGAACGGGCGCTGGGGCAGTCGTTGGGGCAGGGGTGGCCGCAGAACCAGATTCAGAATCAACCTGCTTGAAAACTTGGCCAGGAAGGGGCGAAGCAGAGTTGGTCGGCTTGTCACCGGGAGTGTAGCTCAGGGTCGGCTTCGAGGCTGTGGAAGAAGGAGCGCTGCTGCCAGTTTCAGGTAGCGAGGGTTTGCCATGGTCGCCAAAGATGGAGAGGCCACCGGGAAGGCTGGCCATGGGACCGAGGATGTCCTTGATCTCAGCAGCCAGCTTCTCGGGGAGGGACTTCTGGAGCTTGCAAGAGGTAGCGGTGCCCTGGTCAACAACGTTGAAGAGAGGGCAGTCCTCAATACGACCAGAGGGATTGGTGCAAGTCTGGACAGCCTGCTGGAGGAAATCGCGGTCCCAGCCCATCATGAAATCAGCATGGTAAGCGTAACCTAGCCATGTTAGCAAAATGCGACTTTACAAGGAACTAGTTGTAATCATACCCTCGGTGTCGCCGTTAGAGAAGACGAAGCGACCGTTGCGGCCCTTAAAGGGAGCGACAGACCAAATCGTCTCAAACATGAGGGACGGAACGCGGGTCTGGAAACCATCGGGGCAGGTACCAGTCATGACTAGGTCAGGATAGGCCATGTGGGACTTGTGGTCGGCGGCGTCAGTATTCTTGCCATCCCAGCACGAGGGGAACATGATTTCCAGACGAATACCATCCTTGCAGTTGGCATCGAGGTAGGCCTTGTCAGGCATGTAGTGGCGGTAGAGAGTGCCCTCGGGCTGCTTGTCGTAGTTGAGACAGTTGAAGCCAAGAGCACGCTGTTCAAGAATGCTCTGCTTGGTCTGTCCCATGGATTTCCAAAGAGACTTGTCGGGGTCAGCCTGCTCAGGGTTACCGGCAGTGTAAGCACGACGGGTATTGGAGCCCGCAATCATGCGGAAGTCGTCGGGGAAAGCAGTGATGTTGTCTCCATAGAGGAGGTAGTAGGCCAGCATTCCGCCCACCTGGGTGACGAGCTCGAACTTTCCAGTGTCTTTATCCTCAAAGTATAGTGAGGGCGACCAGTAGGCAGACTTGTCTTGGGTGACACGGCAAGAAGTGCAGTCGCCGGCCTTGAGGGCAGCACCGTCGGCAGAGGCGGAAAGACCTGACGCTAGTTAGACTGCAAATATGTGATGGTCGCATCTGCCGAGCATTTTCCAGCCGAGAAGACTTACCAGAAGAGCCGTGAAGAGAGTGCGCGTGGGCAGAGACGTCGTTGTGGTTGACGATAGGGTCAATACGGGCGACATCGAGACGGCCAGGGCACTCCATGCGCCAGAAGGCGTTGGCACTGCCAGCCAAGGCAAGCAGTACAGCGGGAGTAATCTTGAACATTGTGAAAATATCCAAGCGCAGGAACTGCTTTCAAACGCAGCTAATTTTTGTCAAGGAGTGGACGACGCGAGGAAGCAGTCTGAGACGGGGTGTTAGTGAGATGGAACTCGAGAGAAAACGACGACTAGTTGATGGGATGCATTTGGGAGATTGCGGGAAACAATGGCAAAAAATGATGATAAGATGAAGGGCAGTGGAGGGGGTGTTTGTATGGGAAACAGATGCTGGCAGGTGGCAACGTAAATGCATTGCCAGGCGAGGCAGGCGGCAGGCGGCAGGAGGCAGTTGTGAGCTGGTGGTGTTGAGTGGCTGGTGAGTTGGGGCTGATGATGGGATGCATGAAGGAGGTAGACTGGCGCGCGGCAGCAGCAATGAAACGGCGCTTCATGTTTGAATTCGATAGCATTTCTGAAACTGGAAGTCGCAGTTGCCAAATGCCCCGAAGGCAGTTGAATCAAAAACTTCTGCCATCACGCCTCCCATGGATCACGTACAGCCAAATCTATGCTCGCTGCCATGCCATTGTCGCGTAGTGGGAAGGTGGGGCGTTTGCCGCAGGGCGGGAAAAGATCGAAGGGTGTAAACGGGCGCAAACGACTTACCAGGCTCACAATCGTCCAAAATATTCAACAGGTTTCCGAAGAGAAATCGAATTCAAGAAAGAGCGAGAAGAAATTATTCTCTATTGAAGAATTCAACTTCTTTTTAAAAAGGGAGCGTCGAGTCGGGCAACTATGCAGTTACGTAGGTACTCCAACCTCTTGCGCGGACTGAGACTTGGCGAATTCCAGTGCGAGGCCGAATGCTGTGTGGCGAGAAGGACCCCCGATTTTTAACTGGCGAGGTACAGAGCGCGTAGATTGAGAAGAGTGGTCAGCTGAGTCGGTTCGGAGAAGCCGATTAAAGAGAAAAGAATTCGATTCGGTGGTTGGATCGGAAAGTCGGATCGCCGCGGCTTGGTGCTGGTATTGTATATCAACGCAAGCTGGTGAGGGGCGATGCTGCAGCTTTAAGAGAGACGGCCGTTCGAGTTCTTGACAAATAGCACGAAATGATCAAGGATGATCAGCTTTAAACACAAAAAAGTTTTGCTTGATTGCACAACAGTCTGGGTGGGCCGAAGCAATCAGGGAATCGAAGTCGTGATACAGGATCAAGGTTGCTCAAAAAAGGCTGGGGCGGTCGAAAAGTGAAGGAATGTATACGGTCAGAGTGTTGAGTTGGCGAAAAGGCGACCAAAAGTGAAAAAAAGAGTGTGGGCTGAAGATGTTGCTTTAAAGGAAGGGAAGGGGAAGAAGAAGAAAAGAGTGATACAATTGTCGAAAGGACTCTTGCGGGTGGAAGAGGAGAAGAAAGGGAGCAAGGGCAGGAGGGGAAGGACAGTCAAATGAGGGTATAACTGGCCTGGCAAACGGGCGAATGGCAAACGGGCGGCGCAAAGAACCGCTTGGCTGGCTATCTAGCTGGGGGCCTTGAGGGGAATCTGAGGGGCCCTGGAGGTACCTGAAAGTACCCTGGCAGGTCCAGGAACAATGGCAGGCCAGCAACAGAACAAGCGAGTTGGATGAGATGAGCGGAGATCGGGTGGGGAGAGAAACGACATTTTACAGTCATTTTATTCAAACCTGATTCTATTGTCTTATTTCGTATGATGGCCATTTTATTGTCCTTTGTTCTCCGTGCCCAGCTACCACCTCCCTGGGTAAAGGGCAGCCATCAAGCCTCTACCAAGACCATCATGACGCCCTCCGTTTGCCTCGCCGTCTCAAAATTATTAGAAATAAATCTCGCGACTTATTTTATTTCTTAATTTACTTAACCGCTCCCCAGCCCCTTATCCTAACCAGTCTGCTTCCGCCGCTGTTGATCATTCTTTCATCGCCGCCCACTTATTCTTCGCTGGGGACCACCGCCGCCAAGTATGACGACCAGCTCATAATATTACCCAGGGTTCCAAGGGGTACCGGCCAGGCACACATTTTTCTCTTTGCCAACGCCACTGGTATTCTACCAGTAGCCACTGGCGCCCAGCCTATCGTCTCGCGGGTTTCACGGCAGCAAGTCGACTGAAGAGGAGTGGTGGGTGGGCGAGAATGCGGCACGACCTGCGCCGGCGTACTGGCTTAAACCTCGAGCCTGTGCGCATCAGCCCAGGTACCGTGGACAATGATCGGCGGGGGAAGGCAGTAGGGCGAAACGCGGGCAAAAGTTGCCCTCCATCTTTTCTCGCATCAGGGGCCATTTGGTGTTCTGAATTGATTGGTAGGCATCGCGTGGCAGCTCTTACCAGTGGTACCAACCCAGGTCAGGTAATATCAGCAGAGGCACCGAAGTCCAATGTTCGGGTTCGGTGGGCCGAGAGAAAAAGCCACTGCGCTTATAAGAACAGTCCCTGCAAAGAACGCCTTGGAGCGGTCAATGCCACTGTCGACTTTGGAGCCTGTCAGCGGCCCGGCATTGACTGAGGTCGGGAATTTGGGTTGGGCTATCGAACGGTTGTTGGGCCGTATGACAGTACAAGTCTGATATCGGCTGCGTCCATGGAATCCATCGTCATATCATAGTGAGTTGGACTTTTTTTTCAACGTAAGAGAAAAAACAATATTACATTCAACGCGGCACTGAAGTGCTTAGACCAACTTACACAACGTAGGACGACTGCCTGATGTTTAAGATGGTACGATGCAAGTTAACTTATTATTATAGAGCACCCAAAGACGAGCTGAGCCTAAAATCTCCATTCAAGTGGTCAGTTATAGTTAATGTATTTGCTTCACTTTTCTTTTCTCCCTTCCTCTCGAGTCCCCGCGCTACAAACACTGACCAACCCCAAAACAGATAAATCGCCAAGCCTTGCTCTGCGAAGACTGGCAAAGTGGAAATGGACAAATAACGACGCTTCTTTTTTTTCTCCGTGGCATTTGAACAATGCTTGTCCTTGTCGTTGTTAATATTGTCGGCCATTTGATCAAATTTATGCCGTACCGACAAGTACCTTCCCTCCTGTTGCTAGAGTGGATCCCCATCCCGTACCTGCAGGGACATGAAACGCTTGCAAGACAGGGACCCGCTGCAAATCAGCCAATCATCGCCACGAATCTACTCGAACGGGCGGTCCCCTCTTCTGCTGCCCCACATTGCGCCTACCCCTGGCATTGACCAGGATTAAATCAAGGGTGGCTGATCTTCATCCCTCCCCTGAAAGGCCGCGCTACGTCATACCGATGGTCTCTGCAGTGCAATCTTCGTCTTCTGACCTGTTTTTCACCCGGACAAGCGATGCCGTATGTACAAGTTGTTTCCCCAGCTTCTCCAGTCACCCGTCTGTGCTTTTAACCAGCATTGCTATTTGTACAGATGACCATCAAATTCGAAATGGGGCTGGCCGCCTTGCCAAGCCCATCAAGTGTAATCTGTCAACTGTATGAATATTGGGTACCGGACAAGACGATACGGAAATCGAGGACAAGGTTTCTGTCATACTCAGTATTACGAAGTACACGGTACAGATCACTCCGAACGAATACAGTCTGCGGATACTTTGTACAGCAGGTTGTACCTCATCCTCTGTCTCCCCTCTCTTACACCCATGTAATACCCCGTAAAAAATATGATCAAAGGAAGAAATAGAATCCGTTTTCACGAGCTGCTTCCCCATCTCCGTCCATATAGGAAATGAGACATCTACACACGCTCCATTATTTGTTTATTACCATCTCTTTTCGTATCGTAATTCTTCATTGTTCCCCTACTGACACGCGTCTCTTTAATACTGAGAGGGGTGCCGAGCAACCGAGCAACCGAGTAACCTCACGATTTCTTAGAACACAGAAAGGGGCAGAAGAATCACTGTCACCATCGGGCCACTGTCTCAACTCCTCTTTTTATTTCCATCGCGTCTGGCACGTCCCAGTTTTCGCCACCCGACCAAGTCAGCATACCTTGGCACGAGAGCACTACTAGTAGATACTTAAACTACCACAAAGCGCGTCGCATCACCATATTCCAAATCTTCACAGCAAGTCATTTAGTTAATAAAGAATAAGAGCCCATCAACTCCCATCCCATCATCCTCATACTTCCTTTTCTTTGGCCCTTGCGTAGTGCTTCGCTTCCTCTTCCGTGTCCACATAATGCAGTCAAAATCATCCACATTGCCTGGCTGCGCCCCGGGACCCTGCAAATAGTTAATCTCGGCCCCCGTCCCTCGTGCGGGTTGCGCTCCGGTGCAATTTATTAGCACAGCGAGGTTTTCGGACAATGTCCTCTTGGCGAAGCAGGGGGTACGTACGTCTTTTTCCCTTTTCACATGCGCTGCCGTGAGTGCAGCTGAGACCCGCTTCACGATGGCCTCACTTCAGCTTCACTCGTATACAAAACAGCCAGAAAATGGCGTAACCTATTCCTTCCTACCACGGAATTATCCCGAATAATATGTACCATTTCGCAGCCCCGCCAGGCGCCCTGATTGGTATCGTTTAGCGCTCATTTCACTGTACTACTTGTCAGATTGTGTCGAGTAGTATGGTATAGGGTAGCTCCGCGTGCAAGTCGCGTCGGCCCTCGTCAATTTGCAAGCATGTGGCAAGCTCAAGCTTTCATAGAAGCAGTGCTGTCCCCTGGGTCTTCTACTGCATCACCATGCATGAAGAAATCTCCGTGCCATCTACTGAGATCTTTCGCTTCGCTTTGCCTTCGGATCTGCGACCTCTCGTGTCTGATCCCCCTTCCGCCTTACAATTTCAAAACTAGACTCAGCCTTCTACGATAAACACGCCCACCAATAGGAAATCAACTCAAACTGTATTCTGATCTAATATATCCTCTTATATAATCGTGTATCTTATATAATCTCATATATTCAATCCGCAATCCTCCCTCGGCCCTCCTCGTGACAGAGCGGTTTTATCGCGCAATTGTTTCAGCCAAGCATTTCAGTTATAACACCCAGCATTGCGATGTATTCGCCAGACTACCACACAAGTCAACAGAAAGCACGTGATATCGATGGGTTGCTTATAAAATCTCACAGTTGTACAGTAAAATCCTGTAATCGTCGCCTCCGGCGGGATTGGCACGGTCACCGGCGTCACAATAGTTCGATACCTGCACTCGCGCTCGCGCCGAAAGTGATGTGACCGTCCGCGATTCGTAAAGACCTGACGAAGTAGTTAGCAAGTTACCCACGAGGCGCTGCATGTAGCATCGGAGACTTGCCTTGAAAGAATCCAACAGGGTTCTGAGGTGGTTGCTCTCCACGCTGCTGTCGCTGTCTTGGGTGTAATCACTGTCCTGGGTGTCGTCTCCGTCTTGGGTGTCGTCTCTGTCTTGGATGCCGTCTCTGTCTTGGTTGTAGTCTATGTCTCGGTTGTCGTCTATGTCTTGGCTGTCGTCGATAGCCACGCCTTCTTCGTGCTCCAGGTAAAGCTCCACGCCCGTGATGCGCTCGCCGCCTGGGCCGTCAATGTAGAAGTGCTGCATAGTAGCACAGTCCGAGTCTGGAAACACGCCCAGGTCTTCACAGGTGTCGACGTAGTCGAGATGGCCGGGCGCAAATTCGAACTCGAGCCCGGACGGCCCCAGCAGCATGTACGCGTGAATGCCGGTTAGGTAGGTGAGGCTCTGGCCCCTTGTGCCGCCAAACACGCTTCGATGGATTGGGTCATACCAATCGCTGTAAGCGCTGTAGCCGGGAGCGCTGGTGTACTCGACGCCAAAATTGCTGATGGCGACGGTGGTATCGTTGAGCTGCAGCGAGCTGTCTGGGATACTCTTCGCCCATAGACTACCGTTGCGTAACAACATAGGCGGCCAATCTGTTGCTAAGACACTGAGACTAACGATCTTGCAACCCTATACTCTGTTTAGCAATGAAATGAAACACAAATTTGCAAATGGAGCGCTTACATCAACTTTGGCCGTCATCACTGAAAGCCTTCCGGAAGATACCAGCCTGCTAGTCTGCGCGGTGTCGGCAAGGGATCCAATCCAGGGTGAATGGCTGCCATCACCAAAGACACAACGGACGGCTTTGATGCCCTTCTCAGTCAGAGCCAGACACAAGCCGGCCAAATGACCCCCGGAGACGGGAACAGGAATCTCATGGCCCATGTATCCAAACTCCACGACAGTTCCACACATTCCCACCACCTTCAGGCCCGCCAAGTATTGAGCATCCCCGATCCAGCTGAAAAAGAAGGAAACTCGTTCAATCAAAGGCGGGAGTGCAACCGGCCAGCTGCCGCGAATAGAAACGCAACCATCAAAAAAGCCCATGTATGGATGCGCGGGGTTCCATCTCTGCACCTTGGCCGCGGCGATGCGCCAAGTACCCAGCCTCAGCGTATCATCGCTCGGCAGGATGGCAGCCGCCCTCGGCGTCATCAGCATCTTGGCGTTCAGGGCCAGCAGCCACACGCGCGCCCTGTTGTGCATGGCCGACGAGCGGAAGGCGGGACTCGTGAGACGCCACAGCCGTCGCCAGTCCGTAGCCGCCCGGTCCCAGGTGCGCGCCTCGAAGAGCCAGCCGCGGTCGGTCCAGAAGCCCGCGAAGCGCGTGGCCCAAAACACCTGCTGGTGGAACATGGGGGCGAAGTGCGGCGACGCGAGCCGCAGGCTGAGGAAGTCGCGCGTCGGGAGCAGCGCGGCGATGGCCACGCGTAGCTCCTCCGGCAGCGACGCGAACGGGTCGTTGCTGAGACGCGTCGTCCAGGCAGCCCTCGTCACGAGGGCACCGGGCATCATCTGCTGCTTCTGCTGCTGCTGCTGCTGCTGGCGCGGCGGCGGCAGATTCTCGCCGGGCCAGATGACGCAGCGGCGGCTGGCGAGGCGAATCCTTTCGAGATCGAGCAAGTCGAACGGGTCCAGCTTGCTGATGCGAGTGATGCAGAGCGCGTGGTGGATCGCGTTTGGCTTGCCGACGTTCACGCAGCGGTCATCGTCAGGGTGCTCAACATCGAGACCGCCGTAGTGATGGCCCCAGTCGGGCGAGAACTCACAGTTCCTGATGGGAAATGACTTGCAGATATCGAGGAGCCGTTCCAGAGGCACCGGCGCGGGAGCCATCGCCACTTCTAGCAGCGACCAACACGCTTCATGGAAGGGAACTCCCCAGCGGTCGTACCTCGGTCTCTGACGCAAAACACCGATGCGATGGTCCTCCGGCCCGTTGTAGCCGTCATCATCCCAACGATCGTTGTATTCCGGCGGCGCGACCCAACGGTCAAAGGAGCCATCCCTGTAATAACCAACACCAGTTATGAAAACCTCGCCGTGGAGTGAATACACTGTTTACCATGTTAGAACTGCGTGTAAGTGGTGGTTGAAAAACTTACAGATACGAAACTGGTTGAGCCAAGTCGGGGCATTTCTGATTTGGCTGTCAAAGATCGTGCGCCCGCAAAGCAGGCAGGGAGCGATATAAACGATGCTACTCATTTTCACAACTTTGAAGAATTGTGAAAAGATTTGTGATTTCACGAGTCCCTCGAAGAGAATAACAAGTACTAAATACTGTGCATATATGAATGCACCCGTGTGCGACGAGCGACTGCTGTCGCACAATGGCTCTGCTGAACCTTGAATCATCGAGATACAGCGACGGTTTACATATATAGGTACTGTGATTGCGGGTGTTGCCCAAGGACAAACCTTTTGCTCTCTCAAGCAACGTACTTACCATGGCATCCGAAGTATCCTTGAATGTGGCAGCTGTCCTCGACCTGGCCGCGAGTCTACGACCCGGGCCCTGCACCGCCTGCCAGGTCATGGGAACGCCACTCTACGGCAGCTTCAACAAGGTGCTCATTGTGAGATTTGACGATGGTCTTAAATGGATTTTTCGCACGCCGAGACGCGACAAGAATGGGCAGAACCTGCCTCCCCGGCTGCTGAAGGCACTGATAGGCAGCGAAGTGACGACACTCAACTTTCTCGCCCGCCACAGCACTGTACCGGTCCCTCGAGTACTCGCCTATAGGTGCGTTAGGGAAGAAATGTCGTTATGGCTTTGGAATCGTTGCTGAGCGGATGGTAGCACTACCGACTTGAACAGCGTGGGCGTTCCTTACATCCTCATGACTTGTGCGCTTGGGCAGTCCTTTTCGGCATTTATGCGCCGTATGCAAAATGCTAGCTCAAGAGACAAGTTGCATGCGACAACAAAGGTCATGAAACAGCTGGGTGAGATGTGCTTTGAAATGTCGAAGCTCCGATTTGAAAAGATTGGCTCTATCCAGGAACGCGATGGCCGCTTCGGACTCGGAGAGATGCACGCGCCAGCGTTTATTTTCCAAGACCGTCACAGTATTATCATGGATCGCGGCCCCTTCTCGAGGGAGCAGGACTACTATAAAGCCTTGAGCAAGGCTTTTTTTGGACATGTCCACGGCCTCTCCATGAGCCATCACTTTTTCTGGGGACCCTTCCCTGAGTTACCGGCTTACCCAGACCCGGAGAGTCACCGGATCATCTTGGATCGCTGGAACGACTTCGTGACAGTCGACGACAAGATCGAGAGCAGCGAAAACCGCGTCCAGTACCACACTGCGGGCACGCTGGTGGAAGACATTATTCCCCAGCTCTGCGCATCGCAAACCGGCATGGGGTTTCCGCTTGGCCACGCTGATCTTAGCAGCAGCAATATTTTTGTTGACGAAAGTTGCAACATCACTTGCATCATTGACTGGGAGTTTGCTTCAACCATGCCGCTTGGGCAGTTGCTTACTGCACCCGGGCTGCCGAACCAGCGACGGCTGCCCTCGGCCGCAGAGCTTGTGGCCTTCCGAACTGGCTTTGAAGCTGCGGCTGGGAATACCATCGTCGAGCCCCGGATCCCGTGGATCTTGACCGACGTGCTGTGGCATTACATGCGATGGGTCCATCTTGACACGGGCGACGATTACCGCCACTTTGAGGCGCTTTTCAGCCTGCACCCCGAGTTTGCCGCCCGGGATCCTCTGCTGATCATTGACGAGCTGCAAGGTAGCGTTGATATCCAAGAGGCGAGGCAGTACCTCAAGGCGAGGGAGCGCGAGCCGGACGAGATCAAGCGCGACGAGGACTGGTACTTTGGGGTGACAGACGAGGGCCCAAGGCAGCGCCGCATTGCAGAAATACTGACGAAGAGATTTTGGTTGAGGCGTCAGATCCTTGGGCCGAGGTTTTGGATGGAAACTTTGCGGGAAGATTTTCGAGACCCTGAGGAGTCTTCAGGCAGGTCGAATTCCGATTCGCGGATGCCAGACGGCGCGTAATGGCCTACATTTCAACACCGCGAAACAGACGGAGTAGGAAGGATGTGTGACGATTGGGGATCATTGTCAGGGTTTGATCATGTAGCAATTGATTATTTTGTTCAAATTAATGCAAACACGCCGTATTGTTACCCAATGCGTCATGTGATTGCGCCACAGTGCATGCGCGCTACTTGAGGCGCATACGAATTATCTTCGGTAGTGTGGCGCAGGCACCTTGTGGAACCAATGACAACCTTCGAAACTCCAGGCGACATTTGAGAAAGGACAGCATACCTTGTCATGCTCGCGTGCCAGTCTTTACGAGTGCCCAATATAATACCCCGATAGACGAAGAGCCCCTTCGATATGGATGACCTCTCTGGTCTCGATTGGTCCAAGCCCAGCGGTGGGCAACCGCCAAAAGCTGCGCCCATGACCAGCAACATGGCGTACCCATCTCTGCGACCGAGCCCCTCGCCTTTCACGTCGGGGCGTAACACGCCCGCGTCTACGCAGGGTACCGGAAGTAGCCCATTCGCGAATCCGCCGCAACCGCAGCCTCAACAACAAGCCAAGGCAACCCAGGACAGCTTCAGCAACCTGGCGCGCTTCGGCCCCGCCAAGACGTCCCAGAACCTGAGCCTCGCCGAGCGCCAGGCGCAGCTCGAGGCCGAGAAGCGCAAGAAAGAGGAGGAGAAGCGCAAGCTGACCGAGGCACAGTTTGGGAACGGGCAGCAATGGGACATGCTCGGGTCGCGCGGCCAGGCTCCGAGTCCGGGGCTGCAACCACCCCTCGCGGCACAGAGCTCCAGCCACGACGGCGACGACAACGACCTGTTTGCCGCGTTCAACAAGGATACCAAGGTCGACAACGCCAGCCACTTCCCACCGCCGGAGAAAGAGACCTCTACGAGGACGGAACAGAGGCCCCTTGACCTCTCGAATCCTAATGCATGGAGTGCGTCGGGCTCGGACCTGGCGGCTTTTCCGGCCGACGACGATCCGTTTGGCCTGAGCGAATTTAAATCCAACGGTGCCCCGGCGGCAGCGACGACATGGCAGACGAGAACACAGCCTGACAACGACGACGATTTTCTAGGCGATCTAGGCCGGCCGGTGGAGGAGGTGCGCGCCAAACAACAAGTTGCCCCGCAACGTGGCGAGCCCGGAAAGCCAATTGAGGATGGCGACTCAAGCTCTTCCGATGACGACGAGCCACCTCGGAGACCGCAACACGATGCCCGCCGGCCAAATAATGGCGGTGACGCCGAGTTTGACAGCGCCGTGGCTCAGCTTGTGGACTACGGTTTCGCGCCGGAAGATGCGCGCCGCGCCTTAGTCGAGAGTGGTGCTGGTACAAACGTCCAGCAAGCCGCCAACTGGCTGCTTGACGAGGCGCACCGGAAGTCGAAAGCGAAGGCGCAGGGACGACCCTCGTCAAACAACTCGAACCGTTCGGAACGCCGGGAGCAGCCAACGCCAGGACGCAGCGAGCCCGACTTTGCCAAGTCGGCGGCCGCGGTTGGGAGCACTCTGTTCAAGACGGCCAATTCGCTGTGGAAGACGGGCCAGAAGAAGATGCAGCAGGCTGTCGCAGATTTCCAGCAAGAGGGCGGTGGTGATCCCGGCCAGCCCAAGTGGATGCGGGATGCCCAGGCAAAGCAGGCACGAGGCTCGACGAGAGAGGAGACCAATGCGACTGACGAGGCAATGATGCTGGAATCTGGCGGACGGCCAAGACCAGCCAAAGACAAGGGGCCTCGAGGGACGCCGGATGCTACAAGAAGCTCCTCGCCCGCGACTTCGTCTGCAGGCCAGAGTCGGAGTGGCTCTGTGCCCAGGTGGCAGCAACAACAAGCTGCGCCTCCTTTGGTGCCGAATGCACGATCACGACTTAACCGCTTCGCGGACGACGATGACACGTTCGCCATTAGCTCGAGTAGAAGACGCAAACCAGCGTCTCCTGCGGCGGAACCGGTCAAGACACAACCTGAGCAGGATCTGCTGTTTGGCTCCGAAGCACCAAGGCAACCGAGCCGTCCTACGCCGCCTCCTCAAAGCGCGCCACCGACGAAGAAACCACAATCCAACCCTACGCCTGTGCGTAAGGCAACGCCGATACCCACCCGCCAAATACCTTCCATTACGCCCTCAGCGATGCAAACTTGTACAAAGCATCGCCTCGAGGGAACGGCGCATTTCAAGCGCGGAGACTTTGCGCAGGCACATGCATCTTATTCATCCTCTCTCGCCGCCGTGCCGTCTACGCATCCTCTTGCAATCATTCTCCTCACAAACCGAGCGTTGACAGCTTTGAAAACAGGCGAGCCCAAGCAGGCCGTGACAGATGCAGACAATGCCATCAGCATTATAGGGCCAGGAAATGGCCAGGGAGAGACTGTGGCTGTGACCGGAGATAATGGCCAGGAAGAGAACCGTGATATGCGCGACCTGTACGGCAAGGCGCTCAGCCGCAAGGCCGAAGCCCTGGAGCAGATGGAGAAGTGGGGAGACGCCCTCACGGTGTGGAAGCTGGCGGTGGAAGCTGGTCTCGGCGGCGCCACGGCCGCCAAGGGCCGCCAGCGATGCCAAGCGGCGCTGACACCCAAGCCCAAGGCCGCGCCGCCCAAGCCCGCCGCCGCACCGAGGCCACGCCCAGCCGCATCGGCGGTGGCTAGCCTGCAGCCCCCAAAGGACTCCGCGGCCGTCACGCGACTCCGCGCGGCTAACGAGGCGGCGGCCAAGGAGGACGACGAGAAGTTCGCGCTGTCGGAGCAGGTGGACGCCAAGATTGCGGCATGGCGCGACGGCAAGCGCGACAACCTCCGCGGCCTGATTGCGAGCCTGGACCAGGTGCTCTGGGAGGACAGCGGGTGGAAGAAGGTGGGCATGCACGAGCTCGTCATGGCGAACAAGGTCAAGATTTCGTACATGAAGGCGATTGCCAAGACGCATCCTGACAAGGTGAGCATTGACTGGTGGTCGTGGGGGGGCCAGTGTTATTGTCGAGTATACTAATTTGCTGCTTTAGATTGCGCAAGATGCCTCGACAGAAGTGCGCCTGATTGCGGGATCGGTGTTTAGCACGCTCAATGAGGCGTGGGACAAGTTCAAGGCGGAGAATGGACTATGAGACATGACAGCATCATTTACGGGAGCAACTTTACATTAGACAGGGGAGAGCACAAGGAGTATGATGAGGAAGGGTTGTAATTATGTTACGCTTGGAATACATAGAAAGACAACAAAGACGAGATATAGATATTGGTATAGCTGGCACCAATTTCGGCAGTTTGACAGGCGATGCTGCCATGTATCGAGCATAGCGAGGTGCCAACATTGAGACGCAGGGAACGGTCCGGAACAGGCGGCCACGGGACCGAGAGGGTCAATAAAAATAGTCTATTCAAGTAGAGGGGTATTTCGTCGACGTCGTGGAGGAAGTGTAAAAGAATATATGTACTGGCGAGGGCGAGGGCGCTACAGGCCCAGGCTCCGGCGGACGTTCTCGCGGACGACGTTTTCGTACTCGGCCCTGCGCTCTCTCCACATCTTGGCGGCCTCAACATTCGCCGGACTCTCATCGTTGGGCTCCGCGAGCATGCTCATCACCGAGATGAGTATCTTCTCCACTGACTGGATCGGCGACCAGCGCTCCGAGGCGTGCTCGTAGTGGTTGGGGTCGTCGCCGGGCGGGTGCAGGATGGAGATGCAGACGAGGCCGCTCGAGTAGACTGCGACAGGCCATTAGTGATTTCAAACGGGAAGGAAAGAGAAGAGGAGGACTTACCGTTGGGGTGCCAGAGGTCGCAGAGGAAGCGCATGGTCGGGGGCGCGAGCGGGTAGTCCTTGGGGAACTTGAGCTCGGCGGGGAAGACGCCGCCCTCGAAGGGGGTGCCCTCGGGGCCCTGGATGAGGCACTCCCAGCGCAAGATGTCGTCCTCGGAGACGGGGCCGGCGGTGATGCCGTCGGGCGGGTTGTTGGTGAGGGCGCGGTACTCTTGGAGCAGGCGGCGGTGGGCGGTGGTCTGCGCCATCGGGGGAGGGCGGGGAGGTTTATGGATGCAAGGGGTACAGTAGTGGCAGAAGAGGAATGGCAATGGGGTTTTGTGATGATGATGGATCAAAGCGGCCGGCTTTTTGGGGGGCGGGGGGGGGTTTCGGGAATGGTGGCGGTTCGGCGGGGGTGGGAAGGTCAAGGTGGGGGAATTGAATTGTCACGTCGAGCACCCACTTTTATACGCGCAATAGTGTATATAGAAGGCCATTATAATAAGGGCCTGATCATGAGTTTCCAAACTATCTAAATATAGGGATTTTTAACGTAAGTGGGCTAGGGTAGGTACCTCTACTAGTGAATTATACAGTAGAAGTACCTTTTTTTACCCCCTATTCCTAATTATATAAGTAGTCCACTATATTTTAACGCCTAAATTATAAGGCAACTAGTAGACCCTCTTTATTAGTATTATATTATATATTATTTAGCTTATTAGGTTTAAATTTATTATCTTTAGTAGGTCTTATAGTGTTAAAATAGCCTCTTAGGGAATAGACTAGTTAGCTTTAAGCTAGGCTTTAGCAGTGGTAGAGGCTTTAGAGCCTATAGAGGCTTTAGCGGCGGTAGAGGCTTTAGTGGCGGCGGCGGCGGTAGAGGCTTTAGCGGTAGTGGCGGTAGTAGTGGCGGTTAAAGAGGCTTCTTAATAGTTAGAATTAAGTCTCTAGGCCTATAAATATAGTACTTTTAATAGTAAAGAAGTAGCCTCTTTAATTAGTATATAATAAATATTTTAGACTAATAATTATACTATATACTTATTATAATATATAATTAAAGTCTAACTTAATTAATAAGTTATTATTAATAAGCTATTATCCTAGGCTATAATCTTTAAGTAGATTATACTTAAATTTAATACTTAATTCTTTAATAATTATATTAAGATTTAAAAGCTTTAATAAAAGCTAGATAAGATTAGGGGGATATTCTAAGCCTATTTAAACACTAAATTAAGGTTTAGAATATTATATAATCCTATTATGTAACGGTGGCTCTTCTCTAATCCACAGTAAATCTGTTTCTTAGGAAGTGAGTCAGGTTGAATGCACCACAGGTGCAGATGAGCAGTATCGTAGCTTGAGTCACGTTTAGGAGATTACTCCCAATAGTAGAACTATTGCTTAGATTGATCAGTAGAGATCTAGTCTGGCTATCTACTGGGAATCCCCTTCCCTATATACCCTTCCTATCCTCTACTGTGCTACCTGGATCACTGGCTCACGCTGAGGTCGTGATCCTTTCTTGGCTCACTGGCTCACGGTGAGCCCGTGAGCCTATCGTGGTCACGTGACTTTCTATCCTGATCGGGCGTCCTGCAGGCGTCCCGCCTGGCCTCCTTCTCGGGCCGCCCTGTGTCACTCTTGTCTGTTCGTAACATATTACTAGTTTTATTAAGACTTTAAATAAGAATTAGTAGGCTATTATCTATATTAAGAAAGAATATAGTTACTAGTTTTAAAGGGAGGGAATCTACTAGCTAGACTTCTATAATATTATATTTTTAGAGACTTAAGTAAAGGCTATATTAGTAAAAGAATTAAGTAAGAGGTTAAGCTAAAGAAAGTAGAATATTAGTAATAATTTAACACTTAAAGAAGTACTTATTAAAGTATTAGTAACTATATAATTAATAAGGTTAGACTTACTTTTACTAAACTAAAAACGAATAGTAAAAAATAGTAGTATACTTACTAGATTCTAACTATTAGACTAGCTAATTAGTGGCTTTATAGAAGGTAGAAAATTAATACTTTAATAGTATAATAATAACCTATTTAAGAGGGTTAATATTAATATATAAGAAAGAATAAAAAATAAAGCTAATAATAATTAAATTAATACTTTTTTAAATACTATAGTAGTTAAAATACACTATCTTAAGTATTATAATAACTCTATAGATAAGTAAAAGAAGTAACTTTTTTAGAGGGTTATTACTAAGGAAAATGAATAAAAAAAATAATAGTATATTAATAGGAAGATAATATAATAATTAATATTATTTTAAGGCTATTCTTAGGCTTCTAGTGGCTTAATTTAATACTTATAGAGGTAATAAAGAGAGGAAGTTAATTAAAGTAAAGGTATTAAGGGTGAATTTAATTAAATTTATTAAAAGGGCCTATTTTTTATATTTTTTAGTAAGTAGATAAAAAATTCACTTTATATTAATAAATATATACTTCTTTATATTTTTATCTATAATTACCCTCTTTTAGTTATTCTTCCTTATTTATTTCTATCTCTTTATTATTATTATTATTATTAACTTCTTTAGTACCTTCTAATTTATTATCTTTATTATTATTAGTCTTACTAGAGGCGTTATCTTTATTAGAATTAGGCTTAAGAAGCCTAGTAGCCTTATAAGCCACTTATAATACTAAGTATTCCTCCTACTATTTATTAACTAATTACTACTTATATTAATAGTTATTATTAATATTAATATATTTATTAGTATAGTTCTTAATTATCTCTATTAGGTTAGATTTTTCTCTTTAAGCCTTATTATCTTTATCTACTTTATTATTTAAGTATTCTATTACCTTTAAGAAGTTCTATAATCCTATATAAGTATAGATAAAGCCTCTCTAAGCCTCCTTACTATATTCTAGAATAGCTAAGTGAAGAATTCTAAACTTCTATTTAATAAATTTAAATACCTATTTAACTATTATTTAAAGGCTTAAGTACTAAAGGTTATATAATTCTTATATATTCTAAAGTACTATTTAACCTCTTTTCTACTCTTAAAGATAATATTAAATACTAATAAATAGTATAAGAAGGCTTAGTGTTACGAATCAAGAATGTATACAAGGCAGCCGGGGAGGCGGCCCAAAGGAGCGACCAGGCGGGCGCCTGCAAGTCGCCTAGATAGGATGCAAGGTCACGTGACTGGATCACCGTGGATCACGGTGAGCCAGAGGTGATCCCACACAAGCATCAGGATCACTTGGATCACTGGTGATCCAGAGTGATCCAAGGAATACAGTAGAGGATAGGTGGATAGAGTAACCTATAATAATATAGTATTATTATAAAACCCTTTAGTACTAGCTAGAATATATAAGAAGGTGCTATTAAGCTTTATAGTATAAAGTATATTCTATAAGATATTTTCTTTTTAATTATAGTACTATTATTAGTCCTTAAGAGGTATAAAAGCTTTAATATATATACTATTAATAGTCTTTATATAATTATAATAAGGCTTTATTAATACTAATTTTAATATCTTAGAGTATATAAATTCTAACTTAAGAAGAGTAATAAAGGTATTAAATAAATAACTAAATACCTCTAATACTTTACTAATAATACTTAATATAGTACTTTAAACTAACTAAAAGAAGTATACTACTATTTACTATATTATTCTTTAGTTAATAATATATAAAAAAATTAGTACTTTTACCTCTAAAGAGAGTCTTTATAAGCCCTTTATTTTTAAATTATTTTATAGTTAATTAATAAGCTAATAGAATTATTTTTAAGGCATTTAAAAGAGCTTAAAGAAGGCCTTCTTATTAGTATATAATAACTCCTATATTTAAACTTCTATAAGTAGAGTATCTACTATAATAACCCTATAATTTATAAGATAAAATTTATATATAAATAATATATAAATTATATTACTAATTATATTATTATAATTACTATTAGTAGTGCTTTCTAAAACACTAATTACTACTTTAATTACTTTATTACTAGTGTTAGGAACTATCTTTTTCCTTAAAGGACTAAATAACCTATTTATTTAGTTAAAGACTATCTAAAAATTATTAAAAAATAGTGTTTTTATACTTAAATACTAAAGTGTATAGATTACCTTCTACTTTTAAGAAAGCTTTAAAGTTAGTATATTTAAAATTTATATAATTTAAGTAGGGATTATTAATTTATTTAAAAAAATTAAAACCTTACCTCTTTATAAGCAAGCGCTATATAAATAACCTAGTTATATATTTAATCCCTAAAAATTTAGATACTTTAGAAACTCATGATTAGGCCCTAAAGAACTAAAAGGTTTAATTATCTCAAAAAGAGCGTAAAATTCCCCTAGAGTAATTTTCTAGGAGTGTAAGAGACCGACTAGTTATCCAAACACCCCCCCCTTTCCAATCGTATCATCAATTTCGTCGAAATATCCCATGGCCGGCTACCTCATACTCAGCACCTTCAAGAGCAAGTAGGTAGCGAGCGCCGAGCTCTCCTTACGCATTGCCGCGGCCCATCTTTGCCTTGATGGCATCCACCGCAGCGCACGTCAAGGCATAATTGTCCTCTACCCAGATCCGGCCATTCCTTTCCTCGTCTGTCAACTTTTGCCCTTCCTTCGTTAGCCAAAAAGGCAGTGGCGTCGGCCGGCCTCCGGCAGCAGTGTCGTCGTCCGCGGCGGCGGGGGTTCGGGAAGCCAAGTCGTGCTCGCGCAGTTTCTCCAACCAAATATCACGGAGCTCCATCGGAACCAGAATCTTGTCCATCCACTTTGTCCTGGTGGCTGGCCTCTTGAGCACCTGCACCGCGCCGATCATGGGCACGCGACCGCTGAACCGGCAAGCGAGGGCCTTCATCCGGACGCCCTCGGCGCGCAGCCAGCGCTCCGCAAGCCGGTCCTCGCTGTATAGGTATCGATCCAGCCGCCAGGCGAGGAGGACGACAGCGAGCAGGCCAAAGGCGTCCCAGCCGCCTTGCGCCGCGACGTACATCATCGTCGCGACCTGCAGGCCGACGAGCGTGGGCAGCAGGGCGGTGGCGGCGGTGGCGGCGGCTGCGCCGTGGTCGTTGCGGCCGAGGGGGGAGGCCGCGCTGATCATGGACTTGTTGAGGAGTCCGTCGACGATACCGCGCGGTCCGGTGTAGAGGTACCACGTGTTCGCCTTAGCGTAGTCGGAGGCGAGCATGTGAGCGTTCTTCATGTTAGGCTGGTTGTTGTTCATGTAGTCCTGCAGGCGCGGGACCGGGATGAGGAGCCGCGCCACGCGAAAAACCGCGCCGATGACGAGCGCCGCGGCGGTGCCGTACATCCCGAAGAGGACGGCGATGACGGAGATGCCGACAAGGCCCAGGAGGATGGCCGTTTCGAGGCCGGCGCGGAGAATGCGGCCCCAAGGGCTCTCCTTGGAGGCCTGGTCCTCGTCAGTGTTTAGAGTGCAGTTGATAATGTAGAGCATCCGCGGACGGTGAGGCCCGTTGCCTTTGACGCCCTTGTCGCTGCGTTCCGTGCCTTGACGGACGTACTTGGCGCGCGCTTCCTCCAAGTTCTGCGGGATGTCAACCTCCTCCGCTGTCCTGACCGCGCGCTGCGTGAGGATATCGCTGGCGGCGCCGTTGGCGCCCTGGCACTTTCTCTTGAAGCCGGCGTTCCAGATGATGCGGCCCGGCTCGGTGACGTACCAGTCCATGTATCTGGCGCCCTCGCGTAGCCACTCGGCCATGCCGCGAAGGACGCCGAGTTGCGGGAACAGGCTCGAGGGGATGCACCCGGCCAGCGCCGTTCGGCCGACTAGTTGAGGCGCCAGCCTGGGCTGGCCGAGGTAGAGTACGAGTGGGATGAGGGCTATCCAGTTGGAGATGATGAGGCCGAACGACGAGCCGAGACAGTTCGTGCCGAAGCTGGCTGGCATTTCTGAGCTCATCCTTCTTGTTGCTTTTGAGAGTGGGAGGATGGACTGGAGATGATGTAGGCTGGAGATGATGTAGGCTGGAGATGGTGTAGGCTGGAGATGGTGTAGGCTGGAGATGATGTAGACTGGGGATGATGAAGGTAGATGAATTAGACTTGCAAGCCTGACGGGCGAGCATATATAGTTGTACATCTAAGAAGTAACACAAAGCAACTGTGGTTGCTCAGGGCCTTGTCGGCGACTCGAGCTGAAGTGGCATTGGCTGGCTGTTGGGCTGAGTGATCAGGCCAAAAAGTCATTGTCCGCAGGTTACATCATGTGTGAGGAAGAGAGAAAACCAGCTCACCTCCGTAAATAGGGATGGCAGGTGAAGATACATGCAACACAACGACTTGCATTACCACTGAAGCCAGCACAAGCCACCTGTGCCACGGCAACAATACCAAGCAGCCAGCACTGTTATAAGAATACTTTTGATTAGACGATATGATTGTCTTGTAACCTGAAGGTTGCACAGGAACGTCAAGATGACGATGATGTTGATTGAGAGTTGAATGAAAACGAGTCTGAAACAGCCACTACTTAACTCGTGAGGGCCTCATAGCTGAAGTGCTTGAGGAACACAGTAGGAAAATTACGTGTACCGAATGGGTGAGATGGGAATTTCCAACTATCATGTACGCTACGAAGCGCCATTTTTTCTTTTTCAATGCATAATAAAACGACTGAGTAGACCCGCGGAATCAGCCTACTCATCCTGCGCCCCATTGTGCGTCTCGCTAGGCTTCTTCTCAACCACTCATCAGCCTGATCTATAAAGGAGGAGTCTAGTGAAAATCCGCGAGCGACCAGACAATTCCTCACCCACAACCCATCAAACCCGCTCCTCAAAATGCCAACCGTGACGCGCCGGTCCCGCATCGTCGGCGCCCTGCTCGGCCTACACGCCGGTGACTCCCTCGGCGCGACCGTCGAGTTCAAGAGCCACGGCTACATCAAGGCTACCTACCCGCCCGGCGACACCCGCCTGCGGGACATCACCGGCGGCGGCGTCTTCCGGTGGCCGCCCGGCCACGCCACCGACGACACCGACATGACGCGCGCCGTGCTCCTCGCCTACCTCGACATCCTCACCGACCCCGCCCACGCCCGCGCGGCCGACGTCGCCGCCCGCGCCGGCCGCTACTTCCTCAAGTGGCGCGCCGGCGACTGGCCCGGCCTTTGCCGAGACGCTCGACCCGGACCGCGCCGGCGCCGGGCCCGGCCGCGCTGGCAACGGCAGCCTCATGCGGTGCCTGCCCACCGGGCTCTTCCGCGCCGGGGATCAGGAGGTGCTGGTGGCGGAGAGCCTCCGCATCAGCCGCGTCACCCACGACGACGCCCTGTGCACCGTCGGGTGCGCCGTGTACAACGCCATCGTCGCGGAGCTCGTGCTGGGCCGCCCGCCGGAAGCCGCCGTCGAGGCGGGCATCCGCCTGTGCCGCCGCCTGGAGCCGGCCCCGCCGCCGGGGGACGCCCCCGCGGAGGCCAAGGCCAAGAGAGCGTCGGTGCTTGGTGCGCTCAAGCTAGGCACGCAGCTGCGCCTGCGGGGGCTCGCGGAGTTTGGCCCCCCGCCGAGCGCGATGCCGGGCGGCTGCGCGGGCTACGTGCTCGAGTCGCTGTCCGTGGCGGTGGCCGCGCTGCTGGACCCGAGATGCCTCGAGGACGTGCTGGTCGACGTGGTGCGCATCGGCAAGGACACGGACACCAACGCGGCCATCGCGGGAGGCCTACTGGGCGCGCGTGACGGCGAGGACGCGATCCCGCGGCGGTGGGAGGAGAAGCTGCAGTTTGGGGACGAGTTCCGGACCATTGCAACAAGAATTCTTCAAAGCCAGAATAAAAAGTAGCCCTTCATTGAGGGGGAAAGGGGTGGTTCTATCGCATTTTATATCGCAGACATATTGCCAACTGCATCCATCATGCATATCTTGTTTCATAAGTGTCCGAAATCAACTAGTAAAAAGCAAACCATGATAATCTCAGGAGAATATCACTTTACGCTGCCAACCCAACTCCTCTACACCCACTCATGCTTCTTTACAGGCCTCCCTTGGCCTTGAGGTCATCATGCGCCTTCTTCTGTCTATCCCAGTTCTTCTTGTTCTGCTTCTGCTGGCTCTTGGGGACGTCACTGCCATCCTTCATTTTAGTCGGCAACCCCTGCTCATCCCAAGCGCTGTAGCGCTCGTCTGTCTTGAACATTTCCTCGGGCGGCATCTTGGCCTTTTCGCGGGCCTCCTGTTCGGCTTTCTCTCGCGCAATGCGCGCCTCCTCCTTCTTCTTTGCCTTTTCAGCAGCAGCGGCAGCCTTTTCCTCGCGCGCCGCAATGAGCTCCGCGGCGGGGATGAACTTGATGAGAGAAGGCTGGTTGTCTGGACGGTCGTCGAGATAAACACCCAGGTTCGTAAAGTCATGGTCACGGATGCGGTCGGTAAGACTAAGAATAGCCTTCTTGACATCAGGAGCTTGAGCAGAAACCACGCGGCGCAGCTCATCACGGAGCTGAGCAGCCACGCGTAGGTAAGGCAGAGACAGCTGCTCGATGTCCTTGGAGCCGCTTTGGGCAATTGCGTCAAAGTCAGTAGTAGGATCCTTGGCAATCAGTGTAGAAATGACCTCGCTATCCAATGACAGCGCCTTTACATCGGCCTTGACTTTGTCCATCATGGACTTGTAAAGCTGAACAGCCGTCTTCGGGTCGACATTATCGGCGATAACGGATGCCCACCCAAGGCCATTATAAGGGGGCTTGGCGTTGGCGTCAAGGCCGAAAATGCCAACTATGTTAGTGAGCCATCGGGCGATAGCCTCAACCTCGGCAAGATTAACATCCTTGTTGTCCTTGAGGTAGGCGTTTGTGGTGTTGACAAGCTTCAGCATGACGAGCATGGCTCGAGGAGTATCGAAGGAGTTTGAGAGGGCGGCGTCAACCTCGGACTTGGCTTGCTCCAGCTCTGTGACGAGGGGAGAGCCAGACTTGCCGGACAGAGACAGGTTTTGGATGCCGCTGCTAGCACCAGACTCAGCAAGCCAGGATTTTGTGTTGGTGAAGAAGTTGCTGATGGTGGATTCCCAGCTATCCGCCTGGGTAATCATGTCAGGAGAAATTTCAACGCCGTCGTTCCACTTGCCCATCAAAAAGACAATGCGCATGCGGCGAGCGTTAAATGTGGTGGCGAGAGCATCTTGGATGGTCTGGAAATTCTTGAGGGACTTGGACATCTTGGAGCCAGCAATGTGCAAATGTCCAGTATGGAGGAAGTTGCGAACCCAGGTGTGCTCACCCTTACCGGGCTCATGGAAGTAAGCTTCACTCTGAGCGAGCTCATTATCGTGGTGGGGGAATGCAAGGTCGATGCCGCCCGAGTGAATATCCATCTGTGAGCCGAGAACATCTGAGGCCATCACAGAGCACTCAATGTGCCAGCCCGGACGACCCTCACCCCACGGACTCGGCCAGAAAGGCTCACCGGGCTTGGACTTCTTCCATAGCGCAAAGTCGCCAGGCGAGCGCTTGCCACCCAGGTTGGTGGATAGGGCACCCTCGCCCTCCTCTTGCAGGGCCTTGTCGTTCTTGCTATCGGGTCGGAGTCTGGCATATGTGTTGCCAGCCTTTTCAAAGGCGGTGATATCAAAGTAGACGGAGCCGTCCGCTTCGTACGCAAAGCCCTTTTCGACAATGCGCTGGACAAAGTCGGCAATTTGAGGAACGTATTCGGTGACACGAGTAATAACATCGGGAGGCAAGACGTTGAGCGAGTCCAAATCTTGCATGAAAAGGTCCTCCATAGCCTTGGTGAGGTCGGTGAACATGGTCTGATCGCTGGTATCTACTGTCTCCTTGTACAAAGAGTCGAGGTAGGGCAGCAGAATCTCGTCGCAGCCAGGATGGACCTGACCAGATTTGATAGACTCGGCAGCCACGTTCATGTTGCCGATATGCATCTTGATCTTGGCTTCAGCGTCGCTCGGCTTGCCCTCGCCAGTCAGCGTTCCTCCAGCGAGGACCTTGGCATAGGCCTTGTCTCTGGCGGCTGGGTAGTTGGACTCGTTGAGGTTCGCCTCAGCCTCGATTAGGAGAGGCAGGCTTTTTTGTGCGTATGCAAGCAATGCGCTCAAACCCAATTGCTTCAATTCTTCGGCGGAGTATTTTTTCTTCTTCTCGACGTCGAGGAGCCGCTGTCGTCTCGCTTTGATGATGATCTACTTCGTGTGAGTCAACAGGCCTGGGAAGGGAGCAGATGGTGAACCAACCTTATCGTCAATATCTGTAATGTTCATGACATACCTGACGTCAAACTTGAAATAATGCATTAAGATGCGGCGAATGACGTCCGAGGTAACATAGTTGCGCGCGTGGCCCAAGTGACTTTTATCGTAGACTGTCGGTCCGCAGACATACCAGCTAACCTTGCCGTCTTCCTTGGGAACAAACGGAACCGGCGCGCCAGGGTGCAGCGAGTTATGCAGCTTGAGAGATGCCATGGTGCCAGAGGAGCAGAGTCTGTAAAATCGTACGAGCGTCCGTGGAGGGGAGATTTTAGAAGATCGCGACAGGATGCGCAGGAAAGGCATGCAGACAGGCGTCACCAAGAGCCAGACGCGCAGTCTGAAGCTTATATGTCGACGATGTTCAGATGACTCGAGCTTCCGGCGACAAGAAAGGGAGTCGTGAGTCACCGGCGAGGGCTCAAGGCGCGGGTAGAGTGGTGTTGCAAAAAGATGAGATGACACGAAGCTTGGGAAATGAGCCACCGAGACAGTTGTCACCACCGTCCGATCGGAGAGTGCATTATTTCAGGGCAGTTTTTTGCACCCCGCTTTGGCTGCCCAGCGCTGCCCCTCACTGGGGCCAGCGGCGTACAGCGCTTGAGCAGAGGCTCAGGCGAGTTACAGTGGATCATGGCGCGCTGAAATAGAGCGCTTACAGGGCATGCCGCGCTCAGCGCGTGGCAGGTTTGTGGCGCTGGAACGCGGGCTGCAAAGCAGTGGGGCAAGTGGCTCGGGATTTTTTTCCTGTACTTCATTATTTTCGATGCTGTTGCATCAGGTAACTGCAACCGTTAAGCTCGGCGCTGGACGAACATCACACAATTGGTATATGACGACCTCATACCGTGTGTCGCACCATGGTTTTCGAACCGTCCCCATTTCTGCAGCCTGGCGAGCGAACCAAGCCTGGCGAGCTCGCTATTGTTAGCTTGGCGCGTGACGACTTTGACGCCATTCGCCTCGAAAAGTCCTCTGGAGCGGTCGACGGATACGCAGAAGGCGCAACGCTAAATACAAGATTCGGCTCATTTCCGCACTCGACACTACTCGACATACCTTGGGGATCTCAAGTTCGCGCATCGGCGGTAGATACTGGATCGCGAGGCCGCAAACGCCGCCTAGAGACGACAGACGACGACACACCCGCCGTGAGCCAAGACGAGGGCAGCAAGGCGCTTGTGAAAAAGGCTACTGTGGCTAGCAGTGGCTTCATCTACGTTCTTCGACCCTCTCCGGAGCTCTGGACCAGCAGCTTGCCGCACAGAACCCAAGTCGTCTACACACCCGACTACAGCTACATCCTACAGCGTATACGAGCGCGCCCCGGCACTAGAATACTAGAGGCCGGTGCAGGAAGCGGCAGCTTCTCTCATGCTTCAGCGCGAGCAGTGTATAATGGATACCCGACAGACGAGACCGATACCAAGGGCAAGGTGTTCAGCTTCGAGTTCAACGAGGACCGGTTTCACAAGATGAAGGAGGAGATCGAGAGCCACGCCCTCACCGGCATCGTGCAAATACAGCACCGAGATGTATATAGAGACGGTTTTATGGTAGACGGGAAGTCGCCCAATGCCACGGCCGTATTTCTCGATTTGCCGGCCCCGTGGAAAGCTCTCCAACATCTCTCGCGCCGCAGCGGCTCCTCGCCTCTGGACCCCAAGCAGTCGGTCCACATCTGCACATTTTCGCCTTGCATCGAGCAAGTATCAAGAACAGTTACCGAGCTGCGGACACTCGGATGGACCGATGTCGACATGGTTGAGATCTCACAGCGCCGGCTCAACATCCTCCGCGAGCGGGTCGGCGTAAATCTGCCCAACGAGCGTGGCGTTTCACAAACACCAGCCGACGTGCTTGAGGCGGTGACGAAGCTGCGCAAGGTGAATCAGCAAAATAAGCAATTCCAACAAGCGCAATCTGGACAGCAAAGCAAAAGCGCCACCGCCGACTCGACGGGCACTGACTCACCCGCTGCGGCATCGGAAGCGGCAGCCGTGGATGACGACCACGACAAGCCGTGGATGCAGGGACGACTCACCCACCGCTCCGAGCCCGATCTCAAGACGCACACCTCGTACCTCGTCTTCGCGGTGCTGCCGCCAGAGTGGTCCGAGGAGGACGAGGCCAAGGCGCTGGCCAAGTGGCCGTGCGGGGAGGAGAGCAAGATCATTGGCAACCTGGACAAGGAGTCGCGCAAGCAGGAGAAGAGGGAGCTGCTTGCGTCGCGCTCCAAGAAGCGCAAGGCCAAGGGCGAGCCGGCTCGCGCGCAGACTAAGAAGCAAAAGGCGAACGATGATACCCAAGCTGAGTCTGAGGACACGCCAGCTGCAAGATAGTGGTGATAGATGGCTCGCGCTTAGAATTAGTGTTATTTATCAAATAGACTATTGGAATGACTTTTCCATACGTCATTCATTCTCGAGCAGTTTTACTTGAAACAAGTATCCAATACTGGTCTGTACTGTGAGTCGGTCATGGGCAGGGCACCGGAAATATGACAGCGCGCCGCGCAAAGTCTCGCATAGCAAAATTCATTACAGAGAAGAATAAATGTATATTCTATCACATCGTCAAGATGTCCGATTTTTTTGTTTAACAAATTTTCAAGAGATTTATTTGCCAACTTCATGCATCGCGTGCAACAGTTACAGCGCCCCCGCCAGCCCACCGGAGATCGGATAAACATAACCCCCCCACGCAACTTCAGCAAGCAGCGCCAAACCGCCAAAAGCTATCGCGGCGGCGTGGGCTGGCGGCACGTCAAATTTCAAGCTCCCCCAAGGCAGAAAGAAGCACCTACGCCAAACAACCATATTTTTGTATTTTTGTATTTCCTTTTCCATCATTTTTTTTCTTGCACGTCGCAGCGACCTATATCCCGAATCACACACCTCGCGCCCAACATGACTTCAACAATTGGCATTCCTATCAAGCTCCTGAACGAAGCTCAGGTACGTTTTTCGCCGCCGCCCGCCGACCGACCACCGCCCCCCAGCAGCAGGACGCGCGCGCGCGCATGCACCACGTTGTAAAAGGGGTCAAGACAACTAACGTTGCCTCTCATCGCAGGGCCACATCATCACTCTCGAGATCACGTCCGGCCAGACCTACCGCGGCAAGCTTCTTGAAGGTACAACGACACATTTGCCTTGCCTCCCGCGGTTGCACAGAGGACACATTTACTGACATTTTCTACTTCCCCCGCGCGAACAGCCGAAGACAACATGAACGTCCAGCTCAAGGACATCACCGTGACGGCCCGCGACGGCCGCGTCTCCCACCTCGACCAGGTATACATCCGTGGCTCCCACGTGCGCTTCTTCATCGTCCCCGACATGCTCCGCAACGCGCCCATGTTCCGCAGCAGCAACCTCCGCGGTCGCGGTGTCGGCATGGCCCGCGGTCGCGCCACCGTCAGCCGTGCCCGTGCCGGTGGTCGCGGCGGTCGGTAAACAAAATGTTGAACCTTGAAGTGCTGTTGGTGGATGTTCGGAACGAAGGCAGGACTGGAAGTGCTGGGGGAGGGATAAAAGGAGTAGAAGAAAAAATCGGGAGGGTTCTGGAGAGTCTTGTTTCTTTTCCATCAGGCAGTGATACCTGATGTCGTGATTTTATCAGTTCGGGGGGCGTTTTTACGGTTCTGTGTTTTGGGATTTAACGACTCATATATCTCGCTACATTTCTCTCGGTAGAATATAGTCGATTTGGCGCATGCCAGACATGATTATAACAAAGGAAGAAAACTGTTTCAAGTTTACTCATGGTGGGATTAAACAAAGCTTGTGCAGATTGGTTGCGTGTGTTGAAGTCTAATGGAACGAAGAAATAAAAGTGGTATGATACATGCTATTACAGCTGGCCGTTTGCCATGGTTCTATCCGGTCATCGAGGCCCTCTCACTTCAAGCGAGAAAGGAGTTCCGTCGCCGTGGACACAAGCCCCTTGGCTTTTTGCAGCTCCTCCGCCTGTGCCGGGGACACACAATCTTTTGCGACCAGCGCCTCCGAGACGCTCTGCTCCACGGCACGCACCGCCTTGCGACCCTCCTCGCGCACGTCGCCTTCCCAGAACCGGCGGGCCGCCTCCCACTTCCTCTGCATGCGGCCGAGTGCGTAGACGACACCGAGCGCGGCGACCGCGCCCGCCTCGTACACGCCCGCGACCAACGACGAGGCGTAGAGCGTGCCCGCCAGCGCGGCAGCGGCCGACGATGTCCCAAGCGACTGTACCAGCAGCCGCTGGGCGAGCGCCTGCAGCGCGGGCACGGTCTCGTCTTGCAGGTAGCGGCGGGTAAAGGCGATGTGGCCGGGCCACTTGGGCGGCGGCGCGGCGGCGGCGGAGCCCGCGGCCGCTGGTGAGTCCGAGAGCTCCGAGACGGGCTGCGGGTACCGAGGCGGCGCGCCAATACGCAATGCCGCGATGCGGCCGGTCAGGTAGACGAGCTCGCGCTCGGCGGTGGGGAGGAACCGCTGATTCAGGATGTCGCCGGTGAGCATACCCACGTCGTCGACGCGCCAGAAAAGCTTCCACCAGCCAAGCTTGCGCCAGCGCCGTCCGGTGAAGGCGAGGTCGAGCTCGTCCTGAAGCTCGCTGTGGGCTTGCCGCGCCCACTCGGCGAGGCCCTTGTGGAGGCCAGCGGCGTCGTCTAAGGGGGTCTTGGAAGCCAGCGTCTTGGCGACAATGACGGACTCTTCGGCCTGGATGGCCGATTGAGCGCTCTCGAGAAGAGAGGCGAGTAGCTGCTTGACGGCCGGTTTCGTCGCAGCATCCTCAGTCTTGAGACCGGCTTTGAGCCATGTCGTGAGGGACGGTACCTTGCTGGCAAACCAGAGACGCTCGTACTGCATGGCGTTCTGGGGGCCATCGCGGAAGAGGCGGACACCTTCTTCAGCTTGGGCCAGGTCGATGACGGTGAAGGCGGCGTCCAGCTCTGCTCCAGCAAGGCCTTTCATATCGACGGCTGTGGTAATGGCTCCGCCACTCTCGGACGCGGGCAGGGATGCCAGACTAACCGCGCCCATGAGGCCGTCTGCCACAATCAGTGCCTGATGAACTGGGGCGGGCGTTTGCGAAACGCGCCCATCGGCAGCTCGAGTGGCGACTGACGGCACCAGCGCAGCGTTTTCCAAATGCTCAATCGATGGTCGCAGGACAGAAAGAGCAGAAGCTTCTACATCGATCAGCAGGAACTCGAGGCCCAGTGAATTGTAGCCAGGTGATGAAATGTGTAGTCGCTGAATCGTATCCACCTTGCCCATGTCGATGGCAGCTTTGTCTAGGTGTGGACTGGTGCTGATCTTAATGACGAGGGGCTTCGTCAAGTCGTAGCCCTCGAGCTGCTTCTCCCAGGCCTGCTCGTCCTGGAGCGGATCGCTCAGGATCGCCCGCAGCAAGCGTTTGGACGTCAATCCGGCACTCGATCCATATCCGTCAGCGAGCCCTAGAATGGCTACCCGGACAGCCTCCTCGCCGGGTGCCTGTCGCAGACCTTGAAGCGCCAGCTGCAGCCGGGAGAGGTTGACCAGACGTGGCGCCTGGTCCTGCAGCTGCACGAGCGCCTGCTCAAGCTCCGCACGCACGTTGCTCGCCGCCGGCGCCGTGGACAGGCTCTGTCGTCGGTCGATGAGGAGGGTCGGTCGTATCGGCGACGGCGCGTGGTTTCTCGCCCTTCTGGTGCCGGACATGGAGCAAATCGCGCAGACTTGCCTCTTCGCGGCGGCATGGCGACTCAATGCCACGGCGCGGAGGGGGCCGCCGCTAGATCGTACTAAGGACGGTTTTGGCGGCATGATTCGTGCGCCGTGAAGCTCTGCGTTGTCGGCGATGCGGTTGTTGAAGCTTGCTTGGAAGCTTTCGGTGGATCGCGCTGGAAGCTGCCTGGATATTTTAGTTGGACGCCGGGAAAGGTGCGGAAGATTGCGTCTGCAAACGCAGCTCAATGACCGGCGAAAATAATTAAAATGCGCAGAAAATCAAGAAGATTAAATATGTATTTCTCAACCAAAACTCAGATATTTCAAACGACTTCTTTTTTCCCTGGGTGATTTTGAGTCATTCATTGTCTTCTGTAATTCGGAAGTGCCACATCCGCGTCCCTCCATTATAGCGAAGTAGCCATCTAGTCTCAAAGCTGGTGGCTTTTTTACGATATTAGGATAGATGATTTTTTAGAAAACAAACTATCATCAAAGATAAAAATTGTAATTTTCCACGTAGCCGTTTGGTTCTGCTCATCCGCGGCGCGACCGCGCGGATGTCTTTTGCTATTCGTACAGGTTCACGTGAGGCACCACCAAGGTACCTTGTTTTTAGTGCGTCTCACACTAAAATAGAAGTACCTTTGTAGCCAGCTTTCTGAACCTACCCAGAACTTCACGATCATGAACTTCAAATTCCTCCGCCGCCCTCGCCGCCCTCGCCGCCCTCGCTACTACCGCTCGGAAGAACACTCTTCCAGCCAGCTGTGCACACTAGCAAAGATGCGTCTTTTTCAGCGAATCGGCGAGCGTTAAGGAGGCTTAAGAGGCTCAAGAGGCTCGCCAGCGGTGGCGGCGGCGGCAGCAGTAGCAGCGGCGAGTGTGTGCTGTTTTTAAAGATGCTTCAAGTTGTGTGTGATTCCCTAAGACACAGTCACGTGAACCCGTACGGATAGCAAAAGACGGCTGCACGAATAGCAATACTCTTGATGCCTAATCCAAGTGTATGCCCAGTTAATATTACTTAAAGCAAGACAAAAAACATCATTCACCTCACCGAGACGACGCATGCGAATCCCACACAGTGATTGCCTGGCACCGCAGGCCATATAAAGGTCAATCAAAGCCTCTGAGTGCGCGCAGATTAACCCATTCCCAAGAAATACTGTACCTACAACATATCATCTCATTTCAGACAACATGACGAAAATCCGCAGTTGTTCTATGCCTTCATATCTGCATCCACAGGTGCAGGAACTTCTCGACGAGGAGGATCTCTACTTCACCTTTCGGCCTCCCGGGGAGAAGGGCCCCTACATCAAGGAAAAAGACACCGCCGTCATGGGGAAGTTCCGATGCGGCAATAAGAAGTGCCCCAACAAATGGGGCAGCAAGCGCATCGCAATCACCATCCGCTTATACCGAAATAACAAGTACACCGTTGTCGTATACCATCAGCGTTGCCAAAAGTGCGACGCCCTCGCTAAGCCGGAGCTCGACGAATCGTACGAAGAGCGAGTATCGAGGTGGTTAAAGATATGGAGTGGAATCAATGTTCCTTGGGAATATCATCCGAAAAAGAGGACGGCGCCTCATCAGAAATCTCGCTGCGAGGGCTGCAAGGCCGGTCACTGTACCGAGGTCGATAACTGAGCCAGGCTTCGGGGAGGTTCGGGTTTCTTTGCAATGAATGAATGGATGGTGGAGGAAGATAGTTATTTCGTATTGTGAAGTGAGCCAAGGCCCGCGCAGTACCTGATGAAGGCTGGAAAGTGTCTGCTGTGTTTGGGCTTGATGGATGCCTGATCTGCAGGCTTGCAGTAGTGGTTGGCCACCGCAGGCAGAGGCTAAAGATTTGGGTGCCGGTACGTTCGCATATATAGTTATATCAGAATGAATGAAAACTTGTTACTTTGCTCGTTGCCTTTAACTATATACCTCCCTAATGAGTTACTGCAGCGCAACCGACGACTGCCGTTCTGCGATAGATGCGGATGGGAGAGAGATGCATGACCACAATCTTCATGGAAATCATACCCATTTCCAAAAATATGAGCAGGTATTAACCATTCAAAGACGGAAATTTGGTTGATCCGGCGCTCTTGTCCACCGAGATCTCACACGCACCAGTCAACGACCTCGCCACCCACGAAGTTAATGCAGGGAATGTCCCGTATTCGAACCGGAGGATGATGCATCAATAGAGTGCTACATCAGGAAAATACAAACAATCCTATCGAAAAGAACTTGAGGGGAGCCCGGGTACCCAGCCACTTCCCAGCTATGAGAATGTGAGCCCAGGCCGCGTCGATGTCGGTCAAGCTTCCTCGTCGGTCGCCGCGCGAGGAGCTTTAGGATATGGGGAAGAGGAGTTGCCTTCCATACATCACATCTTACCTCACGAGATTGACGGCCGAATTCCTTGTCCGATGCCTAGATGCCGTGAGAGTTTCGAGATCCGCAGCCTGCTCCAGTAAGGCAACCACGATTGACTTCACCATCTCTGCGACGTGCTGGCAAGTATAACAAGAAGCATATCAAAGTCATGTTAAGCCACTTGTTTGTAATGGTTGTCAGTGCCGATCCGCAGAGCGCCGCGAAATGGATCGGCACCTGGAGGCGCATCTGCCTCCGGACCAGAAGACTGTCTATGGGTGCAGGCATGCAGGATGTGGCAAGTCTTACTTTCATTCGATAGACTCTCTAAGCATGAGAGAGAAGCCCATTGATATTTCTTTCTGCAAGGTCGGTCGTGATATTTTTCTGACGAGCTCTATTGGCGTTAGTGGGGAGTCACGATGTGTTTATCCGTCGAATCTCAAATGAGCCCAAAATGGTGATTTCTTTTTTAGCATAGTATTAATATTTTTTTTTAGAAAGAAAGAAAGAATATTTTATCCTCATTGTATCTTTTGAGCCAGGTTGACAGGCAATTTAACCTCTGCTCTTTACCTGCTCGTTTCTTCGTTCTTCGGCAGGAGGCGACAACAAAGTGCATCATGATGACTGGAACAGACTTGTTGGGCGTTGTTCCTAAGTTTGACAAAATCGGAGCTTCAAACAAGCATCTAATACATTGAATATCTCTCAAAAATAAACTCATGTAAGAACTTTCGATCTACAAGAAGTAAGAAACAGAGAACTTTGAGTTTCCGTGGCTACATTGCTACCCTGCACTGCAGCTTAGAAACCATGCGAATGAGCGAATATAGAGCGCCTTATGCGCGCACTTGAAATAATATTTCCAAGAAACTCCTATGCTTATTCCAACCAGTCTGGAAGTCTTTCCATGGCTGCGTGCATCAACCCTTCTATGGACGGGGGCAGATAGCATTTCATGAGGTTTCGAGATTGAGGCAACGCAAAAGGTCTACTGCCACCCCATTGACAAACAGTATGGTATGCAGACTACATCAAAATGAACACACTTGAAAGTTTCTTTATTCGCAAGCTATACCTTCTTTCTTCTAACTTTCAAAAAACACAGAGTGCATGACTACTGTCAACATTATACAAGCTTCGCTTAGCAGCGGACACTCACGATTTCTGCCACCAGCAACTCGCTTACGAGGTCATAAAGTAGCGGAAAATGCGGGATCAACAAGAGACAAAAACAATACAATTGGGTAGCAAAGCTATAGGAGACGATCCTTGAACCAGGTTAGTTGACCCAGTGACCGAAGGCGAAAACCCTCGCCGTCGCCTCACTGCCCACCACTACAGGAAGAGACATGATTTGTTTATCCTCTAATAATGATTGTGTTAGAGAAGATACTGCCTTCCAAGACTTCTCAGTCAATATTGCGCACTGAGACTCGTCCGCGGGGAAACCAGAGCGGCCTCCCGCTTGATCATTGCGTTCCGTCGGCCAAACACCCGCGGAAGGCCTCCGCAAATGGGGGGTCTTTCAGGCGTCAGGTGAGCGAGCTCCAAGAATAGAATGCAAGAAATTGAATGTTTATCCCACATCCTACCACCGCGGAGAAGCGAGGGAAATTGGCAATCGGCGCAGGGAGAGCTGAGGCGACCCCAGGCCGAGACCAACAGGTCTGAGGAGGCTGGGGCGGTGGCAACTGGGCGGGGAGTGCGTGGAACGTGGGGATGAAATTAACAAGAACAAAGTAGCGAATGAGAAGTCGGAATACGAAAAACTTTGATGATGAGCTCCCGCATTTCTGACCTCAGGGCGAGAAGCCTTGCCTTGCCTGCTGCCCGCTTGGTATCCTGCTTCACTGCGGGTACGGGAATACTTTGTGCTCCCCTGGCTACCGTGCATAAATATAATGTCTTAATAATATTTCTTGAAAACGTTGGCTTAGTGGAAAAGTTATGAAAGTAATAATAGGCACGGAGATACTGATCTTGTCCAGCGTCTCTGGGGGACTTGGGCGACCCGTATGGAGAAATGATGACGCAAAGTTCTGCTTACGCAAAATTGTATACTTGACCAATAGAGCCGAAATTTAATTGCTACCCCAACTCTAAAGAAAACACGTTTAGGACTCCTGTAATACAATAGGGAGTGGGATACGGGGGTTTTCTCTGCATGGCAAGGTCGCTTAGGTGACTGGGTATGCTAGAAGTATAAATCGACATGCAAGTTTTAAAGGGTTCAGCACGGCAGGTCCGACTCGTGCAAGATGTGATTTACACCTAATCTATCTTAGAATAAGCGAGCATGCCGAATTGTGTGATGACTCTATTGTCAAATCGCGGAACCTCATGTTGGTCCGGCTTGAACGATGTTATGAACAGGCGACATCTTTCAGCTTCTACTAAGCGGCAGCCACGATTTGAATCCTTGCATATTATCATATTATATGTACGAGCCATTCTAGATCTCTGCCGAGCCATCATCTCCTCGATCTTTGTTTCTCGCGCAGTTCCGCTTACCTGATACCCAACAGTGCAAGCGTAAACCTACGCAAGGGCATTCCATTTTTAAACCTCTTACACCCCCCTCCATCCATCCGATTCCCCGCCTAAATGACTCTTGCAGAAACATGTTTCCATCTCAACTGCTCTCATTGATCAGTGAAATGAGTAGCGGGGGTGAAGGGAGGGCAAGGATCCAGGATGAGCAGGGAAAGAAGTTTAGCTTTTCTTCTTCGCACAGACGTTTGCGTTGGGTGGTGTTGTGTGTGAAGAAAACAGCTTCGCGCGGGGAAACTGCGAAAACGAACTAACGAGCCTCGGCCTCGTGGGAGCTTCCCCTCTTTCGAGTCTCCCGAAAAGCCTGACCTCACGCCCCCTCCATTACAATGGGCTATTGAGTACTGTATGCCTGCACCTCTGAACCTTGCCCGCAAATAATGCACTCAGCCAAGGTCCCGGATCAGCAAAGTATAATCTGGGCGCACCGCCAGCCGCATGTTGCTGCGGGGAAAAGCCAGATGGCGACATGCGTTGGGTAGTGGAAGAAGGGCAAAAAGCATGGCATCGTGACCATTGCGTGAGAGGGCCAAATTCTCTTGTGCGATTATTCCTGGGGAAACGGGGCTCGCTTATCCATTCGGTATTTAGCTGATAGGTTGTTATCTTTAAAGTCCGGGGAAGTGCATCTACATGAGCCGGCCAACTTTTGCGCAACCTCACGTACAACCACGCGCCGTGTCCAGCCTGCCAACATCCTGCGTAACATTCCCCAAATAACTCACGATATAGCCGGGACATAGGCGATTCAGCACACACAGAGCCTCCTCTGGAGTCTGCTGGACGTCGATGGAGAGGGGTGTGGTGGGCGTGTTAGAATTTGTGGCTGTGGCTTGACAGGGCCTGGGGGCCTGGGGGCTAGCACCTCGCCCACAACACGGGCTGGCCGAGGCAGGCAGGGATCTGTACATGTAGAAATGCCTGTGAAGGCGGGAGGGGAGGGATGTGGGAGGGGGTGGTGGAAATGAGGCGTAGTCAGAGTGCGACGATACGATGGGCGGCGCGGAAGTCTGTTGGCGATGACCCTGATGGGACAGCGGCCCCGTTTAACACATCTACGGTAGGCTGCTTTGTGGTTGAGGAAGGTTGAACCTTGTTCCTCTGGGGTTTTTGACAAAGGTCCTTTGCGGGCGACCAACGGCGGTGGAATAATGGCAACGGCGAGCGTAAGAAAAAAACAGAAAAATGTGAAAGAAAAACAATGACAAAAAGCCTCACAGTAGTGACGATCCGAGATCGTCAGAGACACGGAAGCCACCATCAAGTGTAGTCGGCATCCCATCAAGACCGGACGGAGAAGCGGCGCATCTATGCATCTATGCCATTCCGCCCGTAGACGCGCAAGATTCAGTCTCTTTGCCTTGTTGAGCCTCAAAAGTGGCACTGGCCGCGCCACTAGAGGACAGACAGAGGTGTCAATGCGAGAAGGAGAGTTTTTGAGGCTCTCTTTGTCAAAACAAACCCTTAGGCCCTGTTGCCTGCCTGCCCCCGCAAAGAAATTACCCCGCGGGGCCCCATGGGGCGTGACCGCTGACTAAGAAGTGGCTGGAGGTCCGGGGGTGAGGGTGAATTCGGAATGATGGAGGGATTGGGTAGTTGATTATTGGCTGGCGATAAGCTACCCGCATGGTTTCTGATCCTGGGGGAAAGGGCGGGGGGAGATGTATGTATGCCAAGGTTCGTCAAGATGCAATACAGGCTGTACGCGGGGTCCTCGTAGGGGCTCGTAACTTTCTGTGGATTTGCTAAGAAAAGAGCACGAAAGAAAAAGAAAAAGAAAAAGAAAAGAAAAAGTCCAAAATTGGTGCAAAATGAATGGGGGATACCACATGCCAAATGAACAAAAGTCGGTGGTGGGCCGAGGGATCTAATATAGAATCACATCAACCAGCCATCCTTTCCTTGCTTTTTTTCTTCTGTCAGTATTGCCAAAGGAAAAAAAAAAGAACCCGATCATCATGCAAGCGACAATCTAGTTAGTCATCCGCTACGGGGGATTATTCCGAAATAGCATAGTTCGTCACGCCGCCTATTGGCAAATTCACTCGGCGCGGACGCTTAAGCAAGATAGCCATGCCAATTCCTTACCGCCATTGCTTTTTTTTTAGACGCGGGTTCCTTGATCCAACAATTCTTGAAGACCAGAAAAAAAAAAGGCGCAGCACAGGGCGCATTGTCTCACTATCGATAGCGTCATACCTACAGATCTAGAGGCCGGCTGGCGTGGTCCCTGCTACTACTATTAACGCGAAGTGGCAATATGCCCACGAGGCGAGCCACGGCAACACTTCCCCAAGCGGAATGAAGAGGCGGTCGATCTAAATACCCATTGGCTCTACGCCATGCACACTCCCCTCCAGTACAGCCCTTCAAGTAGCTTCTGCGGCAACCTGTTCAGTGCCGAAACGGAAATTTCGTCGTTATTCCTGCTCATTCGCGCAATTCAAGGGAGAGAGCATGGTAATCTCCCGCACGCGTCCAAGCCCAGGTTTCACCACCGGAAATAGCCCTTTGACTCCCACTGTGCCACGCTTCCGGAAAGGCCTGGTGCGAGCTGACGCCGGAATAGGCTGACGTCAGGCGAGACAGGGCACAAAGGCGGAAAAAAGGAAAAACATGGAAAAGCCTTATTCGTGAGTGGAAAAAAAAAGGATGGCTGGGTGCAGCCAAAGAGCTGGGATCCATGGGGGCAGCCATGGATTTTCTTAGTCTTGCGTTAGCAGCGTGGTGGAGGGGGGTGTGCTGCAACGCGGCTCGGCTTCACGTGGAGATGAGGCTACGAACAAGACCGATACGGAGGAAGGAACTTGTGGTTATGCAAAAAGAGGAAACACAAGGTATGTAGAAGACCGGCCGTGGTGGATAGGTCAATGGTGGCTGTCTAAGACTCGGGCACAGCCGTTCTAGAAAAGGACAATGCATCGATGCATACCAATTGGGCAAGTCAGTTGTAATGAGGGACAAAGCAAGATGCGTCAATTCATCATCATTAAGATATGCTAACTATAGTGATATCTTCCATGGCCATACAACTCATAATAAACAATAGTGGCCCTTTGATGCAAAAAATAAAACGAAAGATAAATTGACAGAAATGGACAACAACATCAATGGCAAGTCGCCCATCAATCAATACACGAGATTACTTCTTCGCCTGCATAGCCTTGAGCTTGAGCCCCAGCTTCACCATGTTCCACATTGCGTTGTCACCCAAAAGAGAGCGCGACTCCAGCCCGCCGTCTCCGAGGCTGCGCGTCTTGTGCTTAGTCCAGTGACCCGCAATGCCGCTCAGGAGGGTCTGGTTGGCAAAAACACCAGACAGCTTGTCGATAAAGTCGGTACCGTTGTTCGGGCCAGAGCCGGTAATAGCGCCGCCGCCCTTGAGTAGGCCGCTGAGAAGGTCGCTAAGCAGAGTCACGACAGAAATGTTGACCGCCAGCGGGCGCTTGCCCAGAATCTCCTCGAGGAACGTAATGTGCTGGTCGTTGACGATAACCGATGTGGCCGTGGCGTTGAGCTGCAGAACACCTTCGCCAAGCGGGAGAGACTGGCTGCCAAGGAAGGTGCTCAGGTTTCCAATGACGGCGTTGAGGTCAAGGAAACCCTCAAACGACTGCGTTTGGTTGCCTGGCTGGAGGGTAATGTCGGACAAAGTCAAGTGGCCCACCTTCAAGTCACCCGAAGCAATGTTCAGTTCAATGTCTCCGAAAGAGAGAGCGAGCGGGCTGAGATTGGGAAGCATGAGGTCACCCTTGATGTTAATGCCGTTCTGGGTTGGGAAGAGAAACTCGAGCTTCTTCATCTGGAGCCCTTGAAGCTTGTTTAGACCCTGCACCGTGATGGTCTTATCCAAGCGAGGCTCCGACTTGAGCGCGCCGAGAGAGATGACAGCCTGGGTGCCACGGACGCTGAGGTCGTAGCTACCGGGCGCATCATAGAATCCGCCGAACCATGAAGTTAGGGATTCCATGTCGGTGACTTTTTGGGTCTGGTCCTTGATGCTGAAGTTGGTGTTGCCGCCATTGAGGGTCAGAGGGGGCACCTCGACGGATAGGAAGGGGGAGAATTTTGGTGCGCTCTTGTCGTAGAGCTGGAGGACAAATTCGTTGGTCGTTGCCTTGAGACCGGGCGGGATACGGAACGAGCTATCAAGGGTGAGCTTGATCGTATCGGGCGCAACAACGTTGAGATAGCCGCTGCGGATGGGGAGTGTCTGCTGGTTCACAATGAGCTGGACAATGGCGGGAAGGGCCACCTTGAAGCTATGTATCAAGTTAGAAATCCATCGATGAAAGGGCCAAGAAGCTCGACGTACACAATAGGCAGCAAGATGGCAAGGAAAATAATGGTTCCCAGAAGATACCACTTCCATTTGTGCTTGATATGGGCAGCACTCCACGCTCGTGAGTTTCTGGCAGCGGTGGCGAGTTTTTCTCGAGTGAGTTCTCGGCGCGGGCTGTTTTTGCTGATAATGTGGTCATCCGTATCCGCCGTCGATGCATTTTCCAAGGGAGGCATGTCGTCGCCGTCTAGCTGTTGGCCAGCATGCTGATTGCCGCGTCCGACGCCGTTGCCGTTGCCGCCCGAGACACGGGCGGTGGTGGCCTGGTGGGTTGTGGCGTGGTACGAATCGACATCAGAGTCGTGATGCTCTTCCCTAAACGCGGACGCCATCGTGAAGCGACGTTGATTCCCGCGTAATCAAACTCTGGGGAGCGCAATGGAGATGATGCAAAAGGCAGAGATGGGATTGCAAGCGAAAGGCAGCAGCAGACTGGGGAGGGGGAGGTGGTGTGTATAGAGGATAGAGGACGCTAGTAGGGGGCCTGTCGAGCTTGCGGTGCCTGTGGTGGGTGCAGGTTCACTAAAGTAAACTTTGCAGGGGCGGCCGACTACTGGAACGGTAGACGCTGGGTCAATTGCAGTGCGGGGAGGGAACATAGAAAATAATGCAAATCTGGGGAGACAAGGTCTGTAGTGGGCAAGGGAAAGGTAATTGGCACACTCTGGCCAAAAGCTGAGAATTTGCCTTGGCAGCGGTAGGTGAGCTGATGAACTGAAAACGCACTGAGTGGGCGAGACGCGCGACCAAAGCGAAGATGGAGGTCAACCACGCGATGGGGGCCGTGGGTAACCTTATGCAGGTTTACAGGTGGTTTGCAGAAGGCTGACAGGGGGTTTACAGTGGTAGGCTGTGGCGGAGGGACCGGTAGGGGTGTGTTGACACTGCTTGGGCAGTGAAAAATGAAAATACAGTGCTCTTTAGTGGCCGACAGTTGTGGCGGGATACCCATCCCATTTGGGCTCTCAGCGGGTCTGGGGCAGCCGAGGCCTGGAGCATCCACTGGCAGGTGAACTGGGGCCAGCCGGGGGGAGGGGGGTGTGCATCCGTCGCCAGCTGCAGAATAACCCTGGATGCTTCATGGGCTTTTGGACGAGACGTATCAACACTCGGAGATGCTGGTTGTCACCAAGACAAGGTATTGAGTGTTGTGAGGGAAACACTTGAACTGGCAGCGTTCTCAGCTGGAAGAAACACTGATCAGTGATGGAGGTATTAAGGGATTCTATTGATGACTACCCGGACGGCAATTTCCGCGTACCAGAAGCAGACTATCCTCGCAGCAAACCTCCTTGACTGGCTTGGCACAAAATCTCACGATCCAACAAGGCTCATCTTCATCTTGTACCATCATTACCCCGCACGGGGAGGCCTGTGTTGGCTGGGTCATGGACTGGGGTTCTCTCGCGGGTTCTCACGGCACCGGGCCAGGATCGCTGGTTGTCCCAGCAGACAATGGCAATCACCAGCCAGCAGTTGGAAGAACTGTGCCGCGGTTGGCGTCGTGGCTTGCTTTCATGTCTTCCTTGTCAGCAGCCTCCTCCGCGCGGGGAAGAAACGGCCTTGCTGGGGGATCATCGCCAGCAACCACCAAGGATGATATTTTATGGGAACCAGTCTCCAGCCAAGGCGGGGGATGGCCATGGAGTCATGAACATTGGGCCACAGTGGAACTCGGTGTTCACTCACTTCCTGTCCAGGCTGGCCGAGCGCCGACAAGGGTGCTGATCTCACAACGAGTCATCGCGGCTCTCAATCAACCAGGCAAAAGCAGCCGATGTCATACGAGCGCCGCACTAGCACCGAAGCTAGCACTCCCGCTAAAACGCAGAAAGGAAGTCAAGCATGGACCAGTTCGCAAGCGACAACAACGACGATGACATTTGTGGATTGCTGTCACAAAAGCGGATCGCGGGGGACCAAGCTGCCAATAATTTCTCAACGGATCAACTTGGTGGTACAGCTCGTGTCAACTTTGCTGGCTCAAGCAGGCATCGTGATGTCAACGGCGATGTTGTGCTACAAGGTAAAGTTTCCGTGCATTGGTACCGGTGCGTTCTGTACCGAGCTCCGAGACATGGCAATCATATAGACGCACTTGAGTTGGTCTATACCTTGTATTTTGTTTCGAGTGTTGCGTAACAGCTGTTTCTCAGCTTTGTTTATCCATTGCATTGGCAGCATCGCAAGAGAGTCAAACGCAAATAGACACAGAGCCGATTATGGGCTTTCCCTCAATGCTGTCCAATCAGGTACAGGTATGGCAGAAAAGATGTTCGGAGAAACGGCGACCCGGGCCAACTGTCTGCTTGGGGGACGCCGGTTGGTTCTATTTATTGGTGTGGGAGCTAGCCAATAACATAGTAGTTAGTGCTGCACTAACATACGTACTAGTTAATGGCGCGCTAGTCGCGGAAGGTTGATGAGCGGGGACGGCCTGGTCAGGCTGGCTGTGGCTGGCCACTTCTTAACTGCGGCTGTTGTCATGGCTTTCTATCCAGTTGCTTATTCGTAGAGTCCTAGTCTAATAAGACAAGCCGCCCGCTTGTGGCTGCACCCAAATACAGCGACAAGGCTTTGTGCCTAGAACGCCTCACCAACAACACGCGACTATGCGAATAAAACTTTGTCAAGGGCAGTTCCTCCCAGGAACAAGCAGTGCTCAGAAAAAGGACACATCGGTTTACGCAACCAGACGTCGAGCGGTTTCGTTTTGTGCGGACGATCATGACGATGAAAGGCCATAGCTGACTACAATAAAGTTGGCGCCATTGGGGTGCTCACGACAATGCCAAAGACTAGCCTTGCCGGATTTGTCCAAGGACGCCGATTTCTAACAGAGCCTCACTGAACGCATAATTTTTTCTTTCAACGAGCGGCCCAGCATCGCGAAGCCAGGAAGCGCTGTAGCCCTTGATAATTGCTTGTAAATAACTGTCTTACCTTTCCATTTACGTGGGCAATCGTCTCTCGATCATTTATTGCCAGAACCCGTCCGACTCGCAACTGTCAAGCCTTCCTCCAGCACGGAATCATAAGCGAGTACCTGTCAATTAGTTGGCGGACGTTTTGGTCCAACTGTGGCAGCGAGCGCCGCTAACGGGGACGCCGCCAAAAGCAAGAAGAGAGTGTGGCGTTGAGTCTCGTGGCGACAAGCCACGCCCATTCTGGACAATGGACTAGCGAGGGAAGCTGAAAGGACGCCTTTGCTTGGAAGGCTTCCATTCCTCTTCGGCGATTGTTTGAGCCGCAAGCACGCGAGAAGGAGAATTTTGGACTAGGGGCTTCCTGTTCAGTGGCCGGAAGCAGAGTGGTTGCGACCCTGCCTGCACATCCCAATCTCCACAGAAAGCGAGACATGGTATCCGGACGATGGAGAGATACAAAAGGATGCAGAAACAAAAAGACGAGCAGCGACGGGAAGGCGCGATACTTATGAATTATAATGTCATAATGAATAGTTAGTTATAGTTGGAATGATTCTATGCGTCACGACTTACACACATCGCTGATGATGCGTAGACGCTGCGGGAGAGCTAAGTAGCTCATTGCTCAACATTATGCAACGGCTTCTGCCGGGCGTACCGGTATAGACCAATATCCAGGCCACTATACTGATGCCCGGGCAGCGCTTCTTACTGAGTGATTTAGTAGTTGGATCGTACTGGTATTATGAGACTTGCAGTAATAGGTCGCCACTCATATCACCGGAGAGCCAATTTTATGCGTCAACCCTGGCCGTTATTAAGATGAAAGGGGACAGTGGTGCTCCTACTCGTCGAGTCTACTCTAAACCAGTGACCACCGTGCGCGGGCTGGGCACTCACCCCCCTCGACTCTTTCTCCACCACGACGAATGATGGGAGAGTTGCTGAGCTGCAGTCTGCAGGCAAGAAAACTCTGCACGCAGGACAAGGAAATAAGATCAATAAAATACGGTGGCTGTCATTGGGCTCTGCTTCCCCGCCTTTGGCCGGGAACTGTCTGGGGGAGGCGAGGGGAGGAGAGGAGCCTTGGCCGGGGCAGGGAAGCCAAGCCTGCCATCACAGGCAATCGGGAATAGATTTCACGAGCATTTGTGGTAGTCGAGAGCCGACTAAAGAGCGCCATGAATACCTCATTTGGCAATTGATTTTCCAAGATGCCGAGGCAGCTGTATGGTGGCTGATCCGTTGTCTATTAGTGCCCACGCAGTACGAGGTGGTGTTGAAGATGGATGTAGCACAAATCGAGTCTTCGGAGGCACTACTGCAAGCCTGGCTCCTGCGGTGGAACAAGGCCAATTGCGCGAAGCCAGGAAGAAGACAATGGCATATTGACGGGACTTACACATAGTGGGCAGTATGGACATTCTTGTTGCATTCTGTTGGAAAGAGTGAGTGAGTGATGGAGTCTTCAGTGTCAGTGACTCTCTGGCTGCCAATTCGCTTGCCACCCACCAACTGCCGCCCGGCCGCCTACAAACGGAGGTTTCGCCAACCTCAGGCACCAACCAACAACACCAAAAGTCTCTTCCCCTCCTTCATCACCACCACCATCACCATCACCATCACCAATATCCTGCCCACACAATCCACCACCACACTTCCTCCCACCGCCAACGCTATGCATCTGAATGTTCCTACTCAGCTACTCAGTGCCTCGACGCCACCCCGAGTGCAGCTTACACCTTGACGCTAATTGCTCTCCACAGCACCAACTTTGTCCACGCCCCTCTGGTGGGCAGCAGCTCCATCGAGTTCCCACTCTGGCCGTCCTGTTGCTGCGCTACTCGCCTGGTCTGGTGCCTTGGCCAGCGACCTATCACAGAGTCAAAATATAACCACCACAGCAATTGCCATGGCCCGTAAACTTGGGGAAACCTGGGGGATTGTCCATGCTCTCCGCGCGCACACTCCCCCCCCCCCTCCCCCCCATTGCTAACTAGCGGACCGGTTTTTCACCGTGGTCTCGTAGATCCAGCAGAGTTCTCGACTTCCTGCCTGCCTGGGCCACCACCCGCCGTCCTAGCTCGCTTGCTTGCCAACTCGCAAGTCGCCTACCATCATTGTCTTCACGGCCATGTCGCCTTGTTTATTAGTCCCGAGGCTCTGCAGGTCTTCTCCGCTTCCTTCGACGACCACGCCTCTCCGGCTGTCCCACACCACATCTCGACATGGCGCACCCCCCTCCCGGTCAACACACAGACGCACGCCTGGCTACCTTGCCTTGCCTTGCAAGCCATCGTCCTCCACCGTTCCCTCTGGCGCGCTCTGTGCGGATTCGACCTGGTTATGTCTCTTTTTGCTATTCTCGGATATCCACCCGTCGCTCCAGTCCTCATTACATATCTACTCCTCCTTCGCCCTAGTCTCTTTTTCTGTCTCTTGCTGGTTCCTTTCCTCTTCTCTTACACCTCTGCATCCTCGCCAATTGACTTGTCCAGGTGGGAAGCCAACATACCAGTCCAGCAAGACAGCTTCCTTTCTGGTGAGGCAAACACCACACAACAGCAACCATGAGGTGGACTACCTTCCTGGTGGGAGCCGTGGCCCCTGTAGCCATTGTCGCTGCTGGCCCTCGAACCCAGTCCCCCCCGGAGACTACAATTGAGGATATCCTCCAGAGCAACAACCTCGATGAGATTCTCGCCAAGCACAATCTGGCTCTCGTTCCCCGTAGTCAACTCACGGATACCCTGACCGAGTTGACCGCGCTGCTCAGGAGACAGGAACACTACGACCGCGTCGACCCCAGAGTTTCCACCTTGTTCCGTCGACAAAACGCAACCAATGCCAATTCGGGCACGACAACGTCTCAAAGCTCCAGCACGCCTCTGGGCAACCAAAATGGAATTCTCGACGGTCTCCTGGACCCTCTCACGCAAGGTGTCCAGGGCATCCTCGACCCCATCGTGAAGCCCATCACGGACCTTGTGGACTCTCTAAAAGCAGTCGCCTCGCTTCTCACTCCCGAATTCCTCCAGGCTCTGCACGACGCCATTATTGGTCTCGCGAAGACTTTCAGGGATCCCCTTCCCGACCAGCTACGCGACATCGTCGCCACCGGCCAGCCCATCATCGATTCGCTCGGCAAGCTTGACTTGCCAAGCTTACTTCAGCAGCTCGAGCCACTTCTCAAGGAGCTGGGTGGCATTGACCTTGCTGGTCTCTTCCAAGCTCTTCAGCCTCTGCTTTCTGCTGACGAAATCAAGAAGATCATCAGCATCATCGACGGAGCTGAGCCCCTCATTGCCAGCCTCGGCAAGATCGATTTGGCCTCGCTTGTTGATCAGCTTGAGCCCCTTCTCAAGCAACTTAGCACCATTGATCTCGCTGGCCTTCTTGAAGCCGTCAAGCCCCTTCTCACTGCCGATGAGATCAAGAAGATCCAATCCATCATTGATGGCGCTGAGCCCCTCATCGCCAGCCTGGGCCAACTCGATTTGCAGGATCTCATCAAGCAGCTCGAGCCTATTCTTAAGCAGCTCGGTCAACTCGACCTCGCCGGGCTCTTCCAAGCCCTCCAGCCTCTTCTGCAGCCTGATGAGATCAAGAAGATCATTTCCATTGTTGACGGCGCTGAGCCCCTCATCGCTTCCCTTGGTCAACTCGACTTGCAAGATCTCATCAAGCAGCTCGAGCCCATTCTCAAGCAGCTTGGTGGTCTCGATCTTGGCAGCATCCTGGAAGCCGTCAAGCCTCTGTTGCAGCCCGACGAGATCAAGAAGATCATTTCCATCGTTGATGGTGCTGAGCCCCTCATCGCCTCCCTTGGCCAGCTCGACCTTCAGGATCTCATCAAGCAGCTCGAGCCTATCATCAAGCAACTTGGCCAGCTTGACTTGAGTGGTATCCTCGACGCCCTCAAGCCTCTGCTCGCGCCTGAGGAGATCAAGAAGATCATTTCCATCGTTGATGGTGCTGAGCCTCTCATTGCCTCCCTGGGCCAGCTCGACCTTCAGGATCTCATCAAGCAGCTCGAGCCTATCATCAAGCAGCTCGGCCAGCTCGATTTGGCCAGCATCCTCGACGCCGTCAAGCCTCTGCTTGCACCCGATGAGATCAAGAAGATCATTTCTATCATCGATGGTGCTGAGCCCCTTCTCGCAAGCCTTGGCAAGGTCGACCTGTCTAAGTTGTTTGACCAACTAGGCCCCGTCCTCGAGGCTATTGGCCAAATTGATCTTAAGGGTCTCATTGACACGATCGCTCCCCTTCTTACGCCTGAGACTATTCAGGGCGTCGTCCTTCTGCTTTTCAACGTTGAGCAGCTCATTACTTCTGATTTCGTGGAGCAAACCCAGTCCCTTATTGCTGGTGCCGCGCCCCTCGTGGCTGGCCTTGCCAAGGTTGACCTGTCTAAGTTGTTTGACCAACTAGGCCCCGTCCTCGAGGCTATTGGCCAAATTGATCTCAAGAGCCTTATTGACACGATCGCTCCCCTGCTTACGCCTGAGACTATTCAGGGCGTCGTCCTTCTGCTTTTCAACGTTGAGCAGCTCATTACTTCTGATTTCGTTGAGCAAACTACGTCTCTTATCTCCAACGCAGGCCCGCTTGTCGCCTCGCTTGGTAAGCTTGACCTGCAGAAGCTTCTTGACCAGTTGGGACCTATTATTCAGGAACTTGGCCAGCTTGACCTGAAGAGCCTGTTTGATGCCCTGAAGCCCCTGCTTAGTGCTGAGACTATTGGCAAGCTTGTTGACATCGTCAACGGTGCTGCGCCACTCATCGCCAGCCTGGGCAAGCTTGATCTTCAAGATATCATCAACCAGCTTGAGCCGATCCTGAAGCAGGTTGGTCAATTGGATCTGGCAGGCCTCTTCGAGGCTCTGAAGCCCCTGCTTAGTGCTGAGACTATTGGCAAGCTTGTTGACATCGTCAATGGTGCCGCGCCACTCATCGCCAGCCTGGGCAAGCTTGATCTTCAGGATATCATCAACCAGCTTGAGCCGATCCTGAAGCAGGTTGGTCAATTGGATCTGGCAGGCCTCTTCGAGGCTCTGAAGCCCCTGCTCAGCGCAGAGACTATTGGCAAGCTTGTTGATATCGTCAACGGCGCTGCTCCTTTGATCGACAGCCTCGGCAAGCTTGATCTCCAGGACATCCTCAACCAGCTTCAGCCAATCCTGAAGGAACTCGGCCAATTGGATCTGGCAGGTCTCTTCGAGGCTCTGAAGCCACTCCTGAGCCCTGACACCATTAAGAAGCTTGTTAACATCGTCAACGGTGCCGAGCCCCTCATCGCCAGTCTTGGCCAGCTCGACCTTAAGAAGTTGCTTGATCAACTCGGCCCTCTTCTGGAAGAGCTTGGACAGATTGACCTGGCAGGCTTGTTGGCCGCTCTCAAGCCACTCCTTACCCCCGAAACTATTCAGAAGCTCGTCAACATTGTTAATGGCGCCGAGCCCCTTATCGCCAGTCTCGGCCAGCTTGACCTTAAGAAGCTGCTTGACCAAGTCGGCCCTCTTCTAGACGAGCTCGGACAGATCGACCTGGTGGGTCTCTTGAACTCTCTTAAGCCATTGCTCAGCCCCGACACCATTAAGAAGCTGGTCAACATCGTTAATGGCGCCGAGCCCCTCATCGCCAGTCTTGGCCAGCTTGACCTTAAGAAGCTGCTTGACCAAGTCGGCCCTCTTCTGGAAGAGCTTGGACAGATCGACCTCAAGGGTCTCTTGGATGCCCTGCAACCCCTGCTCACCAGAAACACCATTCTTGGAATCATTGAGCTGCTGCAGAACGCCGAGGACCTGCTCACGAAGGACTTTGTTGTCGACACTCGTGCCCTTATCAAGGGTGCCAGCCCGCTCATCGCGAGCCTCAGCAAACTTGACCTTGACAAACTCATCACGCAGCTTGGTCCGATCCTGGACGAAGTCAGCAAGCTCGACCTCAAGGGTCTCTTTGATGCCCTTGCTCCGCTCCTCACTCCCCAGACCATCTCCGGTCTTGTACAGCTCCTCGCCAACGCCGAGTCGCTACTCACCGCCGACTTCGTCAACCAGACCAAGACGCTCATCGCTGGTGCCCTCCCCCTTATCGATGCTCTCAAGGATGTTGACCTCAAGAGCCTGCTCGCGCAGCTTTCGCCTCTTCTCAACGCCCTGGGTAAGATCGATCTCAAGGGACTTCTTGATGCCGTCAGTCCTCTTCTTACCCCCGAAGCCATCCGTGGTCTTCTCGGCCTTCTCGGTAACGCCGAGGACCTGCTCACCGGCGACTTTGTCAAGGACACCAGGAGCCTCATTGCTGGCGCGGGTCCTCTGTTGGCTGCTCTTGGTGGTGTTGACCTCCAGGGTCTCTTCAAGCAGCTCGGACCACTTCTTGCTAGCATCAGCAAACTGGATCTCGCAGGCATTATTGACTCGCTCGCTCCCATCCTGTCCAAGGAGAGCATCCAGAAGATTGTTGGTCTCCTCACCAACGCTGAAGATCTGCTGTCTCCCGACTTTGTCCAGCAGACCAAGGCCCTCATCGGCGATGCTGGTCCTCTTCTGCAGGCCGTCAAGCCTCTGCTTGCTGCTCTGTCTGAGATTGACCTACCTAGTCTGCTCAAGTCTCTTGGTCCTCTCCTTAAGCAGCTCAGCCCTCTGCTGGATGCTCTGGGTGAGATTGACCTCAAGGGTCTCCTCGACGTTCTCAAGCCTTTCCTCACGCCTGATTCGATCAAGAAGGTCCTGGGTCTGGTTGGTAACGCCGAGGACCTCCTCACACCCAAGTTCGTCAATGAGACGTCTGCTTTGATCAGCGGTGCCCTGCCACTGGTCGAGGCTCTCGACAACGTTGACATTCCTGAGCTCCTCAACAACCTGAAGCCGCTGCTCGACATGGTCAAGCCTCTGCTTGGTGCTCTTGGCAAGATCGACCTCGAGGGTCTGATCGAGGCCGTCGCTCCTCTGCTTACGAAGCAGACCGTTGCTGGCATTGCCACGCTGCTGCTCAACGCCGAGAACCTCCTGACGTCTGACTTTGTCAGCAACACGCAGGAGCTGATTGGCGATGCCACGCCGCTGGTTGCCACGATATCCGACCTCTTGTCAGCCATCTTCTCAGCGCTCTCGGGCACGCCAAGCAGTGGCGGCTCGTCGTGAGTTGAGTGAAGATCCGGGGATCTTGCATGAAGGTGCAATTGCATATATGATTTTGAAGTATTTATGTTTTATATTTTTTGGCTTCTAGATGATTTTTACATGAAGCGTACGGGCGGGACCCCCCCTCCCCCCGGCACCGAGTTTGTTTTTTGACGACTGCGAAGGATAATGAAGCCTTTTCTTGTTCTTTAGAAAGAAGAAGAAGAAACAGTGGATGACTGAGATGGCCTTTGCCTACGGGCGAGGCGGGCATGTCTTGTACATGAATTAATGAGTCAAGTAAATATTTAGCTGAATGCTAAGAATATTCTACCACTATTATGATGCTCTGTGATTGTGATGACTGGGGGTGAGGGGATCGTCGCGGAAGCCGTGTTTGGCTGTTCTTGAACTATTCTTCACTCCATTTTTATCGCTCTGCAAGAAAAGTTTCTAATCCTATTTACCTTCACTTGTGTGTAGCAACTCATACTTCATGTTTACTCTTCCTTGTGTCGAGGTAGAGCCAACCAAACCAGTCCAGCTGCGAATACTCGCAATAATGGGCAGGGAAGACAGTCGCCTCGAACCGACATCTTCATCACGGACGAGAAAGATTCAACATCCGGCCTTGCTTCTTGCTGCACGCCTTGTCGGGCCACGGAGCACCCGCCTTGTGCGTGCCGGTATCATACATGATATTCTTCGGCGTCACCGCAAACTGCACCGTCCCGTTTCCCTGATGGTACGTGCTCGCCGACGAGCCCATGCTGCTATACGCGCACTGCTTCCCCCCCTTCGCCGCCGCCGCCGCCGCCACCGCCGCCGCTTCCGCCGCCTTACGGACCGTCGTCTCGCCCGTGGCGATGTCGCGGCCGCCAATGACCCGCTCAAAGTACTCGAGCGCCGCGAGCGGCTGAAAAAACGGCATCTCATGCCCGGCCTCGAAGAAGCGCGCAAAGCTGAACCCGCCGCTCTGCCGCACCTGCGCGTTGACCCGCCCGTCGCTCGTCTTCAAGTCCGCGTAGCCCGCGGACGCCCAGCCGGGGGCGGCGACCATGTCGGCGACGACGACGCTGCCGAGCCAGTTGCAGATGTAGTCGGCGTCGCCGGCCCACAGCGCGAGGTCGACGCCGGCAGCGACGAGCCGCCGCATCGCCTCGACTGACCCGGCGGTGCGGGCGCCGTCGCCGGTGGCCTGGAAGGCGGCGAGCACGGCGGCGCTGCTGGGCGTGAAGTTGGTGTGCGCGCCGATGGCGGCCTGCACGTCCGCGCGGTTGAGGTACGCGTGGTAGAAGTGGTAGGGGAACGGGTTCGGCTGCATCTGGCGGATGTCGTAGCCGTCGCGGCCGACCTCGTCCTCGAGAAAGTTTTCGCTGTTCGCGACGCAAAACTTTTCCGCCTCGTGGCACACCTTGTCGTCGCCGGTCTTGTAGCAGTCCTTGATGCCGTCGACGCAGTTGCCGGGCCCGTACAGGTTGTTGTAGAGCTTCTGCTCGGTGGAGGCGTTAAAAGGGGAAAAGTCGTAGGTGTTGCCGGGGGAGACGGAAATGTTGTAGTGGGCTTGGAACTGGACGAGGGGGTCGTACCAGCCGTTGCCGACGAGGACGCTGCGGAGGTCCATCATTTGGGTGCCGGGGATGTTCTGGGCGTTTTGCTGCAAAAAGTACTCGGCGAAGACGGGCGCGTAGTGGCCGCCGTAGGACTGGCTGACAAAGTTGAGGCCGCGACGCGAGTACTGCGGGAAGGCGCCCATGAAGCCCTGCAGCGTGCGCCACATGTTGGGCGCGGCGTTGACGGTCGAGTTGGCCGTAAGGTTGGCATGGGGCAGTGAGTAGGTGCCGCAGGTCCCGTTGGCGATGTCCGGGCAGGTGTTGTCGGGCAGCGGGATGATGGCGTTGGTCGCCGAGTCGACCATGCCGGGCACGGGCACGGCGTAGGAGAAGCCGACGTGGGTGGGCTGGTCAACGAAGAGCAAGTTGCTGGACCGCGACCACGAGTGCGGGTTGTTGAAGACGTCGCCGTGATAGTCGACGCGACAGGGACCGAGCTCCTTCCATAGGCCGTTCATGGACGAGGATCCGGGTCCGCCACTGACCCAGACGGTTAGGGGCGCCTCGGCCGGGTTCACGTCTCGCGCCTCGAAGAACCAGAAGAACATGTGCTGGTCCGGCGCGACGTCGGCGTACCCGGAGAAGCTCCGGACCTTGGGGTCCAGCTCGCAGATGCCCGGAGGCACCTGCTTGTAGCGGACGGGGACGCCAGCATACCCGGTGACCTTAGTGAAACCGGTCGGCGGAGTGACAAACTGGGCAGCTGCGTGGCTGCCAAGGCCAAGGCCAAGGCCAAGGAGCAAGCCCGGTAGTAGATGCAAGGCGACCATGCTGAAGACTACGTATATACGGCCGTATAGTTTGTCTCTGCAGCGGTGTGTCGGTAGTGTTCGAGACAGCAAGGCGAAGAAGCCAAGTAAGTACCTACCTGTTGGTTGTGCTAAAATGAACAAAGACAGCGTAATGAAGAACCCGCTCTAAGAATGGGGAGAGCATAAGTTGAGAAATGAGATTGAGCCTACGATAAAGACGGGCGGGCAATTTAAAGTATACCGTCTCACAGATGCAATGAATGAATCATTAGTTTCTGGCAAACTCTCTTTGCGAGCCAACAATACAATGCAGGGTTGCGGGCAACAATTTGATGCTGTGGCTTCTGAAAACGGCAGGTAACAAGAACAAAAGAGAAAAATAAGCCGTGGCAGATATTAACAAACTGTCGGCCTAATATCGTCACCATTATCGGAACAAGATGCTCCTGCGGCGTCGTGCCAAGGTGAGTTAGTCGGGTAGAGAAAAGATGTTAAAGTATAGCGGTTGGTACCTTGTACGCCGAAGGAGGGCCGAGGCCGAGGCCAAAGCAAGCGCTGATCTTATTTGTCATGGCTATTTTCGGGCAACTACTGGTAATAATAGGTAAGTGCCCTACCTTGTTGGGCTGGAACGGCATGCGAGTTTATTGGTTGGCCACCTCCCTTTGTTTGTTCAGTGTCTGCATGGCCCCCAGCCGCTTTCTGACCCAGTCCCTGCAGTTGATTTCCTCGTACTTTGGTTTTTCTCCCTCGGCGAGGCAGGTTTCCAAGACGCCGCAGCTCTCGTGGAATGAAAAGCCCCAGAAAAAGGCAATACTGACGCGCTCGCGGCCGCTCCAGTTCTGGGCGCGGTGGACGGTGCTCACGTAGCGGTCGTTGGTGATGCGCTGCATGAAGTCGCCGATGTTGACGACGAGTGTGCCGCGGATCGGCGCAGCGCGGATCCACTGGCCGTCTCGGTTGAGAAGCTGCAAGCCGCCTGCATCGTCCTGCCAGAGGATGGTGAAGAGTTGAAAGTCGGTGTGGGCGCCAATGGAGACGGCCGTAGGTGAGCCCCCCTGGTCCGTTGGCTGCAGAGGAGGGTAGTAGTTGACGCCCATGGCGCATCCTGGATACTGAGCCTTGACGTCCCAGGCGTTCTCGGGCAGGTCTAGAGAGAGGGCGAATGCGCGCATCAAAGTCCGCGCGAGGTGCAGACAGGCCTGGAAGTGCGCCTTGATGGCCGGTCCAAAAGCGGGCTTGTTCGTGGTGCCGGTAAAGGCGTCTTCCTCGTGACCGAAGCCGAGATGGATCCCTTCTGGGATGGCGTCTTGGTCCGAAATCTCGGGGTCCCAGCGGGGGTCGTAGCGGAGGGTAAACGTCTCCTTGGTGTCGACGCCCTCGGTCGCGTTGATGGAGAGCGAGCTGGGAGGTCTGTAGCCGTTGTTGCTGAAGCCCTTGGCCGGGGCTGGTGTGGCGAGCGACTTGACGGGTACGTCCTGCCGGAAGAAGTCAAGCGAGGCCGCGCATGAGGCGTCGGTGACGTCGAGGGGTACGCCATGGTTGACGATGTAGAAGAAGCCTGTCTTGGTGGCGGCGTCTCGGATGCGGGCGGCGACGGTCTTGCGGGCGTCGAGAGTCGAGGTGGAGGCGTTGACGAGATCGGTAACATCAATGAGGGGGACCTCGGAGGAGAGAGCGTCTCGCAGCGGGGTTTGCAGCACCGTCCTGGTGACGGGACCGTCGGGCGAGGCCAGTTGGATCGTGGTGGTGGTGTTGGCGGCTGCAGTCGGAGCGGCCATTTTATCTATTTCGAGATGGAACAGCGTCGGCTTGATGCGCGATGAGATGCGATGCGATGCGTGTCTCTTCTGTGGATGGACAAGACTGGAAAGAAAATAGATTTTATCCAGCGAGAGATTCTGCTGAAATACATGCTGACAGGTGTTGAGGCCTTGTTGAAGGGGAGGGGGTTGTGCAGCTGCAATGCAACCTCACGCACGGCAGGAGCGACCGAGACCACGATGGACTACGGAGTAGTTAGTGGTATGGTGTATACACTGAGTACAGTTCTGATACCATAAACACGGGCTTATAATCAAATAATAAGCTCAACCATGCAGCCTGTCAGGAAATAATAGATAATGGTACTTTATTTCCTGGGTCTCTCTCATCTCACCCTGACACAAGTCCCAGAGCCTTGCTTGCGAGGTACATACAAACAAACGGCCTTCACATGTCGTCCTCTTTTCGCCGTTGCTAATTATTCGCTTAGAAACGGTTGGCGCAACGGAAACTCGGTGCTCTCATTATTATTTCTGGTTACATTATCACAACAATTATTAATATCGAAACAACTCAGACACTTGCCGTTCCTTGGCTATGCAAGCATCACAAGATCACGACAGGGATCTTTGACCATTTGAGCGTTGAAGTAAGTGATCGGCATCTACCGTCGCAGTTTTCAGCCGGTCATTTTTTTAAGATGAACCATAGTTCGGATCCCCGTCAGTGCATTCCGCAGGTTGCAGCAACTACAGATAGAGATCAGACGAGGCTACCCAACTACAGGCTTCATCAATACTGGAGACTTTACAGCATAGCCCTGCAGAAGGCACACTTCCATACTGTTCATATTCATTACTATGCACGCTCTTTGGCCAAGTCTTGGAGAGCTTTTTTTTTTTCTTGCCCCTTTTCTTGCCCTTTTCCTTGACCTTTTCCTTGCCCTTTTACTTTCCTCTTTCTTCCTCTTTTTTTCCTTGGTAACAGCGCTCTCTAGCACACGTGTACACACGCGCCTCCTAGTGCCAGCCTCAGGGCCTGATCATGAGTTTCTAAACTATCTAAATACAGGGATTTTTAACGTAAGTGGGCTAGGGCAGGTACCTCTACTAGCGAATTATATAGTAGAAGTACCTTTTTTTACCCCCTATTCCTAATTATATAAGTAGTCCACTATATTTTAACGCCTAAATTATAAGGTAGCTAGTAGACCCTCTTTATTAGTATTGTATTGTATATCGTTCGGCTCGTTAGGTTTAACTTTATCATCTTTAGTAGGTCTCATGGCGTTAAAATGGCCTCTTAGGGTATAGACTAGTCAGCTTTAAGCCAGGCTTCAGCGGCGGTAGAGGCTTTAGAGCCTATAGAGGCTTTAGTGGCGGCGGCGGCGGCAGAGGCTTTAGCGGCGGTGGCGGCGGCGGCGATTAAAGAGGCTTCTTAATAGTTAGAATTAAGTCTCTAGGCCTATGAATATAGTGCTTTTAATAGTGAAGAAGCGGCCTCTTTAACTAGTATATAATAAATATTTTAGACTAATAATTATACTATATACTTATTATAATATATAGCTAAAGTCTAGCTTAACTAATAAGTTATTATTAATAAGCTATTATCCTAGGCTATAATCTTTAGGTAGATTATACTTAAATTTAATATCTAATTCTTTAATAATTATATTAAGATTTAAAAGCTTTAATAAAAGCTAAATAAAATTAAAGGGATATTCTAAGCCTATTTAAACACTAAATTAAGGTCTAGAATATTATATAATCCTATTACTAGTTTTATTAAGACTTTAAATAAGAATTAGTAGACTATTATTTATATTAAAAAGGAATATAGCCACTAGCTTTAAAGGGAGGGAATTCACTAGCTAGACCTCTATAATATTATATTTCTAGAGACCTAGGTGAGGGCTGTATTAATAAGAGAATTAAGTAAGAAGTTAAGCTAAAGAAGGTAGGATATTAGTAATAATTTAATACTTAAAGAAGTACCTATTAAAGTATTAGTAGCTATATAATTAATAGGGTTAGACTTACTTTTACTAAGCTAAAAACGAATAGTAAAAAATAGTAGTACACCTACTAGATTCTAGCTATTAGATTAGCTAATTAGTGGCTTTATAGAAGGTAGAAAATTAGTGCCTTAATAGTATAATAATAACCTATTTAAGAAGGTTAATATTAATATATAAGAAAGGATAAAGAATAAAGCTAATAATAATTAAATTAACGCTTTTTTAGATACTATAGTAGTTAAAACACACTATTTTAAGTATTATAATAACTCTATAGATAAATAAAAGAAGTAACTTTTTTAGAGGGTTATTACTAAGGAAAATGAATAAAAAAAATAATAGTATATTAATAGGAAGATAATATAATAATTAATATTATTTTAAGGCTATTCTTAGGCTTTTAATAGCTTAATTTAATACTTATAGAGGTAATAAAAAGAGGAGGTTAATTAAAGTAGAGGTATTAAGGGTGAATTTAATTAAATTCACTAAAAGGGCCTATTTTTTATATTTTTTAGTAGGTAGATAAAAAATTCACTTTATATTAATAAACACACACTTCTTTATATCTTTATCTATAATTACCCTCTTCTAACTATTCTTCCTTATCTATTTCTATCTTTTTATTATTATTATTATTATTAACTTCTTTAGTGCCTTCTAATTTATTATCTTTATTATTATTAGCCTTACTAAAGGTATTATCCTTATTAGAATTAGGCTTAAGAAGCCTAATAGCCTTATAAGCCACCTATAATACTAAGTATTCCTCCTACTATTTATTAACTAATTACTACCTATATTAATAGTTATTATTAATATTAATATATTTATTAGTATAGTTCTTAATTATCTCTATTAGGTTAGATTTTTCTCTTTAAGCCTTATTATCTTTATCCACCTTATTATCTAGGCGTTCTATCGCCTTTAAGAAGTTCTATAATCCTATATAGGTATAAATAAAGCCTCTCTAAGCCTCCTCACTATATTCTAGAATAGCTAAGTGAAGAATTCTAAACTTCTATTTAATAAATCTAAATACTTATTTAACTATTATTTAAAGGCTTAAGTACTAAAGGTTATATAATTCCTATATATTCTAAGGCACTATTTAACCTCTTTTTTACTCTTAAAGATAATATTAAACACTAATAAATAGTATAAGAAAGCCTAGTTTAGTACTAAAGTTAGTATTAACTATATAGAACCTTTTTAGTAGTATTTTAAAGCTCTTTTATAAAGTAACCTATAGTAATATAGTGTTATTATAGGACCCTTTAGTACTAGTTAGAATATATAAGAAGGTACTATTAAGCTTTATAGTATAAAGTATATTCTATAAGATATTCTCTTTCTAATTATAGTACTATTATTAGTCCTTAAGAGGTATAAAGACTTTAATATATATATTATTAATAGCCCTTATATAACTATAATAGGGCTTTATTAATACTAATTTTAATATCTTAGGGTATATAAATTCTAGCTTAAGAAGAGTAATAAAGGTATTAAATAGATAACTAAACGCCTCTAACACTTTACTAATAATACTTAATATAGTGCTTTAAACTAACTAGAAGAAGTATACTACTATTTACTATATTATTCTTTAGTTAATAATATATAAAAAAATTAGTACTTTCACCTCTAAAGAGAGCCTTTATAAGCCCTTTACTTTTAAATTATCTTATAATTAATTAATAAACTAATAGAATTATTTTTAAAGTATTTAGAAGAGCTTAAAGAAGGCCTTCTTACTAATATATAATAGCTCTTATATCCGAACTTCTATAAGTAGAGTATCTACTATATGTAACGGTGGCTCTTCTCTAATCCACAGTAAATCTGTTTCTTAGGAAGTGAGTCAGGTTGAATGCACCACAGGTGCAGATGAGCAGTATCGTAGCTTGAGTCACGTTTAGGAGATTACTCCCAATAGTAGAACTATTGCTTAGATTGATCAGTAGAGATCTAGACTACCTAGCTATGGGAATACCTCCTCCTTAAGTACTTGTCTATCCCTCTACTGTAACTCTGGATCGGAAGGCTCGACCTTCGATCCCCTAGATCCTATTCCTGGATCGATGGCTCGATGGCTCGAGTCCTCGATCCCGGGGAGATCACGTGATCTCCTGTCTTTTTGGTGGCTAGTGTGACAAGCCTTCGCCTTGCCTCTCTCAGCCCCGCCTGCACGTCCTGCAGCATTCGTAACACTATAATAACCCTATAATTTATAAGATAGAATTCGTATATAAATAATATATAAATTATATTACTAATTATATTATTATAATTACTATTAGTAGTGCTTTCTAAAACACTAATTACTACTTTAATCACTTTATTACTAGTGTTAGGAACTATCTTTTTTTTTAAAGGACTAAATAACCTATTTATTTAGTTAAAGACTATCTAAAAATCATTAAAAAATAGTGTTTTTACACTTAAATACTAAAGTGTATAGATTACCTTCTACTTTTAGGAAAGCTTTAAAGTTAGTATATTTAAAATTTATATAATTTAAATAGGGATTATTAATTTATTTAAAAAAATTAAAACCTTACCTCTTTATAAGTAAGCGCTATATAAATAACCTAGTTACGTATTTAATCCCTAAAAATTTAGATACTTTAGAAACTCATGATCAGGCCCTCAGGGCTAGAGACCTAACCTACAACCAACAAGTCTTCTCAGTGGCTTCCCATTACTGACCAACATCTACAGCCAACAGCATACCGCAAAATAAACAACACAAAACCAAAGTCTCCCACCCGAAACCGGTCAACCCAGATTATCTTCTGACAGTAGTACCCTCGGCCAGACTCCTACGACTCCCCGCTTTTCCACGGCGGCTCAGATCTCACAGCCCCGGCCCGGCGGGAAGGGAAAATACGACCCAGCCAATCACAGCGCGGCACCCAAAGGAAGGCGCGGTCAAAGGTCTTATTGCTTGTGACGGGCTATGCAAGTACCGTTTTCCGAAAGGGTGTAAAAGTATTTGTCTCGTAATTATCGAGATTATCGTTGGAGCAGCTTGACGATGGCCTCGTGCCCCTTCTCGGTGGCCCGCGATAGCGGCGTCTGACCATCTTTATCCTTCGCCTCGGCGTCGGCACCCTTATCCAGCAGTAGCTTAGCGAAAGCCTCATAACCCTTCTCGGCGACATACGACAGCGGCGTCCGACTATTATTGTCGTTCGTCTCGACGTCGGCACCCTTATCCAGCAGTAGCTTGGCGATAGCCTCATGCCCCTTCTCGGCGACATACGACAGCGGCGTCCGACTATCATTGTCCTTCGCCTCGGCGTCGGCACCCTTATCCAGCAGTAGCTTGGTAATAGCCTCGTGCCCCTTCTCGGCGACATACGACAGCGGCGTCCGACCCTCATTGTCCTTCGCGTTGACGTTGGCGCCCTTTTCTAGCAGCAGCTTGACGATACGCTGCTGTGGTCTTAGGCCATAATTTTCTTGACGTGCCATCATCAACCTCTTCTTGTTCTGTTGCTCCAGAAGCATAAGTTGCATCTGGGGATCTAGCAAAGCATGGCTGCTGCTGTTCTGAGCGGTCATTCCAAAAGGGTGTATTGCCTCGGCATATTTAGCCACCCATAACAATGGGCTTCTGCTGTGGTTGTCCTGGGAATCTGGATTGGCTCCTTCGGTTGCACGTGCCATCATCAACCTCTTCTTGTTCTGTTGCTCCAGAAGCATAAGTTGCATCTGGGGATCTAGCAAAGCATGGTTGCTGTTGCCCTGAGCGGTCATTCCAAAGGGGTGTATTGCCTCGGCGGATTTAGCCACCCATAACAATGGAGTTCTGCTGTGGTTGTCCTGGGAATCTGGATTGACTCTTTCAGTTGCGAGAAGTAGTTTGACAACGTCCTCGTGACTATTTGCGGCAGCCAATGATAGAGCTGTCTGGCCAGTATCATCCTCTGAGGCAAGGTCTAGTTTCTCGGCCGCAATAAGGCACTTAACAACGGCGTCGTGTCCATTTACAGCGGCCCATAAGAGTGGTGTCCGTCCGCGCTTATCGCTAGCCTCGACGTCTGCTCCCTTGTTAATAAGAAGCCTCGCTACCGCCTCGCGGCCGATTTTCGAGGCCCACAAGAGCGGCGTCCATCCGGTCCCGTCGCTGGCGTTAATATCTGCTCCCTTGTCGATAAGAAGCTCCATTACTGCCTTGTAACCCTTCTCTGAGGCCAAGAAGAGTGCTGTGGATCCGCGCCCGTCGGTAACCTCGACGTTCGCTCCCCCGTTGATAAGAAGCCTCGCCACCGCCTCGTGGCCCTTTACTAAAGCCCATACGAGTGGCGTCCACCCAATTTTGTCGATGGCGTTAGTATCGGCTGCCTTGTCGATAAGAAGCCTCGCCACCGCCTCGTGGCCATTCTCTGAGGCCCGTGAAAATGCCGTTCGACCCCCACCATCCAGGTCATTAATACTCGTCACTGTCTGGAGAAGCAGCTTTACAATGCCTGCCCGGCCATCCTGGGCAGCCCAAGATAGTGGGGTTCGATGTTTGTAGTCTTTGAAGTCTTTCCTGCAGTTCAGGCCCTCTGTAATATCGACTCCGCTACAGATGCTCGAGGGCGAGTTCAGAAGAGCAGCAACAGCATCTTTGTTGCCGTTGGCCAAAGCGGCAAACAGCGGGTACCCGTATCTCTCTCCAAAACGATGAACGTGCGGATCCTCTTTGAGCCTCGTGCGGATGAGCTCAGAGAATCCCTTTTCTGCGAGAAGATAGAAGAGGCTTGCATCTGGGCTGTACTCACGAACCTTGAACTTTTCGAAAAGATTGATGATACTGATCCAGTTTCGAACGGGAAAACGAGATAGAAATTCATCTTGATGGACCGCATTCGCCGCGGCGTTGGCATGGTGAAGAACATGCTGGCTGGCATACTCCAAAAACGGGTACTCCTTTGAGATTTCCGTCTGCAAGTTGGATTTGGTCCCTGACAGCAGCTTGTTAACAGACGAACCCACCAAGCTATGATTCATGTATGAGTTGCAACATTGTTTGAGTCTCTCATGGCTTGGGGCCGGGCTCTCCCAATCAAATCCAAGATCAGGCCACAATTCATGCAGACCTTTGTCTTTGACGAGAAAATCTCGAACGGATTCGTGTATGAATTGCACTCTTGGTTGCTTGGATTTCGTGATCTCAGCAAGTCCCTTCGAAGAGCTGATAACACATCTGCTAACCCTGTCACCAGCATCTGGGGCTGTAACATCTGGGACTTCAGGATCGGCCAGGCCCTTCGGTGATAAACCAGACCAGAGAGCATGGTAGAATTCCGTCGGTCGCAAAGGCCGCTTTGCGTAGAGAAGCCAGAGAATGCAAAGCAGAAGATCCTCCATATTCTCATTGTCACGCCTCAGGATGTCCTTGAACAGTTTGCTCAAGTCGCTCGGTATTTCTGCGAGTCTCTTTCTCAGAGCCAGTCCACCCCGTCCATAGTCTTTGTTGAGACTGTCGACAACGAGGACGATCCACAGAAAAACACCAGCGGCTTTCTCGAGAAGTTGAGGTTGCAGCTCTTCGAAAAGCGCGGGTTCTTTGATCCGGAGGCGGCTTGCAACGTAGTTTGCCAAGTCCTCGGCATGACCTGGCTGGTCCTCTAGCGTGAGTCGGACCCCCCGTCGTATGATGATGTAGGGATAATGTCGACTAGAGAAGCAGATTCGGAGTGCAATGCGGTTGTCTGTGGATTGTTCTGCTAGATCTTCAAAGTATTGGACCATGTCCATAACTTGTTGTTCATCACACTCGTCAAGAGCATCGATGAAGCAAGTAAACGAGCGTTGACCGAGGGCGGAAACTGCGTTGCAGAAAAGGTCCTTCAGAACATTCAAGCAAGGACAGCCATTTTGACTGGGTGAAACGAGGTCGGGATCGTCCAAGACTGTCTGGAGATCAGGATAGCCTTCGAGCAGCTGGAGTAGCAAAGATCGGTACATCCCCACGATCGACCTTTCCAGGTATTCTCCCCGAGCGTTGAAGAAGAACGAAGCAATAATAGACTGCTCGCGGCGGGCTTTGCTCTTCATACTCGACCATGCAAACTTCATGATGGTCGACTTGCCCGCACCCGGCTTGCCACTGATCCACAAAAAGCCGTGATGTTGCGTCCATTTTCCGGCATCAAGCCATACTTTGTAGTCAGAGTGGCTAAGAAACCATCGACATGTTTTGGTGTGGGCGGTTTGAACGGTGGCTTTACGAGAATCCATCTGGTCAAATCTGAGGGAGTCTAGCAATCGCCGCCGGTTGTCGTTGGATAAATCTCGATCTATACAGCGGATGTGAGCCACGATGGCCAGGACCTGCTCCCAAGTCTACTGAACTTACGAGGGTTGGGCACGTTGACAGGTTTTGTACGCGATTCAGTCACAGGTAGCACCGCCAGTAATTCCGTTGCGTATGCAGCTGCTGCAGCTGCAGCATATCTCTGCCATTGCTTGTTCTTATGAGAGTCTGAGTAATCGCAGACTCCACGGATTGGAAGACAAGGGAGAATATCCACCAGGCCGGCGGTCTCCATTTCGAAACATATGACGTCTAGTCGACGAGCAATGTTGTCCCGGACAGTGCCGCTCCTCAGGACTTGGTTCCCTGAAGCGATTGCACCATAATGTATCAGCGGATCATTCGTCATCCGCCTGCTTCGTGGCACCAGCTTTGAATGGTCGCATCCGTCACAGCCAGGCGTTGGAGATACATGATCATACGTCGCGCAGAAGAGGTAATCCGGTGAGTTCGGGTGACCGTACTCGGAGTGTCCCTCAAACTTGTCCCGCAGGATGGATGGGACCCGACTGGGCTCCAGCTCATGTTTTGCTCGTAAGCTAGACACAACTGTGCCGAGCAGCTGTTGGGGGATCTTCGGGATCGCTGTCGGCTGGAACTGTCTGTCTCCAAGAATCTTGCCCAAATCATACTGCATCACCCTCGTTCCGACAACGATGTCGCCCAAACGTATATCGGCCTTGCTCGGCACTCCACCTCCAATTCCCACCATCAAGCCCAGGCGAATCGACGGGAAGGTACGGACCAGGTGGGTCAACACATTCGCCGCGTTGTTCGTTCCGTACTGGGCTGTTGGCAAGCACGCAATGACGATGTTGTGGTGCTCTATGCTGCCGAGCGTGTAGGCGTTGCTGTCGTTCCTATGCCTTGGCAGGTCTTGGGGAACCTCGTCCAGCATGGCGCGAGCTGCTGCCATCTCTATGTGCAGCGCGCAGATCCAGGCGATAGTGTACTGATCATGTAAAGTGAGCGTCCCGTTTTGCGAGTCGTGAACCCCATTGCCCAGGTCGTCGTGAAAATTCTTTTGTCGCTTGGGAGGGTGAGGGAAGCTTGTCTCAGCATGGTCTCCGTGCCAAGGCCATCTCCCATCCATCTCGGTGAGATGTCGATCTGGCTGTGATTCACAGGCGGGACTTTGCTCGGGGTGTAACCGTCGGTAGGGGTAGAGGTAGATAAGGCGAAATGACTTGATGAAGGGCGTCTGATGAAGGGCGATTATCGCAACTGACTGTTTTCTCAGCCGCTTCGTATTTTTGGGTATGGAAGGAAGAAGGTAGAGAGGATCGAGGGCGTATCAGGCAGCCAGGCAGCCAGGCAGCCAGGCAACCAGGAATGGTGTCGCGACCAGGCCAAGGCCTACTACATGTGCATGCACTGCCACCACCACCTCAACAACATCGCAAAAGAAAGCTCATCGGAACCTCAGATTGTGTGTGGGCTCTCATGCTCTCTGCCTTGGTACGCCTCTCCAAACCACCACCAGTGTGAGCGTCCGGCGGGGCCCCTGTTACTTGACGAGCACAGTGCGGTTGACTTGGTAGTTCAGCACTGAGGCCAGAAAGTGTATGTAGGAACGCATGTAGAAGGGAAGGCCTGGAAGGACACACGTGACAGAAAGGCGCGTAAGAGCTGTCGTCGCTCGTGGGCCTATCACTCGCATTTACACGTCGTCGTAGTAATAAAAGGCCCTTAACTAGTTATACAGTAGGGCTCACAGCCACAAAAATACGGATAGCTAGGACGCGCAACTTTCAGGTATGGTCCTAGGTTAGCCTCTTACATTTCCCTTGTTGGCTCACAAGTCAACCACGGAGGTCGGCGGCTACCAAGCTCCGACCTTGGTAGGGCTGACGACGGCATCACCATCACCACCCCATGGTCGGCAGCGTGTCCTGCCCTGGCCGACATACATGATGCCAAAATCAGAGTAAATTTTACAATTATAAGGCCAATCTCTAATGTAGGTAAATGTATCAAAAATCATTGACCAGAGCGCGGCTATATTAAGACGAGTGTAACCCGGAGCCTCACTAGCCTCACTAGAACTTCATCATAACCAACGACAACTCGGATATTTCTTTCTTTCTCTTTTCCAAATTCACAACAGTAATATTATTGCGCCAATCGTTCCTTTACGTTTTATTTCCTCAAGCTTAACTTGTCCTGCCACGCCTACCTTTCCCTTCTCTCAACCTCGCTCGTTCTTCAACTCTCAACCATAAGCCAAACTCCTCACCCAAGTAACCACCACCCCTCCTCCTCCTACCCTTCCACTACATCTCACTAACACCCTCCAGCTTCCCGTCCCTCCGGCTACGTCGACCCCTCCTTCACCAGCCCCCACGGCCCGCACGACCCTGTCATCATCTACGGCTTCACGCCCTTCCTCGTCCTCGCCGCCTTCGCCGCCGCCTTCTTCGCCCTGCTCCTGCTGCTGCACACCCTGCAGGCCGCGCGCTACCGCACCTGGTGGTTCCTGCCCTTCTCACTCGGCCTCGCCTTCGAGGTCGCCGACTACGCCGCCCGCGCCCTCTCCGCCGCCCACGACCCCTACCACCTCGTCTACTTTGTCCTCAACTACTTCTTCGTCGTCACCGCGCCCGTCTTCCTCGCCGCCAGCATCTGCACGGTGCTTTCCGTGCTGATAGCCCGTCTGGGCCGCAGGCACTCGGTGCTTCCGCCAAAGATGGTGGAATTTGTTTTTTATAGTGTCGGACGTGCTGGCCACGGCGGCGCAGGTGGCGGGCGCGGCAATGATAGGGAAGCGCGAGGCGGACAGGCGGGATCCGACGACGGCGAACAACGTCCTGCTTGGAGGGCTGGCGTACCAGGTCTTCTCAATGGGCGTGTACGTGGTCGTGTCCGGGGTGCTCCTGTGGCGCGCTCGCGACGACCTGCGCCGCGACGGGCTGGTTGGTTTCGCGTGGGCGTTCGCGGCGGCGACGGCGCTCATCTATCTCCGTACAGCCTTTCGTCTTGCCGAGACGGCCGAGGGTCTGTTTGGAAACTTGCAGACGCATGAAATCTACGTTGCCTGCCTCGAGTTTGCACCGGTTGCCTTGGCTGTTTTGCTGTTCGGTTGCTTCCATCCTGGTCGCTGCATCAAGAGCGATGCCGCCGAAGCTGAGGAGAAGCTGCCTCATCGCGATGTTCCCTATGTATAAGGTGGTATACGGGTGACTTATTTGTACTTGTTGTTTTCTTTGTTCATTGCATGTCCTTTGGACCATCATTTGTACATTTATCAAATTCTTACATCTGCGTCTTAAGTTCATGAGCTCCATTTCGCACCAGCTGCTGTGTTCTCATCTCCAATCCTCCTACATGTCTGAGTCCGATTACTCCTCCGCATCGTCGGTGTAGTACTCAAATGCACCAGGGACCCCCGCCTCCTTACCGCCAGGCGGATCCGGGTCGGCCTCGACCGCAGGAGCCTCCTTGCCCTCTGCCTCCGAAGCAGGAGCCGGCCCCCCAGCGCCGCCACCCTTCGGCCCGTCCGCCCCCGGCGGCGGCAGGCAGTGCGCGCGGATCAGCGCCGTCATGGTGCGAGCCCACTCCCACGGCCGGTCCCTATCCCCCGGCAAGCTATTGAAGTACTCCCAGCCCATGATGCCGCCAAAGCCGTGCGGCCTCCTCTTCACCATCGCCAGCGTCTGCTCCAGGCTCTCCCACGCGACGAACCCGGACCCGTTCGCCGGGTTCGTCACCAGCCCGACCACCAGGCGCTCCGGCCGCCACCCGCGCCGCACCATCACATCGTACATGGCCGGCGACGAAAAGTCGCCCCAGCCCCAGTAGAACTGCGCGTTGTACCACGCAATCTCCCGCCCGCGCAGCACCTCGAGCGCCTCGTAGTCGAACCCGCTCAGGTTCGCCGTCGGGTCCAGCAGGCTCGCCGCCACCGGCGCCAGCGTGATGATAAAGTCGGGGCCAAAGTCGGCGCGCAGACGGTCAATCAGCCGCACGATCCCCGCGAGGCTCATGTCCTCCTCGACGTCGAGGTCCAGGCCGTCGAGGCCGCGCGCGCGGACCAGGTCCCGCACGGGCGCGTAGTACCGCTCGAAGCGGGCGAGCGCCGCCGGGTCTTGAGAGTCGTCGGGGCCGACGTCGAGGCGCTCGTAGGTGCCCTTGGCGGCGCCGCCGAGGAGGGCCAGGACGCGCACGCCGGCGGCCTGCAGGACGCGCAGCTCGGCCCAGGCGGTCTGGTGGCGCGGGTCGTCGGGGCTGTGGTCGTTGAGGGTCAGCGCGTCCGGGTCCTCGTTGACGTGCAGCGCGGCGAGGATGACGTGGGTGACGGCGATGCCGGGTTGCGTGATGAGGGGCAGGATGGAGATGGGCTTGCCGTGGTCGTCGTGGAGCGTCTGGTAGTAGGTGATGAGTCGCGGCAGGCCGTCCGTCGGCCGAGGCGGCAGCGGCGACATGGTGAGGAGGCAGATGGGGGAGAGGAGGGAGAGGGATGAGGAGTTGAGTAAGAAAGAAGGTTGAGATAGGATGGCGATGCTAGACGCGGGGCAACAGTGATGCCCAAGCTGAGCGCTCTGCCCCTCCCCACCTGTGTGTGATTATGCCTGAGTCGCACAATATGAGTGCAGGTGGCAAAGCAAACAAATTATCAAATGATGTATCCAGCTTTTAAATTTGCATATTTGAAAACAAATTTAGTAAGCTTATCGCCCACGGCGCCGCGCTTGAAAAGGCGCTTCAGCAAATGCCACTGCGTATGTATGTACTAGTTAGAGACGACCTCGACTCCACGCCAGCGCCTTACGAAGAGGAAGAAAAAGGGCAGAAAAGAGAACAAGATTCTAAATTTCCTTCATGCTCCAGATAGCCCGGAACTTGCTATCAGAATCCTCCAGCAACGCGGACGGAACCCCTTCTTCAATGATGCGCCCGTGGCTGAGCACCACAACATGGTCGAAATCCGAGGCAGCACCGAGGCGATGCGCAACGCAGATGATTGTGCAGCACGCAAACTCCGTCTTGATCACTTCCCACATCAGTGACTCCGTCGACGAGTCCAGACCCGTGTTGAACTCGTCCAGTAGCAGCAGCCCTCCACCTTCGCTCGCCGTCCCCTGGCTGGCCCGTCTCTTGCGTCGTTGACGAAGAATGGCTCGCGCCAGGCTAAAGAGCTGCTTCTGACCACGACTGAGCGAACCCTCCTTGAGCGGCGCATCCAGCCCACCGCGAGCGGAAATCGTATCCCACAAGCCGACAGTCTGCAGCGCATAGATGCAGTCCTCGTCTTGCGGCGGCAGTGGCTTGGCTTGTTGGATGTCGGCAAGGCTCAGCTCCGCCGGGTTGAAATGGTGCTCGAGATTGTCGCGTACCGTGTAGTCATCCGTCAAGAGAAATGGGAATTGTGGCAGTGCAATGATGCTGTCGCGCAACTTGTTTCGGTCAACTCGAGCCGGTGCAATCCCATCAATTGTAATAGATCCAGAGTGAGGAATGATGAACCCCTGTAAAAGGAGCAACAATGTCGATTTTCCACTTGGATTCATTAGTTAAGATTCACTTCTACCACTTTTACCGACGTCATACCTTCCAGTTCGGCCACAAATTAGCGTCGTCTTGCCCTTTTTGATAGAAAGCGATAGAGCCTTCAAGGCATCATCCGGGTCATGTGCCTCTATGAGGGCGAGCTCTTTCCCGGGATATTTCTTGCTAGTCCTTTTGGAATGTCAGTACTGGTTCGATAAAGAAAGTAAGCGGAACTTACTTGTAAGCAGCTGACACTGCATCCAGCTGGATGGTTCCCTCCGACGGCCAGTTTTCAGCAGATACATTCTTTTCTGGCTCATCCTCTCGGGGAACTCCATCTTGCAGAAATTTGAGCCTGTTCAGCGCCACCGCTGACGTCTGAAGGGCTGTGTAAGACTGGATCACATTTCCGAGCATCTCCCCCGCGGACATGAACGTCACGAGGGCAACACCGACTAGTCCGGTGCTGGTGGGCAACCGGCTTGCAATGCCGACAAAGATTGAGGCAATTACGCCAATGCACAAGTTGAGCATCGTTTTGAGCCACGTTTGGAGCATGGCAGAAATAAAAGACGATTGCTGCGATTTATCGAGAAGCTCGTCGTTCAAGCGAATGCTGCTCTCAGACCATCCAAAGGCGCGAATCGTGACCAAGCCGTCAAGTGTCTCTTTGAAGTGTTTGCTAAGCAAGTGTTAGATAATCTAATAGCCGTAAATATTGTGTTGAGGAAGAGAACTTACTTGAGAGGGTTACGTCCCTCCAAAGCCATGGCCCTAAGCTGCACAGCTGCGCGCACAAAAACCCTTTGCAGCTGCAAGAGGACAATGGAGAAGAAGGGATAGCCCACGAGCACAGCAGGCGATCCAAGAATAATCAGAAAAAATTGAAACAAGGTAATGAAAGTGGAGGCGACAGTGTTCCCGACTGAGTTCGTAAACTGGCTGTCAATAATGTTCATGTCCTGCGACATGTAGCCCGTCGGGACCGACGAGTCAACCGTGGTGTAATAATCCAAAGGCGCCAGGATAATCGTCTTCAGGGCTCCAAAGTGCAGCTTTGAGCTTGCCTTGGGTCCCATCACGTTGCTAGTGTAGGTAAAATATACCAGCAAAACTAGTAGGCAAGTGACTTGCAGAGCCCAGAAGGTACGGAAGTAAAACCTCTCTCGGTCCGAGTCTCCCTCTGCCGCCACCCATATCTCTAGCCAGAGCGTAGAGAACGTGAACAGAAACGTCGACACAACGGCAAGCAGAAAGAAGATGAGGAAAGTGAATGGACCGACCGCAGCAAAGTAGAAACTATAGTCGTCGCCATGACCAGGGGGAACCATGGGCAGAGTGCCTGATGCAGACTTGCCTGCAGATTTCCGAGGCTCGTCAATATCAGCCCTGTCTTTTGAGGTCTCAACTTGTGAGGATTTTTTCGTCACAGGAAGTGATCCTTCGCTGCGCACCTCAGCTGGCAGCTGTGCGGGAGAGCCAGACCATGTCACGATACCCTCCGTTAAAACAAAAGATTTGTTGAAGTAATCAACGAACTCTGTAGACTGGGAAGAAAAGATGACCGTAGTGTTGGAGTTCCTGAGAATTCCTTCTGGCCCAAATACTTGACAAGCAATACTCTCCGCAGTGCGTGAATCAACCCCGCTAAGAACATCGTCAAAGATGGCAACGTCTGGCTCTGCGTATAGGGAACGAGCCAGCGATATTCTCTTCTTCTGACCACCGCTGAGTGCAACGCCCTGACTTCCGACAACGGTTTCGTCGCCATTGGCGAGAGACGCGAAATCCGCCTGCAGCTGGCAGCAATTGACCACTTTCTCGTACAGGGCCGCCTTGAATGGCGCAAAGCCCACAATGTTTTCCCGGATCGTGCCATTGATGATGAAAACATCTTGACTGCAGTAAGACAACTGTTTGCCACGGTGCACTGAGACTTGGCCTTTCGTGTGCTTGACCTCGTCCAAAAGTCCGAGACAAAACGTTGTCTTGCCAGCGGCGACGGGGCCAACGATGTAATGGAAAGAGCCAGCAGGCATTGAGAGGTTAATGTTCTGCACTGACCATTCGTCCTCATCCCATCCAAAGCTAGCATCCACTAATTCAATGACCCCAGAGGCGTCGGTGCTATCAACGTCATCACGGTATGACACGGGGACTTGTCCATCATCATTGTCAGAGTCTAGAAATTCTTCAACGCGGCCGATAGAAGTAATGGCAGCCATGACAAATGGAATACACTGTAGAAGATGTATCATGGGATTCGAGAGAAGGTTTATGAATGCAAGCGACGTCATGACTTCGCTCATGGTGAGAGACTTGCGAGCAACGGTGAAGGTGACGATAGGGCAAAATATCATCGGCACAAAGGCAAAAGTTGCAGACGCGGTACTGAGAAGCCGGAATCGATTCCCCAGGCTAATCTCACGTTCCCTAGATATCTGAACAACACGACCAATCTGATTTCCCAGACCTGCCATCTTGATGGAAGGCAGATTCGGCAGGACAGAAGATATCAATCCCACGCGACTGCCCAGAGCGTCCATCCACGCGCCTTGTCTCTTGGCAGTAAATCGACCGGATATCGTAGAAGCGCTCGCCGACAACAATACCACAGCAAGTGGCGCCAAGAAGGCCCAGCCGATACGATGCTGCAGAAGCCAGCACCCGAGAATCGTCTCGACAAGGCAGATCCAGAATTCGTGGGCAGTCTTGGCGCCGAACTGGATCATGTTCATCTCAGAGTTCATCATGCTGAGGACCGAGGAGCTCTTTTCCGAGTACACATTGCGCCGCACTGTTTTCTGGTAGAGCGCTGGCACAAGGCACGAGCGCACCTGAGCGACCGCGCGCTCCTGGTAGTACCCGTACATGCTCGTCGCCATGGCAGTCCCGACATTGAGAAACACCACAATGCCCACGTAGGCCACTGCAGTGCCGGGAGGCAGATAGGACGCGGATTGGCTCAGGTTGTTGAGGATCGAGTCGATGAAGAACGGGTGAGCGAACTTGAATACCGACATTATTATGCGCGGCAGCACGGGTGCCACGCAGCTGCCCCCGAGGGCGCGGAGAAGAGCGCGCACTACTTTCCATCCTCTTGTTGTATTTCCTCGACTCGCTTCTTTGCATTGTATCGCACGGTAGCCCGTCATGAATCGGGTTCGATACGTCTCCGCCGCCAACTCGTCCTCCAGGGGTCCGAGGTCGTCAGGCACAACATCGTGTCTGTAGGCATGTCGCACCAAGTCGTTGAGCCACCAGAGAAACACTTTGCTAAACGCCGACCTCGGGCTCTTCTTGTCTTCTGAAACCCCCGATCGCTCCCTTTTCGCCGATATGCTCGTCAGCTCGAGAGCCAAGAGGACGGGTGTCAGAGTGGTGATGGCAGCGAGAGACCCTGTGAGACACCCCGGCGCTGCGGAGAGCCAGTGTGTGCGGAGCTGGACCGCTTCGCAGATGATTGATACGAACAGGAAGATAGTAATGGTATCCGACGGCCTCTGCATGCGAGCGTGCGCCAGTCGCAGGTGGAGGGCCAAGACCGCGGTAGATGACGTGGCCAGGGCTGCCGCAAAAACATCATAGCGGCCGCCGTACCGATTCTGGGCGAGCAAGAAATTGAGGTAGGCGAAGTGCAGCCCAAGGAGGGCCAACGCGGTGAGTGTTTTGGTCAGCAGCAGGCGGTGTGCAAGGGTGCCGCGGGCAGATGCCTTGCTGAGCTTGGCGATGCGTGTGGCCGCAATGACAATGAATGAGACATTGGGAGCAATAGATAGCGCGAGTTGCTCGAATGTCTTCGTGAAATCAAAGTTGTCGCGGCACCCGACCACGAGCGGGCCGACTCTGTCGTCGTTGAGGCAATGGCTTTGGTTCATGATACCCCCGTGACGCGCTTGTCTTGGACGCTAATACCACGTTTCTTTGGCAATTGATTCACCAAAAACATGGGAAATGACGCCGAGATTAAATACAATTGGAAGTTAGGGAGTATACGTAACGAATTCGGCCGCCTACAATGACGAAGAGTTGCCGCCTGATAATTATTAAGTTAATAAACAGCCAATGCAGAAGGATCAACATCTCCACTGCAACGAGGCTGGGCCGTAGGCAGAGGCCATCGCGTACCCCCTCAAGCGTAGAGGTACCACGGAGGGCAATGTGTGGCATGACCAAGGCAAATGATCGTGTTTATCAATAAAAATTGTAATTTCTCTTCTAATTTTCTACATCAGGAAGCTAGCTGCATTTTTCGTGGCAGATTCTCAAAATGGTTTGTAAGCGATGTACATTATTATTCCACGTTGCCAAACAACCGCCCACTTCTTAGAAACAAGCTACCCACGGGTCACAAACGGCTTGAACATGGTAGTTGTTGTAGTCTGGGAAAGTTCCCTTCATCGCCTCGAGGATGGGGTCAAAGAAATTGGCATTGAATCGGGCAGTCTCGCAAGACGAGCATGGGTTCGCGAGGAAGGTATCATACTTGGTGGTGTACGACAAATGGCCAATGACTTTTTGAGCGGCAACGTCTGTTGCAGTGAGGGACAGTGACTCGGGCATGACAACCCAGCTGGGTGTAGGAACGGTTGCATTTGTGGAGATATTGGTGCCGGGAATGATGGGATTCTGATTGAACCAGAGGCTGTCCATGCCGACATCTCGGAGAGCCTTGATGAGCTGAAGAGTCATATGTGTGTCCGAATCAATCTGAACGCCAGAGCACTCAAAAGTAATGGTATACCCAGGGCCTCTGAATGGTTCACCAACGCAGTTGCCAGTGACTTGGTCCCAGACAAAGTTGTTGATAAAGGTACCCCAGTTGCTGGGCCAGTTGATGAATCGAGGGCTCAACGCAGCATCAATGCCGAGAACCTTGCTAGCAGAGGACTCTGTAGGAGCAGGCTGTTGGGTGAAGTCGGACGTGCTTGGGGCAGTGGTAGAAGGACTGGTTGATGTAGGAGTCATGTCAGAGGGGCGATTGGGAGAGGTATTGTCGCTGTTACAAACAAAGGCAGACCAGCAGATGGCATCGTGATTAGCGGTCTTATTGACGGCGGCACTGATGGGTCTTCCGTGGTAAGACCAACAGTTTAGCGTCTCGCCGTCTTTGTGGACAGCATTGCCAGCCTTGAATCCCTCGGGGGTTTGTTCTTCGATGTAGACGCTCCAGACATCACCATTGGGCATTGTCTCGGTGGCGCCATCTGGGTTCCAAGGATAGATGCCATTACCAAATGGAACTTCAACAGCCATCTCAGGTGCTGCCGGGTATTTGTTGGCTGAGTCGGGCCAAACGAGAGACTTATACCAGTTCATCTGGCGAGAGGTCGACCATGATGGCTGATCTTTGTTATCACCGATGCCACAGTCACAAAGGATCAAGGTCTCGTTGTCGGTCTTTTGAGCATGGCTCAGGGATGCGAGGCCATTGAGGATGGCAATTGCCGTGGAGAGCTTGAGCATGGTTATCTGGAAACGGCGTGTCAGCATGATATCTTTGTAAAGGAGGGTGAATTTACCGTCGTGCGAGAGTCGAGGAAATGTCCTGAGTGTTTGCTTGGTAGCAACTGTGTGAGCGCAAGATGAAGAAATTTGGAATCGAGAATCACGAGAGAAGAGGGATGAAAGAAGGATAAATAAATTCAGCTGTGAGAGGAGAGAAATGTTTAAAAAGGCCACAGGATAATGTTGAGGTAGGCAGCTGGCAGTCCTTCTTGTCTGCCAGCTGGCAGCAGCTGTCAAACTCGCTTGATTGCTGGCCATCAAACATCTCCAACCACTCAAATTGCAGAACAGATGGACAAAAGCCTCAACAAAATACACGAGTGGTGTGATGTGGCTCTTCGAGGCGAGCTCGTTAGGCTGCCCGTGAGGGTACTGGTTTTTTGTTTTGGTGGTCGTGGCCGGTTGATGGACAGTGTTGTAGGATGTGTGCTGAAGCATTGATGGATACCCGTGAACAATGTACTGGCCTTCGCTGCTCCTAGGCAGGGAACGGATATATCCGGGAAAAGAAAACAGAGAAGATAAAAAAACAAAAATCTAGATAGAATAAATTGCCTCGTATTTTGACCCTTTCCCTGGATACGCTTGCATTAGGAGGATGATGCAGGTATAGGGTATGAAATCTGCAGGGCAAGTCGATACTACGCAACGCGCCACTCTACTTAGCTTCAGCCGAGCTACCTCTTCTCCTCCTCATTATCTCTCCGACCGGGGCTACACCCTCGACGCCCAACCACAATGCTTCGCCGTCAAATCCTCTCGAACCGACACAACCTGATGCGGCGCCCGACGCCCAGAAGCTCAGCCAGGCTGCCGGCCCCGGGTCGCTGCCGATCCACCGAGACCCCCAACACGGCCAAGATCGATCGCATCACCTCGAAGCTCCCACGGCGACTGCAGAAATACACGCAGGGCCTGCGCAACGCGCCCGTTCCACACGTCGTATCGTTCCTCATCCTGCACGAGCTGACGGCCATTGTGCCCTTGGTCGCGCTGTTTGCACTTTTCCACTACACCACGTACGTGCCGCTGACGTACGTGACGGAGCACTTCGGGAGCTACGTCGAGGCGGGCGTGTCGCGATTTGAGAGGTACTTCCGTCGTAAGGGCTGGTTTGGATTCGATGAAGGTGTTTCCGGAGAGACTGTGAAGCCGATGCAAGAGAGCTTGGAGCAGCCGCAGGACGCTGTTGGCAAGTGGCAGACCGGTGAACCGAAGTACAAGATCTTGGTGGAGGTTTCTTTGGCCTACGCAATCACTAAAGCACTGCTTCCCTTGAGGATCGTTGGCAGTGTGTGGGCGACACCTTGGTTTGCAGGTGTTCTCATCAACCTACGAAAGCTTGTATTAAGGAGATAGTATTTCCATCTCATCGTACTTATTTTCAAGGCATTTCCTTTTTTTATTTATCTATCGTGTAGAACCCGGTAAAGAGGCATCGGAGATCCCCCGCTCTGTTACTCGAAGCTTGGCACACGGGGAAGCTTAAGCCTTCTCATAGATCCAGTCGAACTGGGAAGACTTCCAGCTGATGAGGTCCTCCTTCTTGAACCAGAGAGCAATCTCCTTCTGGGCGTTCTCGACCGAGTCGGAGCCGTGGCAGACGTTGCGGCCAACGTCGATGGCGAAGTCACCACGGATGGTGCCGGGAGCAGAGGCAAGGGGGTTAGTGGCGCCGAGGATGGCTGGTAAACAGTAAGAGTTAGTTGAGGCAAACATTAAATTGCAGCTGGTACTTACTGCGGCCGGTCTTGACGGCATCACGGCCCTCCCAGACCATGGCGCAGATGGGACCAGAGGACATGTCTAGGACTGTATTAGCGGGGTTGTATACCCAGGGTCATCGGACGTTCATACACTGGATCAGACCAGGGAAGAAAGCCTTCTCCTTGAGGTCGGCATCTGCAGCCGTGTTAGCACCTCGAATCCATGTTGTTATTGTTGTTCGCCAAGCTTACAGTGAGTCTCGAGGTGCTCCTTGGAGGGAGAGACGAGCTTGATGGCAACAAGCTTGAAGCTGGCCGGGGTTAGAGTGATTGGTATTTGCATCGCGGGGTAACCACCTACCCGCGGTTCTCGAAGCGAGAGACGATGGGGCCGACAAGTCCACGCTAAGTCCTCGATTAGCGATATTGCCACAACAGACGAGGCTTAAATACATACCTGGACGCCGTCGGGCTTGATAGCAATGAAGCTATTGCGGTGTTAAAAACTTGCCGTGGTGGGATGGAGGGGTAATAGCGGGGTGGTGCTCACGTCTGCTCGGTAGACATTTTGGCGAATGGATCGGATGATACCTTGGGGAAAGGGGTTGAAATGTGAGTAGTTTGAGATTCCGAAATGATGGAAATAGAGTCAGACTCTTTGTTTTGGATCGGAAAGAGGAGAAAGCAGAAACCAAGCAAGAGAAAAGGTAGAAGGAAAATTGGTGGGGGCAGGGTTACGGTGAGAGGCTGCCAGAGTGGGCGGCTCAAGCCGTGGACCTCTCTGGTGCTGGTGGTGCTGGTGCTGGTCGTTTTCTGAGCGGGGTGGTGTTTGTCTGGCATTGTGTACACTGTACAGTGTCGGAGAATTTTTGCAACGCGTTGAGGAGGTACAGGTAAGATATCGTGTCGGGACTACGCCAGATCGTGGAAGCTGGTTAAACGCCAATTGAAAAGAACTGTAGATAGGAAATGTAATGGGTATGATAATATTATGTTTGTCGTATTGCTGTTATGCTCTGCATCGAGCTCAATCAATTCATGTGTCGAGCTCTCGCACAGTGCGCAGGAGCGGCAGCCCGTCATTGAGGTTGGGCACCGAGGGGAAGGGATCGGTCGACAAAAAGACTAAGCCTATTTGGACAGATAAGGCAGGATAAGATAATGATAAGGGGTCCTGATAAAGTCTCAGGAGAGCTCCAAGGCACTGGAACGATTGAGCCATTCTGATTGGCTAATTGTTTACTTGGTGCGGCGCCCGGCTCTCTTCATGGGTGCCTGACTCGAGCTGCATGCCTGTTTCTCCTGCAAGTAGGTACATATGTATGTATGTACCTCTTTAGCTGGTGTTGTGCAACAACGGGGTTACGCTAACTATAACAAGGGTTTAGGCATAACGGGGATGCAACGACAAATCGTTGACGGCCTGTATTGTTAGGCAGAAATGATGCGCTGAGCTTCGGCAACTTGCAGCGCCACAAATGATTATCACGGGCAAGTTATAACTATGTATGTATGGAGAGCTGAAAGATGGCTCGCTCAGCCTTTTGCCACTCATCTGCAGGTAAAATGAGGACCAAATTAGTTTATGCCCTTTTTTAGCTCGGCCAACACCTGACGCAACTCGATTGAATCAGGGTCGGCAAACATGCCAGTGGTAATCTTCCGTGATTCTATCTCGTGATGGAGGTCGATGGCCCCCGCGATAGCTAGCGCCCTCTGACCACTGCTCAGGCATGTGCAGCCTCGAGGACGGGGGTAATACGAATCGACGGGCCTAGGCCTCTTATAGTATTACCAGTCGCCAGCGAGATGACAGCTTCAGGGCCAGGTAAGCCGCGGAGGCTCCCGAGCGCAACCTTGCACACTGCATTGCGACGCAGAGGGTGCACTTCTCAACTCCCGTCCCCACAGCGACAGCGCTGATCACGGACATATGTACTAGCAGCGTCCTGGACTATTGGCAGACTATCGACAAGGGTAGGAGTGCGCACGGGTGTTGTTTGAATGAATACTGACAATGATAGGAGGAAAAGAAAAACCCCCAGAAGGAATTCTCCAGACTGTCAGTCTTGTCTGTCGCTGGGGTGGGAACGGCGGTGACCAGGATTCCAAAAAGGAGATCAACGCGACTGAAGGAGAGACAAAGTGAATGACAAAAAGCAACAACACAGGCCAAGAAGCAACCAGAAGAAGAAAAAAAGTCATGGCAAAAAGGGTCAGTGCTACCAAAAATAGTCCCCGGCAGCGACCGTGCCCACAGCCGGGGTCAGGAACCGGTGTGATGAGCCGAAGCCCACTCCGTGCCCGATGACAGGTGATAGGCCTAATGCGAGGCTGGGCTGCTTGCTTCTGCGCACGGACTGATTGCCAGGAACAGACAGCGAGCCATGTCTTACGGTAATATCTCGACTGCAGGCTGTAATTTACATCAGTTGTGGCGTTTTCTCAGTCCTCAGTCCTCGGCACCCGGGAAAGGGGGTGTTTCTTGGCCAGAGACACCCCCGAGATTCCGTATATTAAAGGCAGCGCAAATCCCTCTCTTCGGCAGAGACCCTGTTTCATCAGCAGTGCAGCCGTCAACTTCGTTGTCTTTACTTGTTTTCTTTTGCAACTACTTTGTTGCCCCAACACTCGTTACTTCACTCCCTTGGTTTGCTCTTCGCCTGTTCAGTCATTCGTTCAACGACTCGCACATAATCTATAATGAAGCTCACTGCTGCTCGCGCCGTCATTGGCGCTGCCGTCCTCGGACGTGCTGCCGTGAGTCTACAGCCCGGTTTCATGTATATACCCTTATAGACCGGACACTAACACTGGAGCAGGCCACACCCGGCTTAATCGATATCCCCGTTGGTCTTTGCCTGGGTGTCTTGGGCGGTGCCTCTTGCAACCAGAAGGCCAGCACCGGCGACGGCCTCGTTTCCGTTCCTATCAATGCCTGCGTCGGCGCCATTGGCAAGGCCAAGTGCGACCAGGCCGCCACCACCGGCGATGGCAAGAATGGTGGCAGCCTGATCAGCGTCCCCATCAACCTGTGCGCCGCTGTTCTCGGTGAAGCCGCCTGCAACCAGAAGGCCCAGACCTCCGGCGGTGGTCTTGTGTCAGTTCCCCTCAACGCCTGTGTTGCTGTCCTCGGTGAGACCAAGTGCAAGCAAACGGCTACCACTGGTGCCGGTAGCCTGATCAACGTTCCCATCAACGTCTGCGCCGCTGCCATTGGCAAGGCCGAATGCGACCAGAAGGCCACCTCTTCCGGTGGTCTTGTTTCTATTCCCATCGACGCTTGTGTCGCCGCTGTTGGCGAGGCCAAGTGCAAGCAGCAGGCCTCCACTACCGGTGACAGCCTCATCAGCATCCCCGTCAACGCGTGCGTTGGTATCCTGGGCAAGGCTGTTTGCGACCAGGCCTCCAAGAGCTCTGGTGGTCTCATCTCCATCCCCATCAATGCCTGTGTTGCGGCTCTCGGCGACGTTGCGTGCAAGCAGGTCATCGACGCTGGTGGCAAGGATGGCAAGGAGCCTCTGATCAGCGTCCCCGTCGACGTGTGCGCTGCCGTTCTTGGTGAGGCCAAGTGCAAGCAGACGACTGGTCCTTCTGGCGGCCTCGTCTCCGTCCCCATCAATGCTTGCGCCGCTGCCGTCGGCAAGGCCAAGTGCGATCAGTTCACTCCTGGCGGCGCCGGTAGCCTTGTCAACGTCCCTATCAACGCCTGTGCTGCCGTTCTCGGCGAGGCTCAGTGCAAGCAGACGTCTGGTGGCCCCGGCAGCACCGGCGGCAGCGTCATCTCTGTCCCTACAAACCTGTGCATTGCTGCTCTCGGCTCTGCCAAGTGCCAGCAGACGACTCCTAGCGGTGGCAGCAACGGCGGCTCCCTCATCAACGTTCCCGTCAACGTTTGTGCCGCTATTCTCGGCAGCGCTCTCTGCAACCAAGGTTCCGGCTCTGGCAACACCCCGGGCGGTGGCCTCATCTCCATCCCTGTCAATGTTTGCGCTGCTGTTCTTGGCAAGGCCCAGTGCACCCAGAGCACTGGTGGCAACCCTGGTACCACCCCCGGCGGCGGCCTCATCTCTGTTCCCATCAACGCTTGCATTGCTGTCCTTGGTAAGGTCACCTGCGACCAGCAGCCCCCTGGCGGCAGCGGTCTGATCAACGTCCCCATCAACATCTGCCTGGCTATCCTTGGTGAGGTTGAGTGCAACCAGAAGCCCGTGATCACGACCACCGCCACCACCACTCCTGCTGTCACCACTACCTCTACTCCTGCTGCCAGCACCACCACCACTCCTGCTGGCTCTACCTCCACCACCACTCCTGCTGGCTCTACCTCCACCCCCGCCAGCTCTGCCTCTTCCACTCCTGGCAGCTCGACCAGCTCTGCCTCTTCCACTCCCGGCAGCTCGACCAGCTCTGCCTCTTCCACTCCCGGCAGCTCGATCGGCACTGGTTCCTCTACCACTCCTGGCGGCTCTACCAGCACTGGCTCCTCTACCACGCCTGCTGGCTCTACCAGCACTGGTACTGCTACCACTCCTGGCGGCTCTACCGGCACTGGTTCCTCTACCGCCAGCACCGGCACTGCTACCACTCCTGGTGGCTCTACCGGCACTGGTTCCTCTACCACCAGCCCTGCCACAACTGGCCCTGCTCCCTCCGAAAGCCTGATCACGACCACCGTCTACACGACCACTTTGATCACCGTCACCCACTGCGCCCCCACGGTGACCAACTGCCCTGCCTCTTCCACCGTCACCAGCCAGACCGTTGTTCCTGTCACCACTGTCATTTGCCCCAGCGGCAGCGCTTCCACTGGCGTTCCCACTGGCCCGGCCACCGCCACTCCCGTCGGCCCTGGTGCTCCCTCTACCTTCACCACTGTCTACCCTGGCGGCAAGCCTACCGGCCCTGCTCCCGGCGGTAACCCCAACCCCAGCAACCCTGGTGGCAACCCCAACCCGGGCAAGCCCTCTGGCTCTGCTCCTTCCGGCGCTGTTCCCACCGGTCCTGGCTCCAAGCCCAGCAACCCCGGTGCTAACCCCTCCGGTGCCGTTCCTACCGGCCCTGCGAACCCTCCCAGCGGTGGTGTTCCTACTGGCCCCTCCAAGCCTGGCAACCCCGGTGCCAACCCCACGGGTGCCGTTCCTACCGGCCCCTCCAAGCCGGGCAACCCTGGCGCCAACCCCTCCGGCGCTGTTCCCAGCTCCCCTACCAAGCCCAGCACTCCTGTGACTGCTGGTGCTGGCCGCCTTGAGCTTTCTATTGCCGCCGTTGTTGGTGTGGCTCTTCTTTTGTAAATGGTCTCTGCGTCCTCGCGGGCACAGCCATATTAATGTACATCCGAACTGTATTACATTGTGTAAAGACTCATTTATAGATTTTGATTGGGGAACAATTTTATTTTATTATTTATTTGAATGGAAGTTAGAATTTTTACTCTTGTCCCAATCTTGAACCTGGGTGCGTTTGGTGCTCCTTTTTACGAAGCCGTTGCCCTCTTGCAGGGACTTGCCCAAATGTTGACGCGTTAGTGGTGAAGTTCCATATTTCGACAAGGATCTTTCTCTGTATGAAGAGACATCCTGATTTGCCATCATAGCCAGGCAAGGTGACAACACCGACGAAGCATGTGATTTATTAGGAGGTACATCCTAGTACTGCCGGCCGCTCTTGTCGCCAGCTGTTCCGACAGTCGCTCAGACGGCTTGTGTCGACTTGGCGCCAAGTTTTGAGCCTGACAACTAAGAATAAATGTCTCGGAAAAAGCCATCTTCATACCTGGTTGGGCAGTGTGGTTGGCGCAGAACCTCTACAGACTCTTGCTCTGGCGCGTTCTCTGCGTGTCGCTATGAATTACATGACACCCCCAGCCATTTGGACTTCCGCCAGTAAAGTTTTGCGCATGAAACAATGTTTAGCATTCTTGGCTTATTAGTAATGTAGAACAAAAAGCGACATTGGCAACGTTGTACGGATAGATCACATCTTGATGGCTGTGGCTTGAGTTGAGATGCTCGACTCTGTATGTGGAGGGACGTTCTTTTCCGACTATGCAGTTGAAGAACATACAAGAGGTAACACATGTGGATTACAAGAAACATAATAGTGATTGATAGCAAGATCGATAATGACAAGTCTATTAGGCGCCATCTCCGTGACAGCAGTGATTAACTTTGGTCATCGTTGATCTGTCACAAGTCTTACCATCTTAGCTCGCCCTTGAGCAAAACTTTATTAAAGCGCAGTCATATATCACAATGACAACAACCATCGGAATCATTGGCGCCGGCCACGTCGGCTGTGCGCTCGCGTTCGATCTCTCCGCGAGAGGGAACGATGTAGTTCTCAGGACCATGGCGGGCCATCCAGGGAACACTCCCAAAGATTCTGGACAATATCGGCTTCCTGGCTGCCACTGGGAAGTTCAAGGGTTGTGGTCCCGTTCGAGTCGGCGACGGGCTCTCACAGCTGATAGAGTCAATCATTTTGGCCGCCATTCCCTCCACAGGCATCAATGACCTCCTCGACGAACTCTCCAGACACGACCTGAGCGGCAAGATACTCATCTTCATCACCAGCAACTCCGCCGCCGTCAAAGCCCATGTCATGACCAACGCGAGAGCCTTCCTCGAGACAGCCACCTCGCCGTACAGCTCTCGCGTCAGCGCCGACGGCAGCGTCAGCGTCCGCGGCGTCAAGAAGCGGCTCGCCCTCAGCGTCCTCGCGCGCGACATGGCCCCCGACGACCTCACCAAGAACGCCTCCCTCTTTCGGATGCCCATCGGGTGGTGCCCCAGCGTACTCGAGACCTTCCTGTCCGGCGTCAACGGCGTCGTGCACGTGCCGACCGCGCTGATGAGCCTCGGCTGGATGGAGGCCACCGGCGGCGACTTTTACTTTTACCGGCAGGGCATGGGCCCCGGCGTGCGCGTCGCCTCGGTGGTGGACACGTACAATCGCAACTACGGCACCAGCGCGGCGACCTTTTGCGAGTTCGTGGGCGCGACGGCGGCGCACAACGCGACAAAGGACGCGCAGAGGCGCTTCCTCTACCAGGACGTGCCCTGCTGGCTGGTGCTCTGCTCGGAGCTGGGGCGGCGCGCGGGCGTGACAACCACGTCCATCGACACGATGACCGTCTTGGCGTCGATCCTCACGGGAAAGGACTACAGGAAGACGGGCAACACGCTCAGGTCGGCTCGGCCTGGACGGCGCTACGGTGGAGGAGGTAATGATGGCCTTTCGAGGTGGCGATGTCGGTGGTGGCGGTTGTGTGCAGCAGGCCCAGTTTCAGTGGCCGGCTGCTCTGTGATGCCGGGACCCTGCCAAGATGTGATTTCGGATGTATACGAAAGATAGTGGCACGACTGAGAGATGTTCAGAGTAGTTACGAAATTGAGACTGTTCTTCCGTCCTTGTGCGACGTGCTGGGTGGTGATCTCCTCTACTCCGAAACTCGTCGACATGCGACGGACGCCATTTGTTGGAACGCGCATAGCTGGATAGAAAGGGCCCATGGAAATGCGGCGAAGACTGCACTTGATGACTGGGAGGATGGGCAGATACGCCACATTGCGCGTCTTACGTCGCTGGCCGAGAATCCGTACGAGATGCCGTACATGGCCGGCGAGATGTAGCCAAGTGCGCAGTCGACTGGACTAGTTGTGCAGTCTACTTGTCAGATCTCATGAGAATAAGATTGAAGATCAATATCTACAAAAATCCACCCCGCTTTCTTCTGTCCGTTGCATCTGGTACAGATCCAAGTAGGATCAGCTCCTATGGTGGCGTTTGGTGATAGGGTATAAGGCTGCACTATGCTCGTAGACAACGAAGTTTGTGTTCCCCTGGTGATCACGCAATTACTCCATACGCTATGGATGTAGTTTAAACAAAGTTGCGCTTGCAATAAACATGCATAATTACGGTCCTGGTAGCTTGGCGGCGCATGTCTCGGGTGCTGTACGGCCGATGCCAGTGCCAAGACATGCATGGCGCCTCCTGTTCTCGCAGTGGGATTCGCGTTGACGGAGTACGTGTAATTCGTACGAACTATACAAAGAGACAACTGAACTGACTGCCACTGCGTATTTGAGCGCTCGAGTTGTACTGCAGGCGGTGACGTGGCGAAAACACCGAAGCCTGTTTGCTGCGCCAGGACGCGGCCGTACCAAGTACTGATTCTTGCAGAAAGCTTGGCTACAGCACTCTGCTTGCGCTGATTCGAAACGGGAGCAATCTCGTCTTTCCTGAAAGACCAGCAACTGCAGGCGAGTATTGCCGCGTCCTACGCTGACCAAGCAAGTGTGCGAGCAAGTTCTGAGATGCGCGAACGGGTGACAGGATGAACCGACCAAGGCTTCTAGTGACGACTTCAATGCACAGGTCAAAGAAGAGAAATGTAAAAAAACAATAAAAAATGCAGATCCACCTTGATAGTGCAGTAGGCATGGAGTAACTACTGCGCAGAGCTCCTGGCTTTCTTTGTCACACCAGTTGCTCCAAACTCCAGTGTGAACTGAAGCACGTCTGACTTGTGAGCCCAGGTGCATGATGATTGCATGCATGAATGATTGAACAAGGTTTGCCTTGAAGATTCATCTCGTTCATCACAGACGTGATAGTGCTCAGTCTCATACGGCTCCGAGACCGGCCCATTCGTTCCTGCCACCGCGATGCAAGTATGGGACCTCCCGCGACTGAATTTTTGCAATCCAAAATTTGGCCCATTCAGACTCACAACTAAAATGAAAACTTAACCATGGACACTTCTGCTTCAGAAAAGTCCTTCTCCGCAGGCCGGCTCATCAGGCGGGCTGGAAGCGGTATTTCTCAAGCCGCGATCCTCACTTGGAAATGGTCAGTTCCATACCGGAACAGAAATCTGCCCAAGATGATGCCTATGCGTCTATTTGGAAAATTGGAGTCAACGAGGCCTGTACCCGTGCGGTTCTGCACAGTGCATTCCCGGATGTTGCGTTGGATCAGCTGCCTGTCGAGGAAGAGCACGTACGCCAGCTGATACCGCAGCGGCTTTCACCAAGAATTGATACGCAAGAAACAATGTGCGACAAGGAAGCTCGCCAGAAGCAGTTGTGGGAGCGGGAACCAGAGGAAGCTTGGCCGCACGTCCCAGAAAGCATTCGCCATATGTTGGCCGCGTCCAATGCTCAAAACATGGAAAATAAACTGCAATTCCTCAGTGAAGAGGACTACCATCCGCCCCAGGGGCTGGGGGCCTTTCTCCGATACAAGTCCGCCATCAGCAAGATTTTGAGTATCTGGAGACGCGGCTTTGCGGCCGGTGTGAGTCGCACTGAAAGAGTCGGAGTCAACGTCTTCTTCCTGTTTCTCGTCTTTTGCGCAGTCTATCCAAACGTCGCAGCTGGATTCCTCGACGAGTGATCTTACAATCAGCGCTCGATTAACAGAATCATGACGCTGTTCCAGCTGCTTTTTCTCTGGACATTCCCATACCATATTCTATGATTGCTCTTCAGCTGGAGTCTCGAAAGACTCCTAGGTGGCTTGGTGGGGAGCACTTCGTATGCATTGGACGCCATCTTTCCTGCTGTCAAGGTTGCTCACAAAGAGCCCTGGTTCTGACCATTGCTTGGCAAATGGGCGTTCAGTTCTCCCCCACGATCCTTAACTACATTGCGCGACTCCTGACGCGGCATCAGATGCGCCGCCTGCGACGGAGCGGTCGGAACGGAGAAGCATACTGGGCTGCAGTTGACAAGGCTGTCGATCGCGAGCTTGTCTCGCTCGAGGCGTACGTCGAGCAGCAATCGGAACCCAGCGCTGGCCCACAATCGTGGCAAGTGGTGCCGATTAAGGTGCCGGTGGAGAGATACATCCGATTCACACGCTGCTTCAGAGTTGGACGCGGAGCCGAGCAGCTTATCAGCCTCCTAAAAGATGATATGGAGGGCATCGTGAATGTCTATCAAGACCACCTCTGGTCTGCGAGGCTACTCCAGATGAATCAGCGTCGGAAAGGGCAGTCAAAGATCCCATGGAGCCACGGCTACCCAAACTCGTGTTGGTCATTTTCGACGTTGTGGTGTTTGCGTACGTCTGCTTCTCATTCTGGTCGCAGCCGTTCACCTTCAACACGGTCGCGGCGTACAGTGCCGTTCTGGTCCTGAAGCAAAGTATTTTCCTCTGCAAGGGTTATCAGACAGTGGTCGCCGCAAGCAGGCTTTCCACCAATATGGTCGCGTTCAATATTTGGGGTATTTTTCTGGTGTCCTTGCCTGTCACCATTGACGAGAATGTGCCAAGACAATGGTAACTGGGTTGCGCTAACTCTGGCCATGGCGATTGCAACAAACTTTTTGGTTGAGCCTGTTGCGCCCGTTTTCATTTTCCTGGCTGAGAAGATGATTGCTTGGTGCAGTGGCTTGAGAGCAAAGTCTGTTGAGAACTCTAGTTACTGGTAGACAATGTACCTAATTGGCATACCAAGGGGGCGGAGGGTTGTTGAAACGCGTCATTGAGGCCAGCTGCAAAAGAGACCCGATTTCTGCTTCGTAGAATCAATTGAAAGATTTTTAAGACTTTGAAGGCATTCAAATGAACTTGGACGCATGCCACTTTACATTGAGATTTTATTCTAAACAGAAGAACGCATTTTTTCGCCCACATCTTCAACCAGGCACAAACCTGTCGCAGACTCGAAGGCGCTAGTCTCATTTAGGGAGCTCCCCTGGAGGGACAGCTTGTCACAGACCGAGGGGTCTTGTCTGTCTGCAATCAACATCACCTTGTCGCCATCTATCTAATCCAGGCTGGCAGGACTGCAGATTTGTGACGTACTGTATCTGCAGATGCCTAGGAACTAGTCCACCTTGTCTATTTATTTTTTTCTTTTGTAGCCCACAACCCGCTGACGCGAGCTCGTCACAATGGGGCTGCGTTCGCCATGGACAACACTGCTCATCGCATTGGGCATTTTCATGTGCCTTGTGATGCCCGGAGGCAAGCCAATTCCACATCGTTGAAGCGCCCATATGCGTACTAACATGCTCCAGTGTCTGTCAAGGAACACGACTTCAAGAAATGCGACCAATCGGGCTTCTGCAAGCGTAATCGAGCATATGCCGACAAAGCCACCGCCGAAAGCACACGATGGCAATCACCATACCAAATTCAACCTGCATCCGTATCATTCAAAGACGGCCAGCTACATGCCGTCATCCAAAAGAGCATCAACGCCAAGGGCGACACCGTCAACCTACCAATCACCGTCTCATTTCTCAAGTCTGGAAACGCTCGCGTGACGGTCGACGAGGAACGACGACAGAAGCAGGACATTGAGCTACGCCACGACAGCAAAGTTCGAAAGGAGAGATACAACGAAGCCGAAAAGTGGGTTCTTGTCGGCGGACTGGCCCTCGACAAGGATGCCAAGGTGTCTCATCAGGACGACACCCAGACGAACGTCCAGTACGGCAAGGAGGGCAACCTGGAGGCTGCCATCAAGTACTCGCCCCTTGAAATTGATTTTCGACGCGACGGCGCATCGCACATCCGATTCAATGACCGTGGATTTCTCAACATGGAGCACTGGCGTCCCAAGATCGAAAAAGAAGAGGGCCAGGCGGACACTGACGGGGAGGACGAGTCGACCTGGTGGGACGAAAGCTTTGGAGGCAATACCGACTCCAAGCCCCGTGGCCCCGAAAGTGTGGCCCTCGATATTTCGTTCCTTGGATATGAGCACGTCTTCGGCATTCCTGAGCACACTGGTTCTCTCTCGCTGAAGCAGACCCGCGGCGGAAACGGCAACCACAACGAACCCTACCGAATGTACAACTCTGACGTCTTCGAGTACATTCTGGATAGCCCCATGACGCTTTACGGATCTATCCCGTTTATGCAAGCCCACAAGAAGGATTCCACAGTCGGCGTCTTTTGGTTGAATGCTGCTGAGACCTGGGTTGACATTGTCAAGTCCAAGGCTGCAAGCAATCCCCTGACCCTTGGAAAGGCTGGCAAGACCAACACTGAGACACATTGGATCTCCGAAAGTGGCCTGCTCGACGTCTTCGTGTTCCTTGGTCCGACCCCCCAGGATCTCACCCGAACCTACGGCGAGCTGACCGGCTATTCCGCTATTCCCCAGGAGTTCGCCATTGGATACCACCAGTGTCGATGGAATTACATCTCTGATGACGACGTCAAGGACGTTGATCGCAAGATGGACAAGTTCAAGATTCCCTACGACGTCATCTGGCTGGACATTGAGTACCTTGATGACCGAAAGTACTTTACTTGGGACCCTCATTCGTTCACCGACCCAACTGGCATGGGCAAGCAGCTCGAGGACCACTCTAGACAGCTTGTCATCATTATCGATCCGCACATCAAGAAGCTAGAAGGCTACCCAGTCTACGATCAACTCAGCTCCAAGGATTTGGCTGTCTATGACAAGGAGGGCAAACCCTACGAGGGATGGTGCTGGCCTGGATCGTCCAACTGGATCGACTGCTTCAATCCTAAGGCTCTTGAGTGGTGGAAGTCTTTGTACAAGTATGACAATTTCCCCGGCACCGCGGAGAACACTTTTATCTGGAACGATATGAACGAACCGTCCGTCTTTAACGGCCCTGAAACGACCATGCCCAAGGACAATATCCATTTCGGCCAATGGGAGCACCGTGATGTTCACAACATCAATGGTCTTACCTTCCATAACGCCACGTTCGAGGCTCTGAAGACGCGCAAGAAGGGTGAGCTGCGCAGACCTTTCGTGCTCACCCGTTCATTTTATTCTGGCTCGCAGCGTCTTGGAGCTATGTGGACTGGTGATAACCAGGCTACGTGGGAGCACCTTGCTGCATCAATTCCCATGGTCTTGAACCAGGGCATCTCTGGGTTCCCCTTCGCCGGCGCTGATGTGGGCGGTTTCTTCGGCAACCCCTCCAAGGACCTGATGGCTCGCTGGTACCAGGCTGGTGCCTTCTACCCCTTCTACCGCGGGCACGCCCACATTGACTCTCGTCGTCGTGAACCATACCTGCTCGGGGAGCCGTACACCGGCATTCTGACTCAGGCCCTGAGACTGCGCTACGCTCTTCTCCCCTCTTGGTACACGGCTTTCTTCCAGGCTAATCGTGACGGCAGCCCCATTGTTCGCCCGATGTACTGGACTCATCCTTCAGAAGAGGGCGGTTTCGCTATTGACGACCAGCTCTTTGTTGGGTCGACGGGTATCCTCGTCAAGCCCATCGTTGAAGAGAACAAGTTCTCGACTGATATTTGGATCCCGGATGATGAGGTCTACTACGACTACACCACCTACGAGGTCGTCAACACACAAAAGGGCAAGCGGGTCACGTTCGCAGCTGCTATTGATCAGATTCCGATGCTTATGCGCGGTGGTCATGTATTTGCACGTCGCGATATTCCTCGCCGCTCTGCCGTCGCGATGAAGTACGACGACTACACGCTTGTTGTTGCTGTGTCCAAGGATGGAGCTGCTGAAGGCGAGCTGTATGCCGACGACGGCGACACGTTTGAGCACGAAAAGGGCCAGTACATCTACCGCAAGTTTAGTCTCAACAAGGATGGCATGAGCTCTGTGGATGCCGAGGGCCGAAGCGCCAAGTCGGTGAAGGCGGGCGCTTGGTTGAAGGCGCAGAGCCAGGTGCACGTCGACAAGGTTGTGATTGTGGGCGCGACGGAGGCGTGGAACAAGAAGGAGGTCGAGATTGAGTCGGAGGGCAAGACTTGGACGGCACAGGTGAGCTACCGCGCGGCGACCAAGAACCAGGCCGCGTACGCCGTGGTGGGCCGTGTCGGGGCCAAGATTGGCAGCGACTGGAGCATCAAGCTGGCTTAGGCGGGGATGGAAGTAAATAGAGGTTGATGTGCGAGGCACTAGAAGCGGATGTATAAATAGACGCAATCTAGAGTTAGTAAATGTACCAACGTGTGTTGTTTAGTAAGAAGATTAAGTCGACTGGGAGGCAGTTGCCATGAACCGAAGTGTCGGCATGAAGCTGGGAAAGAGCCCCTCTGAGCCGCGCCCCATCGACGATGATCTCGATGTTTGATGGAGTGGAGCGGCCCCGTCATTTAGGAATGTTACAAAGAAGAGATGAGTTTTCTTCTACTTTTTGTGGAAAAAAAAAAAGGACTGCGTAGGAACGAGACTTGAGAAAGCAGTGTGTGGTCAGGCCTGGATTCGGCGTCGGGTCTTGAGCGGAGCGGATCGGCAAGTTGCAGTGTCGTAATTCATGTGAGCAAAAAGCGTTTCGAGAGTTCGAGAGTGCTACTGGTGTTGTTCCCACAGTTCCACTGTATTTTGAAGCCACAACGGACCTTATGGCGAACTGAATGACGACGGCCAAGACGGGAAGAGTTGCAGACGAAGGGCCTTTGTCAAGCCACTCGGACAATAAACGTATGCATGTCTTCCAAAACCTCGGGGCGATCAGCAAGTTGCAGAAGGCCTTCAGGCTTGCCAACTCTTTGACAAGGCCACTTTGCATGTGAAGTATCACTGCATCAGCTACGAATTAACTAGACCTTGTCCAGTCCATATCTCCCTGCCTGCTGAGGCTTGGGAAAACTGGATCGCTAATCGGGGCCAACTCCACCAAAAGCCGCGATAGGGTGCGACAAACCAGTCATGTTGGATTGTGCTGCAACGCTGAACCACAAATTCTCCTTGCTTCTGACACTCTGGTTCGGCGCCAAGATTGGCCCAGACAATCAATCGAACGTCGTCGAACAGGTTTTTCTTTCCGTTCAGCGGGCCCGCGAGGCTACGCCAGTGTCGCCAGGAATAGCACTGGAGGAGAAAAAACCACGCTCAGTGCGCTTGGCATTCCAGAAGTGGCTATTCCGGCTACTGCCAGTTGCCCTCTCTTTTTTTCTTGTTTGACTAAGTAGAGCACGTCCGTCTCCTACCTCGAGCGAGCTTCGTAATCCTCAAATTCTCTCTCGCTTCTTTCTCTCCTCTTCAATTTCATACAGCCAAATCTTTCCCATACTAATTCTACTATTCCCCCAATAGTCTTACGCTTTCTTCGTAACACGTATACTTTCCCCCGCTGAATTCGCGCTGTCCAACCTTGTTTTGCCCGCCAAACCGTTTGTCCGACGCATTTCGTCACCAAGCTCCACCAAGGCGGCCAAGACGTTTCTTTCAAACGACGACATTGGATCTCGCCTGGATTGACCTCTGGCATGTTGAAAGAGGGGACGTCTGCATTCGTTTATTTCCTTTACTCTCTTCCTTCCGATTTTTTGGTTTTTCAGTTATCACTTTAGTCACATTATTCCCCGTTACGCCAACATATTCCTCGACATCGTCGTCCCCGAGCCTCTGATGACCAGTCCCCAGTAGCCACAACGTGTTGGCTCAACAAGAGAAACATTCTTTACCAATTGCTTTCACCAGGTACACCAAAACACACTTGCATAGGCGCACGCCATGGCTGCACCGGCTCCCGTACGTCCTCCCACGGACCGATACAACTCGGTCGAGGACTATCACAACCACTACTCCAACCAAAATTCCAATGACACCCTCGGCCCGGGCGACCATCACCCCGAAAAGCGAGGCATCGACCCCGGTCGTCATGCCGACATGACCCAGCTAAATGACGACCTTGAACTTCTCCGCGCTGAGCAACTCATCTCCAATCAAGAACACGACCTCGAACTGCAACGGTCGCGATCCCGCAACCGCACCCACAACCCAGTCCCCGAGGATGCCTTTAACCAGATCGACTCGCCCTATGGACTGGAGAGGAAGAAGAACGAAGATGCCGCCCTATACAAGCTCTGGAGCTTTTTGAAAAAGTTTCCTCGCTTCATCCGCTACATCGCGTACATGTTGCCCGTGGCCCTCCTGCTGCTGCTGCCCGTGCTCCTTGGCGCATTTGCTGTAGACAATAGGCGCCATGCCGTTGGTGGTAACGGGGGTGTCAATTTGATGTGGTTTGGAATCTGGCTCGAGATTGTCTGGTGCTCCCTCTGGGTGTCTCGCATGCTCACCAACCTGCTGCCCCCCATGATGCAGACCGCATGCAAGATTGGAGGATCGACCAACCCGAAAAAGTGGAAGGACGTCGGGTCCCAGCTCGAGCTGCACGCCGCCATGTTTCTCTGGTTCCTCGCCATCCTCGTCTCCTTCAAGCCCACCACGGCCCAGAAGCGCGTCGCGCCCATCGGCGGCGATGAAAAGGCCGACTCGCAAAACTGGATCGACATCGTCTACAAGGTCATCATCGCGCTCTTCGTCCTCTTCACCCTCAACTTCATCGAGAAGATCATCATCCAGTGGATCGCCACCTCGTTCCACCAGCGCACCTACGCCACCCGCATCGAGAACAACAAGGGCGACATCCGACAGCTCGTGCAGCTCTTCGAGCATGCCAAGACCAAGCTCGAGGACACCGAAAGCTTCCTCAAGGGCGAGAACTCGCGCGTCAGCGGCACGCAGACGCCCATGCGCATCCTCCACAACAACGCGCGAAACGTCCTCGGCAAGGTGGGCTACGTCGCCGGCAAGGTCGGCAACGACCTGATCGGGCGCAAGGTCAGCGAGAACCAGCCGCGCAAGGTCGTCACGGAGCTGCTGCGCAGCACCGCCTCGGCTTTCACGCTGGCGCGCCTCATCTACCGCAGCCTGGTCCGCCCGGACCGCGACACGGTTCACATGGAGGATATTCGAGAGGTCTTCACCACCGACGAGGAGGCCGATGCCGCCTTCATGGTCTTTGACAAGGACCTCAACGGCGATATCTCCGTCCAAGAGTTTGAGACGGTGTGTAACGAGATTCATCTTGAGAAAAAGGCCATTGCTGCGTCGCTGAAGGATCTTGACTCTGTTATCCAGAAGCTCGATAAGGTTTTTCTGTTCATCATCGTCATCATATCCATCATTGTCTTCATCTCCATCCTCTCCGGATCCGCCGCTGCAGGCCTTGCCTCCGCTAGTACCTCCGTTCTCGGCCTTGCATGGGTGCTCCAGGCCACGGCGCAAGAGTTCCTCCAGTCCATCATCTTCGTCTTTGTCAAGCACCCTTTTGACGTGGGTGATCGTGTCACCATCTACGGCTCCACTGGCGACAAGATGACTGGCGATGACTACTATGTCACCGAGATTTCGCTCCTGTACACCGAGTTCAAGAAGATGCAGGGCCATATTGTGCAGGCCCCCAACTCCGTGCTCAACAATCTCTTCATTCTCAACCAGAGACGGTCCAACGGCCTTGCCGACCCTGTCCCTCTGGTTATGCGTTTTGGCACCCCTGTTGAGAAGATTGACGAGCTCAAAGACCGCATGCGCAACTTTTGCCTCGAGAACAAGCGCGATTACCAGTCTACCATCATTTCAGAAATGGTCTCCATCGATCAGCTGCGCTCATGCACGATGAACATCATCTTCTTCCACAAAACCAACTTCCAGAACGAACTGCTGCGCCTCAACCGTCACAACAGGTTTGTCACGGAGCTCATGGCTCAGATGCTCGAGGTTGGCATCCAGGCCCCCATGCGCATCGAGCCCGGCGGCAGCCGCGACACCCCCATGTACTGGTCCAGTATGCCTGCGCCGCCCGCGTATGCTCATGATCAGGACGGTGAGCATCACAGTGGAGGTGACGGCCACTCGAAACCGTCATCTGTGCCGCTGCGACGAGGATCTGTCCTGCGAACGCACAATGCCCCCCGCGAGATGACGATCATGGAGGAGGAGGCTGCCCTGACGAGCTTCGGCGACGTGTTTGAGAGCCGTCGCGACCAGGCGCTCGCGCGCAGGATGGTGTCCATCCGCGAGAAGGAGAGGGCGGAGAAGGCTTCAGAGGGGGCCGAGTCGGAGCCTCGCGCGTCGACGACGTCGGCGGCGGTTCACAGATCTTCAACAGAGTCGCACCGGGCGCGGCTGTTTTCGCGGCCTCGACGCGATACCACAACCACTCGCCATGAGGATGAAATGGTGTAGCTGGGATGACGTGTCATGACAAAAAGAAGAATTATATTTAGAAGGCTGGGAATTAGACGGGGTACGAATCATATTAATAGACTTTACATGGGGCAGATATAGGTGGGGGAGCTGCATCTGTATTTATTAGACGGCTCCGGATATAATAGGGGGTCTTTGAAACATGGAACCCGCATTCCGAATGACAATGATCGATTTGACAGTCAGTTGATGCTGTGATATTTCCCCCTGTTGCTGACAGTTTCTTTCTTTGTACATTGTTTGACCAAAAGGAGTATGGTGTAGCGGCACGGGACGTCAAGCATAACTTAGCGATCAACTCTATATGCAGGACCAAGGCTTCAACTCAGGACGGACAATTGAAGAACGACATCAGGCTGACTGCTGCTCTCCTTAATAATGAACACAATGTCGCAGAGCGACACTAGGCCTTAGCGGATGAAGCCGAGGAGAACCGCGAGTAAGCAAGCCGCAGGCCAGCGGGGATCCTGGCTTGCCTCGCGCGGCTGAACGAACCCAGCTGGCCCGCCCCCAGTTCGTTTTTAAATTGCCCGTTTGTTCTGTTCTTCAACAGGTGGCGCTGCAGTGGTCTTTGTTCCTGAAATAATTTCTTCCTCGCATCTCCGGCCGAAACAACAGACAATAGCTATGCGACGATAATCCAACTTGGCATTTGAGTTGTTCGCTTCTCAGCGCCGCCCCGGACTCACCTCAACAAACAGGGGACCTTCAGCTGAGCTGAACAACTCCGCAAAACGGACCTTGCTACGAACCCGCCAACGACAAGAACCGACCCCCCGTCCCGGCCAAAAACGACATCTCGGAGAAGGTCAATTCTGCTACGATATTTTGCAGCTTTCAAGCTTTCAAGCTCGCAAATACGGGGGGAACTTGATCTGACCATGCCGACCGGCGTCGTCGCCAGCGGCCTGCCCGCCGGCTGGGAGTGGGACTACGACGGCACGCGCTGGTTCTACACCTTCACGGCTAACGGCCACGTCCAGTACCACTTCCCCTCCGAGGGCGATGAGTTCCCCGACTTTGTCGGCGTGACCGAGCCCGCGCCGCGGCTGGAGCCCGAAGGCCGCCTGGAGTCGCACCAGCAGGTGCGCCGCGTGACGGGCGCCGCCGCCGCCCCGCCGAAGAAGAAGAAAAAGCACGAGAATGGGATGACGGCGACGGCGCCGCGGCCGGTGGGCATCGAGTGGGACGGCGACGTCGGCGGGAGTAGCAGCGAAGAGGAACAGGAAGGGAGCGGTGGAGGGCGGACGGTGTTTGAACCGGAGAATCTCATGTTCTTGGGACCGCAGGTGTATGCGGATGTGAGCCCGCTGAATGAGGAGGAGGAGGAGGCAGCGAAGAGGACGGTGGTCGGGGCGGTGGTGGGAGGGGTGAGCCCGGCGGAGACGACGAGCGCGGGGACGCCGGCGACGAAGCGCGCGGAGCCGGCGACGGGAGATGGAGAGGCGGCAGCGCCGGTTATCGTGGCCGAGATTGTCGAGGTGCAGGTGGTTTCGACGCCTCCGCCGGCAAAGGAAGAGCCGATGACGGCCCGAGGAGAGGAGGCAACACTGGCGGAGGGGAGGGCAGACAAGACCGAGCGACCGGCAGCGCACGCACACGCGGCGGTGCCGCGAGAACCGGCCCCGCGGCATGATACTATAGTTGCCGCACCAGAGCCCGCCCCGTCACCACCACCAGCGCAGCAGAATGCTCCGGCGAGGGTCGCATCTGTCGCCGAAGTCACGGCGGCGCAGCCTCTACAACATCGACATCATGGAGCGACCCCATCACCACCTCCACCGCCTCCTCAGGCTCCAACTCCGGCTACCGCCGCCTCCGAGCCTGCCATCCAACCGCGATACGAGCTGCCCGCGCCCGAGCGGCCTTTCAACCCCGTCGGCATCGTCGCCGAGATGCCGACCGAGGACACGCCGCGTTCCCACATCGAGCTGAACCCGATCCCCGTCGAGATCATGGACGCATCAGTGCTGGCGCCCATCGAGACGGCAGCGGCCGCCGCCGCAGGCACGCCGCCGCCCTCGGGTGTCGCAGAGCTCCCGGGCCAAAGCAACAGCAGCAACGGCGTAGCCGCGGTGGTGAGGCAGACACCGCCGCCGCCACAGCAGCCGCGAAACGTGCCGGTGATGATGCGCATGAAGATTAAGCGCAAGCCGACGGACCCAAACGCAGCGATCCCGTCGCCCCTGTCGGCGTCGTCGTCGTCGTCGTCGCACTCGCCGGCGGCTGCCGCGGCGGCCGTGTCGCCTCCGTCGGTCGCGTCGGCGCCCACGTCGCCTCCTCCTCTGGCAGCAGCACAGACCCCGCCGCAGTATAAGCCGTACGCGCCGGTGTCGCCGCTACAGCGCGCGGACACGGAGCCTGTCAGGGCCCCGGCTGTGGCGATGCAGCAGCGGCGGCAGAGCAGCCTGACGACGGCGCCGCCGCCGCCGCCGGTGGTGAACCCGCACCTGAGTTATGCGCCGACGGTGCTGCGCCCCGCGGGGCGCAAGTCGACGAGCGTATCGCCGGAGCGTAGGCAGGGAGAAGCGGGCAATCAGGCACCAGGACTGGTTCAGAATGGGATGCCGGAAAAAGCAGCGCCGCAGAACGTGTACCCCGGGCAGGTGCCACCGCCAGGACAAGGACCGCTTCCCGGTCCATTGCCGCCACATGGTCAGCCAGGCCCGATGCCGGCGCAAGGGCATATGCAGCCTCCGGGTCTGCAGGACCAAGCACGAGCGCCAGGACCGTTACCAACGCATGCTCAACCGCCACAAAGCCAGCTGCCTCAACCGGGGCAAGGACCACCGCAAGGACTGGTGAGCGCGCAAGGACAAGTTATGCAGAATGGCCAGTGTCCTCCCCTGCAACATGGCCGCCCCATGAGCATGATGCCTGCAGCACCCGGCAAGTATCCTCCTGTCCCGATTCCACAGCCCTACGGCCAGTACCAGCGGCCATCGCCCCAGATTAGCCAACAGACTACGCCCCCATGGGTGATGCCCGGCCAGCAGGCTCCCGGCCAGCAGACCCCCGGCCAGAACTTCGCAACACCTCTACATCAGCAACAGACTCCGCCGTCGGGCTGGAGGCAGTCGATGCCTCTGGGATACCCTCAGCCGCCACCGAACGGGAGGCACTCCATGATGGGCCCAATCGTCCCACGGAAGATCCCTCTTGATAGCCAGTCTCAGCCACCGCCTCCGCCAAACCAGCAGCCCGCGGGCCAGGGCCCGAATTCCTCGTCGACGACCGATTCACCAGTCGTGTCTCCGCTCCGCTCTAGAGCGGGCAGCCAGCCGTCAGGTCTATCGCTGCCGTCGCCTTCTCCGATGGAAACGCCACAGCCACAATCCGCCGCGTCGTCTCAAATACCGGAGCAGCTCAAACTGGGCAGCGTCAAGATTGGCACGGGCGCAAGCGGCGGCTCTACCGCGGGCCAGCGACGGTCGACCACTGGCTCGTACTTCCCGCCGAGCAAGGATCATCCGGTAGGTCTTGTGGGTTCCATAGCCGACCAGTTCGCGGCGGAAATGCGGACCCTTTTGGGATCTGAAGCGCAGTCGTCTAGCCCGGCGCCAGCTGTGACTGCTATTACGGTAAACCCGGAACCTAAATCGTTGGCCAGCAGGTCGACTCTGAGCTCAGGGAATGTGCTCAACCGCATCGCAGAACATGAAGTGGTGTCGACGCCTGCGCCTGGAAGCGCGAACACGACGTTGGTTCAGCCCTCACCGCCACAGCTGGCAGCACCCCCGATGCAGATTTCTCCCAAGAACATGCCGAAGCCTCCTCAAGGACCCCGTCCACCCTCGAGCGAGTTGCCTGGGGGCCCTGTACAGAACGCTCCGGCACGCATTCCATCAGCAGGCCAGGCGGTGCCTCCCACTCCATTGGGACCCCAGATTTCGATGCCGCGGCCGGGTGCACCACAGCAGCAATGGCAAGGCAACCCGCAGCAGCCAATGCAACGGCCTCCGTCTGTTCCGCCGCAAATGCAGATGCAGCCGAACAGGAACAAGGAAAACAGATGGACAAAGTGGTTCAGGAGCTCCAAGCCGGAGAATAGATCTGACGCTTCTCAGGCAGGGATGCCACAGCAGCCGCCTCCTCAGCAACCACAGCAGTGGCAGCCTGGGCCGCCAATGCCAGGTCATCCCGTTCAACGGATGTCAATGCAAGGACCGCCAATACAAGGATCGATGCCAGGGTATCCGATCCAGGGACAGCCTGTTCAACGACAGTCTGTCCACGGGCAGCCTTTGCAAGGGCAACCCATTCAAAGACTCCCCGTCGGGGGGCCTCAACCACCCCAAACCACTCCGATGAAGACATATTCGCCATATTGGATGCATCCAGGTGCGGCCCAAGGTCCAATTCCGCAGACGGTGGCTCAACAAGGCCCTCTGGGATCACATCCACCCCAGCAATACTTGCCGGTCCAGTCAGGCCAGCCTATGCAGACGAGGCCGCCTTACGGCGCCCCGATGCACCAGATGCACCCCGCGGGTGCACCGGCATCTCCCGCACCATCCCAAACAGCACCATCGCAACTCTCGAATAGCCCATCTCAAGTCAGCATTTCCTCCCTACCGCCAACTGGACCTCCACAGCCTCACCCGCAGATAGCATCACCGATGCAAAGCAACCTGGTGCCAGCACCACTCTCCCTAAGGCCAAGATCGGGAGTGCCAGCTGGAGTGCCAGCCAATGGACAACAAAGCTAGAGACGCGGCGTTTCGTCGTTGTCGAACATCCTAGAACATAGAAGCATCAAGCCTTCGGGAACTTTTTAGCATCGTACATGGCGTGATTCTTGTATTTGACTATTGTTACAATATACTACATTTCGTTTGTCATTTGAACGCCTTGCGCAGCTTGCATGATTTCCCACCACCCGCCTTCGCACTGCACGCATGGCACGTCCGCCCATGCTCAATCAGCAGCACGTGCAGCGGATACTTGAGCTCGTCCGGCACCGTCGCATCCAGGTGCGCCTGCGCCTGCTCCCTCGTCGCCTCCCTCGGCCTCCAGCCCAGCGCGCCCGTCAGCCTGTACACGTGCGTGTCCACCGCGAAGCTCGGCCTCCCCAGGCAGAACAGCAGCACGCAGCTCGCCGTCTTCGGCCCCACCCCCGGGAACGCGAGCATCTCCTCCATCGCCGCCGCGTCGCTCGCGGCGAACAAATGGTCCAGCGAGTACGCGCCGTGCCGCGCGCGGACCGCCTCCAGCAGCTGGACAATGACCTTGCTCTTGGTGGCGGCGAGGCCGCCGCGGCGGATGGCGCTCTCCAGCCCGGATGGGCCGCCCGCGGCGATGGCGGCCCAGCGGGAGGGGGAGGTGCCGTAAGCGGCGTCCATGCCGAGCTTGGCGAGGGTGGAGTTGGCGGAGCTGGTGTTCTGGGAGAGGATGGTGCGGACGAGGGCGTCGAGGACGGAGGGCGAGGCGCCGCAGCCGGCGGAGGTGAGGGGGGCGACGACCTGCGCGGGACGGGCGCGGGCGCCGTGCATGGAGACGAGCAGGTCGTGCGCTAGGGCGCAGTCCGCGGGCGTCGGGCGGGCAAAGTCCGGGAACGGCGTGGTGGTGATGTGCTGCGTCTGCTTGGACTTGCGAGATGATGTTGCGGTGGTGGCGAGGGGGGGCAGTTTCACGTGGGCGGTGGAGGATGGCGGCGGCGGTGCGGAGAGGAGGTCTTCCGGGGATTCGCTCTTGACCTCGCGCTTGACCTCGCGCTTGACCTCGCGCTTGACCTCGCGCTTGACGATGGCGGCAGCCTTTGCTGAGGTTACTGACTGGGTGTTCTTGGTGACGCGCATCTGTGAGCGCAGACCCTGACGGGTTGGCGTGGCAGCGGAAGATCGGACGCTGCGCCGTGAAGTGCGCTGCGTGGCGGCCATTGTGCGTGTTCTGTGCGTCGTCGAAGACAAGAGAATTATTTCGCAGAGGTTAAAAATCAGCATGAGGTTGTGGGGAGACAAGGAAAGCAGCAGGTGCTCTTGTGAGCAGAAGAAGGGTAAAGGGACATTGAATGACGTTGTCAAGCGGTGTGATCGCTGTAGTTGACTCAGGTGGGCCAGATCGGACAGCATCTACCTCAATTTCTGACACAGGACACACACAATCGATGAATATTAGAAAGCAAATAGATATTCCAAGGTTGGAGTGGAAAGACTCAGGCTCAGTAGTCATTGAAAAAAAAAAAATTCTAGATGTTCACGACATCAACATTGAGGCTGGCCTTGTTGGCAGTATTTGCTCGGAGTACTAAGGCTCCGTGCATATTGTCCGCCTAGGTTTGAGTCACTTCTGGAAGTTAATATTTCGACTCTGAAAACGGTGTTGACTTGGGGAGAATTATTTTGTAAAATAAATCAACATTAAAAAAAATTACGATTCAACGCTGAAGACAAGCTCGACGGGAGTACTTGGTTCAAGACTCGTACCATGTGAGGTGAGAATGCCGAGACTCCCCCTCGCAAAGGGGGCCCGTAAAGAACCATGATACTTTGAACCGAAACGTTCTTGGTCTAAAATAGGTAGTCTCTTGATAATTCACTTTCGATACCGATTATTTGATGCATTGACCTTGCGAGCCCGTCGGAACGAGGGAACGTTAAGCTGAAGCCACACGAGGTGGGGCCACTCGATCGAAAGGCAAATTGAAGGTCAAGTTCTCGCACTGTACCGTAGTACTTCCCGAATAGGAAGTGGCATCAAGTCCCAAAGATATGGTGATGCAAGAGGTATCATCCAGGCAAGTCGGCCAATAGGAGAGTTTCTATTAACCAATATCGCAATTGCCGGCTGTTGAGAGGAGGGAACTTGATTGGGTCGAGTTAGAAGATCAATTCGAGTATTTAAGATGGCGCTCGCTTCCAGCTTACTGTGATGCGGAACAACCAGCCCAGCACAGAAGAGAATTCATAAGAAAGCCCGTCCTCCTATCTATCATCTATCATGGTATGACCAAACTACTAAAGACGTTGTGGATTTACTTATAACTTGCTTCAAGACTAGCAGAAATCCTATCAGCACTCTGGCAAACGGCCAGCCTAGCGACAATCCCGGCTCCGTTCAGCAAGTTCGCTATGGAAACACGAATGGCGGACTTGTCGTCCTCAGTGACACGCAGACAATTGAAGTCCTCGCCCATTTCGCCCGCGAGCGCATCCCGGAAAGGTACTATATGTCCCGTTTCCCCAGAGATAGGAATGCTCACACCTCGTCCACAGAAGCGTTCATGCCAAGGCCGCAGGTGCCTTTGGCGAATTCGAGGTGCTGGACGATGTGTCCGACATAACGGACGCCAAGTTCCTCACTGGAATTGGCAACAAGACGCCTATTCTCACTCGCATGTCCACCGTCGGTGGTGAGAAGGGCTCTAGCGATACGGTCCGTGACGTGCGCGGATGGGCGACCAAGTTCTACACGGAAGAAGGCATCCAGGACTTTGTCTTCAACGACTTGCCCGTCTTCTTCATCCGAGATCCCATCAAGTTCCCGTCCATGAATCGTTCGCACAAGCGCCATCCCCAGACCAACGTGCCGGACAACAGCATGTTTTGGGACTTCCACGTCAACAATCCCGAGGGCATCCACGCTCTGATGCATTTGTTTGGCCAGCGCGGCATCCCGGCCTCGCTCCGAAACATCAATGGCTACGGTGTCCACACCTACACTCTCAACAAATCAGTATGCTGCAAGAATAAAATCTTCATGGAGCCCGTCGCTAACTGTGCGTGCCTAGGATGGCAGCTACGTCTATGTGAAATGGCACTTCAAACCAGATGACGGCATCAAGACGATGGATGCAGATACTGCTCTCCGTCTCGCCGGTGCTGAGCCAGACTATCACGTAAAGGATCTGTTCCATGCCATCCGGACGGGCAATTTTCCCAGCTGGACCGTCTACGTCCAGGTCATCCGACCCGAAGAGGTCAGCTCGGCCCCCATCGACATCTTCGACAACACCTTCACCTGGCCGCACGCGCTCTACCCCCTACGCCGCATCGGCCGGTTCACTCTTAACCGGAACCCGAGCAACTACTTCCAGGACATTGAGCAGGCCTGCTTCTCCCCCTCCAACATGGTACCCGGCATCGGCCCTTCCGCCGACCCCGTCCTGCAGGCGCGCATGTTCTCCTACCCGGACGCGCACCGGTACCGCGTCGGGCCAAACTACTTCCAGCTGCCGCCCAACAAGCCCGTCAACTGCGTGTACGCGCCGTTCGTGCGCGACGGGCCGGGCACCGTCAACGGCAACTACGGCGCGGACCCGGACTACGTCGGCTCGAAGCTGTGCCCCGTGGCGACGAGCAAGCGAGTGCAGATGCCGACGCACGAGGCGTGGTCCGGGAACGTGACTGCGTTTGCGACGCGGTTTGACGAGGATCGCGACTTTGTGCAGGCCAGGGAGCTGTGGCAAATCATTTGCGCGGAGCAGGGCGGCAGGGAGCAGTTCCTGCACAACATCGTGCCGACGCTCAGGGATGTGCCCGAGGAACTCAAGAACAATGTTTTGGGTAAGTTTTTGGAGCTATGGGCGGGTGGTGCACGTTGACTAACTAACTGGTGTAGATTACCTTGGTAAGGTTCACAGAGAGCTCAAGACCCTGCTGATGGCGGCGCTGTCCAAATGATTCGCGGACTAGCTAGTACTATCTCGTAAATGCCACTAATTTTAACCTAATAAACCCTAAAGCGCGCCACGGATGCCCCTCTTGTGATTCTGGACTGTAAAACAATTGAAAGTTCTCACAGCTGGCAGTGGATAGGGCTTTGCCGCCTGTTTCTGCTTAGAGGAGGCTAGGAGGCTACAGGCTAACCCGTAGCGCAGAAGGCACTGACCAGCTATGTATGTATGTATGTACTGTATGTTGTACATAGGTACGGATAGAAACAGTGGGATGGATGCTTCCTCTTCCTACATACTCCACCCACCAGTACTGCACGAGCAGATTGTCACGGAAACTGTGAACCGAAATGCCGAATTTTTCCATCTCAAGATGGTCAAGGACATTTGACGGCATCAAGCAGGTGTGAAAGGGGAAAACGAAAAAGGAAAATTCGATCGAGCTCTCTTGTCATCGCCTTCAACGTCAACCTTTGGTGCCTTATCAAGTCCCGCTCCTTGGCGTCCTTGCAGAGACGCTTTTATAAATGCAGGCTCACCACGCCTCCCTGCCTCTGTCCATCTTTCTTCCATCTCGCTCCATCATGTCGTCCGATAACAAGCCAGATGAGCCAGTGGCACCCGCCGGCAGCAAGCAGGAGGATCGCTATGCCACCAAGTTTGCGTTTGTCAACGACCAGAGCCCGCAGGACTCGCGCAGCCATGCCATGCGGGAATACTGGAGGCAGCGCCGGCGGACAAAAAGCGATGTCGCGGGCTCGTCCAGCTCATCCTCTTCCGTGACGACCCCGCAGACTGTTCGCCCTTTGACGCTGCGGCCCGGTCTCAGCAGCGCCTCGAGCAGCACCGGCACCATGACGCGTGCCAGCAGCAGGAAATCAAACTCGTCCAGATCACCGAAAAAGGCCCCGGAACCACTCAAACAGGCGGGGATTCCGGCACAGATGCTGTCCGGGATGAACCTCGCCATCGGAAACTGTCGCCTGGACCCCTTTGATCAGTTCCCCGTTAAGCTCACCGCGCAGCATCATAAGCTCATCCTGCATTGTAAGGGCACTGATATGCGTTTGATCGCTTTCCCCATCTCTTTGACATGCTCTTTGAGCTATATAGCTAACCGTGGGTCATGCAGGGCTGACCATGTACGCGAACATGACTTTCGGCGACAGTTCCAAAGCAAGGTTCAACCCGCTGCGGGATGTCTTTTTCCCACTGGATCTCTCCAATGCCGCGGCTTTTAATGCCGTCATGGCGCAGTCCGCGGCGCACCTAGCACGCATGCAGGGGCGCATGCGATCAACCGAGGCCCTACAGTTCAAGGCGGAAGCTATCCGCATCTTGTCCGAGTGGATGGCCGACGAGAAAAAGGCCTTGAGCGACGACGTCCTAGCTGCTATATCCAGAATCCTGGCTTATGAGGTAAGTTGCGCCGCAAAATCAGCCATTTGCCTTTGCTCTTATACTAATCTCGATGCAATTCAGAGATACTGGGGCACCGAGGCCGAATGGCTTGTTCACAGAGCTGGTTTACAGCGACTCATTGACCAGCGTGGCGGTGTCAAAGCCCTCCAAAACAACTGGAGGCTCGAATTGACCATTTACTTGTAAGATATGCCGCCCTAGGCTAACCCTACTCGCTCTTTCCCCAACTATTGCTAAGCTGCCCATAGAATCAGCCTTATGTCAAAGCCGTCCTGGTTTGACAGCTCCAATCAGCTCTGGGAGATATCCGACTCGTCCATGTCGACCGGCCCCCATCCTTTCCTTGGCAGCGAGGACGCCCTCCCTCGCATTCGATCCCTCTGGCTCATCTCCTTCATCCAGGACACGCGCACGCTGATGAACAATTGGCTTGAACTCTATATCAGCGGCATCACCAAATACACTGCGTTGCAGCAAGCCGTGGCCACACTGCATGCTGCTGTGCCTGCCTATTCAGATTTGACCGAAGGTCAACGGTTTGACAAGCAAGATTATACCCGACTTGCATGCATTCTGTTCATTGTCATCATGATCCAATCTTCTACGAGCATTCTGACGCAAGAAGCATCGGGCAGCCAGTTCCCGCAAGCCACAGTATCGCTGGATCGAATTGCAGAGCTAGATGCCTTCCTTCTCGCGCGGGAGCCACAATGGACCGTGTCCATTGACGAGCTCTACAACACTCTATATCATGATTTCTCATCGACAACTGAAAATGCTCATATTACCGGATACACATTGCACATGGCAACGGTCATGAGCTACATGTCCCCAGAGACCAGGAGGGGGGTTGAGAAAACGCTCTTGCATATTCTCCCGCACATACCAGCACAAGGGTGGCAGGATGACAATGAGTGGACACCTGACGCACTACTTTCGTCCATTTACGGAGATTAATGGATATATACCTTTCGAAATTTCATTGTATAGTCACCCTGATGGTTGTCACTGCCGTTATTCTTCGATATATCGAGGGTAGTGTGTGTTCCTCACGTGCCGAAATGCTTGACATATTCTGAGATTGCAGACGACCCCGGACCTACATCGCTCCGAAGTCTCTGAAGCACGCGCCATCGCCAAGCTCATTGCTGGGAAGCACATTCACTATGTCCTATCACCACGTTGGGAACCTCGGCACTTGCAGAGTTACCTTTCAAGGGCAAACCTTAACAAGCCTCGGCCATGGTGGCGAGAGCCACGATGTGGCCTCCTCTGTTGCTATTGAATCATTGGTCAACTGTCTAGCATGCTGGGCAAGCTTTGGCGCCACTTCCAGGTGAACCATGTAAGGGTATACCAAGCTGATTTGTGCCGAGACTTGAATCCCTGTGGCTCATCGCGTTGGCGGATCCTTGGCGTAGCTTGGATTTTGCCCTGTGGTGGAGGGGTTACCAATCCCGGCATTGCAGACCAAGTTGGGTCTGCAGCAGAGTCCCCCAGGTCCTCTTTGATAGTGGCCAAGTGGTAAGTGAGGCTCGGTGGGTGGTGGTAACTGGGGACGGGGAACACCTCACTCGACTTCCGGAGCAACTAAAGCTATCCAACAATCCGAAGAGGAGAATGGGTGGAGTGGTGGTGGCGAGCGTCGTGTTTGAGCGCAGATTCTGGAACATGCTCGACACCTCCGGAAAGCATGTTCCGCTCTGACTGCAGCCACATGCGGCACGCGGCTTGCGGCATATCCATGAAGCTGTCAGATTCCGACTTTGCATCACAGTAAAGAAGCCTCGTGAACCAGTGTTTTAGATTTAGCAAGCGTCTCTGCTATGAAACGACGCAGATCAACGGCCAGGTAGCCGACATCCAGTCCGCCATGGCTACCTTGGCAGCCGTAGCCTTGGCAGCCGTAGAGCTCTCGGAGGCAACCGGCGAGAGCCTTGGATGGCTCGCCCACAATACCTGAGCTCATCTGTGGTCGGTTATGGACCTCAGTCTTGACCCGCCAGCTGTCATGCAGCTGCAAAGACTACAATAACACTGCAATACCAACCACAGTTGCATTAACAGTTTGCGAATGCCTAAAGCCCCGCCCTAAGCTTGCGCCTTGGACCCCGCTATCAACTTGAGATCTAGTATTACCCTTTTAGGAAGTTGGTCCCTTGTGGATTAGAGTGTAGGATTCGGCGGCTTTTAATAGGCTTGTGCTCTTCACCTTGCCCGTTGTGACTAACTAACTAGTTAACTAGTTGGGAGTTTGTTAGGCCAGGAACGGCATTAAAATACTCCCCAAATTTAACGATGCCTTCTTTCTAGCGGCAGTTATCGGCAGTTTTTTACTTTGACAGGTGAGTTCAGAATGGCTCCTCGATTGTTTCGCCCCGCCGCATTCAGCTCGTCGTCTATCTATCGCAGATTCACAGTCGCCGATTTATATCCGCACGGAGAGGCCGCCTTGCCCGCGTAATCGTACATACATAGTGCTTCCTGAATAGGCATGTGGTGCATCGACAAACGGCCGCATTGCCGTGAACGCTGCATCTGCCATGCATCAACTATATAAGCCACGCATGATGCCATGGTTGAATACGATAGGTTTCTGATCAAAAAGTCTCTCAACACTCAAACAATCTATAATTTCATCCATAAGCAACTCAGCAAACATGGCAATTAAGGACGGCTCTCGCTTTGATTTCATCGTCGTTGGCGGCGGTACGGCTGGCAACATTGTCGCTTCTCGCCTGGCCGAGAACCCCAAGGTCCGCATCCTTATCATCGAGGCTGGCATTGGCTCGTCCCGCGACAATGAAGAGATCCGTACGCCGGGACGCGCCATGGAAATCCGCGGCAGTCAGTACGACTGGGCGTACAAGACGACCATGGTCAAGCGCGATGACTACGAGCGCATCGAAAAGCCCAACACCCGCGGCAAGGCTCTCGGTGGCAGCTCCTCGCTCAACTACTTCTCCTGGGTGCCTGGCTCCAAGGGTACCTTTGACATGTGGGAGGAGTACGGCGGCAAGGAGTGGACGTGGGATCACCTCGTGCATTACCTTCGCAGGAGCGTCACCTACCACGACGACGAGGGTCTCTACCCCAAGGAGCTCTCCAAGATTGGCGCGGGCGGTCCCATTCCCATCGCTCACGCCAGACTGATGCCCGAGATGGAGCCCTTCCGCAGGCTCCTCACACAGGCTTGGCAGTCCACCGGCGAGCCGCTATCGGAGAACATCTTTGACGGCGAGATGCGCGGCCTCGTGCACAGCGTCAACACCATCTACCAGGGCCGGCGCTCGGGCAGCTTCCTTGCGCTCGAGGGCAAGTCCAACATCACGGTCCTGGCCGAGACGCACTCCAAGAAGCTCATCATCGACGAGGCCGACGGTGCCGTCAAGGGTGTCACCGTGATTACAACCACGGGCGGAGAGCTGAGCTTCTACGCTGAGCGCGAAGTCATCGTCTCCCAAGGCGTGTTCGAGTCGCCCAAATTGCTCATGCTCAGCGGCATCGGACCCAAGGAAGAGCTTGCCAAGCACAACATCCCCGTCCTGGTGGACTCGCAGCACGTCGGCCAGCATCTGCTCGATCATCCTGGCGTTCCCTTTGTGCTGCGCATCAAGGACCAGTACTCCATGGACAGCCACGTCCTCCGCAAAGGCCCTGCGCAAGACAAGATCTTGTCCGCCTACAAGCACAACCACGGCGGTGCCATGGGCTCTCCCTTCCTCGAGATGATCGGCTTCCCCCGCATCGACAAGTATCTGGAGAAGTCGCCCGAGTACCGCCAACGCAAGGCCGCCAACGGCAATAAGGACCCGTTCTGCCCGTACGGCCAGCCGCACTTTGAGCTCGACTTCATCCCCCTCTTTGGCAGCGCCTTCCAGTGGCACTTCCCACACCCCAACCGCGGCAGCTACATGACTGTCATGGTCGACCTGGTCCGCCCCGTCTCCGAGGGCGGCACCGTCACTCTCAACAGCGCGGACCCGCTGCAGCAGGCCAACATCAACCTCAACTACTTCAACGACGACCTCGACATCATCGCCGTCCGCGAGGGCATCCGCTTCTCGTACGACGTCCTCAAGAACGGCCCCGGCTTCAAGGACATCGTCGAGGACGAGTACCCCTGGGACATGCCGCTCGACGACGACGAGGCGATGAAGCGCACTGTGCTGGACCGCTGCCAGACGTCCTTCCACCCGTGCGGCACCGCCCGCATCGGCAAGAGCATCAAGCAGGGCGCGGTCGACCCCCAGCTTCGCGTGTTCGGCGTTCGCGGCCTGCGTGTAATTGACGCCTCCGTCATCCCTGTCATTCCCGACTGCCGCATCCAGAACTCCGTCTACATGGTGGCGGAGAAGGGCGCGGACGCGATCAAGGCTGACTACAAGGATCTGTACTAGTCTTCGGGTTAGGATAGTTGTCGGCTTGTTAATACTAGCAGATATTGAAAAATAAATAGTCAGGTATCGAAATTGAATTTCTATACATGGAAGAGACATATTCCACACGTGACACCGTGTAAAGTGGTGTCGCGTCAGTAGCGCGTTCCACCAAGTGCCCTGTGACGAGAAGCTAGAAAGCGCTCTAACAAAGGTTGGAGTTGCCGTATTTTAGAATTTGCACAATTTAGCCGAAACACCATGGATTCTTTGAAGCAGCCATGATGGCCTCGCAGACAATGATAGCAGCCTCGTCGGAGAGCAGGGAAGGGTCCCAAGACACCCAGCTGATCCGCGAGGCTCTATGCGCCGAGTTAGGCGTGCCATCGGTAAGTGGACGCGCTGAGCCACCACTGAATGCACTGCCTGTCGCTGCCTGGAGCCCTCCAGCGCTCCCCTCCGGACCCCTGCAAGTGGCGTGCCAGTCAGCAAAAGGTCTGGCCGCAACAGCATCGCGGAGCTGAATCTTGACTTGTACATATACTGTGCGACAGACATTCATCGCTAACTGCATTTTTTTTTCAATCGACACAGTGTACAGGCTCTTCAGTTCCACGACTTTCCCTGACATGCTCCGAGCAAGACCGTGATCGCAGCCGCGGCCACGACCCCAGACGCTCCCAACCGTCGCACCCCAACGATAGCCGCTCCCAAACTCCCGAACGTTTACCTCCGGCGCGAGACGACAACGCCACTCATGTACGGGACAACCCCATCACCCTCGTATTTCTATTGTATTCTAATGCTGAAATAGAGATCCTTTATCCTCCCCGCCCCGCCACCACCGCCACCCAAGCCGCGTCCGCCAACCATCAAATCGCAATCGACACACGGCCCGTTGAAGCTCAACCTAATGCAAGGCGTAGAGCATCGCGACGATGGCCCGGAAACCCAATTGCCAGACACCTTACTGCCCGACACCCTCCTACCACCCGCTACTCAAGCGATAGGCAACGGCAGCGATGACGGGCCCGCATCGCTACACTCCCTCGGCTCGCGAAAAGAACCATCCCAGCAAACGCCAACGCAAGTCAATGACGGCCGCGACTACGATAAGGGATACGAAATGCCGTCGAGCGAGCACGGCATTGATATGGGCGATACACAGGCCTCCACCCTCGAAGGCCGAACACTCCACGACGACGACACGGGCGCAGTCAACTTTGGCAGTCTGGCTGACTACCCCCGCCAATCCTCGCAGGTGTCTGAAGATGGCGGCTTTGAAAATGCGCGAGGAGGCTGGCGACTGCCCGACGACACGCAACGCACTTCCATGCATGCCGAAACCCCATACAAGAATGGCGAATTGCCTCCTCCAGAGACGCCGGCTTTGCCAAAGAACCCCTTCGCGGCACAAGGCGGCGGCGCTGGAGCCTTCGGGGCTGCACCAGCACCGCTCGGTGGCACGCAGCTGTTTGGGCAGACACAGCTATTGACGTCGGCAGTTAAGCACAGCCCGACCTCGTCTCGACCGTCGCCGAACCTTTTCAACACCATGTCCCCCCCGGGCTTTGCAGAGACGTCTCCTCTGAAGAACCGCACCAACGTCTCATCCCCAACAGACATCCGGTCGTCGAGCCCTGCCCGCCTCCACGAAGTACCAGCCACTGTGGTGAAAGGGCCTCATATGAGCATGATAGCCGAAGAAACACCAACAATGGGCAGGATTTCCAAGGAGGACAGGGTTTCAGAGTCCCCCACACGTCCTCGATCCGCCGAACGACAACCGCTCGCCCACTACGAGCCGATGCAACAGTCGCAGGCGCGCAAAACCAGCAGCGATTCTGTCAAAGTCGTTCTCTCTTTCGAGCGCGACACGCATGATACGGTCGAACAACTAGAAAGACGGCGACGAATTGAAAGGAAGCGTGCGAGAGCCGGGGAGGAGCTTGATAAGATTACTTTTGCCCGACCTGTGAAGATGAGCGATCGCGCAGAGGCAAACGGAAAGCGACGCCGACTGGACCAGAACAGCCAGTCCATCAGCCATCAACAAGAGCAAGTCTCTACAGAATCTTCCGCCCCTGCTGCCCTGCCCGGCTCACACGAGCAGTCGCTGGAATCGACCAAAGCAACACCCGGTGGGGAGGAGAATGCCGAAGGGATAACCCTGGACGAGACTGCGGATAACGGTGCGCAAGATAATATTGTTAGCGACATCGCCGAATACGACATGATTCCGGCGACAAGCCCGGTGCAATTGACGCCGGCAGAGGAAGCCAATCGAGCTGAGACGCCTGCTTCCGAGCCCGATCTACCTGTTCTGCGTGAGCAGCATCCTGCGATTAGTAGCGGCGAGTCATCATCACTACCCCCTCTACGCAGCAAACGAAGGACGTATGGTGGACGGGCAAGGATTCGTAGGAATTTGGTTCTAGATTCCTCCAACTCTCACGCAACGTCGGCTGGGGTGGAGTCCTCAAAGCACGACGCCGCTGAGGAGGATACGCCAAATGAAGAAGCATGCTTTCTCAGTGAGGAATTGACACCCATGGCTACTCGATCTAGATCAAAGAATCAGAGTCCTCAAATGCCAATGCAACTCAGCGGCAATGTCACTTCTACAGCAGCCTCCTCCCTGAGTGCCCTCTCCCACACGCCGAACCCGTCATGCAAGACTACGCCCGCAACTAAGGAATCCGTTGCGTCGAAAACCGCCGACGCGGACGCGGGACAGGCGCTCACACCAACCAGAAGCCTGCGAAGACGCGCAGTTGAAAAAGACTCGGCCGTACTGCCTCCAACGTTCTCGGCTCGAAGCCTCCGCGCCTCAAAGCGACTGCACAGCCACAGCGAACTGCAGTCCTCTGGCCAGCCACGCACGCCATCAGAAACTGGTGCTGCCACGACATTTTCAGAGCGGATCAGCCTGCGCCTCGATCCCGTGTACCGCGAGGAGCGTCGTCTATTTGAAGGGATGGTCTTTGCCATATCTGTAGATGAACACCGCCGCAAGTTCGAGAGCGGCATAGTGCAAGCTGGCGGCACTGTTCTGCAAGACGGCTTTCAAGAGCTCTTCCAGGCCTTACCATCCATAACCTCGACAGACGGGGCGTCTGACGATAACGCGGAGCTTGCTCTCTCCCAGGTCGGCGTGGAGAGCGGCTTCACCGCCCTCATAGCAGACGGGCACTCGAGAAAGGCCAAGTACATGCAGGCCTTGGCCCTCGGGCTGCCGTGCCTCGCCCAGCAATGGATCACTGCCTGTCTCCAAAAGGGTGCGCTCATCGACTGGCAGCCGTACCTGCTCTGCGCCGGTGCCTCGGCAGTCCTCGGAAACGCGGTGCGGTCCCGCTGTCTGGTGCCGTACCCCGCCGACACGGCCTTGCTTGCCGACACCATCGACCAGCGGCCGCGACTCCTGCGCGGCCAGAGCGTTCTGGTCGTCATGGACGGCAAGAAGGCCCGGAGCGAGGCGAAGCAGCCCTACCTGTTCCTGTGCCACGCCCTCGGCGCGGCCATCACCCGCGTGGCCACTGTCGAGCAGGGGCGCGCCGCGCTCGCAGAGAGTGCCGGCAGCGGCCATCCATTTACGTGGCTGTACATTGACAAGGCGACGGGCACGGCGGAGGCGGTGTTGGCGCGGCCCGCCGTTAAGAGCAAGAAAAAGAAGAGGAAGGCCCCGCCGGCGACGCCTGCGGGAGCCGGTGTACGAGTGCTGCATGATGAGTTGATTGTTCAGAGTCTCATCTTGGGTCGCATCGTCGAGCCTGAAGAAGATTCATTTTGATTAAAAGGCGTTGAGGGAGAAAAACAGGCGGACCTGTACGGCGCACAGGTAATCCCATGTCGGATTTGACTTGAATATACCACGGCAGCTAGTGAGTTGTGTTTGTTTGAAAACATGCATTGTAGCAACTATTGAATACAAATGTGTGACTTGTGTCAAAGAAAAAATCCGGAAACTAGAATCCATCTAATCGTAGACGAGGGCTGGCAGACCACCAAGGTCTCTTCTTCAAGCACAACCGGGCTAGGTGCGTCATTTACACCAGCGAGTCGTACGTGATGGTCTTTGTCCGCGTCCACTCGTCGAAGCCGCCGCCGAATCGGCCGAAGCCGCTGTCCTTTGCGCCGCCGTGCGGCAGCGCGGGTTCGTCGTGCGGCGTCATCGAGTTGACGTGGACGGCGCCCGTCTCGATGCGACGCGCGACAGCCAGCGCGCGGCGCAGGTCGCGGCTGAACACGGCCGCCGCGAGGCCGTACTCGGTGTCGTTGGCGACTTCGACCGCCTCGTCGTCGGTCGCGAACGAGATCAGCGACACCGTCGGCCCAAACGACTCGGTCTTGTAGACGTCCATGTCCGGACGGACGTCGGCGACCACGATCGGCCGCATGCGCGTCGCGCTCGCCTCCGCCGCGTCCACGTCGCCGTACAGCACCGTCGCGCCCTTGGCCACCGCGTCCGCCACCAGAGCCCTGTTCTTCGCCACCGCCGCCTGCGCCACCAACACCGGCGCCTCCCCGCCGTCGGTGCCGTAGAGGCTCGCCGTCGCGGCGACGAGCGCCTCAGCAAAGGCGTCCCGCACGCTCTCGTGCACGAGGATGCGCTCGGTGCTCATGCAGATCTGGCCCGCGTGCAGGAACGCGCCGAGCGCGCAGTGGCGCGCCGCCAGCTTCAGGTCCGCGTCCGCGAGCACGATCGACGGCGCCTTGCCGCCGAGCTCCAGCAGCACCGGCTTCAGGTTCTCGCCGGCGAGACGCCCGATGATGCGCCCGACGGCGGTGCTGCCGGTAAAGTTGACCTTGCGGACGGCGCGGTGGGCGACGACGGCGGCGGTGACGGCGGCGGCGGAGGAGGGCGCGCTGGTGATGAAGTTGAGCACGCCGGGGGGTAGGCCGGCCTCCCACAGCACGGCGCACACCTGCCGCAGCGTCTCCGGGCTCAGCTCGGAGCCCTTGAGGACGACCGTGTTACCGGCCGCGATGGCCCATACGGTCGCGCGGATGCCCAACGGGATGGGTGCGTTCCTAGAAACTTTTGTCAATGGCGCGACAGGGGGGGGATGGAAAAGACCACGCCGTAGGGTTCTTTAATGACAACCGCCTCGCGGCCGGGGTCCGCGACGACGGGCATGCGGGCCTCGATGTTGACGAGGTGGGAGGCGGCGTGGACGATTTGCTCGCGGGCCATGGCGACGTTGAGGTCGGCCCAGGCGGCGTCGCTGCCGGTCTCGGCGCGCATGGAGGCCTTGAGGGCGTCGGCGCGGGCGGCGAGGGCGTCGACGGCGCGGAGGAGGATGGCGCGGCGGTGGTCCGGGTGGGTGGCGCGCCAGGAGGGGAAGGCGGCGGCGGCGGCGTCGACGGCGGCGAGGGCCTCAGGGACGGAGGCGGAGGAGGAAGCGTGCAGGACGGCGCCGGTGGAGGGGTTGACGACGTCAAAGGTGGCGGGGGTGACGACGTCCTTGCCACCGATGACGAGGGGGATGGTGGTGGTGGAAGCCATGGTGGTGTATGTAGGTTTTTGAAACTATAGAGGAGAGTAATGTGAAGAAAGGACCCTGGGGGTCGACAGTAGATGGGTGTCGGTCGCAGGTGTTGGCCAACTGGGTGCAACCGCTAAACGGCGGTATGTGGATGTCGCCTTGAGGATAGAGATGAGGAATTTATCACGAGACAATGTTACGCTGCTAGGATGACGAGAATAAGGATACTTTTATACTTTGTAACCACCTTGTCCTTCACCCCGCTCTGTCTCATTGCCGTTGTTGCAGGCACCATCAGGGCATCCCACTCGGCGCCGCATGGCGTATGCGGGGTTGTTGAGGGGCCGTTACCGTCGGGTCGGCCGTGGCGAGAAGAAGGACCCCTTCGGTCTTTGCAGACGCGGCTTTCTCTCAATTTCCATGCCCAGGATTGATTACAATCTGGAACCTGCGGCCAGCATTACAAGGGTAATTGGACTTTGTTGCCGCGACCTGACGTATACGTGCATCCGCCATCTACAACTGGGATCCGCTTCTCGGAACGGAAGCCGCCCAGATTGGTGCGGCGCTATTGACCTTGTTTGAAATGCTAAAGCCGATGCAGGATTTTGAGCCCAGGTTCGCGCTGAACGGAGATAGTCGATGCTTCGAGTCGGAAATACTTGCATTATAACTATTTCCAAAAATTCAACATGATTAGAAGATTGCTGAAGAAGGCATGACAAAGCAGAAAAGACAACTACGCCACTAATACCAAGGAGCGACGGCCACTGCTACCCCCTGTTGTAGTTGATCGACTTTAATATATGCACTCTTTAATTGGATGGCAAATAACACCGCTTAGAAATAAAGTGGAATTTTATCATTTTCCCAGGGGGAGGAGAGGGGTGAATTCGCTCGGCAAATTGCCAAGACCAAAACACCGCACGAATTAGCTACTGTAGCCTCCTTCCAATAGCTTAGACACCGACTAAAATCAGCGATCTTCTTCTAATGCTATGCTAGTTTCTGGCTGAATTTCAAATCGGAAATCAGCCGTGTCCTCTGCCGATGCAGTGTCCAAGTTGCTGTGGCTTCGGGCTAGCAAAGTGGCTAAACAGTTAATTGGCTCTCGTCTTGGGCCGCCCTCTCCTCCATCCATCTCGTCTTTCCCGTAATATCTACCGGGCCTGGCTAGACGCCCTGTAGCGCCGAATTAGCTGAGCTGTTACTCGACACCTTTGAGAAGGAATTAGAAATTCCGCACTTGCAGGTCGATCTGCAGCGGGTAGTAAATCGTCCTTTTCATTAGCCAGAAACTGCGGCCGCTCACCTCTTGTTCGTCTAGTGTGATTAGCTGCGTCTGCAGACAGTACAACAAGACGCCGCTCTACGATGATCCCCTGCCATGGTCAACAGCAGACCGAAGATGCTACTGCAAAATCACAACTCATTTAATAATCAATCGGGAATTTTTTTTGTATCTTTAGAAAGGGTTTGCTCGTCACAAACCTACGCCAATTCTCGCCATGACGCAATGTCTCTCAACATCACTGTTGCCATCGCACCAATCAGCCACAGCCAATTAGCCACATCATCATCATCTGCCACTCACACATCAATATCACGTACCACCGCTTTTTCTCCAAGTCATCATCTCACATGCCACCGTACAACGCACCTGACAATTCCCCCTCAGTGCCTCGTGCCCATATCAACAGGAATTGGTTGAAATCTGAGTAGCTTTACCGCTTCTACCAGCACCTCTGGCAGCTCCCGGAAAACGACAGTCGGCATATTAATTCCAACTTCGCCTGTCTCCGCGTTTCCGTTTGCTCGAAGCTCTCCCGATGCACATCTGTCGAGGGAGTCTGGAGCCGCATCACCGCCTTTCTGTCGGACAAAGGAGGCTTGAAATGAGTCTCACGTCACTGCCTGGTAAAATACCACCAGATATCTAATGACGTAGATTGTGTGAAGGGAGGGGATATGGCAGGGACACAATGAACGCCACGAGCAAACATCATCAGCCGCAGAAGATCAGAGTACGGCCGAGTGCGAATCGATTTTACGCGCAGTAAATGAGAATACCAACCTTACACAGTTTGCTTGACTCGGCATGAAACGTCCACAGCCGTTACGAGCATCATCAGCCCTTGATTCGATGCAAGCCATCGGACAGACCATCTTTCAGCTCAGATGCGGCAGATCTGCGATTTGTCCCAAGACTACGGGACACTGTAACTTGGCCGTACATATTCGACTGTTCATCCCGTGCAAGTATCGCCCCTCGATGCTGTCGAACATCATACGGGATACTGTCACACCCAAACTCGTGTGGAGATGGACTGCTGCGCTGGCAGTGATGCTTGTCTCACGGCAAACAGAGCAAACGGTAACGCAAGGGGTTCACGAAATGCAGCCAATCGTATTCACATGGAGTCAAAAAAACAGGTCATGGATGGGAACTGCCTTTGCCCGGGCTCGAAGCAGAGGCCGCTACATATAAAAACCCGTCTCTTTCCCAGACGATATCCCGTCTCTGCTTCGACCGGCATCGCCTCGCCCCGCCATGGACAGGACCACGGCCGACCGAAACGAGGCAACAACCAACGGCAACAGACAGGAGGAGGCTTCTACTACAGCCTCTCTACTTTCCTCCTCCTCATCCTTCTCCCCCTACTGCCCCACGTCCTTCCCCTCTAGAGTCAGCACTCCGTCCTGCCCCTCTACAGGTGGCGATCCCCCCTCCGCCCTCCCAAGCGGTGACCGGTCCTTCCCCTCTACAAGCGGCGTCTCCCCCTGCGCCCCTCCAAGCGCCGGCGCCTGCTGCCTCGCGCACGGCGCGCCCGTGACGCTCGCATCTGGGGAGGCCCGACCGATCCAGGACCTACACTCCGGCGACACGGTGCAGACGCTCGCCGGCCCACGGCTTGTCGTCGGCTTGCTCAGAACATTTGTTCACAGCAATGTGCTGTGTCGTCTAGGCGGCAGCGAGGACGGTGACGTCATGGTCAGCGCCTGGCACCCGGTGTCCCTCGACGGCGCAGCCTGGTGCTTTCCGGTGCACCTCACCTTCACGCCCGTCCTGTACACGGGCAACGTCTACTCGATGCTGCTCGTGGCCGACGGAAGCCCCCTGGCGCACACGTTTCTGGTCGCGGGGGCGCTCTGGTGCGCCAGCCTCGGCCACGGCGTCCTCCCACCGCCGCTTCGTCTACGTCCACCCCACCGCGGGGCCGAAGAGCCAGTTTGTTTTCTTCCACCCAACCGCGGGGCCGAAGAAGGAGAAGGAGAAGACGTCCGCTCACATCCCTTCTTCGGCGACTACGTGCTGGTGTGCGAGAAGATGGCGGTGCTGCGCCCGGTGGACGGCGCGTACCAGTGCTACGGGGTGACGAGGGACCCGAGGACTGGCCTGGTGAATGGCTTCAAGCCGGTGCCCCCGGCGCCGACCATGGCCTAGGGAGGTGGGGGGGGGATAGGATGATTCGTGGGGCTGCAGGACAGCCTCGCGGCAATTCGACCAGGTAAGTACTTTACGTGCGAACAAAACGTTAGAACATCCGGGAGCCTATCCATAAGTGGACTTATTTTGGGAGGCAGGTAAAGGGATTGCTTTTTGGGTTCGGTTACATATGGGGCAAATAGAATGGATGTGTTTTTGGCAAAAGTCACTGAACATGTGGTGAATGTTACTGGTCGCAGCATTGCAGCCAGCATTGCAGCCCGCGAGGTAGGTCACACCATACGAGGCGGCCGTGTAGAAAGATATACTCGTATTCATCCAACAAAGAGCTGATTCAGCAGCAAAATCTTTAACAATGGGAATCTTAAAGCAGTGGACAGGGGAGTCGAGACTAATAGCCATCTTATCACTCCAGGCAGACATGGTGGAGTGCAAGAGAAAGAAGGCTGAGGCAGTCATTACACGAGCCGATCATACGTTCCGGAACCTAGACATTGAATAATTATCCGAATCTCAAGAGACTCTTACGAGTAATTCGTGCTAAAATAGCAAGCATATGCAGAGGATGCTGACAGGCTGCACTGCAGGCTGCAGGCCACCCATCCAATCCAGGCACAAAGCTCGCCGTATAGGTGGAGAAGGCATCACGCGTGTTGGGATAATACGCAGGAGAATAACCCGGTAGAAATACCAAGAGAGAATGCAAATTGTGTCCTAACATAATTTTCTCCTGACGCGTGTCCGGGCGGGAAAAGGAGAGTGACAGCTCGTCGCACGGTTCCGTCTATAAAAGGACGAGTGCGCGTCCACACAAGCTCTCCGTACATGCACGATTCATACAAGATTTACATTCTCAAACAAATTTGACCCTTAACAAGTCTTCAATTCAAAACGCTAGCAAATCTGCGAAAATGAAGATTGCTGTCCTCGTCGCTCTCGTCGCTCCCGTCCTCGCGGTCCCGCGAGGCAAGCACCTTGTCGAGCTATCCCTCCCCGGCGAGCAAAACTACAACCCGAACCAGAGCCTCTACCCGCAACGAGCCCTGCGCGTTATTGGGAGCTTCCAGTCCGGCTTTACGGAAGAGACGTTCCGCGTCGAGGCCAAGAGGCAGTGCCAGGCCGAGCCTGCCTGCAGTACCGTCATCGGCTACCTTCGTAAGTACTAGCATGGATGTTCGTCACGCAACGCTTGTTATTACTGATACTAACTCATCAATTCACAGAGGAGCACTCTGAAGTTGTCGACGGGTCAAAGTATCCCGTGTGGTTCGCTTGGTTGATTGGTGGTGCCAGGGCGACCGCGGCCGACTTTCATCATGCCAACGGGACTAGTCATTCGTTCATCTACACTATTAACGAATAGTTGGGTATTGGGCCGCGATTATTCATTGTACCTTAACACAGGCTGTGGCAGGGAAATTGTCTCTTTTTTTTTTTTTTTTTTTTTTTTCTCTCTTTTCGCCATGCGACTGGCAGGTTTGCGAAAATTTGCCTCCAGGACTCCTCGTCTTGCAACCATCCACGTCGTAGAGGCGGATGATTTATAGTTGAAGAATTTCAAGGCGATATGAAAGGATGCATAGTTTAGCATGATCAAAAAAAAATGTGCGTCCGTATGGGAAGTGAGTCACCCGTGTCACATGGCGTAGTACGCACCGCCATTGTTCTCCTGCTTCTCCTCATTGTTGTACAGCTTTTCATGGTTGGCACTTCTCATCTAATAAGACACGGCTGCTTGGATAGCCTGTCTGAACCGAATGAGACACGAAACTGGATTGAGCTCCCTCGGGGTTGTGGGCGAATAGATATGGGGAGATGATGCCAAAACAACATATTCCACTCAGGCCTTTGGCATGAAGAAAACAATCATCTTTCGCTTTTTGGTCGATGAGAGGCACATGGAGGCTCTAACATCGCGCATTGTTAATTGCAACCACAAAAGAGACATTTCCCAGCCGGAAGAGACCTTCCCTGACAGAAAGACGATGCGACCCGCCCTCTAGCTGGCAGTCGCAGCCGTTTGGCTTGAATGCGTGCAGCTGGATGCAACGAGGGATCCAGACACCCTAATCAATATCACCGGAGATGGATCTTGGTGGGCTGTTACCGATCCTTTGTTTGCAGAATTTGTCTCTCTTCTCCCACAGCCTGCAGATTTTGCAAATCAGGGACTGACGCGGACGGTCGATTTCTAGAGCTTCACGCGCCTGCAGCAGCTTGGTGGGCGAGGGTGTGCCACGTTGGTCTACACTTCCTCTGAACCAGAGCAGAAGATGGTCTTCAAAGGTGTCGACTTCCGTTCCTTCTTTTCGCATACGAGTCAGGCCTAGTCGTGGACCAAGTCCAAACGTTCAAAAGGTCGGTCGAGCTTCTTTGTCACATGCCGACTCACCGCAACATTCTCCCTGCACCACAGATACTCGTCACAGTCGCGGATCGAGATGGAAAAAGTCGCGCTGTATGTGGCTGCCAGTATCCATTTCACCCCAATGGAAATCCAGCCGAGAAGATAAAGGAGAGCAATGCTACAGGACTCCGAATTCCGCTTCCTCTAAAGGCGAAATGGTGCTACCAGATGGCGGCGGCTACTGCTCACACTCACCATGTCGCCAAGACATTTCACATGGACATTAAGCCTGGGAATCTTATCCCAGACGCAAACTTGGACCTTCTTTTAATTGACTAGAAGCAGAGTGATGCTCCGGTCACGACGGCCGCACCGGAGATTGACGGCACATGGGATGCGACAGAAGCTGAGAACCGTCTACCGGACGGCTCTGTCACCACAACAGTCATCTACACCAAGTATACAGGCCCGGAAAGGTGAAACAAAACCGAGAACACCCCTGGAAGAAACGGGTGAAACGTGTGGAATTCTTTCCTGGATTGGCAGGAGAATTGCCCGAGGGCGTCGGAGCTAGCAGAAGTATTTAGACTTGACGATCAATGTAGATGTTGCTCCGCCAGCCCCATGATAACTTGAAGAATGTTAAAAGTACAGAGGACTTTGGGATAACTGTCAAGATATTCCGACGACCTGGAAAACGCAGCTTGAGAGTTGTCTAGAGCGCAAGCCACTAAAGCGGCCGACCTTGAGAGAGGTCCAGAGATTTTGGGCGAAAGCACTCCAAGAATTTAGAGAATAGCCAATAAATATTGATGGCGTCAGACCTCGAAAAAATTTAACAGAACAGCCGTACTTAAGAAATAGTTTGTCACGTTTAGACATTCAGATGGCGACTTATACCAGGGACCCTCCAACTGAGGTTATGAGTCGCAAATTGAGCCACAATAATTAGGGGCAAAAGAAATCAAAATTCAGAAGTAATCCTAAATATTTTATATGGTTCACAAGCCTTGTACAAGCCTCGGCGTCTATTACAGCGGTGATTGCGTACTCACTCCTTTGCCTTGCGAGGCAGTGACGACGCTCGCAAGGCTGAAGTGGAGTATTAGGTACTTTACAGCACCTCCAACATTCCGCGAAGACTCAGGTAGCCTATACCTCATCTTGCCCCTCCAACCGTCCACCCGCTGCCCATCGCGTGGCGGGGCGCCAGTGCAATCGTCGTCATCCGACCAGCTCCTCAGCCAAGAAAGTTCGCTGTTCACATACAGCCCTATTAATTCCTTATATGCTGCCACTCCTCTGCATAGAAGTATGTCATTTTCCATCTAGATCAATACAGAGGAGATTCTTCGACACTGCAGAGAACTGCCTCCCCTCCCGCCCTCCGCGTCTCTCGTCATGACCTTGTCCTCCGGTGGCGGCGGCTCCAGCCTGCCGCGACGCTCAGATTCTCCCGCAAACAGCTTCTATGCCGTGACGGATGACGATGAGGGCGCATATGATACGATCACGCATACAGAAACGGGGAAAGGCGTGAAACTGCTCTTCTCGAAAAGCAAGGTAGGCTCAGGCCCGCCTGCAAACGGGACCTCGCCATGGTCACAAGCTAACCAGAGCAGGTCTATGTGCATCCATCGCCGTCATCCAAGGACAATATCCCCGGTTATATCGCCTTGCTCCAGCAAAAACCCGCCGCTACAGTTACTTCATCCACCGAGGGCTCCAGCCCGTCCGCGGCCGATCTGCTACTCGCATGGGTCCCCGAATCCTCCCTCGGCGACTCGGCGAGCATATACGTTAAGGTCGATCTTTCCGATGGCAACTCACCACCCCGGCAATCCTACCTCGTCCCGCCCCCGCCAACCGTAACATCTCACAGCGGATCTGTCGGGGCCTACTCCTTCGCCGTGCCCGTCAGCGCCATCTACTCGCTGCTGGTGCGGCCACCCAGCGTCGGATGGTGGCACGGCTCCGTCATCATCAACACCAAGGCCGGCGGCAGCTTCCCCGCGCTATTCTTCCACGACAATGAATGCCAGAGTACGATCCAGCAAAAGAAGCGGATGACAAGGGATACATTCGACCCCTTCAGCGAGGCTGGCAAGATGTTCTGGGGCGCGGACGAGGTGCTGCGCTGGCTGCGGCGCTATGTCAGGATCGAAAAGTCTGCGGCTGAACCCAACATTTACCTCGTCGAGCCGACTAAGGATGACTTGAACGCGTTTGGCTCCATCCCCACGACGGTAAGCAAGGGCAAAGGCGCGCCAGCCAACCGCGACGCCGAGATGGATCCGTTTGTCAAGTTCGTCAAGGAGACGGGCTGGAACATCATGGAGAAGTTCAGCCAGGTGACGACTTTTACGCGCCGAGCTGCGCAAGATTTGGCTGAGAATCCGAACATGCCACCGCAGGTCAAAAAGCTCCTTAGAAACAGCGACGTGCAAAACCTTCAGGACGAGTACGACAGCGCGAGGATATACCTCGCCCGCTGGGCCATGGGCATCGCGGAACAGAGCGAACGCGACAGGAAACAAAAGATGTACACCGTCAAGGATGTTCTCGAGCTCGAGGACACGGATGTCGGCGAGTTTGAGCTTCTCGATGCTGCCAACTCACTCTCCCTCGAGGAGCGCCGCAAGCCCGTCACCATGACGGAGTGGAAGACCTTCTTCGACCCCGAGACTGGCCGGCTCATCAAGACGACTGACGAAGTCAAGGAGCGCATCTTCCACGGCGGGCTGGACGCTGACGATGGCGTCCGTAAGGAGGCCTGGCTCTTCCTGCTCGGCGTGCATGAGTGGTACAGCACGGCGGACGAGCGCCGGGCCCAGGTCGCGTCCCTCCGCGATGCCTACTATCAGCTCAAGCACGCCTGGTGGGAGCGACTAGACGGGCACGGCGGCGAGGGCGAGACGGGCGAGTGGTGGCGCGAACAGCGTGGGCGCATCGAAAAGGATGTACACCGGACCGACCGCCACGTCCCCATCTTTGCCGGAGAGGATACGCCCCATCCGGACCCGGACTCACCATTTGCCGACGTCGGCACCAACGTCCACCTCGAGCAGCTCAAGGAGATGCTGCTCACGTACAACGAGTACAACAAGGATCTGGGCTACGTCCAGGGCATGTCCGACCTGCTCGCGCCCATTTACGCTGTCGTCCAGGACGACGCGATTGCTTTCTGGGCCTTTAAAGAGTTTATGGGCCGCATGGAGCGCAACTTCTTGCGCGATCAGTCGGGCATGCGCGCGCAGCTGCTCGCGCTCGACCAGCTCGTCAACTTTATGGACCCCAAGCTGTGGAACCACCTGCAAAAGGCGGACAGCACCAACTTCTTCTTCTTTTTCCGCATGCTCCTAGTGTGGTACAAGCGTGAGTTCCCCTGGCTCGATATCCTGAGCTTGTGGGAGCGTCTATGGACCGACTTCCTGAGCGCTGAGTTTCACATCTTTGTCGCACTCGCCATCCTGGAAAAGCACCGCGACGTCATCATGGAGCACCTCCAAGCCTTTGACGAGGTTCTTAAGTACAGTACGTCCTACCATCTTCCACCATGTTACGCGCCCCCCACGGAATACTGACACAAAGATTCGCTTAGTTAATGAACTTTCCGGGACAATGGACCTGGACTCCACGCTCATTCGCGCTGAGGCGCTCTTCCGCAAGTACCAGCGCGCCGTCGAAGCCATTGACAAGAAGGACAACTTCCCAGGTCCGCGACCATCGTCGGGGTCTGCCGCTTCCGAGTCGTCGCCCGGCACGTCGTCAGGTCCCGCAGCCAAGGGCAAGGGCACCGAGGCGCCCGCGCCCAAGGTCATTACGCCCGAGTTGCGCAAGCTCCTGAGCAGAAAAGTGCAGATCCTACCTCGCAAAACGGTGGCACAAAAAGGAGACGGCATGCCTGGCAAGTGATTTAATCTGACTTTGCTACCAGGCGCTGGCGTTCGGGACATTGATTTTTCTCGCTGTATTTGTAGCTAATAATGATGGTGCTTCACACGCGTATATGCGATTTCAACAAACTATTGGCCCTCTACTGCCGTGTGACGAATTTTACGAGAGACAAAATCCAAGTTGTTGCAAACCTTTTGATTATACTATATAGAGCTTCCAGCAGCTCTCTCGGCGTCCGGGGTATACCGTCGCGTCCCATTATCCAGGACCTATGTATCTGACAATAAAGAATTCGGTGCGAGCCAAAAAGAACGGCCCAAATACAATTGATAAAAAGCGCAAAGAAACAAAGAAAAAACAACCCCCAAAGAGAAAGTAGAAACACACAATCACCACGCACATTTACCTATACCCTCTCGGACCGCTCGGGAGGCCTTGACGCTGCCCGCTCGGTGGTGCTCTCCCGTACTGATCGCCTCCGCCCCGACCACCGTCATACTGCCCTCCTCCTCCACCACCACCACCGCTCAGCGGTGGCGCCGCGTACTGGTTCTGTCCCTGCGCCGGCACTGCCGCCGGGCTCGCCGCGCGTGCCGGGCCCCAGAGCTTCTTCTTCAAGCGATCCTGCGCCGTCGCGCCGACCGCGCCCGACTGACTACCCACGCTCTGGTAGCTCCCCGTGCGCTGACTCGGCAGCGGCCGCGCCGCCACCTCCTCCCTGCCCGGCTGCGGCATGCTCGCCCCTCCGCGTCCGGCGCGTAGGCTCTGGGGCTGCTGCTGTGGCTGGCCGGCTCCGCCGTTGTTGTTGTCCCATAAGCTGGCGAGACTCGACGAGGCCGGTACCCCACCGCCGTTGCCGCCGCCGTAGCGGGACCCGAGCTGGGGCTGGGTGTAGAGGGCGGCGGGCGGCGGCTGGGCGGCCTTGGGGTCGGCGGGCAGCCAGGGGGGGAGGGGGCGGCCCTTGTCGGCGTAGTAGTTGCGCAGGACGCGGCAGGCGTGCGTGTCGTCGACGGTGTCGCCGTCGGCGTCGGTGGAGAGGTACGTGGAGCGCAGGGAGGATATCTGCGAGGACGTCTTGGTGACGAAGCTGGTGTACCAGGACGCCATGGCGGGGTGGGGGGTTTAATTTGTTCGTTGGGGTTTTTTTGTTGTTCGATTCGGCGACCCCGTCGGGTGGAAGGGGGCGTTGATCGGCCGACGTCGAGTAAGTTCGGAGAATTGGTGAGATGCAGTGCCTCCGGGGCGGGTTATTGATTGACCAACGGTAATGGCCGTTGTGCCATAGAAGCAAGCGCGGACGGCGTTTTGTTGAGCAAGCTTGCTGTAGCGTTCCTCGTATCGGGGGGAGAGGGATCGAGGAGATTGTGGTGTTTTCGTTGGCAATTGTTACTGACGAGCCTGTAAGCGGCAGATTCAGGATGAAGAAGTGACGGAAGAAAAGTAGACGTCAGCGTCGGGTGGTAACAGGTTGTATGTTATGTAGGTGGAGGTTTCAAGTTGGCAAAGCTCTGTGGACCCTGTGTTGCAACATGAGCATTTTGCATGAGCCCCCCCGTTGGTGGGGAGGGAGGCTGCAGCTTTGTGTGGCCGCTTTCTTCATGACGTCGTGAATTAGTTTGGCTGGGCGGCTAAATGCTGATTAGCTGATACTTGTCATGCATTATGGGTAACGATGCTGATGTCTTTCAATTTGTATGATTCACATGATAAAATACCGATAAAAATCTAAGCAAATCCGAAATTACACGCCAGAAAACGCCGCTATGCTATGAAGAATTTGTATGCATTTTCCATGGCCATCCCAAACTTTTTTTTGCTCTTCCCACAAGCAGGCACGGCTCTCCATCGGCCACCTGCTGGAAGCACAGACAGTAATACAATCACCAAAATAGGAAACTCATAAACTTGTCCCCTTACCCTTCTCTCGCCGCCCACACACCGGTCAATTACCAGGCCAAGTCGTTGGTGAGAGTGAGCTTCTCCTTTTCCCTCTCGTCCTGGCGAGGGCGCTTGTTCTGCATCTTGATGACACGGGCACGCTTTCTCTTGTTGCTCAGCTTCTCCTCTTCGTCGCTCTCCTCCTCTTCCTCCACCTCTTCCTCCTCGCTCTCCAGCCAGTCTTGCAGGTCGCCGAGTTCCTCCTCGCTCTCGTCCAAGTCAGAGACATACTCGATGGCACCATCCTCGACCTCGCTGTCCAGTTCCTCCTCCTCGTCCGAGTCGATGCCCTCGTCCATGTCCTCGTCGCGGACGCCGTCGCCCTCGCGCTCCATGGCGTTGAGGACCTTCTTCCAGATGTCCTCACTCACGTTGAGCGGCTGCTCGCCGTAGGCGCCCTGGCGCAGGCGCTCCAGCAGCTCGCGCTCGATGGTACGCTCCAGCTTGGCGGCGGCCTCGGCCTTGCGCTCGCGCGCACGCTCGCGGTGCCGGACCTTGGGCGCCAGCTTGGGGACCAGCTTCTCGCCAAGGCGCTCCTCCTCGGCGGCAATGCGACGCATGCGGATCTGCACCTGCGTCAGGCGCGTGAGGCGCTGCTTGCACTTGTGGATGAGGAACTTGGGCCAGTAGATGAGGCGGTCGTCAATCTGCTCCAGGGCCTTGGTGTAGTTGTTGGACAGCTTGATGCGCTCCCACATTTTGGACGGCAGGTGCGCACGCTCGACCGTCTTCATGTACAGGTAGAGCGTCTGCTTGGTCGGGTGCTGGCGGACCGTGGCATATCGAGAGTTGGCCAGCGGGCACGACTGGCGGTTGCAGAGGCCGGTTACATTGTATTCGTTGCGGCAGAAATTTTGCTCTTTCGGGGTTCTTTTCTTCTGTTAGAGTTGATACCATTTAGATCGATTCTAGATACATACTTGAGCTTGAATGCACAGAATTGCTGGTTGATAATTTGCCAGACAATCTCGTCGGACGCCATGATGGGCGTTTTTTGTCAGGGTCGTTTGTTCGACGTCCGAATGAAATATCAGGGACAGTCTTGTACTGGCTTAAGCAATCCCGGAGAAATCCAAAAGAGAGAAAGATTCTTCTTGGCTCTGCTCCTTTAGTTGTGAGGAAGCAGAGAAAATACAGTGGTAATGCCGTCTGGACCAAAGAACCAGTAGTTTTTTTTTCTGGGCCTGAGCTGGGAGACATTGGAGATTTTTTTTGCCAGACTCTGATAGGCGGCTTCTGGTGGGCGGGCCGCCTCACCGCTTTCCAGGGACAACTTTTGCTAAGCCACATGAGGCGTCAGCCACACAACCGCCGTCTCCGATTTTGGGGGAGCTGTTGCACAGAATCCTTGCCATGAGGATTTGCTCTGACAGCTACGTCACGTATTTGCCATGCACAACTTGAGGCACGGAGTCTTCAGCCCGAGCCTGAGTTGGAAGCCGAGAAACAACTCCGACAATGCTGCTTTGGTGGCGCAAAATCGGGGTACCTCATGACCTTTTGTCCGTTGTTTATAACCAACTTGCGATACAGCTGCCTGGCAACGCGAATGGTTCTCCATCTCCCTTTCTTCTTCGTTCTCGTCTGCCGCAGTAATATTCAAATACGGCGGAAAAGTCAGCGAATGGAGTTGATGAAAACCCTAGCTGTCCAACCAACTTGACTGGCCTGAATCGACCTCTGAGCTTTATCCTAGATGTGAAGGTAGGGTGCAATTTCTGGGCAATATTGCCTTGCCTGAATATGGGTTCTTTGTTTTGTTTGCTGAGATGACATTCTAGGAACGGCTTGAAAGCAGCAATAAAGAGCGCTATGACCAGTTCCTCAGCGCGTTCACCAAATTCCAGCAATCCGTTGCTTCTACGGACTCAACTACGGCAAAGCAGGAAAGCTTGGATACAATGAAGAATGAGGTCAAATCGTTCCTTGCAGGACATGACGATTTGATTTTCGAATTTGAATCTCTGACTAAAGAGCGCCAATGAGGCAACAAGGCGCACGAATTCCTAGGCTCGCTCTATGGCAGTCTCAGATAGAATTCCAACAGTTTGGCAAAGTCCGGCGTCCCCAGACCAGTGACCGGATCCCACCCATGATCTGCACGAAATTCTTCCTCCACAGCCAGAATTTGACCCGTCGACGACGTCGTTCAATAGATGAGGGTTCGCATACAGCGCCGGGTTCAGAAACCCGACCGGTGTCTTTTCTTCGAACAGCCTCGCATCGTTGAGCTGGCAATCGAGCGACGCAAATACTGGCGTCGATGCAGAGGTGCCCATGACCGTCACAAGACGCCCATTCTGCGCAATTACATAGTTGGCCGCGTTGGCCGACAGCTGTGAGCCCCCTACAACAGTGACGAATGGACATCCTGCAGGGCTCGTCGGTCGGAAGTCGCCGCTGCTCGTGTTGCTTCTGTTTGTGGCTGCCGAGTCTCGACTGATGCACTCGCAGCTGTGACCGGCAGGTCCGCAATCTGCCGAAGACACGAGGACGCTGACACCCTGCAATCCGAGCTTCAGGAACTCGAGACACTGCCGTAGTAGATATGAAGATGGAAAGTTGACCTCATCATATGCGAAAGATATGGACAGGACCTTGGTAGGATGTGGGATGGTGCCGCATTCTGTCGTTTGGTTCTACCCCCCTGGTGCTGGGTCCGGAAAGATGCCGTCAATGCTGCCATTGAGTGCTGAGCAAATAGAAAGCATCAAATGCGGCAAGAAGATTGTTGAGAGTTCCGGGAATGGCCACATCGCCGACTTGGTAATTTGTCACTGGTACGGGATGCGACAAAGTCATGGCATACTCCATGTCAAGGTCAGGTTCGGCATTGATGAACGGCGTTTGCATCCTGTCCTGCCAGTATCCGCCGTCAATCGGAACCATGACTGGTCTTTGACCGACCATTTTCTTGGCAAAAGTTTCGAAAAATTTATCAAGGTCTGCCAAAGGCCAGGAAGCCTAGGCGGGCTCAAATTCCAATTGAAATATCCGGGTGGCTTTTGTCCGAGACCGGAATTCCATACATGGCTCGCAGGCAGTCCGGGGTAGTGTAGCGGGAGCAATTCCCCAAAGAGAACGTTGGGCCAGAGTCATTGTTTGCCTTGTTGGCGCTTTGACTTAAGACTCGATGTTGCATACTCGGCAAGCTGGCATTATGGGCTCCCAGGTGGACAGTCGGCGTGATGAAGTCGACATGAGCATCGAGTCCGTCAGGGAGACTGTACTCATGCGGCGCAACATCCATGGCATATGTTGCACCATTTTTTTAGATGCCGTACTTTACTCTGAGCAGCCTCTCGCTCTCCGCGACCGTGGCACTGAAGAGAATCCAGCTACGGTCTTGCGTGAAACGGAGCCGACGCGGTCCAATGCTTGACTCATTGAGCCACCGAACTACTGTCGATGTAGTCTCATAGGTGGGTGCGAATCGAGCCACCACCTCTCGAGCCGACCAATATCGGCCAAAGTTGGGGGATGATGGATCCGCGACTCGTAGGAGTTCCTCCTCCCAACATTCTCTTGAGTGAGCGCGATGCGCATGGGAAGAAAAGCTGCTGGGTTCACCGCGGGCTGTACTTGGTACCAGTCCACGGTGGCCCATGCCAACCTCTCATGTACATGGTAAGCTGCCCCGGCGGCGCGGCCATGGAAAGCAAAAGTGAATATCCCGAACAGCTGCAGTGCTCTCATTGTGCTGAAAGATTTCGGAAACCCGAGCAGAAACGAATGGGGGGGGTTGATGCCGAGGAATGACGCCGGTCTACAGAGCAAAGCCATACTGACTACAGTGTGCTAGCTCAACTTTTATGCTGTGCGCGTAGATCTGTGCCGAGAATGGACTTTATGTTCCGGTCGCCCTGTATCACCTCCATCCCACGATAGCTGCATTGCCCGCTCGGCAATAACGCCAGATGCATGTCATGATTCAACAACAGCCGAGCGGGCCATGCAATCATCAAGGTTATACAATTTGGCCTGAGCCCACTGCTCACATCTTCACAACATGTAAAAGCAGACAGTGTAGCCCTTCGGGGTCAGCAGAATCAGCCTCAGCCTGCCAGCATTCTGATCCTTTGACTCTGCATCCGCCGCGACGACTCCAGGGAAATCTCATGCATCTTTCACAATCGGTCGCTGCCACGCTAAGTTCTATTTCCTCAAAAGAAATGAAAATGTCCGTCCGTTTCCCCTTGCAGGCTGTTCCGATAGTCAGCCTGTGCCGTATTGCCGTCCGTCGGTGGACCGTGTCGGCTCGTCGCTCTCGAGTTGGGCACTATCTTCGGATATCGACTACAAATAGGTCGGGATGGACGCCGTTCTATAAGCGAATCTTACTGAAACAAACCACGAACAACAACCTACCAAAAGAAAACATGGCAAACAATCCAAGGAATCCAATATGCGTTACACCATTGCCAGCGTTATCTGCCTGATCGGCAGCGCCCTCGCGGCCCCGGGCCAATCTGCGCACGTGGCGGAGAGGGTATAAGGATTTAAACGTTTCCAATGTTAATCTGTGCTGGCCAAGGTCACAAATGAAACAGACCATTGCTTTTGTAAGTGAAGATTTGCCCTCCGTGCCTTTGTTGCAGAAACGAGCCATGGCATCTGACCACCGCCACAGCTCGAGTGTGCAGCAGCTTGTACCCTCTTTTGCCTTACTCATGGAGATTCTCCGTGCTATGCCGCCTGACTGGCCGTTTGCGCCGGTACTGTTGAGGGGGGAGAGCCGATTGAGAAAATTGAGTCGGATGGGAAGCAGTTCAGCTTCACGACTAGCAATGACGTGGTTGAAGGCTCGATTTAGCTCAGGCAAAAGCCGCCAGCCTTGGTTATGTTGATGACATGGATCAAGCTTTGAAATCAATAAATCAATCAAGAGGTTCAGAGGACCGAAGCTGCACTGAAGTTTCTCTTTCCAACTTTCGATGGTTTTATTTACAACCCAGCCCTACATGTATATGCTGTTACACGAGGAATCAAATCTTTATGCTGGGCACAGTGTCGTAATGATTTTTCATAAGCATTTAGGTCTTTCGAAAGTTGAGTAAGAGTACCTTTTTCGTCTTTTTTCCTTCTCCACGTTTGGTTCTTCTTATTTCCTCCGACTCTTAGAAGCTAACGGGCGAATCTCCTCCAGGGTATGTATTCTTCAGCGTCTCCCCACCTTGTTCATGGCCTTGTAGGAATAACTCAACTAGCAGAAAACACCTGCAATGGAAGATGAAAATGAGCCCGCAAGCGAAGACAGAGAGTCATCTCGAAGCATCAAGACCTTGATAAAAAAAAACCACCTTGATAAGTTTTAAAAAAACACATCATTGTTATTCGTCTCTTTTCATCACCCATCTGTTGCCTTTACCACCTTCTTTGAGCCTGATGACTAAGCCAGTCTTGCCTGGGCGGCTAAGCAGACAACGTCACCATGGATCGACAGACGCAACGCAACTTGGCCTAGCTTCTAACCGTGTGTCTCGTGCATTCTTCATCTCAGCAACATCCCCTCCCGGCGACAAAATATCCAACCCGCGACGACACCCTTCCACGCCACCCCGCTACTCTCCGCGCCTCCCTTCCATCCCGTCCAACTTTCTCCGAGCCACCACCGAGGGGTCCCCTCTCGTCCGCGCCGACTTCCCCGAGCGAAGCTCTTGAAACCGCCCACGTCACCAGAAGCTCGAACCTACACAACCCAGCTTTTCCGACGACCCCAGCTTCGAGCTTTCGAGTGAGGAGCTAGCCTCTGGCCTTTTTCTCTCGAACCTCCTCTCCGCACATATATTACCACGCGCGGCCGACTTGCCCGCCCGCCCGCCCGCCCGCCCACCATGCCGACCGCCGGCCTCAAGACCATCATCGCGCTGTCGTTCGTCCTCGCGCTCGGCTTCCTGCTCGTCATCCTGTCGTGCGCCCTGTTCCACTCGTACTTCCCGCTGCTCGTCGTGGCCACCTACGTCGTCGCGCCGGCGCCCAACTGGATCTGCAGCCGCTGCGCCAACCCGGACGACTTTGTCGAGAGCTCCGGCGCCGCCGTCCTCGACCTGGGGCGCTTCCTCACCGGCTTCTTCGTCGTCATGGGCATGGGTGCGTTCTTCTATCCTCTACATAAGCATCCCTCTTTGTGTGCTTGGGCAGTGCTAACTCGTTACAACCCAGCCTTGCCGGTCATCCTCGCTCACGCAGACATCATCCGCACCGAGGCCATGATCATGTCCATCGCGGGCGGCCTGCTCATCTACGGCACCATCATCAGCTTCGGCATGTTCTTCCAGGAGGAGCAGGAATTCTAAGCGGACCCGGGAACAGCCCTCTGTACCGCAGAAGCTACGGAGAGGCAACTTCTGAGATGGAAAACTTCTTTTGTACCTGTATGTTATGTCAGGAGCAAAGCTTGGTGGCGCCAACGCGGAAGGATAATGTTTTGTAGCTTTCCGCATTCTGTTTCCCTCTACTTCTGGTTTTAATTTGCAACAGGCATGAGCGTTAATCAAAGAGACAAAATGTTTATGATTTCTATGCAAACAATGTTAAAAATGTCTTGATTCCGAAGAATGCATGATGTTGAGATCGCTGTGTAAACCCAAATATGTAATACGCCGTGGCCAGGCCCAGCCAAAAATACACCCAACTGAGATGAGATGAGATGTTCAAGATTACAACCACCGGCTCTCCCGTTTACGCTGCATCTCTGAACGTGCCGAGGGGGCCAAACAGCTTCGTAAACATTTCCTCGCGCTCGCCCTCCGGCGTGCTCAGGATGGTCACCGCGCCGCCCGCGCCGATGCGCCAGACCTCGCGGCCGCGTCCCTCCTCATCCTCACCACCATCCGCCTGCTCGTCGTCCCAGCGAAACATGGTGCGGATCGTGACGCTCCAGTCGCCCTGGCCCTGCACGTCAAAGTACCCGACCACGCCCGAGTAGACGCTGCGCTCGCCCGGCTCGATGACCCGTAGCAGCTCGCAGCTGCGCTTCTTCGGCGCGCCCGTCATGCTCCCCGGCGGCAGCGTCGCCGCCAGCACGTCGATGCCGTTCAGCGGCGCCCCCGGCGGCAGCTGGCCGTGGACGGCCGTCACCATCTGGAAGACGGTCGCGTACTCCTCGACCTTGAGCAGGTCCGGGACGGAGACGTTTTGCGGGCCGCAGACGCCGTGCAGGTCGTGGCGGACGAGGTCGACGATCATCAGGTTCTCGGCCTCCTCCTTGGGCACGTGCAGGATGCGCTCCGCGGCGGCGAGCGTGGGCACCGCGGCTGACTTGCGCACGGTGCCCTTCATCGGCCGCATGCGGCACAGGCCGGCGCGGTCGGTCGACAGGAAGCGCTCCGGCGAGCAGCTCACCACCGTCGCGCCGCCGAGGCGCACGAACGAGCCGAACGGCGCGGGCTGTCGGCTGCGTAGCGTCCGGTACACCTCCCACGGCGAGCGCCGCTCGTCGTCGTCGTCGACGGGCGGGCGCGTCATGGTCGTCTGCGCTGTCAGGCACAGCTCGTAGGAGTGGCCCTCGCGGATGGCGTACTGGCAGCGGCGGACATCGTCTTCGTACTTGCCCGAGTCGGGGACGGTGATGTCCAGACGGTCGCTGCCGCGCGCCGCCACGTCGTCCCATAGCTCCTCGGGGGTGAATGTTGCTTCGGGGCAGCTCACGGGACGTCGTGCGTTGGAGTCGCGCCAGACGGGCGCGTTCTGCAGCCTCCGCACCGCCTCGTCAACCCAGCCTCCGTCATGGTCGGCCGTAGTTAGGCTTTGCACGTAGGCGGTGCTGGTCTTGTGGTCCAGCACGACGCTGTTGGTGATCCAGGCCATGACGAGATCCGGGCGATGGTGGCCGCGATGCGCAGAGACGGCGCCGGGGCTGAGCGTGCTGAGGCCCATCTCATATGTGACGAAGCCCATGAACCCGCCCTTGAACGCAGGCGCGCCATCGCAGTCAGCGTCTTGTAGCTTGTGGGTCTTCCAGTATTCAGACATGATCTGATAGACGGCCATGGGATCGTCCTCTGTATCGTCTAGTGATATTCGCTGCACCTCCTCGGGACGGCCGCCTCCGATGTTGGACGCAGGGCGGCGAAACGTGACGTAGTCATCTCGGACGTGGTACTCGAGACGAATCGCCGCATCCACGTCCAGCGCAATGATGCTGTTTCGTGCCAGGGGATCGCCGTTCTTGGCGCTGGAAGAGTCGAGGAGAATTGCTTCGCCGGAGCTGCAGCCGAGTATCTCCATGACGTCTGCTGCGTCGACGCAGTCGGGGAGCTTGAGCTGCCGGCAGACGTAGCCGGGCTGGGTGCCTTGGCTGGCCAGGCCGGAGCGCATTGCATTCGACCAACGCGCCGATGCTAGGTCCCTCTCCGAGGGGCCCTGTGTAGTGGTTGAAGCGGCGCCGCCTGTCGCAGCCGACGACTCTAGGCTGGCAGAGTGCACGAGTGGTAGATTCCATGGCCGTCGCGCGCGGCCGTTGACTTCATTCCACTTGGTCGCCTGGTCGAACCAGTTGCGCAGGATACCATGCACGGCGACGGAGTCTGTGCAGATGGATTCGGGATGGCACTGGACGCCCCAGAACGGCATGCTCGCGTGGCGAACACCCATCAACACCCTCTCGTTGTCGTTGTCGGCCTCAGTCACCCACGCCAGGGGCACCAGATCGGGTGCCACGGACGGCGCCTGCCACTTCGCTAGCGGCCACTGCTCGTCCGGGACGTCGTCCTGGCCAATGTCCGCGCACAGGCTGTGATACAACGTGGCCCTGAACGGCGGCACGCCCTCAAAGATGTCGGCGTAGCCGCCCTTCGCCGCCTGCGCCGGGCGCTCCAGCCCCTTGTGGTCGATGGACCGCACCATGCCGTGCAAGCCCCGGCGCAGCTTCCTTATGCGCCCGCCAAAGTGCTCCACCAAGCTCTGAAACCCAAGACAAATGCCAAAGACGGGGGGAACGGTGCTGCGGTGCTGCTCCGATAGGTCCCAGAGGTGGCGGAAAGCGCCGACGTCGTTGGCGCAGAGCGGCGATCCGGGGCCGGGCCCGCAGACGACGGCGTCGAAGGAGGCGAGGCGGGCGAGGAACTGGTCCGGGGTCCAGTCGGGTGTGGGGTCCGAGTGCAGCGTGCGCAGGTCCATGTGGATGACGTGGACCTGGACGTCGGCGCCGAGGGCGTCCTTGAGCAGGGAGACGATGTTGTTGGTGAAGGAATCATAGGCGTCGAGGAAGAGGATGCGCGGCGGCGGTGAGGAGGGTGATGTGCTGGCAGCGGCTGTTCCTGAGCCGTTGCCGAGCCTCGTCGTCGTCGTAAAAGGCGGCGACGAGGAGCCGGAGCCGCCGCGTGACTGCATCAAGGGCATGGCTTGGACTGGACTGGGCTGGGCTGGGCTGATGATTGAGCGAACAAAGTTTTCCGTGTCCTGGCGTTTGCTGTTGGCCGTCGGATCTGCGTCGCAAGCGAAATCCCAGCACGTTTTTGCTTCCAGTCTCTAGTAAATTCAAACGGTTGTCGGTTTAGAAAAGCTCTCAATCGCTTTTTTCCCTGCCCTCTCCCTAATTGATGTCGGTCGACAAGCCACAAAGCCAAGATGGTCCCGGGAGGTTCGGCGGGTCAAGATGAGAGGCAAGGTAGTAAGTAGTGAGTGAGTGAAAAGGCGCGGCTAGCCGAGTGAGTAAGTGGATTTGGGCCTGTTCCGATATTCCTTTCCCGCCCAGAGGATGGGAGACTTCACTCTGAATATCTGCCGCTCTTGATCTTATCAGGCCATGTTGTCTGAAAGAGTTGACAAGCACATCATGAATCATTCTCAAAGTCCCGCAGAAGGAAAAAAAAAAAAAAAACCACCCGAACGGTCCCGGGCCCCATCCCGATTCAAGACAAAACAAGACCCGGCTGTCGACGCACGCTAGCGCCGACAGCCAGCCCCTATCCGGGCAAATACAACAGCAAGTCAGCGCTGTTGAGGTGATCCGGCGGATAGCGCACCTCCAGCCAGTAGCGGGTAGGCGCCACGGAGAGGGCTTCGGCCAGCGGCCAGCGCTGACATGCATGATGCTTGTGAGGCATGACGCTGCACCGTTAGACGTCTCAGCTCAGCCTTGTTATAAGTTAGGTTAGGGCTGCAGCTTGTACACGTTAAAATCCTTTTTGCCTCGTAATACTCTGTGTGCAAAAAAATTCCGATTCGACGCCATGATCCTGACAAGTGCATCTCATCTACAACTGTACTCTATTATACCTCCATCCATCGCATCTAACATATTAACGTGATTGAGGAGCAGGGCGCCGTGTGACGCCCTATCCTCCTCGACTCGGCCATCTATACGTCATCCTTGACAAGAAGCTGAAACGAGCGTCTTGAATGCCACATCCTGCGCTGCTTGACCCCCAGCGCCGCGTCCATCGCCTCCTGCGTGTTGGACCTCGGTCTGCCCAGGCGTGGTTTCTTCTCCGGCTCCCAGACCAGCACCTCCTCCACCGACGCCGTAATCTCAAACTCGCCACGGCAGAGCGCGGTGAAGCCCAGCACAAAGTCTCGACTCCCGTTCGCCTCCAGCTCGGGGAGCAGCTGCTGCAGCGTCCCGTTCCACGCAATCTTGCGCGTGTAGTCCAGCGCCACCGTCAGAGGGCGGTGACAGAGCGCAGGCATCAACCGCAGCATTGGCAGGACGGGTCTGCTCGTCCTGTTCGTCATGTGTACTTTCAAGTTCATGAATTCGTCGATAATCGCCACATTACCGCCGCTCTGTGACTGTCTACCCTTTTCGCCGCCAGCGGGCTCCATAGAAATGCTAATGTCGATTTCGTCAATCTTGATCGCTTCAATCATGCGCGTCGTCAATCGTATATTGCGTAAGTCAATCACACCCTCTTTTCTCGGTACCGACGTAGTTCTCCACGTGGCTTTCAAGGAATCGAGAAGCTTTTCGCGGTACCAAAACGCCTCTCTGTTGGCTCGCTCCATGTCTGGCGAGATCTTGCTCGAGCTGACCACGAACTGCCTCGTCTTGTTAGGATTCAAGCTCGGGATTGACGCGTGCGGATCCTCCAGCAAGATGCGATTGACCGGGAGAACGAGCCGTGTGGTTTTGCCAGGGAGTATATCATCCTCCACTGTCATTCCATCGCTCCCCTCCAATCGAATTGCCATCTGGCTCGGCCACGAGTTGCGCATATCCATCGACAAAAGGCAGTATTCTTCGTCGTTGGGACACGCGTCGCCGCCAACACGATCCAGCAAGCTTTTTGGAATGCCGCCGTAGACGGGTAGCGTATCTATTCTTGATAATTCAACGCTTGCATTGACCGTCACAGCCAAGTCCAGAGTCAGCTGTCTTGTGAAGAATTGCTCCGTTATCTCGTCAATTGGCACGCCGAGATACGTGTAATCAACTTGGATAGTTGCACTGGTAAGGCCCGGTTTACCGAGAATCTCGAAATCGAAAGTCGCTTCACCACCAGGCGCAATGTGTCTGTTTGGCTCGCTCTTCGGTAGACGCAATGCCTGCTTCTTCATAAGAATAAGCTCGTATTCGTACATTTCCGCTGCTGGCACGTCTCTGGCATTCAATGCCGTTTGTAAGGGCTCTTGCGTAGAGTCCGTGAAAGAGAAGAGCATAAAGTCGACTGCGTTGTCAGACAAATTCTGTAGCGTCACCGAAAAGACATGTCGCTCGCCCTCAAGAACCATGATCGACGACTGGGAGAGCGTGGTTGACTTGACAACAATCAACGGTTGCGCCTGCACCACATTGACGCTGAACTTGTCCGCCGTGAGTTGCCGGGTGCTAGGCTTGCCCTTGGTTGGCACAGGAGGCCCGATGTCAAGGGAAGCTAGGCCTTTTGACTTGACCTTTTCCGCGCGCTGGGGAGTCCATGAATTCGTAAAGATCGGGAACAGGCGCTCTCGGCAACCCCGGATCCTAACCATCGCGCCCGTGATAACGACAGTTCCGGGCTCTTTCGGTCGTCCCTGCAGGATGACGGTCTGAGTACGGTAAGGGCCAAGAGTGATATGCGTTGGCAGTGGTTCAAATTCGACGCCGGTCGCTTCCAAACGAATGCTCTCAATGTCGACCTCGATGTCATATGTATTTTGCAGTGTTACCTTGAAGTTTGCAATCTCACCAGCCACCAGGTTCTTGGCAGCAGTCTCCGCAGCCTCTTTGAGAAACGGATTGTAGATGAAGGGGTTCACGTCTTGCGACGCACGGCTCGCCGTTGCACCAGGTAGGATGCTGCGAGAATGCGGCACCGGTGTCCTCGTTAACGGCAACGGCTCCAGCTCCACGCCGCGAACCAGGAACTCATCCCAGTACTCGGCGCCAAGATAATTCATACCCAGCCGCTGAGCGAGGACCCAGGTACGCGAAATGTTGGCAGCTAACCGCACTTGTTCTTCCTTAAATATCAACGGCGGCGAATGCTCCTTGCGCGAAGCCGGCGCAACACCGGAGCCAGCCGTTCTCATCAAATCGCTGGAGTATTTGAGAACACCGTTAAAGTCTGGCAATGCTTCCGAGAAATTGATACATGAGCGCAGGATATTCAGCTTGATTTCCGGGAAGCCGAAGAACCGCGTGGCGAGCTGCCTTTGGATTCTAGAAATGACTGCTGCGTCTAGATCTTCCTTCACGTCGGGGAGGTCGATCGTTTTGCCAAGAGGGTCAAAGCTGACCACGCCGTAAGACCTGCAAAGAAGATCGAGGAAAGCTTCTATGCCTTGCTCGATGTCTGCTTCGCCAAGATCCAGCACTGCAGCGCCTCTTGCTCTGTCGCCGCTTGCATTAAGGGGTATGAGTCCGGCTGCGGGATGTACACCTGCCTCTGCAGCACCTTTGGTGCGCGCCTCGACAAGCCCTCCGATGAGAACAGACACCAGCTCTCTTGTGACCATGGCCTTTTTGCGATGATATCCAATCTGACCCAGGACGACGGCGATTCCGCTAAGGATCTGAACTCTGTCTGCCGTCGTCAATAATTCGGTAGCGGACGAAGGGAACGCCTTGAACAAGGTATTGACAATTTGTTGGCGGCTTGGAGTGATGATGAGTCTTGGTGATGCCGTCAAGCACAGACCGGGAGGCTTGCCAAGAACAATCATGTCGAGGCATTCCTGATTCAAAATACCGTTGCAGCTATGCAGTGATGATAAAATCTTGCAAAACCGAATGGTGGTTTCCGAAAATGGCAGTGGTGGCAGACTTTCGCTTGATATTCTGGAATATAGACTAAGAATGCGATCCAAAAGTTCCGGCAGCAACAGTTGCAAATTACGCAGGTGCTTTGGCTGATTTGGATCCAGGAGTTCTTCGACTCTCTGAGACGATGGTCGATCTTGCGTTGGCAGGCACACAATGGGTATCTGAAAGTCTAGATTCAACCAGCCAAGGAGAAAAAGGTTCATGAGAATCAGCTCAAGGGCCTTTCCGTGCCAAATGTGATCATTCAACGAGCGCGCGACTTGGGCGCCTTCGCTCAACTCTCGGAGCGCATCGCTCCATCGACCTGCCTGCAAGTACATGGAGCCAATGACAACACCTGCACGACCTTTGCCTCGCATGCGCCATCGATCGTTGGCGCCGCCAGGGCCGAAGCCTTGGACTGAAACGCGGTCTCTACTAGCATCGCGCGAGACATCTCCGCTCCTTGAGAGGGGAATTTTGGGCTCCGGCGAAGCTGGCGAGCTGGTAGGGCCGGTCTCGGTACCATCAACCGAACGCACAGCACTATCACGTCGCTCTCTCTGAACTGGTGTTTCGGGCCGGGGCGTCGAGCCGCTTGATACGGATTGGGTTCGCGTCGGTACGGGCGGCATAGACATTCTCGACTGTGTTCGGTCGGGAGTCGCTGAGCTTGATCGCATGAGATGTGGCGGCAGATGCGAGTTCCGCCGATTGGCTCCATTGACCCAGTCGTCATGCGTTCTCGTATTCTTGGCAGCGTACGACCCGGGGGAATCTATCGACGTCATGGCTTCGACAGACTTGGCGAGCGTGGTCATTTCTGCAAGGAGTAGCGAAGATATGCTGCACATGACCGTTTTTATCGTCGTTCGTTTCGAATCTTGGGGTGTCGGAATTGTCGTTATATCCTCGGGGATGTTGACCTCGCCGGCGGGAGGTACATAGTCAAAGATCAGAACTTGATGGACCAGCGACTTGGGATAGACATCTCGTAGGTCTTCGAGCTCTTGGTATAGGGCGCGCAAATTTCGCTCCATCACCGTGGGACCCGTGCCGTTCGAAGAATGCCGTTTGCTGAACGTGGCATCACTAAGTTCACTGCCGTCCGCAACTGCGATTATAGCGAGAGGTTCGCGATAGAGATCGAACGGCGAGAGGGCCAGGTGCGACGGCGGGGGTGCATGAGAAATTAGATCGTAGAGGATAACACCATCTGGGTATGCGAGGGGCGAGAACATGTCTGTCAACGGATTAGTGCTGTCCCGCATCGCTCGAAAGAGAAGGCTCGGTGCGCGCAGCGCCCACGAGATGCCCTCGAGGGGGTGGCAAGGGCTTACTCCTATTCGGACGGCCATCGGCAGAGATGTCCCGTAAGTAGACCACATTTTCACCGTGAAGCCTCTCGACAAAGGAAGCAAATCTATCTGCCTTTACTTTTCCGACCGGAAGAAGAAGAGCCTTCACCCTTGCGGGCGCAATGGGAAGTAAAGGGTCCAGGCTCATTCTAGCAAGAGCGCATGATTCTGTACAGCAGGTTTGCGGGGTTGGGGGACGTAGTGGCGAGTGCCGGCTGTATGACAACTCGTTCTATCCGCAGAACGGTCAAACAAATGCGATCAAGCAGTGCGGGATGGCAGAAAACGTGTTCCGAAGCGGTACTGCATGCAGCCGCGTCGCAGTTGTGGTCGCGAGGCTTGGTGGGACCAGGAGATGTCGGTCTGTGATCAGTTTGGCGCTGGCTGGTGTTGGTGGGGAGCTTCCTTGGTGCGGCAGCTCAGGCTTGGGGCAACCTGCCAGCTGGCGTTTTGACCGTAGCAAATAGACCTAATAAGAGACAAGATGTACCATGATGGAGTAACATTTATATTTTGGCAGCCTCGATAGAAGTCTAAAAAGTCAAAAATTGCAATAAATGGGTATTTAGAAACAGACGTCAACTCTGACAGCCCAAACGCCCGACGCCGCCACCAGTGACAGCATTGAGACCCTCGCTATACATGTACACTTACGCAGATGAGGGCCTTTGATCTTGCGATTCAATTGTCATCTTCCGTTCACGCGCTTCCTTGTTCAGCTCGCTGTCGAAAATATCAACAGCAAGACTCGCATCTACGAAGTCTTCCATCTCCTCCACCACCGTCTTGAGCTTCTCCTGCACCGCGGAAGCACCTTCTGTCCCTACAATGTGTCGTGACGGCGGATTTTCATGCCCACCGATCGCTGTCAAAGCGTGGACCGTCTCGGCGACCAGCTTGTCCAGAGCAGCGTGCGGCAGCGCTGGATACCGATGAAGAATCTCGCCGACGCCAGCATCCGGTTCCAGCGAGATGGATTGCAAGTCATTCTCAGGCGTGGTTGGCGAGTCTGGTGCCTCGAGAGTAGGAGGTACAATAGTACTGGGGTTTGCGTTGAGCACATTGACTAACATGTCGCGAACACTCGGTGCCGGATTGTAGTTTGGTGCATACGCTGCGATTTGTGGTGCAAACGTGATGCGATTGGTCAGAGATTGAATCTCCTTGTTCGGCTGCACAATCGTCACCTTGACGTTGAACGGTGCAACTTCGTACGCCAGCGAATCGCAAAACCCTTCCAACGCCCATGTGGCCGCAGTGTAGATTGACATGCCAGGAGTGCCAATATGGCCTCCGATGCTAGTCAAGGCTATGATGTGACCGGTGTGCTGGGCTCGAAATACAGGCAGCACTGCCTTGATAAAGTTGACCTGCGAGAAGAAGATGGTTTCGAATTGGTCGCGGACGAGGTTTTGGGTGCCGGGGCTATTAGAAAGCTCTTCGACGGTTCCGATCACGGCTACGTTGGCGTTAATTCTTTTCTGCACAGGCTACCATGGTGCCGTTGCTCTTACCTTCTGACTTGCAGCAAAGGAGAATATCAATTCGGCCAAAAACCTGCACGGCCTCGTCAATAGCGGCACCACAGCCGCTAATTGCGCGCCCATCACATCGTATGGGACTGATGCGGTTCCTCCAACCTTCACGATCCTTTCTGGTACTTTTGCACTCGCTGATGAGGTCGCGAAATTCGGCACTTCGATCGTCGTCTTCGATTTCATGAGGAGGCAAGCATGCGACAACATAGTCACCGTGAGTGAGAAGCTGTCGGATGAGGCGCACCGCAAGTGGCGAGCAAGCAGCGGTCAGGAGCCATGTTCGAGGCGAGTTGTGCGTGGCTGCAGGAGGCGGCGAGCTGTCAGCCATGGTCACAGCAAAGTAAATGCTAGGGAAGTAATGTCATGTCTAGCGGCACGGGCGAGATGAGACCGCAAAAGTCGGTCACTGGAGAACCATGGGGCTGTGATTGGAGATGAGGAAGAAGCCAAAAGCCAAAGCCGGGCATTGGCCGCAAACAAGAGAAATAATTTACCGCCAACGATGCGTGCGTGGTGCGTGGCGGGGAAGTGGAGGGAGGAGCGGCAGCTGTGTTTGGCAGAGGAGAGGGGCTGGGCGTGGCCTGACATCAACGCTGGCGGCGGCATTGGTACCTATGGCGCGGCGCCAGTGGCAACGGCATGTAAAACATGCAACGAGGACAAAAGAAAAAGCGGCATGAGGGCTGTACGAGGCGAAGAGCAGCGCAGAGAATACAGCGACGCATGAAGCTATTCACGGCGTATGCTAACAGGCAGACTTACGAAACGCGTGCGATGGAGGCGCACCAAATGTCTGGCGGCTGCCACCCGATGTGCTGTCGTGCCTGGCAGCTGGCGGCCGGCTGGCAGAGGCCATATGGCTGGCGCGCTGTTTGTAAGTCGGGCGGTTGGTAGTGTGGCCGTTTGTGCTCTAGCAAACACAAGCTCGCCTACTTTCACGACATTGACACAGCTTCAAAAGATGCCCTTGGACAGACGCGACCCTCGATGCCCGATCAACGGGAGCCACGAAGTAAGCTAGGCAGCCTCGAGGCTTTCAGCACGAGCGTGAACGGAGTTGATCTGCCGGACGCCGGCGGCGAGTTGGGGTAGCCTTTGAGCACAGAGCGAGGGGTTATTCGAATGGATGGCGTGCCAACAAGGACAGCAAAGATACGGTGGCAGAGACGGTGTGAGATGTCGCGAAAGGTCGTCCAGGCAAAGAGAGGGAAGAAAAGGTCGAGATAATCAGAGAACAAGTCTCGACAGGTCCTCGAAAAACCCAGGGCTCCTTGGCCTTATGTGTGGACTACAACTATGGGCAACACCACCCACGACCCCAAGCCAATCCGACCGGGGCTGCTCAACGATCTAGGGACAAGGGCTGAGAGTACACGCCGCCTCGTTCGCCGCTCAAAAGCACCGCGCCCACCGAGTTCGCAGAACAGCCGCTCAACTCGGGATGGTATGGTGGTCATGGAAGTCCCCCTCGCTAGTTTTCTACTTGGGGGGGCGTGGATCCAGCAAACTCGAGATATCCTCCTGGCACAACGTAGAAGTGCCGTACTTCTTGCCAACTATGGCTTCAACGCCCTAGTCAGGCCCAATTTTGCTGCGTCGCCATCATCATGACTAGTTACGGGTAGCGGAATTGGGCCCTGTTTTCTGCGCTCTCTGCTCTTCAAATTGCTCTCTCGAGGAAATTTCGTCAGCCTCTTCTTGCCCAGCCTGCGTTGCCACCAACGGTGTGGGCGCCATATTAGAGGCAGCCACTTTCCTGGAGGGGAAACCGGACTTTGGGTTGGTTTGGTTGGGTTCTGCCTGCATGGCACAGACAACCGTTCGACATCCACATTCAAGTCACAGGTCTAAATGATCAGCGCAGCCGACTGCAACTCTTTTTATTAGCCCTTTATTCAGTGCCACGCAACTCCTCTTACCTGCTGCCACCCCAAGTTCACCGACAGGTACGCCCCAGGGGTCCTCTTCAATGCGGGACATCATTCAGTATGTCGTTGTACTACAGTGTGTGACTTCGACCAAGCCTCGCAACAACACCTAACTAACTGTGAATTGTTCATTGCTAGGAGCCGGCCGCTACTTGCTCAGGTACAGGGCGTGGAGGGGCGGCAGTGTTGCGGCGCGTTTTAGTGCCGGGGCTAGTCACTTCACGAATTGCCATCATCGTCTTTCCCTGAATCTCGGCAGGATTGTTGACTTCTCTAACAACACTTTCAATCCGTAATTGTTCATGGGAGGACTTCGCCCAGGTGTCAGCCACTTCTCCGAGACATTTTGCAACGTTCTCTGCCAGGTTTTCTGCATGACTGGGATCCCCTGTCTCAAGACTGGACAGAAGCAGGCACAGGTGTGCACCGGTTGACAAGTTGGAGATTGGACTAAAAACGTGGCAATTCAGCCGATCCAGCGGATTGGGTGTGGCGGCTCAATAAGTAATTGCCCTCTTTTCTTGTGCTCGCGGGAGCGCTTCATCGCGGATGGCTCGTGCGGCTGAAGTTGGGAGAGTGTTGGCCATCTTACGATCACTCGGTCGTACACTCGTACTTGTCGTGTTAGCAAAGTTCCAAATCACCAATTACACACAGACGCAAACTAGAATCTTCGGAGCTGGCTCGTGCAGCACCTTACACCGGTTGACTGGCAAGAGAATCGAAGGAGGCAGGGATCCTGTACCAGACATACTGAGTCAGTCATTGACAAGCCACCTTTTGTGGCGCGGCCCCCGCGCGAATTCAACAGCCTCATACGATGTGTGACAACAGCAGGCTTGCAGAGTGCGTGTGATGGCAGGTCCCTTAGCTCGGGTTACGTCTTACAAGATACTCGGAAACGCGGGCGTACTCCGGAAGTCGCACATCATTGTCAAATCATCATAGTCGGCCATCAAGATATCGGCAATGTGCCCGCCCTGCAAAAGGGAGAGGGCAAAGAAAAGCTCGCTCCACCACGAGAACGTGGAACGTTGGTAGAAGAGCTAGAAGCAATGCCAAAGTGAACCGCGCCTAAGCCTGTTTGATGAATGGTGCCTAGTTAGCAGGAGATAGGACGTGGGGTGCAGTCCCCAACGCTCGTCCTCATTTATTAGTATCATGCCCTGCTAGGCTGCTAGGGCGAAATCTGCCACAATTAAGTCTGCGCCAGCCGAAGATTCTTCTCACTGGATGGTTGCCAGGTCCATGCCGTCGGCATCCAAACAATCAGACCTACGAAGAAGCGGGTTTTATTGGCAATGGCTGGTTTGGCCTCAACGCGTTCTCGAATGATGGCGAAGATATCGATAATCCTTACCAGCCATCTTCCGAAAGTGGTGGCCCGTTAACGCGAGCGTGGAGAACAAGGTTTTCTGCTGCTTAAGCCTTCGGACTCTAGCAATCTGGCAGCTGGGGTTGTGGAAGCCCCGCGGTCTAGCACTGGCTCAGTAGTGTCCAGTTGCCACCTTGTTCATCGGTGGTCAGTGGTCGCAGCAAACCCAGAAGGGCTGATGCTGTACAAGATGCGTCATCGCCCCAACGATGTCCCAGGGCTGCTAACGGCGACATTATTAGGGCCAGTTAGGTCGGAGCACTGTTGGTCTTGAACCCTGCATGCATGAATATACCGTTTCACAGCGAGGTCGATATTGGCGAGCCAGTGAATGCGGTTGACAACCGAGAGAAGGCTGAAAGCGGGCTTCCTTTTTCTGCCATGTTCAAAAATCAACAAGGGAGAGCAATGTCACCGCCGAGGCCACGCCCTCAGCGATGCAAAGATTAGCACAGTCCGCAAGTTTCACCAATGTGGAAACAGGTGATCCTTACACGACGGCGCAGCCTTTGCAGAGAAGATACTGGTCAGTTGTGAGCCCTGGTTACTGGCCCTGTCCCTGTCCATCCACCACCCGCCCCTCCCTACTATTTTGGTAGTGCAGTAGAAGAGCTGAGAGATGTGGAGGACACCAAAGAATCGGATGAGAAACGCCTTGGCTCAGATGTGTATTAGACAGGAATTAACCTTGAGAGGCGATTGAATCGTGATCAGAGCCGTCGTTTACCGCGAGGTGACGCCGAGCGTCAGCCACGGCCCGTGCTGCTGGTAAGTTTACCTGCGTTGAGGCAGGGCGTGTGAATTGTACGCGTGTGACGCCCCCTTCTGACCAGCTTCCCGATGGAATAGTTTAGAAGATGAGCCGTATTGACCTTGCAGGCCACCAAGACATACTGGCACGGGGCTAAACATAACGCCTAAATATAACGCCACTTTCGCCAACATTGACATATAACTGGCTCCAACCACACGTCTTCGAAGGTTGCCAGTAGATGTCTCTATCCCACCTTGGCAAGAGCTCCATTGTCGATGCTACGTGTGTCCTCTTATGAAACAATCTGACACCGACAACAGGCCAGAAGTGTTCCGCAGGACACCCGCGCTGGCTGGGGCACTGCAGGCTTGTACGCCTGCGCCGCCGCCGACGCCGCCTCAGTCGCCGCAGAAGAAGAGCCTCGAGCAATGCGGGATCCAATGGCGATAGACGCTTGACAAGGTGTGATCGGAGAGTACTGATAGATGGCTCCGCCTCGCTTGCAGAAGGGTCACCTCATGTCTTTGTTTCCTCGCTGGGTGCTTTGCGGGAGTGAGAGGGGGTGCGGAAGAGCCCGAAGAGGCAACAGCGAGGAGAGGTGCCGTCGCTTGCTAAATTAAAAGACCAGATCAGGGAATATCGCCGGGACATCGCCGTGCCGAGGGCCAGGTGAAAGAGTCGGCAAGCAACGAGCTCGTGGCTGTGGACAAGCAATCAACGACATCTTATCATTAGTCAAGGCTTTCCCATCGGACCTTCCGCTGAAGAGTTTAGATCCTCCTCCCCCGGCCGCACATCACTGGTGTCGGCTCATCCCTGGCAGCCGGCTGCCGGGAGTTTCAGCCTCTCTGCCTGGCTTCTTCTTTCTGCCCGGCATCCCCGGCTTCCGAGGTCGGGAGAGAGGGCAGCGTTGAAAGGCGAGAGTGCGCGGCGCAAGGACGAGACAGGTTCTAGAACCTTGCGCCAGCGCGGGACGGCGGCAAGGGGGTGACAAAATAACTACCTGTCACAGAACATGACATTATACCACCCTGATCAATAAGACTCATTTATACGGATACGGAGTACATACACACATATTTTTGTGTGAAGAAAGAAAAATACTCCCTATCTTGATTACGAGTCTATTATGTCTTTTTTTGCGAGTATTTTGTTTTCCCCGTATTGGTCGTTGGAGTTGTTAATTCCATTATCGACAAATATCTATCTGCCGTTGCCCTTCAGCCGCCCGTGTACAGCGCGGGAGGCGTGGAAGTGTCTCTTCTCTCCCCCGCGCCTCCCCTTGCGAATGTTTAGAAATCGGGTATAGCTGTAGATCATACTAACTAGTTAACTCCGAAGGCGGGAAACAAGAATTGCCGGATTAAGGTCGCCGTCTGTTTCAAGTGTTGAGCGAGGCGAGGCGAAAAAGGAGACCCGCCCACGATGGCCATTAAACCATGACCAAGACGGTGTACAACTTCTCTCCTTACCGTCCCCTCCCCTCTTTTTTTTTTTTTTTTTTTCTTACTGATCAATTTTTTGTTCCTTGACCCATGCAGCAGCCATTTTTTGATAAGGATGTGCCGTTTCCGACCTGTCTGCTCGGAAAATCAAGTGGTCGAGGCGTTGCGAGGAAAAAGGCCCCCCCATGCTTGACGAGAGTGGGGGGGGAAGCGGTATTATTTCCTGATTTTAGCCAAGAAAAAAAAAGGTCATCAGGCAAATCACACGACGTTCGGCACTTGAGCGAACAAACGAATGAACGAGCGGCAGTGAATTGGCGCGGCGCGCCCGGCAAGAGGGATAGTAAGGGAGCCGCATGATGGACTTTTGTCATTGGGCGTCGTCGAGTGGAAAGGCTGGGAAGGGGCTAGGACACTTGTGAGTATGACGCGATGAGGCGTTGCGAGAATTAAAAAGGGAGAGAAGAAAACTGCCGAAGGGAAAATGTACAATTAGGATAGTACGGCAAGTAAACTATTAACTATGAGAAAGCATGAAAAGGACATGGGGGGGCAGAAGGAACCGGCAACAGAAAGCGGGCACTTTTCAGCAAAGAGCCCCCGCAGCACATGTCGCTCATCATCATACAGCAGCGGTCTGTGATTTTCGATCGCCATCCTTCTCTACAGCGTGCACCTCGCGGACCGTGTTGATGGTCGGCGGGTGGTAGCCGCCCGCCTCCGAGTCGGCCGCGTCCAGCTTTCCCTGCAGCGCGTCCGTGACGCCAAACAGCTCGTCCATCTTCTCCAGCGACAGCCCTTTCGTCTCTGGCACGCACAGGTACACGAAGAGGCCCATGAGGAAGCAGAAGCTGCCGAACATAAAGTACATGCCGTAGCCGGCGCGGCCCATGGTGCTCTGCATGGTGAGGACGGTGCGGGCGGCGACGAAGTTGAAGAGCCACTGGGTGGCGGCGGCGACGGAGACGTTGAGGGCGCGTAGGCGCGCGGTCGGGATCTCGCTGACCAGGATCCAGCAGGCCGGGCCCCAGCCGAACTGGAAGGACGCGGCCCAGAGGTAGATGCAGGTGATGGCGACGTAGCCGAACGCCGTGACGGGCTCCCCCTTGACCGGCGGCTGCACGCGGCCGTAGATGCCGATGATGAAGAGAACGACGCCCTGCGAGCCGGCGGTGGCGATGAGGCTGCGCCGGCGGCCGATCGAGTCCGCGATGAAGAGGAGGAAGATGGTGCAGCTGACGACCTTGACGACGCCGTAGATGCCGGTGGCGAAGAGCGACGAGTCGGTGGCATCCATGCCCAGGTTGGCGAAGAGTTGAGGGGCGTAATAGTTCTGCGGGGACCATTGTCAGCAATGAAGGGGGCACAGGACGAGTACGGGTCAACGGGTGGACTTGCGATGCTATTGACCCCAGTGAGTTGTTGGCAGATCATTAGAACGATGGAGATGAGCGCCCGTTTCCGGTTGCCAGGGATGAAGAACATTTCGCGGAAGAGGGCCTTCGGCGAGCTGCCGCCGGTCAGGCGCCGTTCGACCTCGAGCTGGTCGGCCATCTCCTGGATCTCGGCCTGCACGTAGGGGTCGGTTGGCGGGAGGTCGCGCAGGCGCGAGAGCGTCGCGGTGGCCGTCTCCCAGTTGTCCTCCTTGGCGAGCCAGCGCGGCGACTCGGGCGAGAGGAGCATGCCGAAGATGAGGAGCACGGCGGGCAACGCCTGGAGGGAGAGCGGGACGATGAACTTTGCGGGGGCGGGGACATGGAGAAGACAGCCATAGTTGACCCTATAACGAGGTTAGTCCATCACCTTAATCCGCGGTGGCAGATATATATATCCAAGGGGAGGCTGTCTCTCGTACCAAAACGCAACCATGATGCCGAAAACGTTGAAGAGCTGATAGAACGCCGTCAAGCCTCCACGAATCGCGCGCGGGGCGCACTCGGAGACGTAGATCGGGGTGAGGGCCGAGGCGGCGCCGCACCCGAGGCCGGCGACGAAGCGACCAACGTACATGACCGCGAGCGTCCCCCGCGCCGCCGACGCGGCCTGGAAGACCACACCGACGACCGTTAGCGCGCCGGCGACGACCAGCGCGCGGCGGCGGCCGAAGCGGTCGGCGGCCCAGCCGGTGATCAGGCAGGCGAGGAAGCAGCCGGCCTGGAGGGTGGAGACGATGTTCTGCTCCTGGTCGGCCTTGTGCTTGGCGGAGGCGTTGAGGAAGCCGAAGCGCGCCTGGGTCTCGGGCATGTGCAGGATGCCGCCGATGGCGCCCGTGTCCCAGCCGAAGAGCATGCCGCCGAAGCAGGCGGCGCAGACGAGGGCGAGGACGCGGCCGTTGTAGATGGGCTCCGGGTCGTCGCGCATGGCGTCGTTGCGCACGATGGCGCGGAGCAGCCTGGCGATGCGGCGCGCCATGATTGTGGGTGGGCTGGGGGAGCAGAAGAAGACGAGAGGAGAAGGCTGTCGAGGGTGGTAAGTTGGCTGTCGATGGATTGGGGGACTTGATATTCGGGCGAGGGTGGATGGCGATTGAGATGACGGGTCGCGGGCCGGCTCGATCAAGGAGGCGAAGAGTAGGACCTGAAGGGCCGCTTCATATGGTGTATGTGTGCGGCGAGTCGAATGATGGGGGGCAGCAAGGGTTTATGACCACAAGCAGAAGCGCAATGCCGGCGTGCTCGACATGGAGAAGGAGAGAGGAGAAGTTGAGACTGACAACTTCTTCCCCAGCTATGAGGTATGGTGGCTTGCGGCGGCGTCACTAGACTAGTCGCCCTAGCAGATGGAACTATCCAGATGCACTAAAAGAAATGCCGGAGGTTCATGGAATCGCGGGTTTCCTCTTGATTGATTGGCGCGAAAGTAAGCAGCAGAGCCGGGGGAGGCGTTCAAGGCGCACTGTGCGGGTGTGGTTGGAGGGCGGGGGCTGGCACTGTTCTGGATATCTTGGTCTTGGCTTCCCACTTGGCCAAACGTGCGGAGAAGCAAAGATCAGCTCCTCTATAATGAAGCAAAATAGCGACTTCCCCGGAATCCATTGGACGCTCCATAGCGAGCTTTTAGTTTGGCGATAAACTTTCGGCTTCAACAAAGTCAGTCAGCATCTACGCGAGCTTATAACACTTGGCACTTGGCTGGTTTTCTGGGTGTCGTCTCAAATTGCGACCAGAGACGCGCCGCAGCCACAGCCGCCCGTCATCCGTCATCCGTCATCCGTCCTGCACTTATTGCGTCGTATTTTTTCGCTCAATCAAATTTTCAAAAGCGGGCAGCTAAACAGGGGCAATGCGACTACACATGTCGAGCCGACCAAACCACAACGACGCTTTGACAGCCGCAAGAAGGTTCGCGGCTCGCGCCATCTTCAATAGCTCGACAAACGGCAGTCAAATTCATCCCACCAAGTCTCTTCCCCATGGGGTTCAGCCAAGTCCAACGTCCGTATAAACAACGATGTACGCCTCTATTTAGCAGATGAGGGGCCGTGCTGGGCAAGATTATTACCCTCTTGTCCACAGGGGCACCCTAGACTTGGGCCCTCGCCGGGGAAAATCAAGTTCCACGAATGGGGCGTCAGCTTGGCCTCGATCACCTCGCACTGTGGGCGCCTCTCAGCGTGGGGGAGGCGTCGCAGACACGGTTGAACAAGCCGTTGGCTGTCACCAAAATACCCGACGCCTGTTTATTGGTGCTTCATTACGAATATCTTGGACGCAAGACCTTCCTTCCAGTTTCCAGCACTGTGATGGCAATCGACACTTCAACAGAAGCGCCCCCCTCCTCCGGCTTGCACGAGCCGCGTTTTCATCAGTTAGTTAATACGTGGGGGAGCAGACATCAACTACAGTGCAACATGGTGCTCCGGCAATCCGGCCCGTCAAAGCCCCGTGCTGAAGATCTCCCCCCAATCCTCTGCCAGCCTCACCTACATACCTGGTACCGAGGAGGCCGCCGGTATACTAGCTATGAAGGTGTTGTTGCATTGTTCAAGTTGTCCAATTACTATCCTCTGCTTCAACTCCCGTCTCCGCGTCCGCGTCCGCGTCCGCATCTTTTACTCTCGTTGCGGTTGCAGTTGGGTGGTGCGGCTTGTCGCTACCCCAGAAGCTGGACGAAACGCCGTACAAGTCACATCCATACGCCCAGCTCACGCTCACAGTTCGTTGGTAATCCTTCGGCAAGATAATTAAAGCCTGGGCATGTTCTCTGTGTATCTTCGCTTACAGTATACGTCTATCAATGATATCGCACCGCCTGTAGCTGGTATGCCTCAATTCCATCGCATTTCCATGCAAAGTACCATCATACAACCATCCTCCAGTATTTTATCTTTCCACAAGCACTTATCAAGCAAAGCAAACATCCTTTAGCGAGGACAGTAGAAATTGAAATTCTTTTTTTTTGTTCGACAAAGAGCCCCTCAAGATCAAGCAGATACATACACCGCCTCCCCTCCTCGCTCACACCACGCCTTCAGCGCCGCCGTGTGCTGCCCCGATGCCAGGTGCGACCAGTAGCCCTGGCTAGTCGCCATCCTCCGGCCGTACATCTCGCAGCCGGGTGCGTTGCAGCGGAGCTCGCGCAGCGCCCGCCTCGTCTTGTCCAGTCGTCGCTCGAGCATCATCGGCAGCCCTTCCTCGTCGTCCCACGCACTGCTGGCCAGCCCATTCTCTTCACCGTCAGCAACGGTATGCGGCGTTGGAGGTGGTGAGGGCAAGTATGTCGGTCGCTGCCGAGGGGGCGTGCGCGCCCTGCTGTCATCGTCCGGGTTCTTGACGGTCGTGGATGCCTTGGCCCTGACCATGGCTGTGAGCTGCTCGACGAGGGCCTCGCCCATGGCCACGGCAACGACGTGGCCTTGGGCCGCAACATGTCGCGCATATGCCACGGTGCTCGCAAAGCTCTTCCCGAAGAATGGACAGCATGGCTCCTGGCAGCTCGCTGCGCCGTCTTCCTCTGAGCATCCCGTTGCGATGTCCTCGCCCTCGTCTGCGCCGATGACCACCAGCGGCTCATCGTCTATTCCCTCCTTCTTGTTCTTCTTCGCCTGCCGAGCCGTCCTTTCTGCCTCCTTCCGCGCCCTTCTCTGGGCCTTTTCTGTCTCGGCCTCCTCCGCGCGCACCATCTTGGCAAACCGCCGCGCCCGGCTCCGCGCCGGATCGTTGCCATGATACACTCTGACCGCCGCGCAGCCTCCGCGACGCGCCTCCGCCGCTTCCACTTCAACCCTTCGCGACTCCGACTCTTCGTAGTGTGTATGCCGCCGCAGTCGTGTCCCCGAGGCGAACGCCTGTCCACAGACTAGGCAGCGGTATGGCCCTGCGTGCCAGTCGTGCTCGTGCGCCTGGCATTCCTCTATGGAGGCGAAGACGAAGCCGTCGCATTGGGTTTCCCCACGCGGGCAAGTAAATGTGTTGCGCATCTTGCCGGTAAAGCAGTCGGTTCGAATGTCGAAGTAGTCGGAGAGGCCATATGGTCTGCTCGTGCTTTGGTTCTCGTCGTCGTCGTCGTCGTTTTGTTTGGCGTCACCGCCGTCGTCTGGTGCTGCGCTGGTCTTCCCAGCCTCTTGGAAATCGTCGATTCCGTCCATGCTATCCGTTATCTTGATCGTGGCGGTGGTGGGGGACGCAGATGGCTCTCGTGTAGGTGGCATGGCACGAATGTTCGTGTCCGTATCCGACATTATGCAGGTTCAACAGAGAAGGAAATATGCTGCAAAGTAGGAGAATGAGCAATCAATATCTTTCGGGGCAAAAAGGAGTGATTCAGAGGAGAAGACAGGGAGAGAGAGCGCATTGTAAGTTTCAATTGCTCTGAGCGAGGGCTGCGAGCGTCTCTATCCCCCACCCAATTCGATTCACAGCCAACTCAGCGCCAACCTCTCCTCACCTCACCATTCACCTCATCACTCACTTGACCTCCACCCAGGTTCAACATCCACGGCATCTGGGAAACCCTAACACGTAAATAGAATGCATGGTATTCGGCAAGTCCATATCAAATGCAACCGTCGTCTTTTGTAGTCGGTTCTTTTCCCTTCCCTTTCTACTACTAATACATGCATCCAAAACGTCAAATATCCGTCCTCCGCTATTGATCCTCAAAACCAAATAAACTTCGTAAAAAGCCAGTGACAAGTAAAGGAAAGAAATAGATACCAAAGCAAACCAATCAAGACAGCCAAAACACGGTCAACACTTTTACTCCATGGAGCAAGAATCACGCAAGCCTCGCTCCTTTATCCCGTATTATGTTGATACAAAAGTGAGCCTCCCCTCCCCGCCTCCAGTTCCTGTATTACCCGTCAACCATGCCATCGGCCATGGCTAGCCTTTGCTTCGCCGTCTTCGCCTTTTTGCCGCCCGGCTTTCGACCTCGCTTCTTAGGCTCGCTTTCCGCTGGAGTGGCAGTGCCAGAAGCACCCGCACGGCTGCCGTCGTCAAAGTGACCCTCGCCTTGAAATTTGTTAGCATGCTTCGTGGCCGTTTCTTTACGATGCGCCTTACCTTCGTGATACATGTCATCAAGACTAGCCGGCGCCTCCGACTTCTTCTTGCGGCCACCACCCTTCTTCTTCTTCGCGTCCAGCTCACCCGACTCGAGGAGCTCCTTCTCGCGACGCTCAATCATCTCTGCCTGCTCATCATCCGCCAACCACATCGCAATGTCACGATTGCGGTTCTCGGGAGCTCTACGGCCAGAGAAGTCAACGCTAGCGCCACCACCCTGAATAACAACGCGCTGCACCTCCTCCTTTTGCATCGCACGCTTCCGGATACGTTCTTCGATGGTGCCACGGGTAATGAGGCGGTACACAGTAACCTGTCTCGTCTGGCCCAGACGATGCGCTCTGTCCATGGCCTGCGAATCAATCGTGGGATTCCAGTCAGAGTCGTAGAAGATGACAGTGTCGGCAGATGTTAGGTTGATACCGAGACCACCAGCACGAGTTGACAGTAGGAAAATAAAGATTTCAGGGCGGGTCTGGAAATCAGCGACAGTGTCACGTCTATCCTCAAGCTTGGTCGAACCATCGAGACGGCAGTACTTGTAGTTGCGGTAAGTAAGGTACTCCTCCATCATGTCGATCATACGCGTCATCTGGAAGTACAATAGAACACGGTGGCCCTCATTCTTGAGTTTGAAAAGTAATTCGTCCAGCTTGGCGAGCTTGCCACTGTCGGTAACGAAGCGGCGCATGGAAGGAACGTCAATGTTAGTGAAGCGCCTCTTCTCGTTGTCCGGCTCTGGTAGCACCTTCGGCTGGGGATACAGGTTGTAAGGCACCTTCTTTGCGACAAGAGCCTGCTCCTCGTTCAGAGTCGTGCCATAGAGTTTCTTGCGAATTGGTACATTAAACAAGACATTCCGGGCTTCTCGCTCAGAGTCGACACTATTCGAAGAAGCAACCAACGGTGGCGCAGAGACGCGAGGTCTACCAGCAAGATCGAAGCGGCCCATGCCGCTGTCGTCGTAGGCTTGGCCAGAAACATTCATCAGACGCGACAATATGCCATGCTTGGTGATATCCGCCAGAGGTTTCCGGTTGCTGCGCTCGGTTATCTTGAAAAGGGCATGGCCAGGCGAAAAGTTGTCATTTTCTTCATCATACGCAATCGCAAACTGGCTCAGGCGGTCACTCTTCGCTAGCTCGTCGGCAGCCCGATCAAATACGCCTGTGTGCATGGTCTTGTAGACTTCACCGACGCTGGTATCTGCAAATCGGAGCCAGGAGAAGGCCTTGTTCTCGTCGGCATTCGCCTTAATGTTCTCGGGTGTCCATATGTTCATCATGTGATGAAGAGCCTTGTTTCTCCAGCCGGCCTTCTGGTTGTCGCTGCCGGCCTTGTAGAGGCGACCGCCCTCATTCCACACCAGCGAAGGGAGTTGGTAGTCAATCAGACTACGCGATGAGTAGCCGACAGTCACCTCATTGCCCTCACGGATAAAAGACGCAGTCTCGGCGAAGTAGCCAAAAGAGTATGGCGAAGTGACATCGGCACGCTCAAACAGGTCAGGATGGTTGCAGACCTTTCTGAACTGCATAACCAAATTCATCAGCGTACCAGAATCCTGATCATCGCCCATAGTCGCCTTCTCAACAAGATCCATAATGTTGATCTGGTTGCGCAAGTTGGCGTAGATGGCGCGCTGCCTGTAGGTAAGGTTACAAAAGACGTCGAGTTCAATCTTGTCGCCAAGTTCCTTTTGCACATGCTTCTTGACACGACGAAGCATAAATGGCTTCAGGATCATATGCAGACGCTTGAGCTGGTCCTCGTTGAGCTTTGTGTTGCTTTGAGCATGAGACTCGATGTCCTTGGAGAACCACTCGCTGAATTCATCGTGAGAGTCAAAGAGCGACGGCATAATGAAATGAAGCAGGGCCCACAGTTCCTGCATGTTGTTCTGGATGGGGGTACCGGTAAGCAGCAGGCGATTGCGGCAGTGGAAGCCAAGCAGCGACTTCCAGCGGGAACTCTGAGAGCTCTTGATGGCTTGTGCCTCATCCAGAATCATGTACTGCCACCTCATTTTCTGGAAGTAGGCCACGTCTGATACGACCAGCTGGTACGAAGTAACACAGACGTGGAAAGCGGCGTCCTTGCGATACGTCGAGTGTTTGCGATCCCAGAACTTTCGTAAAACTTTTCGGTCTGCAGCACTGCCCCAGTATGGAAGAATCTTGAACTCAGGTACAAACTTGACAATTTCCTGCTGCCAGTTGTGTAGGGTGGAAGCAGGGGCAACAACAAGGAATGGGCCCCAAATGTCGTGCTTCTCGGCCAGGTAGGCCATGACGGAAATGGATTGGACAGTCTTTCCAAGACCCATTTCGTCGGCGAGAATACCATTGATGCCCTGTTCGTACAGATTGACGAGCCAGTTGAGACCCTTGAGCTGGTACTCTTTGAGCTGTGCATTGAGGAGCTTGGGCTGCTCAATTTCAACCTCGCCAAGACCGGTGGGGTTCTGGAAGTTCATCTCGCCCTCGTCGTCCATGTCCAGACCCTGTTGGTTGAATTCGCGAGCCTTTTGTTGAGCTTCGGCAATTGCATTCTGAGCATTGGCCATGGCGGCAGCCTGGAGCGTCGATTCGTCCTCAGCGTCAAAGTCAAGATCCTCAAAGTTGGTGACTTTGCCACCGAGGGGACCAGTTGGTTCGGCAATGTCCAATTTCTTTTCGGCAATGGCGGAGCCGTCTTGGGCAATCTCGGGATTATCAGTGCTGCGCTCAACTTCGTCCGTCTTGATCTTCTTGCCGATAAAGTGCGAGTACAACTCAGTTTGAGAGATGAGGAAGTTCAGCTTTCTCTTTTGACGCGCTGATTCTCTCTCGGCTTCCTCTTTTCTAGCGTTTTCAAGCTCTTGCTTCTCGGCCGCCTTACGCAAGTCACGCTCCTCACGCTCGTTTCGCTTCCAGAAGCCCATCATGTCACGCATGACACGCTTGGCGCGAGCCTGCAGATCCTTGGTACCTTTATTGGTGCGGAGCTGCCAGCGCTTTGCCTCTTTGGAGGCAAGGATGGCCGTCTTTTTGAGGTTGGAACTCTTGGTGGCATACGAGTCAACAGCGAGCTTGAAGGTCTTGTTGACGTCTTTGCGAGCCATGTCGCGCCAAATCTGGTCGTAGATTTGATTATAGCCCTTGGAAATAAACTTCTTCTCGGCTTCGGGAACGTCGTCAACCTTTTCTTTGCCTTCCACCTTTTCCTTTTCCTTGCCACCGTCCTTCTTTGAGCGGCCCTTGATTTTTATGCGGACCTTGGCCTCCTCTTTGGCGGGTAATTCCTCACCAGCGTCAATGGCGGCCTGAGCAGCGACGGCAGAATCCTTTTCAGCTTGTTTCTGTTCCTTAGATTTCTTAGGTCGGGAACCGCCACGGCCCTTCTTCTTGCCAGACTCGGCATCGGAGGCGACAAAGCTGGACATGGAGCCGTCAAAGCTCATTTCCAGGTTCCTAGCAGGACCCTTGATGCCCTTTTGAAGGATGAGCTTAGTTTGCTGTGCCTTTTTACTGGCGCGCTCGGCATCACGAAGGTGCTTCTGGCGCTCCTCCTCGTCTTCAGCAGCCTCGGCGCGTGCAAGGGCAGCTTCCTTGAGTTCCATGGTGACAGCCATGGACTTTTCGCGGCGACGCTTGCGCTGCATATCCTTTTTACGCTCCTTTTCAGCGAAGATTTCCTGCTCGCGCACTTGCTGCAGAGCGCTCTCGTAGTACATGTCGTCATAGCGTCTCTTGCCGAGCTCAGCATGTTCTAGCAGGCGTTTGCTCTCCTTTTCGCAGAATTCGTCGCGGCGCACAAGCTGCTGCTGCGTGTCGACTTCATCCATGATGCGGCGACGCTTCTGGGCACGCTGCTTGTATGCGGTCTCATCAAATTCGATGGGGTCGAGGCCGGCGATCTCATTGTCAATCTTGTCTTCGTAGTTGGAAATCTTCTTTTCCATCTCGGGAGACCAAGTCTTTGGCTTGGGCTGTCCATCGGCTTGGCGTTTCGAGGCGCTACGGGAGGTGGATTCTTTTCTTGATGAGGAACGCCGGCTCTTGGGGGCGGCATCACGAAGATCCGATGCTCTACCTTTAGTCGAGCGACGACTGCTCTTTTTCTTCAGCGCGGACGCGTCAACACCTTTGACATTTGCAGGCTCGGTTTCTGTCTCGGGGTCTTTTTCAGCCTCTGTATCATTATTCAACTCCTTGACACGCGGCTGGAGAGCAGGCGCTGGAGTGATGGTTGGCGGCGGCGACTTGGGCCTAGCCGGCTCGGCGCTGGAAAGAATATTGGAAAATGACATGGGGTCGGCACGGCTTGGTGTCTACAGCGCGTTAGTAGAGGCCAGGCTGGGCATGAAGATGTATGGTGAGCACTTACGCTTGATGGGGCAGGAGCGACAGGCCGTAGGGGCGAGACACCTCTCAAATCCGTTTTATTGAGCAAAGTGGCTGAGCCATTCGGGGTCGAGCTGATAGGAGCATGGTGATGGGTAGGGGAAGCCATAAGTGCCTGCCTGGTAGGAGGGCTGCGGGAAGCCGCAGGCAGGGTAGGATGGGAGTGCGTCAGCGGGCTTCGGGGCCGATTGAATGACGGCGACGGACGTGAGTCTCTAGAAGATGAGTAGTGGCCGTTGTAATAGGCAGGCTGATGTGGCTCGGAGGATGACGGGTGGTAGGGATAGGCTTCGCGAGTCTGCCGAGACTGTTAGTACGGGGTACAACCAAGTGTGCTTGTCGGGTGCCGCCATGTAAGGACGAAGGACGAGGAGGGACGAAGGAGGTAGAGGTGGATGATGGAAAGGCAATGGTGATGATGAAGAATTGGCGAGAAGGATAATTGTGGCGGTGGTACGAGAGTAAAATTGTAGGACAGAATGGCTTTGCTGGCTTTTGCTGGCTCGGTGCACAGGCACTAAGAGGGCAAAAGACAGACAATTGAGATGAATGGGGATTTTTGTGGGCGCGACATGGAAAGCAGCGCGCGCAAGGGAAAAAAGGGCGCTGATGGGGAAGGCGAGCACGCCGGGATACGACTGAGGCAAAAAAAGAAAGGCGGCGTTGGGTGAATTCATGATGGTTTGGGCAATTACGAGATGAAAAAAAATATCCTACCTTGGGTGAAGCCGAGGGAGGAGCTTTGTGCCAAGAATCCGAGACCCTACTGCGTTCTTTCATTGTAGTATCGGTAAGAGGATCGTAGAAGCTGCCAGGAGGCTTCGGATCGCGAGGCTGGTGATGGGCATCAGCGGCGGGCGAGTAGTAGCCTGAGGAGGGGCGCAGAGGAGAGCGAGGGTGCGCCGGGGTAGACTGGTGATGTTGGTGATGCTGGTGGTGATGGTTGGCGTTTGGTGAAACAGCACCGGGCCCTAGGGGTGGCAGGCCACCAGGAGCAGAGCCGCCAGTCATGATGGTGGAGGTTGGCGCGGGCGATGCCGCCGCAGCAGGAGAGGCGTGCGCAGGCGCGGCGGCAAAAGGGGCTGGAAGGCTGCCGTGGTGATGGTGGTGATGCTGTCGCGAAGCACCGGTTACGGATGAGGGTTGCGCGTGGTGGTGATGGTGGGACGAGGTAGTCGACCCGGGGGTCGCGTCGGGATGATGATGGTGATGATGGCGATGATGATGATGGTGGTGGTGGTGGTGATGATGATGCGGATGGGCAGCGATGGAGGAGGCTGAAGTGGACGCGACGACAGAGTCTGAAGGCAAAGGAGGAGCAGCGCCAGTGGTAGCCGTAGCAGAAGCAGCAGGAGTAACAGGATGGTGTTGGACCGGGGCGCGAGTGGGCGAGCGAAGGCTGAAGGTGGAGAGTCGGTGCGCGGTGGTGTTGCTTGAGGTATTGCTTGTCGTGGTTGCGCTGGAACTGGAACTGGATCCGGTGGTTCGACTTGTGTTGGTATTGGTAGATGTCGCAGCAGTGTTGCTCCCTTGCTTCACGCTTATGTCGCGTCCATGGTCAAGCAGGTCGGCTCTGTTTCTGCTTCTGCTTCTGTCTCCATCTCCATCTCTGCCACTTCCACCATCTCCACCATCTGCTTCATGGGGATGCAGCCGGCTCAGGCCGTGTGAGCGAAACTGGTCATTCATTTTGAGGCTCTGTCTTTGTGTTGAATAATGAATGATTCGGTGACAAGTTGAACGCGGGTAGGCCCAAGATTAAAATTCTGACGGGCCCTTTTGTGAGGGAATTGAATTGGCCCGTGGCGCGTCCTTGTTAACCCCGAGATGGTGTCACCAAAAACCGGGCAATAAAACGTGAAAGTGACCGAAAAAAAGGAGATGAAAAAAAAAGGCGAATGGGAAGCCAACAATTAAAGAAATAGCATCCGAATAGATTCCATGGGCAAAAGTCAAGGAGTTAATACGTTGCTGGCGACGAATCGCGGTTGTTTGCACGGGAAAAAAAAATCGACACCCAGGGCGTGAAGGCGTGGCGTAAAGGTGGTGATGCTGGCGACAGGTGGCGGCTGGGGGCAGTTGGGACGGTTGGGTAAATGAGTGGGAAGAAGGGAAAGGGGGAGGAAAGGATGAAAAGGAAAGGAGACGACGGGGGGGAGAGGTTCAAGTGAGAGGGCAAAGGTGTGTGTGGGAGGGATGCAAAGAAAGGAAGCGAGGATATGAAGTGTGGAGGAATCGGAAGCGAAGCAGAAGCAGAGGCGAGGCAGAGACAGAGACAGTTCATCAACCACGATAAAAAGGCGCCTTTTCTGGGGATGGCGGATGGCATGGGATGGGAAGCCGGGATTATGCTCAGTGGCAGCACCATTAATAACTTATTTTGGTACTAGTAGTTACAGGTACCTAGCGAATACTGGTGGTCATAGTGGGTGGGTATCTCACCCGGCCGCCGGCGTACGAAAAGGGTTTTGGCTACAGCTTCCAAGGCTTGGCGAGGCGACGGGCGCAGAAGGTATAGAGACGGCGGGAGTTAATTTAGTACTTGAGTAGTAGTTAAGTAGGTGGCTCGTGATGGCCTAAGGATAGAGGACAAAGGTTGAAAGGTTTTACCTTCTACATATACTACTAAAGTGAGTAATTCTCGTTAGCGGCAGCCGGGCTGGAGACGGTACCTGGGAACATCTTCTTATTTGTCGTTTGTCGTTTGTCGTGTTGGTGATGGGGGCAGTCGAAGCTCTCGTGATAAGTGGGAGCAAGGCCATAGAATTAAGTTTTACAGGAAAAAAGAAGAAGAAAAGGACTAAACCCGTAACATAGGCCCTCTGGCAATGTGGTGAAATTAAAAGACATTCATCCTTTACCTAAGTATTGTTAATTGACCGTGGATAATCTCACGCTGGATTTGCATTCTGCGTGAGGCCGGCAAGAGCGGATGGAGCTCCTTGTCACATTCCATACCCTCGAGCTGCTACAAAGTTCGGTGAATAGGTTGCATCTTAGGTTTATGAAACCAACAACAACCGAACATCTTGCCTTTTTTTTTTTTTTAAAGCTCCAGCCTCTAGGCACCTGTTCGTTATAGCTGCAGACTTCATCCCTGATCCATCCCAAGTACTTGTACCACTACATAGGTACCCTCTCGATCCGATCCCGTTGTTTGCTTTTTCTCAACGCTGTCCATACTTACTTATCCCTTTGCTCTCCTCTCGAACCTCTCTTGAGCCATATTTTGCTGTTTTGTTTGTTTTGTTTTCCTTTTTTATTACCTCCACCGAGACATGTGTTCCTTACGGCAGGAAGGCTGTGAGAATGGTCAATGCTGATTTCTTTTCGGTACTTTTCCTATACAGCGCATCTCACCAAGATACTGGTACCACGTCAAGTTCGTATCACCGCGTCCTCGGCCATGCAGCTCCGACGTACACACACCAACAGAATCAATACATGGACAGCGCCTCAAACAGGCACCTCCCCTCCGCGTGCATCCCTTACCATCACATCCTCCACCTCAAACACGCCGTCGTACCGCGCCACCAGCCCCTCGCCCTCCCGCGCGTCAGCCATCGCCCGCGCCGCCTCCCGCGCCCAGTGCCCGTTGTCCAGCCGGAAGCTGTCCAGCGACGCGAACCCGGCCTGGCTGTACAGCCGCACCGACTCGGCCGACGACACGATCACAGAGGGCAGGCCCTCAGCATCAGCACACTCCAGCGCCGTCGACAGCAGCGCCCGCCCGACGCCCCGGCGCTGGTGCGACGGCCGGATCATAAGATGCTGGATCCCTGAGCAGCCGGTCAGCGTTTCCCGCATCCTCCTTCGTAAATTTAACGTGCAATTCCCCGCAGTTGCTTGCTCGTAGATACGTCATGGAAAAGGGAACCCTAGCAGGTCATGGACTTACACATGTGTCGCTGTCCTTTCGCAGCACCCTCCAGCGTCGCGTCCCTCTCACCCTGCGCCTCATTAAACGCCTTCCATACCTCCCGCAGTTCCTCTTTGCAGGCAAACGGCGACTCTCCATCTTCCCGCTTCTTCTTCTTCTCCTCATCCTCCTTCTCCTTCTCCTTCTCCTCCTCCTTCCTAGCCTCTTTGATGCTATACCGTACGAACCCAACCACATCCCCAGTTCCGCCGTCCTCGGCCACGTAAAACACCTGCGCCGGCGCCGTCTCGGCAAACGCCCGCCCCGTCATCATCGGGATCAGCTCCCTCGGGTGCATCTTGAAAAACGTCCCGTAGAACTCGTGGAACTGGTCCAGCGCCTCATAGTGCGCCCGGCTGATGGCCGCGGTGTCGGCGACCCTGCCGCGCCGGATCGTGATCTTGTTGGCCGGCGGCGACGTTTCTACCATTGTACGTGGTGCAGCGGTATATGTATAGTGAAAAATCGGCAACAATAACAAGCAGAATTCCCGCGGCTTGATCAAACGGAACCCCAAAGATGGCTGCGTTTTAGAATTGCTGAGGTTGAGCCGGCGTGCCGGCGTCGAGACTTGGATGGCAAAATAATCTCCGCTCCACCACTCGGCGAGCGACACTAGCTTCCACTATTTCTGGCTCACGCCGTCTGACGGCCCAACATTCACTTCAAATGAACATTCTCATATTCACGACAGCATCTGAATATGACAAACAAACAAGTTGAATGGAACTCAAGTCTATCCCATAAACTAACAAATAAAAAGGCCCCTGGTCATGCATGCAGGCTCTTTCCCGCCTCTTGAGGGCACTGCCTCGCCTTTTAGATCATTAAAAAGGCTGTTTCCATTGGGCAAGCCGCTTTTGCGTACCCCAATTCCCTCCCCAGATCATTCTTCCTTTCCCACAAAGTCTTTCTACCAATTTATTCTCGTGTGGGCGAAACTTTCGTTTCCCTTGCTTCTATATGCAACCCAGCCCTTTCATGCACGTCATGACCCTTTTATGGTGTGTATCCAGTAGCGAGAAATCAAAAACAAACAACAAAGTGGAAAACTTTTTGTACCTTCTCTTAGACGGCACCAGCAGAAATCATCTTCTTGCGGAGGTAGTTCTTGTACTCGCCAATGTTGCCTTCCCAGCGCTGGATCGTCTTGTTCTCGCATACCATAATTTGCTTGGCAATCTTGTCAAGTAGTCGGAAGTCGTGAGAGACGACAACGACACCTCCACTGTAGGCATTGATGGCGTCCGCCAGACTGTCAATGGTAGGAATGTCAAGACCGTTGGTAGGCTCGTCCAGGAGAATCATGTTGGGCGACTCAATGGCCAAAAGGGCAAAAACGACACGGCTGCGCTGGCCCTCAGACAGGGTACCCATGAGTGCAGTCTGCGACTCGCCAGTCAGGCCGTAGCGGCCGAGTTGCTGACGCCAGAACTGGTAGTCCTGCGACTTCTCGTTGTACTTGTCACGGACAAAGTCGAGGGCGGACTTGGTCAGGTCAAGCTGCTCGGCGCTGTGCTGCGAGTACATGCCCAGCTTCAAGTGGGTGTGGCGAGTCACGGAGCCGCTAGTGGGGGACAACTTGCCAGTAATGAGGTTAAGCAGAGTAGACTTGCCGACACCGTTGGGGCCGACCAGGGCTGTGCGGGAGTCCATGTCGAAACCCAGGTCGAGGTTGCGGTACAGGTCGTCCTCGGAATTTCCACTGTAAGAGAATGTGACGTCGTCAAACGACAAGACGGGAGGTGGCAGCTTATCGACATCGGCGAAGCGGAAAGTAAAGACGCGGTCGGCCTGGACGGGCTGGATGAAACCGTCGGCTTCCATCTTGTCAAGAATCTTCTGACGCGACTTGGCCTGACGCACCAGGTTGGCATAAGTACCGGCACTGGCAATAAACTTCTTGATGTGGACAATTTCTTCCTGCTGCTTGTGGTAGGCCTTCATTTGGTTCGTCTCGTTTTCGGAACGGGTCTTCTGGTATGAGTCGTAGTTACCACCGTAGTACTGGAGGGCTTTTCCGCGCATATCCAGCATGTTTGTGCAGACACCGTTGAGGAAATCCATCGAGTGGGAGACCAGGACGAGGGTACGGTCCCACTTCTTGAGGTACTCTTCCAGCCACACACAAGCCTCGAGATCCAAATGGGCAGTCGGGTCGTCCAGGAGTAAGACGGAGGGTTTGACGAACAGGGCCTTGGCCAGGGCAACACGCATTCTCCAACCACCAGACATGTCCTTGGTCATCTTGTGGATGGTCTTCTTGTTGAAGCCAAGACCGGTGAGAATGAGGGAGGCACGGGTAGAAAAGGTGGAGGGGTCCATGCGGTCCATGTGCTGCGAGTTGTTAGCATTCAGCTGAGACACATGTAAACATCAGGAATCTTACGTCGTAGAGGTCAATCAGGACAGGGCTCTCCGGGCCCTCGTCCTCGAGCAGCTTCTCAGCCATCCTGTCAAGGCGGTCCATCTCCGCCTCAGCCTCCTTGACGACCCACTCGAGGGCGCCGTATTCCGAGGGGGGAGCACCCTCGTTGAGCAGGTAAATGTCGAGATGGTTAGGGATGGGGAACTCTCGGGCAGCAATGGCGCGGAGCAGGGTGGATTTACCGCAACCGTTCTCGCCGAGGAGGCCGTAGCGGCGGCCGTAGGACAGTTCGAGGGTCGAGTCGGTGACGAGGACGCGGCCGTGGAAGACCAAACTGGTGGAGGTGATCTTGACGTCCTTGCTAGTGGGAGTCGAGGCGAGGACACCGGTGGTGACGCGGTCCGAGATGCCGTGCTTGTCCATCTGTTCCGTCAGACGCTTGACCTCCTCCATGTCGGTGGTGGCGGGGCCGTCGCCCTGGATGGGGTTGCCGTTGGCATCGAGCTCGGGCTTGCCCTTGGGCGTGCTGGTGCCGGACTTGTTCTTGAGCTTGCCCTCGGCAGCCTTCTTCGCGAGTCTCTTCTCCTTGGAGGCGGAAGGGGCCATTTTGGCGGTTGTTGTTGCGGTTGTTGTTGAACCCAGGTGGTGAAGGAGGGAGGCGTGGCGGGGTTTTCTCGTGGCGGGGTGAGGTGGCGAGAGCTTCAACACTGCAAACCGGACTCGAGGAATAGCGAAATATCCGAGTCTGCGTTATAGAATCACGCCGGAGGAAAAATTAAAAAGGACACCTGATTTTCAGCAATGAATGACGGGTCCCCGAGCGATGATGAGTGGATGCTGGAGGAGGAGAAACAAGATACAATAAATTTCGTGGCTGCTGAAATTTTGCTTGATTCATAGGCGGGGTGATTTTTCTTTTTTGGTGGGGCGCCCCTCAAATTTTTGGCATCATGGCCGCTGATAAGCTGCGCTCGAGAGAATGACGGTGCGTCCGAGCCAGTCAGGCAGCAAGCTTTGCACTGTACAAAATACCTTTGTGTACCCGGCTGGCGCACCGTTTGGCCCCCCCTTGCCTTGTACCTGGTACACGACAGATGCTCGACATTTGACAAAGACGGAAGTAACTTGAACAAACGAACTTTATGAGGCTGGCATTAAGAAAAATCTATACTCGTATCTCTTGAAGCATATTTTACAATCTCCTCTGCTTACTCCGAGATTCCCATGTCTCTGCCAAATCTCCTTTCTCATCTGGCCTATTTGACGTCATGCGCTTATGCCCGTCCTTGCCCGATGGGCCAGATAGGGCCCGCGCCGTAGTACCCTAGATCTAGGAGACCACTCAACGCCTCTCCATTTCCAATCTCCGTGAATCCGATATCCAGTTGATAGGGTAGGACATATCGAGATAGGCGTGTCGCGTTATGTAGTAGCATATTTCAGCCATGAGCCGCTACTACTGGGCTGCCGCGTAGTAGTGAATGGTCCAGATCCGACAGCTTTATTCGTTCCAGCAGCATATCGGGAGGTACAACCTGCGGCTGCAGCTCCCCCCATCTTCGCCTATCGAATTCGGAACTGGATTTGCGAAATCTCCCTGGGCCGGCGGTATGACTTGCTGGGATAGCTGGTTGTGGTGTTTTGGGCTGATGGTTTCTGATGCTGGGACCGCCGCCTGGTACAGCCCCCATCTTCATGCTAAAATCAGCAACCTCGTTATTCGATACCAGCGTCGAGTCGCTGCAAGGTCTCTTGCGTCCCCCTTCTGCTCTGCTACTATGGCGCCTGTACCAAGCGAGACAGGCCTGCAGCATCATGCCGAACGGGCGAGTGCAGCTTCTGGTTTTAGATCGAGATGTCGATGTCGTCTCTAACATGAGCTTTTGCGAATAACCGCAAGAATTTGCGAATATATCACAGACCACAAAGGATTTGCATCGAGTATGCAAGATTCAGGTCTCTACTAGTTACGAGGCGACCACGCACTTCATATTCGTCGCCAGCGACGCCACCCGCCTCTGGAATATGGTTGCCTAGCCCATGCTCCATCACATCCGGAGCACACGCCATCTGCTGTAAATTGGCCACAGGCATTTCTAGGCACCAGAATGAATAATTGATAATACACTATGTAACATATAGTTCAAGCCTAGGCTCGCAATATCTTCAGCAAGGCTCTGATTTCCTTTGATTGGGTCGCAATTTCGGATTAGGCTTCCAAATGCTTTTGCATCGACACCCAATGCCTTCCATACTCGTCATGTATAATTTTTGGTATTATGACACATCATACATTAGTAATTAGGATGGCCTGTTATTGTCAAGATTCCCAAAGCTGTTGCCGCCCGCTGTATCCCGCACAGGTGGTGCTGAGCCGGAAATGGCGTTTTGTCCTTGAAGCTGCTGCTCCGCCAGACGGCTGGGATCGTCCTCGGAACCGGGCTCCGACCGCAGCGCGCGCTTGAGGCCATCGCTGTTGTCCGGCAAATCCAAGTTTTCTTCACGGATGTTCTTGCCGTGCGGGCCGCCTCGGTCGCGCAACTGCGTATCAACAAGGTACGACGGCGCGCTACCACCGTTGCCCTGTTGTGCCGCCTTGGGGCCGCTGTGGATGTTTTGGTCGGTTTGAAACTTTTCGGGCTTCACACTGGCATTCTTGGCGAACTCGCCATCTTTGCGGTAGGATTCAGCTGCGAGAGAGTCATCGGCGACCATGCCGGCACGCTCCCTAAGTTCAGGTGCCTTGTTTCCAAGGTCAACCTTCTGCATGTAAGTATACGCCACAAGTAAGAGTGATTATAGATATGCGTTACCTTTGTACCGTGACTGTTATGCGACATGACTTGATAAATTAAATGTGGCTTGCGCTTCGAGATGAGGTATCGAAGTATCATCTATGGATTCGACGGCTTCTTGTCAAGTGACGGAGGTCCTCTTAAATACCGATGCCACTCGTCTACTGGAGAGGAAAGCGTGCTGTTAAATCTCCGATGACATCATGGTGATCCAGCGCTAAGCGGTATATTTAGAGCTGTCTTTGGCATATCAAAGGTAAAAAATAGAGATATCTTTGGTAATTCAACTGGGATCCAGGGCTGTAATGATTACATCATGGAGATCTGACATCGGTGGGTAGGATGCGCAAGACTGGCTTGCAGGAACGTCCCTGTAGCTACCGTGCTACCCGGTAGTAGCTGCGTTGGCGAAACATGGCATCAAGGATCCGACATTTTGGCGCGGAGTTGCAAAAACGTGGATAATAAGAAGATTGACAGAGCGACACAGAATCTCACCTGCTTCCGGGACATAAGTAGCTCGGTCGCGCATACAACGCTCGCGTGATAGTCGCTAGGGACAATGTGTTGACCTTGCAATACAAACTCGGATTGAAAAAGTAGACAAACACAACCTCGCAAGTCTCTGTTCCGGCGGCGCTTTACCTCCGAATGGCGTAAATATGCATGACGTCACATCGCTGTCAGAGCTGTTACGAGAAAGAAAACATCTCTCATGATATTGACGGTCATGAATCGCAGAGAAGTGATTTAGAAAATACAGTCACGATTTACGTTTTCCATCCCGGGGCGGCTCGTCGACGTGCCCGGCCGTTCCATTGGGACGGGAGCAGGTGACGGAGCTGCGGGGCCGTCGCCCAGCACTAACCGGGTCGGCATGAGCTTCGTCATGTGCACCTCATCAGAAGGCAAATAAGCGATGCAACTATGCAAGATGTGAAACTCTAGATATTTAATGTGCTGCAAGCATGAGTTGCATAAAAAACATCATCACCTTGATCTCTCGGTAAACTCGGTGCGGACAAGTGGCCATGATTAAGCTCCCTGTGACTGACATGGAATAGGAGACCAAACATGGAGCAATACACGTCATACTCGAAGCCGAATTTTCAACATCGATACTCGGAGTCGTGGCATACAGGAGTTGGGATTTGGAGGCGAGTATACGACCTGTGGGACAGTGTGCTTGTTGGCCTCGGTTCCTTGTACTACAAAGCGTGCGGTCGTTGAAGAGCAATGACCTGGAGGAGGAAACATCGAACGAAACACGAGGGACTTATGCCATTATTACAACAAAAGTGACCACGGAATTTACACGAATTATTTCCTTCACCTCGCCGGCGTACTGGACATACTGTTTTGCTGGCGTTGGCGTGGGGAACAGAACGGACTACACTGGAGACTGGGTATCTCATTTTGTACACTAAGAATGAAACTTGTAGATCCTGAACTTTGCAAATACAAAGAAATGTACAAATACTAGTTTCAGCTTGATTTACCTCGGTGAATCTGTCTTTTGATTCGTGGCTGTGCAGCCAAGCACACCTAGCAGCCAAGGCAATAGATAGGTTGCTCCTCATCTCCGTGCAGATCACAGTCTTGCCAAAGCCTTGACCAACTTTATTGCTTGAGTCCAAGCTCATTTATTAACGCGGTCGTCGTAATCTAAGAAAAAGAAACAGCCAAGGCAAGCTACTGGGCATGGCACACCGCGGCCAAGGCGCTGCCCAGCCGCCCAGCCGCGGAAACTGATCTGCCCAGAGTCTCTTCGGAAGCACTTGATATGTCGATTGGAGATTCATTATATATTCTCTGGGTATTTTGTAGTTGCTTTAGGCACTTGGCCCGCAAGGCCATAGACATGTATTTTTAGACTCTGGGCAGAAGTGCGGAGGGAAACATTTCTAAGAAATTGGCGTGGAGGATAAGTTGATAATGCTTGCTACCTGCCATTGACTGGCCGAGAGTTTGTTCTTTTGATTTTGCTTTCAGTCGCCAGCCAAATTGGTCTCTGGGCGTAGAGCTGCGAACACGAGCATGATGGCGAGCTCGCTAGCTGAGCCCAAGAACGACGGGCGCCATCTTCTTACTGGCCAATTTCGATAATTTTCTCCCGAAAAGTTAAAGGAAATGAATTTTACTTGAAATTTCAAGCCCTGCACTTTGAAACGCAGCTGAGCAAATATCGGATGAAAGCCAAAATTCATTGTATTGGGACTTGAAGCGAAACAGCGGCCACAGAAGCGACAGCCCGTTGGCTTGATCCACATGGGAACACAATGCAAGGCGCCGCTTGAGGAGGGTGTGCTGGGGCGGGCGAGTATGAAAGTTTAGATCGGCGTTCTCGAGTGGCGTTATATGCTTAAAACCGCTGACAAGAAAGCAGCGGAGCAACCAACTAGAAGGGGGATTGGATTTAATAGGTCGACGAGTCAAGCATGATGTGACATGCGAACTGGTCATGACCTGGAACTGTTCTCTGCTGCAGCGCCTCGATTTCAGGTTAGCTGGTCAAACAACGGTAGCAGACTGTACTGATGAGGGCAGTGTCTATGAGAAACCATCCTTAACCGAACAGGTGCGAATAAGACGAGCAGATTTCCTGAGTTAAAGTTGACCTAACGAGCAATAACTCCCTGACACGTAATCTGCCAACGCTGGGCACGCCACAGTGGGCTTGAAAGTTGCCAAGCAGGGCCAAAAATTGGTGGTTGGAATGGGATGGCCAGTATATCCGCCGCACCCGTTGTATGGACGGATGCTCGTCATGCCGCAAGCCTTGATCCCTTTGTTGAAACCTGAGTCGCACTGGACAGTGGTGGGTTCCGCAGCGGGCATGACCGACTCCTGACGAGTGGACTCACGCGGGACCGATTGTTGGCAGACGAAAGGAATCGCACGAAGCTTTGAGCACAGAGCAGGTTCTTCTCACTAGGATTCCCATTGTCTCGCCTGACGGCAGATCTTGGTGGAACAAAGTCTTGACGCCAACCCCCTTTTCCCAGCGCCCACAGTCAGTGAAAGGCGAAGGAATGGGGGTTTTGGCGGCCAACTTGTGCGTACCTTGCATGTTGTGGATCAAGTTGCTTTGGCCAAGATTGGCTCAAGAGCACAGCCTTGCTTCACTGCTTGGCAGGATGGTAGCGCTTGTACGGCCCACGGGTTGCAGTATTTTTCTCGGGGGAGCGGTTCGCACGTGGTGAGCATTGAAAGCTTACTAGGAAAAAACGGTGATGGCTTGCATTGGGAGCTTTTCAGCGCTCAATGTGAAATTACAGACCGACTATCCGTAATATCGTCGCCATCTGAGGCTAGACAAGGGGCTCCTGTTCCTGGCGGAGGATGAGGTTGGTGATTGGAGGTTGTTTGCTGTGGAAGGTGGGATGGCGGGAGGGGTGGACATTTCGGCGCTTACGGGGGGAGAGGGGGCGGTGCTGGCGAGTTACAGCGGTTGCAGCGAGTTACAGAGAGTTACAGCGAACGAGTGCAACAGACCTTCAGCACTCCTCAGGGGCTGCTCGGCGCAATCATCCACTGTGGGACGCCCCCCTGCCCACTGCTTAAACTACCCCTGTCTACACTCAGGTTCGCCTCATTCCTCCTCGGCCCCCCTGGTTAACCACCGTCTTTCTATGGGCTAATAATATCATGATAATCAGGACAATAAACACAATCCCACCTCAATGAACCTATCCGGCTAGCGCCCGGAACATGTCCTCTCCACCGTCCTGCTGCGCTACCGTCTGGGCTCGAGTCTGGGCTTGTTCTTGGTGTTGCAGACTCGACCAGACCCCAGCCGCTGGCCCAGGCTTGGCCCAGCAAGGCTCAGCCAGCAAATAGGCCCCGTCCCATCTCTCGGCGTGCCGTGTGCTGATACTTGTACTACGTATAGCTTCGATTCCTCTCGTCTTTCTCCCTCCTTCATTATCTGTCGTCTTTCCGTCTCTCCCTCGTTTTCACTATTCTCTACTCTATTTCCGGGGTTGGCTTCCTCGGTTGAATTTGGCCGCTTCTCACACTCATTTGCACAGAAACAACATTGAACATTTCCTACTCTTCTTTTTCTCTCTAGTTACGCATTTTTATTTCGGACCCGAGCCTCGCTATACGATATCGAATAAATCTACTACGAATCTCGAAACTATGAAGTCCGCTGTTTCTCTCCTCGCCCTAGCCGGCGCGGCCGCTGCGGCCGACCTACCATCCATCGTCGCGAAGGTGAGATGCCAACACCGCCTGTCCGCTCACGACGCACCACCAATACTAATAATTCTCTCTTTAGGGCTCCAAATTCTTCTATCCCAACGGCACTCAGTTCTTCATGAAGGGTATTGCCTACCAGCGTGACATTGGTGCTGCTGGCGCCAAGTCTGACCCGACCTCCAAGTACATGGACCCTCTCGCCGACAAGGACGCCTGCAAGCGAGATGTTCCCTACCTCCAGGACCTTAACATCAACATTGTCCGAACCTACGCCATTGACCCCAAAGAGGACCACTCTTACTGCATGGGACTCCTACAGGATGCCGGCATCTACGTCGTCTCGGATCTCTCCGAGCCCGCCACTTCCATCAACCGCGACGACCCTCAGTGGAACACTGTGCTATTCGACCGCTACAAGGCTGTCGTCGACGAGATGAGCAAGTACTCTAACGTTGTTGGCTTCTTTGCCGGCAACGAAGTCAGCAACTCTGCCAACAACACAGGCGCTTCTGCCTTTGTCAAGGCCGCCGTTCGCGACACCAAGAAGTACATCAAAGATAACCAGAAGCGCTGGATTGGTGTTGGCTACGCCGCCAACGACGACAAGGATATTCGCAAGGAGATTGCCGACTACTTCAACTGCGGAAAGGCGGAGGAGTCTATTGACTTTTGGGGATACAACATCTACTCCTGGTGCGGCAAGAGCTCTATGCAGAAATCTGGCTATGACCAGCAGGTCAAGTTCTTCCAGGATTTCAGCGTTCCTGTTTTCCTTGCCGAGTACGGCTGCAACATCCCCAACGGTGCCAAGGGCCGCCTGTGGGAAGAAACTACTGCTCTCTACAAGGACGAGATGACAGGTGTCTTTAGCGGCGGTCTCGTCTACATGTACTTCCAGGAGGAGAACGATTATGGTATGTTGGTTACACGCAAAGTACTCGGATGAGACAAGCTAACGTCATAATTCAGGTGTTGTTAAGGTTGACAGCGGCTCTGTTGAGAAGCAGGATGACTATGACGGTCTGAAGAAGGCTCACGCTGATGCTGACCCCAAGGGTGTGACGATGGACAAGTACACCGCCTCTGGCCAGGCCGCGCAGTGCCCCTCGGTCTCCAAGGCCTGGCAAGCTGCCTCCCAGCTCCCTCCTACCCCCGACAAGGATCTCTGCAAGTGCATGGCCGACTCTCTTGAATGCGTGGTCGCCGACAACCTTGACGAGAAGAGCTATGGTGATCTCTTCGGCAACATCTGTGGCGCCAAGGGCAAGCCCTGCGCCGGCATCCTCAGTGCCCCCAACCTCGGCAACTACGGTGCTTACAGCATGTGCAGTGCTAAGGAAAAGCTCTCCTTCGTCCTTGATGCCTACTACCAGCTCAACGGCAAGAGCTCGGATGCTTGTGGCTGGAAGGGCGCCAAGATCCAGAAGGGCAACACCGCATCCGACTGCCAGTCCCGCCTCAATAGTGCCAAGGAGCTGAACAAGGCTGTCGCCACTGCTACCGCCAACGTTGCCGCCCCCAGTGCGACCGGCGGCAGCGGCGGCAGCGGCAAGAAGGAGAACTTTGGTGTTCGCACCTCTCCCTCTGGCGTCCTCGCCGCTGGTGTGGTTGCTATCGCTGCTCTCCTTGCCCTGTAAACACTTGATTGCTATAGTAAGCTGAGAGTTGGATTGTAATGAGGGGGATTTTATCTTAGATTCATTTTGATGCCGCCCAGTGGCTTTATGTATATCAAGCATTTCGTGTTTGGTGTTTTATGGATACCTAATGCTGTAAGAGGTGAACTCGACAGCATTTTTCTACTAACTAATGGTTCGTATTTGATTCGGGCTTTGCATGTACGATTGCGTGAGACAGGCGAAATACCGCCATTGTGCTGCATTTAGACAGAAACTTCTTGCTTAATTTCTTTTTTTAATTGAATCGCGTTTCTTCTGGTTCTTGTTTTATTAGCCATTTGTTGCGCCGGCGAATCATGTCCCATGATGCCCATTCACACGCAGTAGACACTGGGCACACACACTGGCTAGCTTAGTCAGGGAGGCTGCTGGCTGCTGCCACACGTGACTTAGTTCCTTGGAGCTGTCGCGGTCGCTGGCGCCTGATGGCAACAACGGACCCCGTCATCTTCGCACTTCTCATCTCACGCTATCGCCACGAATTGCATCCGCACGACACCCATCGATCTACAGCATAGTCGAACCTTGTTTCCGCGCCTATTTTCATATCTTTAGTCTAACTCCCAAGCTCCCCGAGCTTGACCAGCCAAGATGGTAAGCTCCTTCTCGCCGTTGCTCCAGCTGCTGTGAAGTACTGTTTCGCTGACTTAGCTCGCAGGGTCAAGGTCAATCTGGCATGGGAGGCGGAGAAGGACGAGAGGATAAGGATAAGAAGGTACGGAGACCCCGATGGAGGATGATTTCGATGCATTGGACCGCCTCGGACTAACCTGCGCAATAGAAGGATAAGCCCAAGTACGAGCCTCCCCCCCGGCCCACGACCCGAGTCGGCCGCAAGAAGCGCAAGCAGGGCGGCACGAGCGCCGCCGCCAAGCTTCCCGCTGTTTTCCCCACGAGCCGATGCAAGCTGCGCCTGCTCCGCATGCAGCGCATCCACGATCACCTGCTGCTCGAGGAGGAGTACGTCGAGAACCAGGAGCGTTTGCGCAAGGCCAAGGCTGCCAAAGAGGGTCAGGTAACCTCTTCTGAAGCCGACGCTGACCGAAACGCCGACGAGCGTAGCCGCGTTGATGACATGCGAGGCAGCCCCATGGGTGTCGGCACGCTCGAGGAGCTGATTGACGACGATCATGCCATTGTTAGTAGCACGACAGGCCCTGAATACTATGTCAGCATCATGAGCTTCGTCGACAAAGACCTTTTGGAACCCGGCGCCAGTGTTCTCCTGCACCACAAGAGCGTCAGTATTGTCGGCGTGCTCACAGACGACACAGACCCGATTGTCAGCGTCATGAAGCTGGACAAGGCGCCCACAGAGTCATACGCCGACATTGGTGGTCTGGAGCAGCAGATCCAGGAAGTAAGAGAGTCTGTCGAGCTGCCGCTGCTACATCCCGAGCTGTACGAGGAGATGGGTATCAAGCCGCCCAAGGGTGTTATTCTGTACGGTGCTCCAGGTACCGGTAAAACCCTGTTGGCTAAGGCGGTGGCGAATCAAACATCAGCGACATTTCTGCGTATTGTCGGTAGTGAGCTGATTCAAAAATATCTTGGTGATGGTCCACGCCTGGTCCGACAACTGTTCCAGGTAAGAAACACAACCATGGGTAGGCCGAATAGTCACAAGTCTAACATGTTCAGGTTGCCGGAGAAAACGCGCCATCTATTGTATTCATCGACGAGATTGATGCCATCGGTACAAAGCGTTACGATTCTACGTCGGGCGGCGAGCGGGAAGTCCAGCGCACCATGCTGGAGCTGCTCAACCAGCTCGACGGCTTCGACGACCGCGGCGACGTGAAGGTCATCATGGCGACAAACAAGATCGACACCTTGGACCCGGCGCTGATCCGCCCGGGCCGCATTGACCGCAAGATCCTGTTCGAGAACCCCGACACCAACACGAAGCGGAAGATCTTCACGCTGCACACGTCCAAGATGAACCTGGGTGACGACGTGGACCTGGAGGAGTTCATCTCGCAAAAGGACGATCTGTCGGGTGCGGACATCAAGGCCATCTGCTCCGAGGCGGGGATGATGGCGCTGCGTGAGCGCCGTATGCGCGTGCAGATGGCCGACTTCCGCACAGCGAGGGAGCGTGTGCTCAAAACGAAGCAGGAGGGCGAGCCGGAGGGTCTGTACTTGTAGGCTGGCGTGTACGACTAGTGGGACGGCGGCGGAGGATTCTTTGGTAGATGATAATAGACATACTTTTGGAATGCGGTGGATGTGACTCAATTTGTGACTTTGAGAATTGCTCGAGGGCGTGCGTGCGTGAAGCAATGCGTACGCGAATAAGATTATGTTTGCGAGCGAGTTTGCCAATCTAGGTATACATATTGTCATTCAATCATTGAAACCTCCACCATTACCATTCTCCACGGCGAAGCTGGCGCATTATTGAAATCCCCGCCAGTGACATTCCTATTCCCACACCTACGCGTCCTTGGCAACTGGGACTGCATCGTGGCCGTTGCCGCTGGCCGTCTTCTTCTCGGGCCGGACCTGCGGCACGGGCGGCGGCCGCTTGAACCCTTGAGCTCTCGTCTCTGACGCAGCGATGCCCCGCGAGCCATCGCCGCCGGCCTCCCACGCGACGACGGCGCGGTACGCGGCGCGGGCGATGACGAAGCTGCCCGCAGCCCAGGCCCAGACGAGCAGGGCGAGCAGAGAGGTGACGGCGAGAGTGGGCACGAGGAAGAGGACGCCGAGGGCGAGCCAGAAGAGGGCGAAGAGGATGCCGCCGCCGACGGCCATGGTGGCGACGGAGACGGCGAAGACGGAGAAGAGCAGGATGGGCAGGGCGGAAAAGAAGAGGAGGGTGGCGGCGGCGGACTGCGTGGGTTTTGTCAGCATATTGAAGGAAGAGGGGGTTGAAAAACATACGAATATCAAGGGCCGCGTGGAAGCCAGGGCATAGGAGGCGTCGTAGGCGCGAAGGCGCGTCTCGGGCTCGACGACGCGGTCGAGGGAGCGCTGGGCATAGCTGTAGGCGCCGACGGCGTGGTGCCGGACGCTGTCGACGAGGGACGGCGATGCCGACATGGCGACGGGGGGTAGCCTCGTTTGACTAGTAGTTGGGGATGTGTAGTTTTGGAGGTTCGATCGTGGAGATGCCGCAGCCGAGGATCTTGATCGCGGGATGCTAAACGTTGGACGGGACGTTGTTAGCTTGGGGGAGCTAGTGTGGGCCGACGGATTGTGGTAGTGATGAGGTGCGATTTACCTGGTAGCTACCGTGTGAGTGTGTTTCTTCCGGTCGATTTTTGGTCGTCGTGATTCCGTCAGATACCGCATGGGAGATAGAATGCAATGACGAAGTTGAGATGGTGAGCGGGAGAGGATGAGGCAAGCAAGCCCGGCTGTACAGTTGCAAGTACCATAGAATGCAACGGCGACAGCGAGGGTGAGAGCATGGCTCTGCAGTGGAAACTCGACGTAGAAATGGTGAGGAATAGAATGAAGAAAATCTGATAATATTTCTGCGAAGTAAAACGTTATTTTAGAGGCACGGTTGTATTGTCTACCATATCCTTCTAGGAAGTAGACACAGATGTCATTTGCAGCTACTGTGATACCAGCAGGGAATAGATAGCTAGGGAAGGAATAAAGCAATACCTAAAAAAAAAGAACCAGGCAAGAAATACAAACCAATGCAACAAATATAACACGGATAAGAAATATAAAACTATACAATTCAAATCACAGCGCTAGACACGACTATCAAAAGCCACTTCAGTATGTGAGCGGCGCCGCCTGCTCATTCTAAGCGTCCACTGATACGTCAACACAGCTACCGGCCGGTTAAACTCATAAAGCCTCACAGCATAGCTATTATCTTAATCTTTTCAGTATTTTATAGACTGTGCTGAACTGTGGTTTTCGTCGTACGATATGAAGGGGTCAAACTTCCGTGTCATCGACCCGTCGGTTCAGTTTTCCAGGATACCGCTGTGGCAAAAATCGTGACGGCGTTGAAAGGGTGTCTTGCGTGGGTCAAATCATGAGCCAATGGGTTAACATGCGAGCAAGATGCTTTACGTTTTTCCAAAACCGCAAAGGGGCATCTAAAATGCTTCGGAAACCGTGGGCGTACAACTAATCTTTCAGCATGGGCGGCCCAGTGATCGGCGTCTGTACACCACTTGGCTGCCACAGCACCCTCGAGAACGAGATCATTCCGAAAGAATGCCAATTTTTTACCGAACCATGATATTTCTTCATGCGCGTTATCAAAGGCACTCCAAATAGAAGGCAGAAATATAGGGGGTCGAACATGCTGCTGTGTGAGCGCACATGACGTCAACCAAGCCCAACTCGGCCTGGGCTTTGTTAATAAGACATGGCTTGTAACAACGCGCACGCGACACCTGCTTGCAAACAACCGCGTCGACACCGCGCTTCTCGGCAGAAGCTGCAGAATACCCTGCTGCTTTATCCATTCACAGCCCTTCATCACCTCTCTGGTCTATATCACCAAAACCGCCACCGCCGCCTGCCAGGCTCGCAGTACTCTGCCCAGCGTCGAGATGCCCTCACGACAACGACCCGCAGCCGCGGTCCTCCACCATTGGATCCGGACTGTGTGGCCGGATCTCGTCACCATGGCCATTGTCGGAGGCTTGGCCCTTGCCGTACGCTGACCCCTTCTCCCTCAGCCCTCCCTTCCCCAAGTTGGTGGGCGGTGTGCATTCATCTCGCTGTCAATGGCTGCTTTACAAGAAACTGACCACTCGCCAGATCTACTACGCCCCCATCCCATGTATGCGCACATTTCCCATCACCTTTGACGGCTCCGGCGACATTGTCTACCCGGAATGGGCCTACCCCTACCGCGGCTGGCTCCTCCCCGCGCACCAGGCCGGCACGCTGTCCCTCGGCGGTCCGATGCTCGTCTACCTCGTCGCCGGCGCCTTGCGGCTACACTCCCTGTGGGACGCCAGCAACGCCGTCCTCGGTACCGCCTGGGCCGGGCTCCTCGGCGCCCTCGCCCAGGTCGTCCTCAAGCAGCTCGTCGGCGGCTTCCGCCCTTACTTCCTCTCCGTCTGCATGCCCGACCCGTCTCTCGGCCGCGCCAACAACCGCACCGGCCTCAACGGCGTCGGCTTCCAGCGCGTCATGTACTCGACCGACGTCTGCACGCAGCCGGACCCCTGGCTGCTCAAGACGGCCGCCACCGCGTTCCCCAGCGGCCACGCCACCGCCGCCTTCGCCGGCCTCGGCTTCCTCTTCCTCTGGACGCACGCCAAGCTCAAGGTCTGGGCCGACCACCGCCCGGCGTTCTGGAAGCTCGCCCTCACGCTGCTGCCGCTGCTCGTCGCCGCCACCGTCGCCTGCGCGCTGACGGTCGACGCCGCGCACAACTGGTACGACATCGCCGCGGGCGCGGCGATCGGCGTCGGCGCGGCGCTGGCGTCGTACCGCGCTTCGTACGCCGCCGTCTGGGACTGGCGCTACAACCACATCCCGCTGCTGCCAGGGCAGCCATTCGCGTACGATGGTGACGGCGAGGCGGATCACGTGGCGGCGACTCTGGCGCAGACTGCGGGATGGGGCGCGTCGTCGCGGAAGAAACGCTGGCTGCCGGAGGAGGAGCCGGAGGGGGCGTCGAGTGGTACCGGTGCGGTGGGAAGGCGGGCCTTTGACTGGCAAGATGCTGAAGATGCGTAACACTCCGACGCGGGATATCTAGCCTAGCGTCTAATACTACCAGAAGGACATGAGTGACATGGCTTTTAGAGACGGAAATAACGGAGCATTCTACTATACTAATACTAATTTACACGTCTATTAAGCCAGTACTATGGGTATTCCTATCAGTTTAAGAAATCTTTTTGCTTTTTTTAATACTTTCATCATTGAGGACCTGCGGTCTACATGCAATATTACCGTAGCCTCACAGAGCGCCGGATCATGATCCCCTCTTGCGTGCCAAACGCCGTGGATGGTGATAACGCATGCTTTCCACTTGACCCAATTTCCCTGTCTGTATCTTGCTGGGCATGGTAGAATGCTGGGGCACAACGACCAAGATGTCACTGAGCAGATCTGTCGCCCGACTTTATACAGCCTCGTCCTAGGACGTCGTAGGAAAGGCGCAAGTGTAGCCACATGCTGACGGTGCCGTCTACCCGATTACAACAATGTTGATCCTACAAGGGCGCACGCTAACACGGATCGTCATCAAAAATATACGCCACATCGTCCAGCATTGAAACTCCCCTTTCATCCTCGCAGTTTTCACAATCACACACCCGCCCTGGGCAAAAGCTAACCATGACTGGGACTGCCCTGCCGCCGCTCAACGCCGCCTGGGATCCGCGCCTCGAGACGCCCGACGCGGACGAGTTCTGCTGGACGCCGCTGCAACTCGCCGCGCGCTCCGGCGACCTCGCCCTCATGCGGCGCATCCTCGACGCGGACCCGGCCGCCGCGCATGCTCCGCCGCGCGGGTACTACGGGCAGACGGCGCTGCAGGCCGCGTGCGTGCAGGGCGACCTGGCCGCCGTGCGGCTGCTGCTCGCTGCCGGCGCAGACGTGCACGCCGGTGGCGGCCACAACATGCAGCGCAACGCACTGCAGCTCGCCTGCGGCCAGGGCGACGAGGCCGTCGTGGACGCGCTGCTGGCCGCCGGCGCACGCGTGGACGAGCCGGCGGTGACGCGGTACAACGGCCGGACCGCGCTGCAGGCCGCGTGCGAGCGCGGACACGTCCAACTCGCGCGGCGCCTTCTGCGCCT